CCGGCAGGCCCGACGCCAAGCTCATCCCCAACGCCGCCCACCCGCTCCCCGGCGTGAACGTCCGAAGTCCCCTATTATTCTCGTCACCGCCGACAATGAGCGCGGCGCTGTCACCCCATGGCAGAACGAGCGGCGCTAGCAGCGGGTCCGTGGCGGGGATGGACGTGATCTCGTGTGGCGCGGCGGTCGCGATGAGGTATGTGTTTGCTGAGGGTGTCTGTGTGTCTGGCCATGTGGTGCCCGAGAAGACGATGATCTGCTCTGTTGTTTCCAGGAATGTAGCGCCATGATTTGTCAAATTATATGTGACCGCCACAGGGAGCCCTATTGTCTCCCACTTGTTGTCGTTGAAGAGGTAGCGCTGCAGGCCCATGAAGCCGTTTGCGGGGATCGCGGAGGCATTGGAGGTTGTGCCGCCGACGATGTAGAGTGCTTCTTGCGCGGTGTTTTTATGTGCGTGGACGCACTCAGAGCCGACTGTGTTGATGTTTGTGGGGAGTGTCTGCCATTCGGCGCCACTGGTGAGGGAGATGGATTGGAAGGCGGTGGAGGAGTAGGCGTAGAGTGTGCCGTTGAAGAGTGCCGAACAGTGGGTGCCCAGTTGGGTTTCGGGCTTGGGGAGCGACATGGCCGGTCGTTATGAATTGACTGGAACTTTGCCTTGAGGTAAGCAAGCAAGCAGATATCAGAGCGACAGCAGCGCTCAGGGCCACAGATTGGAGGGAGTCCTTTGGCCCCCCTGACTGCGTATATTGTTTTTTTTTTTTTTACTTCTTGATTGTTATTGGCTTGTATATAGATGGTTGGATGGTAGTGACGGCAGGAGTATAAGTAATTATGGTTGTTGTTGTTGTTGTAGTAGCTATCAGCAGCAGTGGTAGTGAGTGCAAGCTAGAATAGAGGTGCCCGCCTCGCAATGGGTGGCATAAAAGAGTTGCACCCTCGCTCACTCGCTCACCCACGCACTTTCTCTCTCTCCTTCTCTCCCTTCTAGATCTGTCTCTGTCTCTGTCTCTGTCTCTGGCACCGCTTAGTTGCAATAGGCCTGGACAGCAGATGTGTAATTGGACGCTATGTTTCACGCTTGCCTCATTGACCTACATATGATCGAAAGAAAAAGAAAATAAAAGTAAGTCTAATGTCGATGTCGAGTAGTAGCCTAGCCGCCTTGGAGAAAAGCCTAATAAACTGAGACACTTACCTAAGTCAACCTAACCAAGATAAACCGGCTACACGCTAGACGTGAAGTAATCAAAACAATCTCACGATCAAGATCAAGATCCTACTGGAGTCAGAAAATAAAAAAAACCGTTCAGTAAAGGCGGGTGAGTAGGAGGAGGGGGGGGGTGTGGGGGGGAGAAAGGAGTTTGTAGTAGGAGAATGGCCAAGCACTAGTAGGACTAATCATTCAATCGATCGATGGAAGAGGAGGAGGGGGGGAACTGCGATCCTACAAACGAGGGACAGGAAAAAGGGAAGAAGGGGTGTATAGCGAAGGGTAAAAACATTATGGACGGGGATGTCTTCGGGGGGCACGGCAGTCGACTCGCAGTGAGCTACAACATACATATACTCGCTCCCGCCTGCGGCGAGGAGCGAGAACTAATGTACTGTACGACAAGAGGACGAGGCAGAAGGAGAAGGAAGGTAGTAAGTAAAGTAAGGAAGTAAGGAAGTAAGGGAGTGGTAGATCTTAATAGGCAGTGCAGTGTTAACTACTAACCAGTATAAAACCGATAAATGACTGAAGAGAGCTGGTGGACTGATTGCGAGATATCGCGGTGGATCAGTAAAGAAAATAAGGCCGAAGGAAAAGAAGGCTGAAATCCTTACAGTTTGTTTCTTGAGTTACGTCCGAAATGAATAAAATAAAGTTAAAAAAGAGTGACAAGTGACACCAGCACGGAGATAGAGGCGAGAACGAGAAGGACAGACAAGTAACAAGATAACAGAACGGAAATATAGAGTGATAATTCTTCCTTCTCGCGGAAAGAATGTCAGAGTGCGCAAACAGGTGTACAGAAACAGAAACAGAAAGAAAGGTTGGAAAAGAAGAGTCAAAGGGTTCACGAGACCCTTCCAGCAGCAGCAGCAGTAACCCAGCAAGCAGCAATTACCAGCATCCAGCCAAAGTAAAAGGAGAGCGAATTGATTTACCATACCCTAGAGTAACTACTCTAAAGTACTTGTCTACCACTCTCTCTCACTGGCCCACCGCTATATCACATCACGGCGCAGAGGGGCATAGTTTCGCTGGTACCTGACGCTTTCCCCCTGTCAACAGGGAAATCTGAGACATGGTAAATCCCAGTCTCCTTCCCCATCGGGCATCAATCCAAGGATGCGGCAGCTACCCTTCCTGGCCAGTACTTACACTTGTATTCAACGGATGGGTTCCGATACAACCATCATCGCTTGTTCCTGCATCTGTGAGCGTCTGGCCAAACACTGCACTCGTTCAAAGGGTCCTTGGAGGAAGCAATATAAACAACAATTCCCCACCGCCAGCGAACCAGAGCGTCTTGTTGACGCCGTATTTAATCGCATCGCCGTCTAGCTTTGCAAGCTTCAGATAACTTCTTCGTTTCTTTTTACCTTTTTTCTCTTTCTCCTTCTCTTTCTCTCTTGTTGCTTCATACATATTGTTCTATTTGCGGCGCAGTTCGGGATCTCGCTTCTGTACCTGCAGCACCGTTCGATCAGTAGCGTGGTTTTCGCCCTTTAGCTCTTTCGCCCTTCCTTCCTCCAGCACTAGCGAACCAACCAAGATATAGCCAGTAGGTGAAAAACAACAAAACGGCAGCTAAATATCCTCCCCGCCTGTTATAAAGATAGAACTGAACCAGTCCTGTCCTGTCTCTCTTTTCTAAACGTTACATCCCCATCGATCCCATGCACATCCTTTCGCAATCCATTCCCGAACCCTTTCTCAGCCCTGTAAAGTATCATAACAACCATCCGCACAACCCTACATGTAGGCATTGCAACCAATTACAACTCCGACCTACATGAGGACCCTTATTCATAACTATTATAACCTCCACCTAACTAGCCCGATCATCTAATAGGGGAAACATGATCGAAATCTTACACTTTCTAGACCTTCATGGACCATTCCCTCCACTCGTCATCTAAACGCCTTAGACGCCCATAACCCTCATTGCACCAACAGCCCGTTCCAATCTACCGTTATAAAGTTTCTTCAGCGGGCACCCTTGAAGCGGCGCTACGATGGTGCGACACGCCCGTCCCCCTCCCCCTTCTTGCCCAGCAGCTGGACTCGCATCGGATAGCCACGCGTACTGGTGGACCGTTAGTTAGTGTCTGTCTGATATATATCCCCCCTCCTCTCCTTCGACTTCTACCTTCACTTCGGCCTCATGAGCCGAGAGGTGTCAGTGCGCGCCGTTTTGTTTTGTTTTTGTTTGGGGGGAGACAGACCCAGAGGGTCGGGCAGGACGAGGGGTGGAAACCGATTCGTGGGACGTAACTACGGAGAGGTGGAAGCTGTTTTATAACTTGTATGGATGGACCACTTGGTAGGTAGGTGGGTTTTTAACACGTAACTAATTATTCGAGAACTGGTAGTTTACTCGAAGCTATGTTGTTGCAGATAAACCTCTACTCTCCTTTACTTGCGAGCAGGTATGCTGCGAAGCTGGATCCTAGTCGGCTCTCGCCAAAACCTTCTAGTTTTAAAGATCACAGATGATCACTCGTGAAACTAACTGCCTCGGCAGGCCCAAGCGCTGCCAACAAACACATGAGCAATGGCCGGCGTGTAGTCAAACAATCTTTTCCTCAGCATTTAAATTAGAGTGGCAATCATACCTGATGCTTGGGGTAAGTACCTGGCTGGGACCGTCTTTTCCAGTTGATTTTCGGCCAGATATAGGCACATCTCAATTTATATCCCCACCTTGACTTAGTTTTCGTAGTCATTGTGTGTGTAAAGTTTAAATCTGATCCCACAAGTTGATTTTCATTTACTAGAAATAGTCTGCTCATGGAGTGGCCTGGTGTATGAAAATCTATAGATCAAAATTAGATTGGAGTTTTGACATCAAGTGTTGAGTTTACGTTTGCACACCCAGCGGTACGTCGGATTCTGCCTTAAAACCGGGAATGCTATGGCGGCCCTGCTCCCGGCCCCTCCGCGGCCATCAGCCTGGGTTTGAATACCCTATCAGGTAGATTGGAATTTGATTCGAAGGGGGGATTGTCGGGACACGCCTGCAATATTTTCTACCAGACCCTACCTTCACAACTTTTAACTATATGGACAATAACCTATATATGATTTAATTTTATTATGTGTTTATATATCCTCTCCTCGCTCCGTGCTGGAGGCTTAGGATACACTTTGTTAAGTGTGCAAGATTCCCCCGCATCCTCGAGCTCTGAGGGGCTAAACAGGCAGTTAAATTGCCACAGTTTTCGTGTATAGGTTACCATGGGGTGTTTCCATCGATCTACTGTTCCTGTAACTCTCTAATGAAATTTGACTTTTCAACGCTTTCAAATCAAAGGGCACTATAAGAAAACAAAAGAGACTTACCCTCATAAAGCTCTCCTCCTCTAGCATTGTACTTCAGAGCCATGCATCTTAAACTCTCCGGCAGGCCATATTTCCCTACGAATTCAGGACCAATTCTTCGCGCCCAATAGACGCTCTGAAAGAGTTTCCCGCAATAGAAGTAGGGAATAGGTCTATGAGTAGCCCATAATAAAATCGACTGGCGTTGGCCCTAAATGACTATCTCCCATTTGCCTAAACAGCAAACGGATACTTCTAAGGATCCGGACCCATCGACTCCTATATCCTTTCAACCCTTGCAAAATGCTTTCTTGAAAAATCCACAACGGAATACATACCTTGGCACATACCTCCATCTTGAATGCCGCGCCAATTCTTATATAATGTGCAACCCCCCCCCCCCCCCGGGTCAGAAGCAATATCACATCAAAAGGAAGACTATATCTGTACAACACAAGTAACAATGACAGCACTGCGCGCCCAGCTGATTATGCTCAAAGCACAAAGGGAGCACCTACAAGCTAGCTACGACGAGGTTGCATCTGAACTTAAAAACCTCACTCCTTCTGCTGAGGACTCCCCCCACAAGGATGCAGCATGGGCTAGGCTACTTTCAGAACAGGTAAAGTTAGTGTCGGAGATGTTGAATATTCATGCTGAAATTAAGTGTGTGGAGTTTGAACTGAGAACGGGGCCAGAGCATGATGAGGATTGGTGATGTAGAAGTGCTAAGAACCCAAAAGGGTTTGTGGATGGAAAGCATGGCTTTTAGAGGTTGATAAACCAAGCTTTAGAATACTATGAGTAATAAGTAGAGAAATAGGTTAATAGTGGACAGGTAAACGAATTGCAGGCATGAAGCAGAGCATCTCTCGTCTAAAAAACAATATTCGAAAATATTCGAACAGACACGTGAGTACACTTTGTTATCGAATGATTGACGAATATATCCATGGAGTCAGCACCTTTCTATGGCTGCGAATAATAAATGAATTATCAATCACTCCAACCACTTAATTAATAGCTTGGTGTAAATCACGCACCAAGGAAAAAGCAGGAGAGAAAGGGAATGTAAAACACAAGATAAAATGACAGAGGATGGGAAGAAACCGCCGATGTCAGTTCTCTGCTTTCTCTAAGACGCTGAAAATGATAAAAATAAACAGCGTAGTTTATGGTCAAAATCATAGAACTACCTGACAAGCCCTTTATTAAACGACCTACCGGTATACTAACCCCTAGACGTATCAAAGGAAAATTGCCCATGAATACTGCGATCAAATTGCCGTTCTTAAGCCTAGGGATCTCTTAGGTATTATATTAGTCTCGTTCCCAGACTGTTTTGTCTGCCTGAATCAAGGCAAACACAGGCTGGGCACGAGACTAGTATTATATGTAACTTATTTTGAAACGATCATCTATTGTTTCTTCATGTAATCACACACTATCACTCGTACCGCATCACTAAAGATATCTCGATATACATGTACTAATGAAATTTGGGTCTTTTCAACCTTATGTGGTCCCCAACTACATGTACTATAGTACCATAGTCGTCTCTGGGTCAACGACGAAACCGGTCCGATGGCAAATAGGCCAATCGAAAACAACAAAAGCCAACAGAAGCGCGCCGACCCCTTTGCTTTGACTGAGGACCATCGGCCCAAAGAGTAGTCTTCGTTATCGAGCCAGGTTCGCCGTTGACCCGGAAACGACTGTACATTGAAAATTAAATACCGTACAATGCGGGCTAGTCAAAAGTTTACCGTTTCCGACAGTAGATATATTTCAAAACACCCTCAGCCTATAAATCAACATCAGTGGTTTAGTTTCGGAACTTATAATCCCAGATATTCTCGACTCCTATTATTGGCTCCAAAATAAAACAGATGGTTGAACACATACACATACACACACACATCCAAATCCGGTAAACAGTTGTTTACAGGGGCATCCAGCCCCCGCAAAACGCGAAAACCAGTAACTTACATGTAGTTATCATCTGGCGAGAGAGCTCGTTTGGGAAGAGCTACCGTCGCGGACAACACTCATAGTACATGGCACCAAATATCGGTAATCAAATAGATATTATTTTTTATCTCTTTATCTTCCATTCATGATCAACACAAGAAAAGAAATATGGCGCCGCATTTTCATTGTGCGAGGTGCCGAAGAGGAAATATAGCGTTTAGCCCATAGAAATCCTATTACAAGTCCCATCCTCATCAACATGAACATTCAGTCTAGCACCTGTCAGCAATAACCCTTCCTAAGGAATACACAAGAAACATCACCCTACCTCTCAGGCCTGTAATCCAGCGTCATCATGCTATCCTTCCCAAGTACCCTATGCCCACTTGGCAGATCATTCTTTGAGAATGTAGACTTCACTTAATCTCAGCTCATCACGTACACTACATAGTCGGGAGCTAGAGGCGTAAACTTACGGCTTCAGAGACGGCCCCATCAACGACCTTCTTGCCCAAGAGCTTCGCCTCCCAGTGTTCCTTCATGCTGCCCCTGTTTTGAGCGGCCTGCTCGTCCCTGAGGTTGTTAAATTCACGTTGTTGTTTGTCCGACATTTTGAAGTTGTTTGGTTGAGCTTGGTAGTTTGGTTGAGTTTGGGACGTTTGGGCTTGAGCTATGGTTAGTGGGGTTAAGTAGCTAAGCAAGAACTGTTGACGCGTACGTCATGGTGAGCCGCATTAATACATACCGGTTTGTAGGCGTGAACTAAAACATTGAATATCAATCATCTGATGGCCATACTTGGAATACACACAGTATGAGAGGAATAAACCAATCGCTAGAATCAAAAAGTTTCTCATTATTAATACTGGTAGCTATCGATCGAGTGCACAGCTAGCTAGCTAGTGTTGATGTCTGCGGTTTGACCAGTACGCAGGGTAACTTCGTGTCCAGGTACTTACATACAACCCTGGTGGTACATGGTAAATACTATCACGTGTTATATATCTGTACCTTCACTGACTGTGTCTGAAGCTGTCGGTTGAGAGCATTACTATAACTCTAATCGTGCATCTATTGAGAGTATGAAATATAAAAACTAGAAAAAAAACTAGAAAAGAAACCGATATTTACGCACCCACTATCACTCGGTTTGGCGACTCATGCATGTAGGGTTATCGGCCTATATTTGAAGCGTTATATACATGCAACCAGAACTAGTACTCCTTGTGGAAGATCGATAGCTTCTGTTTTTTACAAAAATCACCGTTGATTCATCAGTCTTCAGAGCATTCATGACATACTGACATACTAGCAGGCAGTCAGATCGACCCCATGCGTCCGTTCCCTCGAGCTCGGGTCTTTAGTTATCCACAAAGCGCTGTCTAATGGATTGAATGGTCAGTAATTATCTTCTGGAACATGCAACAGGTATTTGTGTCAAATATATACACATGCGCCCACCCGTACTCTTCATTTATTCATCTGTGTATTCGCATCCTCTCAAGCTCACTCACCCCCCTCGTTCACCACCTCCGTGTTCATTAATATATGCGTACGCCTCGATATATCTATATAGCTAACAATAAATATATACCGTTAGTCAGATATCCCTTACTTTCTGTGTGTTCCCGGATCAAGGCCCAGCTTCGAAGTCTTGCTGCCCTCGAGACCAACATTATCGCAGAGGGCTGGGTGGAAATAATGAATCATTTCGGGACATCAACCCGACCTAGGCCTAGATAAAGACCTAGTCTTACACTCTTAAGAGACCATTCTAGTACGTTTATAAACCCCCACACTCCCCCACTCCCCCCCCCGCAACTACCGAATGAACCGGAGAGGCTTATCGAGATCAGGGCTTACTCAGGCTACTGCAGTCTCTCATCTCATCTCAAATGAGCTGATACAACGCCAACTATCATATCATCCCGATCCCAGCTCATCTGAATAGGCTTGCCTTATCAATCGGACGTACGAACCCAGATCCCATGATCCGGGTGTATATACATAACCCCGCAGATGGGGTTGGCTTTAGTGCTCGGGTAATCTCAAGCCCTTATTGGCTCGGCGTATAGAGCACGCGCAGTTTAGGATACCGCCATATATGCATATATCAACTAGTCGACAACTTAAAATCCTCCATTCTACACTTATTTAACCAAGGTACATGTAGTTTCTAGCTACTCGATAAATCCACACACTCCCGGGAGACAGAAATAGAAGCTATAATGTTAAGCATGCGGTATCACTCGTGATTTCTCATACAAATAGACAAATAGGCAGATATGCGGCCACAAGCGTCCTCAAAACTGACACGTTCATAATAGACGATAAGTCACATAATAAACTAGGTTTCTCCTATCATATACTCTGGTCTAAGGATAAACGAAGGGTCGATCAACGACGAAGTATGAAACACCCACGATATTTAAGCCAAGCCTTTATTCTTATTTAATAATGATATCAATGGTAGGAGTTCACAATTTACTAGGTCGCCAGGTCAATGTGAGACAGCACGCTTTCCTCGTATCCCATCAGACAGCAGACCAGTCCAGTTGATCACCCCGTCAGCAGATATCGAGCCCTTTGAAAATGCACTTTCACATGGTACAGCAGCAAATCTACCATCTATAGTCGTTAATTCTATACAGTTAACGGGGGGAATATGAGGCCAACCAGTAAGATCGCCCGTGTCAGATAAGAATGTCTGCTTTTGTCCCATATGATATCAATTTGGCGATCTTTTGAGGGGGGGTATAGTACATTGGTCAAGGCTGACGAACAGGTGAGCATACCAGGAAGTATAGTAGAAAGGAGTTTTAAATTATCCTGGCCCTCTATAGAAAAAAATAAACCGGTTATATAAATTGGATTTCAGCCAGGCCTTAAATATAAATCCTGGGGTGGTGGGGATTTATCCATCTAGACTGATGCCGTTGCTATCCATCTCTTAAAGTTCCGCATTTCGGTATGATCCATCCAACTAGTGGATTGGCCACTGAATACCGATAGCGGTTCCGACCGATATCGGCTTAGTTTTCAATTCGCCGGATGGTACTTCTACACCCCTTGCTGCTGGCGAATCGCTACTAATATATATATAGCGACCGGCGGAGGGCACACACTAGCCATTCCTCCAGGCTGTGCTGGAACATGAATCTGATTCATGACCTGATCTTCCACGGCTGGGCTAGCCATGCGGATTGGCAACTATGGTATCAGTCAAGCGGCGAGCACATACTCTGTTTTGCACCCTGGGTACATGTAACAACATTATGTCTCTACGTCTCTGTATAGTACTGAATTCTTCTGTTTGAGCAGAACGTGTTACATTGAAAGGCAATGATACGTCCGTGCAGTAGATTTTCGAAAAGGTGTGTCTCGGTTATTGATTATGGTCTAGGTTTAAATCGCCTGAATTGCGTGTGCGCTCGGTCGGGATCCGGTTAGGTAAATCCGATTTTCCCGCCTGCTGGAACAGTGGGTTGCAGATGATTAAGGGGCACGGATATCTCGCACTCGGTAGTTTGGATGGAATCAGCAACAGAAACATTCACCCTGGGTATTCTTCCAACAGTGTAACAGTCCTTTCGGGAACACGTACTTATTCCGCTATCTTAGGCACGTCTTTCAAGTGAGAAGTTGAGGCTGGCGGGAATGAAACATGTGATTTCAGAAGTGCGACATTATTGACTTATATACACAACTCTTATTTAGTAGATGACGTGCTACTTTTTGCCTTGACTTTATTCTGATGCTCTTTTCGCCGATTGGAATTTGATGTTGACTGGCATTCAAGAATTCGTTTACTTCTGTGCCACACAGATTCATGTTTCCTGCAGGTCTGTATTCTTCCTGCAGCCTTGTTTACATAGCTAATGTTGTGTTCTTGAAGATGTTCCTCGGGCACTGTGATAGCAATTGGTGGAAGGTTGCCAGGGTATATCTAATGCGGGTCCCTTACTGTTTCCGTGAGTCCTCGACCCGAGTGATAAGCTGTGATGTTTTTATAGGTTTCACAAGCTGCGTGACATGATACGCCATGCATTTGGTAGAGGCGTTACCCGTGGGTCGTGAGGGCTGGTTAGCTAAATACCTCAAACAATGGTATTAAACGTACACACCGCGTATACATGTAACCGGCGATTCAAAGCAGTCAGCTTTTAAATGAGCTATGAGACTAATCTCCATATGGCCTTCCAGATCTTGCTTGCATGATTGTACATATGCAATGGGCAAAGTTATAATATATAGCTAACTCATCAATATCAATGATTACATCCACACCGATAATCGTGCTTCCGCTCCTCGGGATAGGGGGACCTCGGTCAAAAACTTAGCCTATCGGGCCACCCAAAGATTTTACGCCCAATTCAATGCCGGGGATTTCGACTATAAGATATAATGCCTAGGCATCTGCCGGAGAAAGGGGATCAAAATTGCCGTCTCAGTGCTAAACTTACTCTACACACCACCTCTACACCCCAGCTATATAGTCGGTCAAAAGAATTACCAACAGAAGTACAAAGAAATTCCAGGCCTTATGGCATAGCCGATGGTAAGGAGAGTTTTGAGTAGACCTCACGAATGAAAATTTAAAGACTTCAAGGGATAACTATCGGTAGACATTTCATTTATTTGATGTCAAACGCTTTCGAACTCCTATGAAAAAAAACTTGCAACTCTCGGTATTTTTTTTTCGATTTATCTACCGACGTCTTCTGCCGTTCAGAATTCGGCCCGGATTTTTGCATCGCATGCTTGATTTACTCATTCTACAGGTAGGAAGATACATCCGGCGGTACAGAAGCGATGCTGTCGATGGCGATGATTTACAATTTGCCACCGCGGAAGGTCTCGGCTTTCAGAATTCGATGTAACTTCCCCTTTTCATAACTACTACATAGTATTATATTCATAACAAATCGATCTTCGATCGTGCGCGGCACTTGAGACTTCATTGGACCATATCCTCGTGGCTTTACAAATGGCATGGTTCGGGATCTACTTCCATTAGGTGATCAAAAACGTGGTGGAGATTTGGGTTTGAAGATCTGTTTATCAGTCTAGTTATCATCTGTTGCTATACTCACCAAACCAAGTAAGGGGCCGTCACGAACCCTCACTCGGTACCAAGATCCTGCATGCAACTAACTACATGTACACACTAGCCACGAACGTGATCGAGCAGTTAGGATAGACCAAGCCAAAATATTAGATTATAGTGTATTTATGCCGATAAAAGAGGGAAATTAGAAACATGTCCACCAACGTCTTGTGAACGCAACGATTCTGAAAATGACGAAACCACTACCTTTTCAGCAGTGGTACTTGTGTAGAAATCAACCAGCGATCAAAAACTTACATTGGACTCACAGAAGATCTACACACAGAGTGTGTAGATGTAGTAGAAAATCCCCACCGTTCCATCTTCCACATTCCCGGCTTGAGCACATGCCAGATCCCGTTTCATGGGGTGCATAAAGTAGGTAGACATTTCACGTTCGACGACTCTTTCAATCAAGTTTACCGCGCTCAATTTCCCAAGCCCCTGGATATCAATTCATAGCCACATACCATTGGCCGCGCGCTGTGACCTTCATGTGTCTTTTAGGTCACGATATATGATCGCCAAATAAACAATCTTTTTGGTGGATCATTACCTTATATCTGCACGGTATATCTGTACTATGCATATCTGGTGGTAGCACGGACAGCACCGATTTGACGTGTTACGAGTACCAAATGTCTTGACTGCATATGTTTTACTTTACTCATGCGGGCCAGTTTCAATTCAAACTACCCAGACATATGTACATATCATTACCCTACATAGAAAACAACAGTTCATCTGAGAAAGGAGGAGGACGACGACGCTGCCCTGTCCGAGAAGAAGGGCCGAATGTGGCTTGCCCTGCCTTTGCTGATCTTCAACTAGAGCAGAAGCCAGCACACACACCCTGTTGAAGCAAAATTAAATGCAAAGGCAGTTTATTTCTACTCCATGCCGGTTTCGAAACCCACTACATAAGCGAAAGCATCAGCAAACTCTGCAGGAAACATATTCAATAATAATTGGGCCAAGGGAAACACAAAACGTAAGAAAAAAAAAGTAAAAAGGATGAGCAGATCAGTGCGCCTCCTCATCTCCACGCGGCTTTAACTATATGTAAGTACTCTATCTCGTCAGTTTTTTAGATCTTGTTGCTGTTTCCCCCACCTCGAGGTCCTAACACCGTCGAAGTTCAGCAACGTTTCGGAATTACTTGGAGCTTTGATCATTAAAACGGTTTTTTCGACAGCTGATGGTTGACGATCATCCACCGCCATTCCCTTTCCCCCCCTCTTATCCCTACATCCCCTACATCAACTTATTTCCCTCATACTTCGTGGGAATTTGTAAGACAAACCGGTAACTCCGACTTCACCTACCAACGCTAAGCCCCAACACCATTTCGAGTACCGCAAAAACTCACGAACTTTGCTAGCGGATCTGACTAAAAACTAACTTGTAGAGGAAATATCTGAAGCTGATCTCTGCCTTTCAGCCAATCACCAATGAAGAATTCCCTACACGGAGATAATCAAGTTGGCGAGTTTCTGCGGTATTAGTGGCATCATGATAGTAGGGTTAGGTGGGAAAGTCCATGGAAAATTTCATGCACCAGCCACATCATCCACTACCCCTCAAATTAAACTACATACACGCCCCCCTCTTATTAACTCGGTAAGCAATTGTGGCTTGCAGAAACATAGCACGAAGTGGCAAATCAAATATTCCTCACGGATTTTCCCGGCCGACCGGCCGGCCGTTTCCTAGCCTACCTAATCCGAATTCTGCACGATTGATGCATACCAAGCAGCTACTGGATATGGACAGGAGTAGCCAAGGAGTTTAGAGGTCGTGTGTATGTTTGATATCGTGGACGTTATCATTTGATTTCATTATCTGCACGTGTGTGCCAAGTCGAGACCCACAATTGGTATCTTTCTCAGCGGGACCGAGGCCTAAGGGCGGGAACTGGGTTGAAGGGCTTATCTTGGCCTGCATGAGTACTATATTTAATTATTAAAGCTTCTCTTCAGCTGATCTCTATCAGTTTCCTGGATACGTACATACATGTACAGCTTGCGGTAAGACTATTGTAGAAATATGGGAGGAGTCCTATTGGCTTACCCAGCCATAGGTAAAAGGACAAATTGCGGTAGGCCCAGACTGTGTAGATCATTTTCGAATTGGCCTTGATTTTTGAAGATCTTTCTGCATAGAGTAATGAACTGCGGAATATGCATAATAATAATGCATCTGGAGAGGTGGAAATGATCATATTTCACATTAATGTGTCATCCTGATGGTAAAGCAATGCCGCACTACGGATGCAAGCGAATTTTCAATCACTGGTGCCGTGACCAGGCCCTGCTTTGTGGTGAAGTCTTGGTTAGCCTCTTGCACTTATATCCACCACCTCCAGGAAAAGTTTAGTTAGAAACGCCGAGATCTAGCAGACATGAACGACTATTGCGATGCTTGGCAAACAGGGCAGGAAGGGTGATTTCTAAACAACATAACCTGTTTGTTTAGAAACTCACGATATCACCTGATTGACACACCACCCACCATAAGCTTAAGCTTCTTTACACAGAGAACGCTGATAGATGATAGGACACATAACCCGGGGAAGTAGCAGTCAAACGACGGAACGGACGTTTACCACGGACCAGATCCACGGTTCAGTGAAGAGAACTGGCCCCTGCGTTGTCTCATCCCCCCAAAGATCGGAATCCGCTGCTCAGATCGCAGGACCATCTCCCAGGGGAGCCCCGATCAAAAATCTTTCTCCACACTTTCTTTCGATCCTCGTTTTTAGGCCTGCAAGCAGGCAAGAACTCTAGAACACGTCCCTCCCTCTGCCATCTGGACCTCCAGTCACAATTCTCGTCTCCGGGCTTCCCGATTCCCGGACCGGGGTAACCCTTTGCGATGAAAATGGATTCCCGGGTTCAAATCCTTTCCCCGGAGTGGGAGAAGCAAAGAAAGGTGCAAACCACCTATGGAGTTGGCACAGTTGGAGAGATCGAGATCAAATCGCACCAAAAGGGAAGAAAAGACATGAGAACAGAGCCCCTTCGGTTCATACGGGTTGCGCCAGCCGACCGGAATTCCCCTTTTCTTGGGGAGACCCCCGTCTATATCACTAAGTAACAGTACTCTAGGTATGTTCACACAAAATTACGAACTGACGACGTTGAAAAAAGATTTTTTTTTCGTTTTTTTCCCCACAGGAGTTCTGGTTCGTTGTAATCCGATTTCCTAGCAACAGCACGATCCGCACCGCGGTCGGTTACTAACGATGGCTTACGGTTCTACTTGCCCTGGTTCGGGGCCCCACAGCGCTCGCTCGCTGGAATCCACGATCGATCGATGTATGTAATGGTTTTCCAATTCTAGGGGTCAGGGTGACCAGCCAATCGGAGAATTTAGCAACCAGGGTTTCCGCCTAGCGGGCACGGGAAAGGAGATATGAGACATGACGTTAGTTAGACGTCACATCAACATTAGTCTCGGCGTTGATAAACAGTGGAGAAAACTGATACGCAGCGAACCTCAACCAGGTACCACCCAAGCGACGGAAAAAGGGGCAGGCTCGCGAGAAAAGGGAGCGGTAGAGGGTGGAAAGAGGTTAAGGGTTCAGGATCACCGTAGATCGCCGCGATGAGCTTAAGCTGAAGGGTTTTTAATAGCATTTGGGGTTCACTCAGATCTGTAGATTCCAAAATGACGCTTGAAATGAGTCCACAGATACGGAAACGTCAGTGGACGCAGGGAACAGTGAAACCGTTTTCGTCTATCCTTCGGCCATATCCGGTACAGAAAGAGGGAGATCTAGAGGGAGATCTAGAGGGAAAGACATTTTGAGAAGAAAGAAATAAATTGCTGATGTCATCGGGACCCTTGATCTCAGGACTTGACCCTGTTCCAGACCCAGCATAGAGGGAAATACCGTGGGGTGGTAAGTACTTTGAGACATGAAATCCATCAATAAATACTTGAATGATGGTTAATGACTGATGACGATGATATGAATGAATGGAATCTAAGAGAAGAAGAAAAACCGTTGGCCACATGGAGTGGGTCTTGCTGCCGGAGGAGGGATTATGGGATGGGATGGAGAATGGGAGGTAAGAAAGTAGGGAGAGAGGAAGGGTTGTGATATGGAACGAGGCAAGAAAGGGTAATTTTGAGGCAGCAAGGTGGCCTGGACTCCTTCAGGGGGCGTGGCCAAGGTGCTTCTGCCTCTGCTGCCTCTGCTGCTCTTTCTGCTACTTGGGTGATGTCGAACAACAACAGCTGCTGGCTGCTTGTCGCTCGCTGACCTCCGCTACCTTGCGTTGCTCTGTGAAAACCTTAGGTAGAGGCTGACGGAGGACATATCCGTCTACTAACACACCGACGCGGACCGTGCGCACACTGCATGCACCTGTGCTGTAGGGCCTACACCAGGCTACAGCTTGTGGAACACGACACTGATTCCCCGCAACGCTGATCAGCCATGTATGTATGTAAACGTGATTTAAACCTGGGACCATCTCAATCCAAAGGTCAAAGTTAAAAAGAAGAAAGAAAAAATAGTAATAATAATATTCAAGGCAGAGCGGAAATAAGACGCCGAGGAAAGTCTCTGTCCCTAGGAACGGGACAATGCTGCGTGTACCAGTAATAATGCGCAATCAATATCAACAGCTAGCTAGCTAGCACCAGCACCAGAAACGGCAACAACAACCTGCTATATGGCCTTCTGTTAAGGGATCGATATCAAACCACACTACGAAACAATCAATTGGATAAATTGTCTCAACAGCAATCAGATCACTATGTATAGATTGACCTAATTTGCTCTCTGGTACCAACTTTTGAGGTTAAAGAAAACCAATCCTTGATACCTTTATAAAAAAAAAAAAAAAAAAAAAAAAAGGAGAGAAAAAGAAAGAAAGACCCATCCCATAACCCATATGCACACGTTCAAGAAGCAAGCAACGAGATCGAGCAGTGCAGAAAGTAGAAGTGGAAAAAAGAAATAGTGGTAGTAAACAAGAATTATTGAATAAGTGTCTTCTGATCGTATGACCCGAACTGTGAAGTCACGTTTTTGTTTTGCTCTCAGTAAACACCCCACCGTGACCCCAGTAGGAAAAATAAAAAGGAAAGACCCAGGACAGTTGAAAAATATTTTCCCGTAGTTTCAGATAATAAAGAATCGTTTCTGTATGTAGTGATCCCAGTAGTGAATAGATGGAGGAGAAGCCTTGATAACCCACCCAGGAAAAGAAACCATAGTTGTAAATGAAAAGACCAGCCCATACCAATAATTGAAAAAAACATAAAATACCGTTTTAACGCCATTAAACCCGAATATCCCAAAGGAAAGAATAAAGTAGAAGTTGAGAAAAAGAAAGGAAAGAGAAGGAAAAACGAAGCCCCCCAAATTGCAACCCCACCCAGAAAAACGAAACAAAAAAGAGCCTAACCAAAACGACCCTGGAGCAGAACCGTCCCCCAAAGAAAGACCCTTATATAAACGAGGAGAGAAAAAAAAAACCTTTGATAAATCATGTGCCAGAAGTGAAGGGTAAAAAAAGGAAAGAGGAAACAAAAATCGATGATGCAATCAATCAAGATAACCTCAAATAAAAATATTACAGAGAAGTGAAAGTGTAGTGTAACTAGCGTTTCAACCGCCGATTAAAACTACCATCGAATCTCAGACAAAGATGACAATGAATACTGTTTTTGTCCACCAGCTGCAGTAAAAGGAATGAGGGGGGAAATTTTGGCTCCCCGCGGGGCTGTTTTTTTCCTTTTTTCTCCTCTTTTTTTTTTCTTTTCTTCTTCTTTTCTCCGAAAGATAACGACCGAAAGCGTATATTTTCTCGCGCGCAGCGGTGGATAAAAAAAAAAAAACGGGCCAACTAAACAACCAGGATGAATAGAATTTCACCCTTTAAGCGTAACCCGAACTGGTCGCGCTCGCCACACTCGCCAGCGCATTCAAGCCACTCTCACCGCCGAACGAATCTGAATAGTGTGTGTACGATACCGGGTGCGTCTGCGAGTGATATGTGTGCATCCGGGGGTGCAACTCAGGTCTGGCAGCGGCGGTCTCCGCTCGCTGTTCTTGGAGCACAACATCTTCGGCCGACATTCTCCTCTTCCTCGCCGCCCGCTTGGTGGCTGACCCGCTCTGGTGGGTTCTGAAGTGCTGCATACAATTATCCTGTCTGCTGAATCTGGCCCCACAACCTTCCTCTGGGCAGACGTAGTTCTTCTCCCCAGTGTGAATTCGGGTGTGTCGCGCCAAATGACCAGAAGTTGTAAACGATTTTCCGCACTGGCATGTGTACCGCCGAGCACTCCTCTTAACGACTGGATTCGGGGCGCCGGATTTTGGAGATGGAGGCACGGAGCTGGCGGGGGTGCGGGTAAGGGTCCTTGGCGATAGCTGCTCCGGCTCGAGAGCTTGATGACTTAGGATCGAGGTAACTAAATGTGGAGACGAGTTTATAGGGGAAGATCCGGGAAACATTGGCCCAGCTTCACCGGACATGAACTTCAAGGGTGGAAGACCGATATTTGGAGGTGTACGGGGTGAATATAATGGCAAAGAAGTCGTGGAGGAGTTTGATTCAATGGAATCATGGCGGGTAGCATACGGCCTGCCAAATGCTGGGGACAATGGCGGCGTTGGTGAAGATGCTGAAGATGAGGCATACTCGTATACACTTTTAATCTCCTCGTCACAGAGAAGGGATACCCGTCGACCTGTCGAGGTACTGATGGTCCAATGGTTGTCCGGGGCAGTCTGGATTGGGGTTGTCATTGTAACAGATATTATTGAACACGCAATTATTATACCAGAGAAAACGATAAGGAAGTTATTGTTGAATAAGAAAATATGTCTTTCAATGTTGTCGAAAGAGACGGCAGGTGGTCGTTATGTGATTGTGACAGTAGTAGTAGTAGTAGTGGCGGGGGGTGTATTGAGTGACAAGGATGATGTAAGATGCAACAGTTTCTTATTTCTTTCTTTCTTTCGTTCCTTACAATCAGACGGAATAGTAGACCGATGTGTCTGTAATGGAGAGCTGGTAGGCAGGGCGCAATAGAGGTACAGAATGGGTGGGAGTAGTAAATAGATATAGGGAAGAGGAGGATGGTGATCACCCTGTAAGTTGACAAATGTAAACCAATCGGTGACGCCTTCTCCCAGGTGTGTGTGGGTGGCGCCCTTCGCTTTATGTTCCTCGCCGCGGAGAGAGATGTGCTAGTCAAATAATAGTGTGTAGGGCACGTTGTGTGCATGTGTAGTGGGTATGTAGGGTACGCAGTAGCGGATGGACTGGGTCCTGGTGGAGGTGGAGGTGCACCAGTGGTTTGTGTTAGAGAAGAGCGGAAGAGATGGAAACCACTAAACCTAACTACTCTAGTTCCTAGTGGGGGACGTGAAGGGTGAAGGGGGGGGGGGGGGGGGAAGTGATGGGAATGACCGAACAGGGAGTATGGGATTGGGGATTTAGAGATTATTTTGGAAGGGGGAGGAGCGAAAGGGGGGGGGGGGACGTTACTGTGCACTGGAAAGAAGGAACAAGAATGTGTGTACTTTTCCTCAAACAGGTAAGGTATAAGTGAGATATCTCATGGTACAATTCAGGCAACAGAGGAGAACATGGTAAAAGTAGCAGTAACATGCCCCAAATCCCACTTTCTTTGCTAACTTGCCCTCGATGGTCTAAAGAGAAAAAATATTTTCTGGTAGAGTAGTATTCTACGCAATCAAACCTTGTCATGCACCAAGTCCCGCATTCAGTAGTATCATTCAACGCAATGCTTCTTGCTTTTCCCTTCCCTTCTCTATCTTTCTCACCGTAGTAGACGCTGCACCCTTTGAACGATGGCCGCATGAGCGGTAGGTAGTAAAGTGAAAGTGGTTGTAGGCTAGCTCCCGTAAGTATGTGCACTTTGGCATGTACCCCAATTTCCAATGGCGTTTGTGGGTTTGCAGCAGCACTTGATGATGATGCATGGTGTATGTATAGAGTAAAGTACTTGGAGTATCTAGATGCAAGCATGTCTTCCGTGTGAGTGGGCGTGAGTGAGTGCGTGTGAGTGTCCTGGGGCGGTGGTGGTGTAAGTTGTGCAAGGCCAGGCGAAAATGCCAAACGCGATCAACAGCAACAGCGGAGGACGGGACTTCTCCATATCATCATCCCTGCAACACGAGCCATCCCGGGCCCCACCACCCACCCACCACTAACCCCTGCCCCGCTCGTTGAAGGGAAACAAAATTGCCCATGCCAGAAGACCCCCATTTCACAATTGACCTTTTCCCATCGCGGTCAATGTTTTTCCCACCGCAGTCAGTGAACTGCAGGTCACCCTGTCCTCATATGCGGCCCTTTGTATAACGTCAACAAGCCACAGAGGGGGGGGGTGGAGTGGGGCGAAAGCTGCTCATAGACATTTTGATGATTAGGTTTTGACGCATAACGACTTTTTTCTTTCTTCCTTGCCCTTGCTGATTAAACTGCTGTTATTACGGTCCACTCGCTCGACATTTTGATCATTGCTCCCTCACTCGCTAACGCCCCTTCTTGGCAACATACCCGCGGGTCTGCAACCAGGAAGTTAGAGACCTTAGGGGCCACACCCTTATCAACCGAGGGGTAGACAATAACCACCACCACCACCTTAAACTTCTAGAGCAAAAAGGTGATGTGTCTGTTGTAGTGTAAGTAGTAGGTCTGTAAAAGAAGGATTACCTAGATAGAGAGATAGATAGAGACGTTCGTTCGCCCATCAACGAGCCAAGTCGCACAATAACTGCTCCCCTGCACCACGACAGCCCTTCACGATCGAGGTTTTTGCCGCTCATCGACGAGGTCCGGCAATTGTCGATCGCCCAGACAGGACGCTATTCTTACGTCACTCTTCTTCTGGGTATTCTTCTTCATCTTTTTCAACTTCTTCTCTTCTTGCCCCTTCCTTACACAGAAATTAAGCCAGTCATAGTCATAATGATGGACCCTAGCGTTCTAATGTCTGGTTGGCGGCCCTGGATGGCTAGCCACACCGCACCTTAGTCCCTCGCCGGAAACAGTAGGCTTGGCAGGGACTGGAGATACGAAAATGGCTTCCTTTCTTTTCCTTAAACACCTTTTTCCTTCTATTCCCCAGCTAGGTGGAGGAAATCTCCTGGGAGAGGGAATTATCATACCCCAGCAAATGCGTCTAGTAGTGACATTACTATTACTATCAATAATTACTGCTATTAGTTACTCTTCACCCACTTTGCATGCAATGTGCTTCTCAGTCACAGCTATCACTCGACCCTGTCTCAACATCATGTGAGGTGGTGTGCAGTCTCATATGGAGTGGTCAAGTCTGTGCCTGGTCCAGGCCTGTGTCCGGGTCCGTGTTCTCTGGTATGCGGAGCAAAGGGTCTATTCTGGTGTCCGAAACCACACACACCAAGACAGACGGTTACCCGTTTTTTTCTCCCTTGCATATTAAAGGGTTCATGATCGTGAGGCAAAGCAAGGTAGCAAATTTCGTTTCGAAACAACCACACCGTCTGGCTGGGTCACTTTGCATTGTGGATAACGACGCACTTGCATGTTTGCAAGGCCGGAAATAAAGAAACAAGTTACTGTAAGTTACCCTAGGTACATGTAATTCAGTCCCCCGTTTCTACAGCGTGAGGTAAAATTATTGTAGAAGTATGGGAAGAGCCCTATTGGCTTGCCCAGCCATAGAAACCCTGTTTTTAGACCCCCTGTTTCTACAATAATTTTCCCTCTCGCTGTACAAGAAGGATACATAGGTCAGGTACAGAGTAATGAATGGCACTCCAGAGTTCTCTACTCTAGGGTATATGGCTAAGACAAGGCCCTGCTTACAGCAGGTAGATACGATCTAGTCGAGCCAAGAGTATCAGAGAGGAAAAAGAAGAGTGACCCTTCGATTCATGAGTTGACCGTTCACGGCTTTTCCCAAAAGCAAAAGCAACGAAAACAGCACACATCAACTGCTGACCCAGGTACTATTTCCAGAAGCCTTTACAGGAGGAGGAGCAGACATCCACGATGAATCCCCAGGACGGACGTGTCTTCCACCATTTTTTATCTTTGAGCGGACATAGCTTCCACCTTTTTTCGCCTCCCAGTTCCCTGCGAAATTGGGGTTGCGGCCTTAAATTAGTGATTCAATAATGAAAAAGTGAAGGATGAACTCTAGTTTTTACTGCTCTTGCTCCTGCAAGGAGCGAACGAAGAAATGAAAAAGCCTGTTTCTCGCATCGAGTGCACTATCAGTCACGATTCCCCGTGTGAACTGCAGGGTACCAGACCAGCGACGGTATCCCGTCCACCACCCTCTAAAAGAAAAACCGGGCGATCACCATTCTCCGCAGGGTCTTGATTGGACGGAATACTGATCCGGCCCACACAACGCAACCCACCTCACAACCACTTCACAACCCCTGGCGAGGGAAAGAAGGAAAGAAAACGTCCCGTTGTTGCGCCTCGGTTGACAGCAGCCGAACGAGCCACTGCCGCTGCAACGCGACCGTGGAGGGGATAGTGCGTTGCGACGTCATTATTTGTTCATGCGGGTAATTTGGTAGGGGAAGAGGGAAGCGAGTGGGCTAGTTTAGGGTGGATTGGCAGGCACATCGTGGACATAGCGCAAGTAACTGTGCGGAGGTCAATGATATGAAAATAGTCAACGTCAACCCTAAGTTCTATGGTAGGTAGGTAGGTTTTCTGTGGTCCTGCCATGCCTTGATTTCCCTGCGTCACCCCCTGCCCTCTTTGCCCCGGCCTACCCTGCTTCACCCTGCCACCTCCTCAGGGACATGCAGGACCAGAACTCTACTAATAGAGTACGCCCCACTGAACCGGCGCGAAGGAATGACACCGGTGGGGTAAAACACACTTTGTTTCTTGTCCCTGATGGGCCCGTTGGCTAATAGACGCGCCATTTGTTATGTAACGGGGACGTCCCACGACCCAATTGAAAAAGCCACGATGTCTCCCGTCATCGCTGCTGCTTCAACCTGCCAGCCTCTGTGCCCCTACGTAGGTGCTCTATAGATCTTAGATTGGGTAGATCTTGCATTACGCACAGCGCGCCCTGGCAGTGAGCAAGGTAACCAAAGCCCATTCTATAGCATATATACCATATATAAAAATAAAAAACGTGATTTATTCGATATCATATCCGCCCATTCCTCAATTTGTGTTGGGGGAGGGTCCAAGCAACCTTTCGGGCTGTTGCGCATCTTCGGTACAGATCAGATCACAGATAGAAAAACCTTAAAAAAAAAGCGCCCATCTAACCGGGAGAGAAACAGAGCTACCTTGACAGCTACTTTGACATTTCCCGCCAACGGGAGAGCGACTGGGTGATCGCGAGAGACACATCTGTCAGGAGGGTGAAGGTGGGGTTGTGTACCAGATCGACTAGAGTAATCACGACCGGCGAAGGGAATTGTGCGAATGCAGGTTACCGTGACCACGCTTGCGAGATCTGGGAATGGGGAAATGGGGAAATGGGAAATGGCGGGATGGTAAAATCGGGAAATGATCAGGGAAGCGGGCGGGTGTTGCTGCTGTGGTTTAGCGTTTGATACATCTGATAGGTTTATCGCCTGATACGCGGAAAACTAACTATTGCTGAATTATTTGGGAGGGGAAAAAAAAAAGAAAAAAAAGGAATTCTTTAATCATAGCTAGGTACATATTTGGATTCATTAGGGGTTGGTCGACTGGTTGGCTTGCTGCAGTTGGTCGAGTTGGACATCAAACGATCATTACAAAAGGAAAGATTCGCAAAACAAACAACAACAATAATAAAACCAATAAGAATATTAAGAAAACCCAATTACCCCCCCTCCAACCACTACGGTAGCCCTCTACCTGCATTAACAGCCCTCGCAACCAGGCTCGTATCCGGTCGATTCTCTGTTCACCACCACTCATCAGCGCCGGCAAACCAACTATATCAGAGCCAAACCTCAGCCATTAGGCGACTCACCAGCATACCTCTCATAGTTCTCCAAATACAGCACAGGATCACTCAGGGTATTCCCGACTGCCTCACTGCCCTCCAGCGCGTTAATCCATGCGGCCAAGCGCGTCCCAGGTTGAGCCAATGGCCATCCTTTATATGGATGAAGAACACGCGAGAGGCGCAGGAGCCACGGCGCGATGGAGACGTCGACAAAGGTTATGAATGGGCCCTGGTGAGGGTTAGGTTTTGTTTTACTTTTAGCAGTTCCTCGCCGCCAATCATAGGCGTCCGGAGTTGCCAGGAGATGAGACGAAGGACTTACGAGAAAGAAAGGCCCAACTACGTCTGCGGCATCGACGATCTTTGCGATCTGCGGTGCGGGAGGACAAGCGTGGTTAGCAGGATTCTCTATAGGGAAAAGAGTGGTGATGGTGACTTCTACATAAGGAAAGGAGTAGTAATAACGGAAAGCAAGGTATGGAAGACAGGGCTTGAATCATTGGAACCACGGTTTCCTGTTTCTTGGGAGTGGTGTCGTACGATGTAATGTGAGGGGTATCTTATATGCCGATCACACGGGCTAGGAATGGGTAGAATTGATAGTATAAAGAGGGGAGAAAGGGGGCCCTAATACCCACCTCGATCCTAAGTTCCTCTGCGAGCTCAACTTGCTTTTGTTGTTCCTGCGCCTGCAGGTACCGATAGAAGCCGGGCACGATATTACGGTTCACCTACTCACACCCACTGTAAGGCCCACGCTTTCATACCTCAATTGACGGGGGATGTTCCTTACATGATCGACCCACAGTCTTGATGTCGCCTTGACCTGCGGATGCTCGGGCAGCAATGCAGTTCCAACACCAAGATCCTCGAGATAATCGAGCAGTACGGTGCTCTCATAGCAGCCCCAGCTGCTCGCACACATCTCATATCAGCTCTGGGTTATTAATAACATATACAGCTGTGCAATATGCTTCGTGATCGAACACGGCTCTAAGGAATAGAGCTGGCTCTATTGCGCAAAATCCATACATGACCAATAGTAGGGATAATGGGAGGAGGAAAGTAATATGCATACTCGCCGTGCTTGAGCGCCGGCACTAGGCCGCGGGGGTTAATATCGAGAAGGCTTTGTGGCTTCTTGTAGGGGTCGACCTCAATATATTGGTAGTTGAGGCCCTTGACTTCGAGGGCGATCCAAACGCGCTGCACGAATGGGCTATACAACCAACTGGTTAACTCGGTGCGAAAGGAAATATGGGGGAGGTAATTTTATTAACTGACCAGAAGCAGCTACCAAACAACTTAAGCTCGTTAGGCTTGGAGTGACGCTTGACGGTCTGCAGGGCCTGGCCGGACGCTTTCTTGGGGTATGTCTTCTGCTGTCTCTGCCCGGGTGCCTTTCCCGCATGGGAGGGCAGAGGTGGGGGGATGGGTCAGACATCTCAGGATTCTTGTGGTAGGCGGAAAAGAAACGAGTTGGGGCGATGATAGAAGCAGGAGAGGTGGTAATGATAGTGGTAGTAGGAAACGCAGATAGAAGGGTCAAAAATGGAGAGATTTGAAATGGAGAAAATCGAGAACGAGACAATTGAGATGGAGAAAATAAGTGATTGCAGTTTATACGCAATTGTAAGATTCGAAAAGACATTAAGTTTCTGTACATATGTATAAAAGGACGCGCGCGCAACAAGAAAAATCAGGCTGGAAGTTCCGCAGAATAAAACAGCAACATAGGAAGTTGGAAAGGACCTAACTCCGATGACGTAATTGGACAGGAGTAGCACACATGGGATCGATGGGCGTACAGCACGTTGAGAAGTACAACCCATGCTTCTACATGTATGAAGATCACCAACCCCCAAAGAAAGCAGGACCAAGAAGAACAGGCACCACGATCATTACCCCCGGCATGGCAACAACCAAACGAAACAACAACTTAAAACAAGGAGAACAACTCACCTGCACCTTCTTCATCTCTTTCTGTCTCTTAATCCCCTCCCTCTCCACTGTGCATTTCTTAATTCGATCGCTCTCCTCGAGTGAGTGTCTATGTACTTCCCCTAGCATTCCCGGAAGTCCATACTGGTCTAACCCAGCGCCCATCACCTCCGATCCCGCCACGCCATCATCGCCTGCACCACCACTACCATCCAGCACCATACCTCCCATACCTCCCATACCCATACCGTCCAGTACATCATCACCCCCAGGATCGCCAACCCTCACCCTCCCCGCCAATCCCTCCTTCCTCACTCTTTCAATTGTAAATGTCCTCCCGGCTGGCCCACCAAACGTCTCGATTACTTTGATTTTCATATCGCAGAGGTCGCGCTCGCGCGCTGTACGTTTGCGCTTTTTTTTGTTAGGGTCCTGGTTCTGTGGGGTGCCTGGGGGACGTCCCTTCAGGCGACAGTCGTAGTAATGAGTTTGGAATGGACCCTTTTTCGATTTTTGGGTAGAGCGGTGAGACCTGAGTGTGCGTTAATGGGGCATGGTAGGGGAGGGAAGGTGCATGGGAAGAGGGGGAGGAGGGGGTGCGTACCAGATATTGTCGACGTAGGGCCAGTATGTGCTCCATCTAGTGGTAAGAGAGGTTAGTGGGTGTCTGAGGGAGAGGTGGGAATTAAGATATACTCTTCCTCAGAGAGTGTCATGACCTCCGTTACATGGAACAGTCGATTTCGCCACTCATCGAGGCTGTCTGGCGCGGCGTCCATCGTGGGGATATATGCTAGCTAGCTATTATATATATATATATATATATAGCTAACTCCCGCTCTTTCTCTTTATATGATATAACTGTAGACAGGTATATACTGTGTCTATATGGGGTAAGCTAGCTACAGGATAAAACAATATCGCCTTGTGGTGGTGGTGGTGGGTATAATAACTATAAGGCAAGTAGCAAGTGTAAGTGTAAGTGTAAGCAAGTAGCTAAACCGTTCAGTTTCGCTTTTCCCACGCCCCCAAGGGAAACGGGAATTCCACAGGCCCCGCGTGCGTGAATGATTGACAGTCGGGAAAGTTCAAGTGGGGGTTAGCGAGCAGCGAGGGTAGTTAAGGGCGGCGTCTGGGCTGGGGGAAAGAAAAGAATGAAAAAGCTCACGCCGTTTCCATGAAGCGGCAGGGGGTTTGCGAAGAGATCGGGTCGCTGCTTTGTGTGCGGAGAAGGGGCTGTGGCTGGAGGTGTGGCTAAAAATGGCTTAGACATCTTGGCGGTGGGTGTAGGGCTGACGAGCGGGATCCCTGTCTAAGACTAAGAACAAGACTAAGACTAATATTTACCCTAGAGCAGTATGGGGTGTTGCTCACCTGTGGGCCCTGGTCCTAGCCGTAGTCTTGGAGTGTCAGGATAATTGCTGTTATTGGTAAATTTAATGGAATTTTTTAATATTGGGTTTAAATATCGCTTTTTTGAAGGCGAAAACTGTTTAATTTAGAAGCTTTATGTAAGTTGTACATGCATAAAATTATATGAACAACGTCCAAATTAACTTTCAGCAACGTCATCAAAACACAGCTAGCTGCTTGGGTTGAAATATAATTTTCTTCGCCCTCGTCCTCGTCCTCATACTCGTCCTCATCCTCATCCTCATCCTTAATCACTTGAACTTCAATGCATCATCATCGCCATGTATCATGTATGTTCATGTACCTACTCTAATATTTACCATACAAGCTTTTTTTTAATTACAAGTGGCTCCCCTTGAGCTTATGAATACCAGCTAGGAACAAAGTGTAATATCCTTATCGTGGGATGGGCTATAGCACATATGCTCTGACTCGGCAATCCTCGGTTCTCGATCTGTGTGTCTTTTGTTGTAACTGCGGAGGTCGGCCTGTGGGTCAGCTAGAAGAAAGAAAAAGCATAACTAGAAATGTTTTGGACCTGGCTTTTCTGCTCCGGTGCACGTGGTCTTCTGAACCTTTTTTATCCCCGTCCTAGCACTTTTCACAAGGCAATTGCGCAATATATGATATTATTGATATTTCCGATAACTGATAAGACTTCGTGGCAGTTTGACTGTCGTTAAATCTCGAAATAAGAGCCCGGTCTCAATTCAAAATTTCAGAGCAGAGGAGTCATCGCAAACCAGTCTTCCTAATCCAGGCAAATCTGGTGCGATAGGCAATGGCAAGAGAACGTCACTATCGCAACCAATCAGGCAGAATCACTTGACAGGATATGCCCATTTCTGCACGGGTCTGGCTTGTATCTGGACTGAACTCGGGTTGTTCTTTTAATCATTAACGGTAGATCGAAGTTTCTGGCTGATCCAATTGAGAGACCGAGCGGATCTAGCGGCTTGAAGTCTAAGTGTAACTTTCATCCCATAACCGGCCGTTAAAAAACATGAAGACCCTCTGTGTGGGGGCCAAGATAGTGGCTAGTGCTAGTGCGCCTATCCTCAATCTGCTGCTAGGCGGCCCGTGGCGTTTGCCCCACAAATAATAAACATCGCCGGGCTTGTGGATAGCCAAACTTGATGTTGCCATGGGAATTTACGTGAGGCGAGACAGAGCCGCTGAGCCCACAATCGACCCTTCGGCTTTTTGCTTCCTTTACACAATGTATCATTGTCATTTCGTCTCTTCTTCCACTAACCTGCATCCTGCATATAACTACGCCGGTTCCCTGCGTCCGATCCGGTCGAAACCGCCAACCAAATACAATCTCTTTCAAACGAACAGCCAGAAACAAGCATAAAGCTAGGAAAAAGTGCAGAAATGCAGACTCAGGTTAATATCCTTGTTGGTAGATTTCTCAGAGAGTGGTGTCTCAGCGATCTCGCCGGTCGTTAGTCCAATAAACCAGATTAAATACGCTCTATCCTCTGATCCTGGCTTACTATCGGTTCACTAAGCACTGGATTGGCTTTTCATCTCACTTATCGCCTGATGTTTGCATCCTAGGGTCGGGAACATGGATGTGGAATAAAATTCTCGCTCGCTACGCGGCATAATCTCGGTTTGATAAACTTTCTTCCCGGGAAAGTAACTGGTCTTGACTTTAGAGAAGCTTTTCCAAATCCCGGAATGAAGGGAGTGGCAATTTTTTCCAGCCAATAAGAATATATATATATACACGTCTTGTAATACGTATACGTTCAGGCGAGATTATTCACATACTATCACTCGCTCCGGGTAACCACGACTGCCGAATTAAAGCTACAGCTGGACGTCAAATCAAGCCCTCATCCCCGACGCGGCAGATTGACAAAGTCACACAGAGCGTCAAAGGTCTGTCTGCTTGGTTTCACATAAAAAAGTGCCATGTGTGATGTCGGACAGACCTACCTCGAGTGCTGGATTCCATTAATGATTTAGACTGCAGATGTCGTCTAGCTCCCTATCTTGAGTTGAGATCGACAAGAGTCCGAGGAAATTTTCAAGAATACCGGGGCCTCGGCAGTTAATCCACGTGGTGTTGAACATGCATGTACGTGCCAGTTATCCAAACAATAGAATGCAATAATAGGAATATGGCTTTGTCGCTTGCTTTTGTTAATTGCACAATTATTATATTCAAATGGAGGGACGCTTTATCGGAAAGCATTTTAAAACAAGAAGGAAGAAAAGATCTTGGCATGTCATCTTGATCTGCATGCCCCACTGGTTCGTGGGGAAAGTATTGAGGGGGCTCGTGCGGGTAGATAAATCAGACAATCTCATGCAGGGCCTGTCAACAAAATGAAAGGAAAAAAAAACAGACTTCGCCTCGGAGGGCCACTTACCGGTCGATGGAACATAGGACTTGGTTTGTACTCCCTGATCTGAGATCTCGATCGATATCGGACCTCATACCGCACGCCCATCTCCCGTCCGCGGGGACGAACATCACAAACACGTTGGCACTGACTAGGAATTACAACAAAATCTGAGTTACTCTATTCAATGTCACTGGTGAACAGAATGAATAACATCCCAACGATCGGCAATTACTTTTGGATGTGGGGTTGCACCAGGCCGGTTCCCAATTTTCCTGTTTTCTCCTGTTCTTTCCCCCCTTTCTTGGACGACGAGCGTGGGGTATGTAGTGATGTAAATCACAACAAGCAAATTTTTCAAGTAATAAAGCTGACGTGGTAATAGGAATCACGATTGCAGGCGAGATGAAGGTACCTCGATGAGATGCGGGCGAGTGGAAGCGCCAACTGTGTATTCTAGGGTTGCCTCTAGTACTGCGCCGTATGTACCCGTCGACGGTCGACGGGGAACCATCAATCCCAACCCCATTCGATTCATAATTTCCAAGTGGCAATGCGGAAGGAGATTTAACGGAATATGTCGTTGATCATGGAATTGCACTAATCCTCCCTTCATTTCGGAAAATATTGAGTAGCTAATCTACGCTGAAAGAGGAGATACTCCACTATGACCATAACTTAACATACATACCTACTCTAGTTCTCACTCAGAACATGAGGTCTAGAATGTGTACTCTATACGTATGCAGGGAAAAAAAAGAATCCATTGATCTCGAATCTCGCCTATTATGTCAATCAGCAAAAAAAAATAACAGCATCAAAACAAAGACTTGAAGTTGAAATCTCGATCGCATACCTACATTACTTGTTAAGAAATCCCATCATCGGTTCTTAGGCCTTTTGATCTTGCATACGTCGGGGGGTACGCGAACCAGTTTTTTGCTTCTTTTACTTTCTTATTCGTATGGGGCAGAACGCCCTTGCAGGCAACTTCTACATAAAGAAGTGCTCCGAGGCCCTGGCCATGCCTGCTAGGTAGAGTATCCCGGTGGTGCGGACAATGGGAGCCTGCCTTCCTGACAACACAGGCAGTGATATGTCACGAGAGTGGCGGAGTGAATGAGCTACATGCATACATAATTGGAGATTTTCTTTTTATTTGAGCTGGCCATTCTGGATTGATCAGGGCTTTTCAATCCACTATCCCGTGCAGCAGCAGCGGCGGCGGCGGTGGTGGAGAATATTTGCTTCTATCCAGTGGGTCACCATATTTGTGGTACGATTGAGGTTGAATGTCCAGGACTGGAACGCCACCCAGAGTTGTTGCCCTACTGGAAAGCGATGGTTGAAATGCCTTCCTACTCTACGTGTACATCTGTGCTCTACTTTTGTTGCACATTGCCCCCCGCACCACAATTGTTAGAATGGTACGTGTACCATGTCCATCAATCTCCACCCCAGCCTTCTTTCTTCTCGGTTAAGGGTCTGTCTGGCCTGTGTGACTTGAGACCTGCGGCGAAAAGAATGTTTCAAACTTGTCTGACCTTTTGTTCCCCTTTCACTTGTTCTCAGGTTACGTGGATTGTCGCTCGTGAACAGCGCGGATAAGGTGTAAGTAGAGTAGATACATACTTACATCTAGGTGTAGAGTTATACCTACCCTACCTGCTTTGGTGCCCCGAGCTGAGTTACTGGGGCACAGCATGTACTCTATAATGTGCTCCGGATATCGGTAACGCACGCAAAAGCCCGTGGCGTGTGAGGGGATATCCGTCTATCGTGACTGTTTAGTCGACATTAATCCTGGGCGCTGTGCTTCTTTCTTGTGCTGGACCGAGTTAGAGTGGATGGTTATGGCGCCTAGGTAGCTGTGCTGCGCATGCTAGAGTACGCGGTACTCTTGTATGCAGGGTGCTTGCATTGGCTGATCATTGAGGCTTATGGAGCGCGTGAGAGTTCATGATCGTCAGTTGGTATGTGCCTGAAGAGTATTATCCCACATTCAAATGTTGGTAGTTGTTATTGGAACGGCTGGGAAATGTGACTTGTCACCACTTTGTTTGCTGGTGACTAAGCGCCCCCCCCCCGGGTCGGTTGGAATCATGGATTGTCACTCGGTTTTTGGCTCGCGGAGGGAGGTGCGATATTCCCCGAGTGGAGCCAAGATGCTAGCGGTATTGCGCTGAGGTAGGTTTTCAGGCCCGATTATATTATTGCTGCTAGAAGTGGCTTTAGGTGGACTTTTGCGGTATGAGTATTGTATAGGGCGCTCTGGAGTTAAAATAGCATCCAGTGCACTCGCACAGCAGCTGCGCAGATAGCCGCCCAAAGCTGCGGTGAAGTACCCGCTCCTAGTAAGGACATGGAGCATTGAGAGGACGTAAGTTGTGGCTTCCTTAGTCGTGGGTATCTGAACCGGCTACCGAGTAATTGGGCGGTCCTTCTACCAGATGGTGGATAAGTCTGATATCAGGTGTCTTTAGGAGCAGCGCTGCAGCGGGCGAAGAGTCAATTTCAGACCATTACCACTACCTCTCCATAAAGCAAGTATCCCTGCCTTATCTTTCTACAATGTGAGTTCCACCTCACAAATGAAATAAACGGTTGCAAACAATGGCTAAGAACTGTCAAGGGTTAGGGTTAGATTGGATATCTGACTGCGTTTTGTCTCCATAAAATCCTTGTGCATAACTCTGAGTTCCGATACCTTGGTATATTTGTACGAAGCATACAGATAACCTACCTAGCTTGGTAGTTTCCGCTTTTGTAAATCCTCGGGTCTCGGGTCCTGTGGTCACATTTGGTACCGTTTTATCGGGACCTGGCGAAAAGGGTGTGGTCTGGCGGAATGGCGGGTATGTTCGGGTGTACCGTGGCAATGGGGATAAATCAACTGACACGGGCATGCTTATGGGAGATAAGGTTTGCGAAGGGGTACATTGGCGGGAGGGCTTATGTAGATGGGGGGAGATACCGAGGAAGGAAGGAAGGACGAAATATAACCCCCACCCCCCCCCCTTATGGAGGTACCCGCAACTCTCCGGTAGGGTATATGGCCTGGTGGGTGGATACGGTGGTACCTGTCCATGCCGGTGGTAAGTGGATGCTAGGACCACTGTTGTGGGAATTTGTGTCCCTGCAGCTGGCACACATAGGCTAATCGAATCGAACCACCGGGGTGGAGATGGGTGCTGCGCTGGATTGATACGGAGGTGCAGTTCTACTCTTGGGGATCGGAACTTTATCTTGCGTCAGTGGGATCCGTTTTGGGTTAGCCTGGCCCTTGGAGTTGCGGTTTGGGGGCGTTGTTGTGTTGACTTTGGTCCTTGGTGGCATGGTCGAGCGGGTTTCTTGGATGGGATGCCTTACCTAGGCCTTGGATGGTGTACTATGTAAAGGATGCGGGCTGCATCTTGGTACTAGAAATGGCCCAATTTAACGGGTCGAGGGTCGGGGTCATTTACAGCTTCCGGTAGAAGTATTATGAAAGCGAGAGCTAAAAAGAGTACGTAGGTTTGCTGGTCTGTGCTCGTGGAAAGGATCTTTCAGGGACCAATACGACTATCGGGTCACGGAAAATCCAGGTTCGCAACAGTTCTGCCGGAAGCTGTATATTCGGCCAATATAAAACCGCATTTGAGTCTAGGCACACACAAACATATGCTCCGCTAGTGCTATCAGTTTATGGTAAAACGATCGTTTCCACCAATCACCACTACCACCCGGGCTCATATAAAGTCCAATTGCAAGCCTAGAAGCTGACAACAAGAACTAGCCTGCTTCTAGTTATATATTCTGCATACAGCTCCTCCTGCCGGATAGCCTAGCTAGCCGGTCGGCCGGCGTGAGAGCGTTACGGCTCACAGCTAGGCTTGAGGGCTAATGCTGATCGCGCGCTGCTTTGAGGGGGGACTTCGAGCTATAGTTTCTGGAAAGAGTCAGGTCTATCCTAGTATTGGCTTCGAAGTGGCGGGCAGAAAGAATATTGAATCTCTAGAAGCGTGGTCACACTCCTGGACGAGATTATTCATGGAATAGTAGTAGTTCGGGCCTGCATGAAGGCAGCTTAAAGAGGACTTTGATAATCTCACAATTGCAATCTCACGGATAGTATTTAACAACCACAAAGAAAGATATGCCCTTCAGCAATCAAATAAAAAACAAACCGAACCCTGAATCCCTCCAGTGTCTAAACCCAGCAAAAAGTGTACTTGGTGAATCACTACTCACATGCTCCAAGTAAATGGATGGACCACATAAGGAAGACTCCTTCATATTGACCCCGACGTGATTTGAACACGCAGCCTTTTGATCTGGAGTTGAATGCGCTACCGTTGTGCTACGGAGTCATGTGATAGCAGTGCTTGCGTACAGTCTTGAGAGGTTAAGTGCTTGGCAGGCAAGCAGAGCTTGCCAGTAGCGGTCCACATGCACTAGAGAGAGGTGCCTCATACTTCGAAGCTGTGGTAACTCGGCGGTTATTTCGATCTTCATCGCGGACTACATTATAGAAGTGAGAGACAGTGTTTGTTTGGTTCGATTGGGGGGGAGGTAGATTGATATCAACTGCATAGCTGTTGTTCTCGGGGCACTGGAGGGGGAGGAGAGGGGTTGGGGGGGGGGGGGGGAGAGGAGATTTGTCTTTACTTACGAGTATATACGTACCAACTATAACGGATCGATGTCACGATGTCCTTTTTCATGTGCCTCCGCCACACACGGCACTCCTATTATTGTTTCAATGGGGTGTCCCAAGCTGTACATATGTGTGACTAATTGGCTGGTTCTTTGGTGGTTGATCTTGGTGCATGATCATGAAGGGCGGGCCGCCAGCCAGAGAATATCTCGCCATCTAGCACCTACATGTACTCCTGGAGGAAGACGTTTACAAAACTGATATTCGGGCGAAAATTCAAATACGACCCTCGTTTTTTGTTGGAGCGGGTTCTAGCTAGCTCCTCTGCTGGCATGGGACGTTAATTGGGAATCATGTCTTTGGATATAAATTATGTAGGTAACTAATGCCGTGTATTTGAAGAAAATACTGTGTCCGTGTGAAACCGATAATTGGAAACAAGGGGGTGAAGGGTCCCTCTTTATGCTTTATATTAGGTGTAATTTACAAAATGGCGCTAATATATACAAAAGCACAGCTGGCCCGGCCATGAAGCCATGTAAGTACTGCTAACAATAACTGCAATAAGGTTGCACAAATAACAAGAACCACGCGCGTGCACTTTATGGCCCGCGGGGGCGAACCCAACAGACGTAAATACTTATTTTTTTTTTTTGGGGGGGGGGATTATTTTCAATCCTATTTACAAGCTAGGCGCGCAGAAGAAGGAGAAAAGTGAGCGTCTTTATGTAATTACAAGCGGAGTGCGGCCTTCGGCCGCCCAAATGTACTGAGGAAATGAGGTGCGGGCGGTACTGCGATAGTAATTTCTTAGATTATTGCTGTCATTCTGGATTATTGGGCCATCCAAACGTACAGGCATGCACCAAACCTCATCTCCATCTCTCCTTATATGTAATCTGTGATATATTAGCTCTAGTATGCACTCTAAGTCATTCAATGAATAACATTAATATGTACATGTAGTTCATGATAAAATGGTATCAGGGAAATTCGACCTTCATATATAAAAATATAGCTGTATTTATGTCAGTGTTTGTTCTTTTATATCCATCAATTGCAATAGCTACACACCTTTTAATGCCAGTTCCCTTCCGTCTCGGGAGTAGTTCTTTGTCGAATCATGATATGCAATCAATATTAGAAATACATGTAGTGCGCTGTAACCAATAGGAGACGTTCCTGGTGACGATGAGGAAGACTATATAGTTTAGACATGTATATTACTAGGAAGAATCATATCTCATCACTCGCACCGCGCGCCAATCACCACGAAAGCTGATTGATTGGTCATTGCGAGACGAATCGACCTCCCTCCCCCATAGAGAGCATATATCGATGCACGTGAACTGAAGAGCTAAAATTAGAATTGCCCGGAACACACGCCAGTCCAGCCGGGATCCAGCTAGAGAAACAAAGAAGCCCATAACCAGCCGCGGCCGCGGCCGCATGAACAGAAGCAGTAGTACAAGAGTCTTGCAGATATACGTTACAAAATTAAAAGCCCACCCACCCACCCCTGCAGCACTAGTAGAGTGACGTCCACGGAAATAAAAAAAAAAAAAAAAAAAAAAAAAAAAACTCGTGTAAACGTGACAGCTTAATCACAGGAATACAAGAGTCCGTAAAACCTCTTATAAACCAATGAACAGGCGGTGACCGGACCGCGCCTTCGTGGATCATGAGGTATCACTCGCACTGCGTTATCAACATAAATTAAATTGGTTGGTTGATTGATTGATTAATTGCATAATTAAATTGGTTGATTGATTACTTTATTTAATTGTATGCAACCCGGAGGTTATGACGGTGTAACATAATCGAATGCTAGATAGATATTATTGGCCTTATGTAAATACCTCTTTACGACTTGAGAACTGTATCATATTCACAATCTAGCAACTATAAATTTCTCTGAGTCTGCCCACGTTCCCTCAAGCCTCAATCTCTCCTTGGCAGCACCGATCTCTATAAACAGGGGAGATACATGTTCGGCGGATTGATCAATCGAGTACATGGCGGTACTGTATTACTAACTAAAATCTCTAACCTACTACTACTACTCCTACTCCTACTACTACCACTACTATTAATTACCAACTACATGCAGGACTAAAATATGCACCCCCCCCCCCCCCCACATTTCAAGGTGCTTCCCTGGATCCAGTTCACCTAACACGTTTCGCCTTCTTCGCCGGCACTTCCAAACTCTCAAAATCGCTTTCCTCCTCCTCCTTTGGTTCCGGCTCCCCCTTAACCGCCTTTGCCATAGCTCTGAGCGAGCGTCTAGCAGGTGGCGGCACGTCCCTGCCCCTGTCCCCGTCCACCTCTTCCTTCTTCACCGCCTTCACCTTCGCCCGTCTCTTCGGCGCCGGCTTCACCTCCTCCACCTCACTCCCCTCCCCCTCCCCCTCCCCCTCCCCCTCCTCCTGCTCACTCTCCTCCACCCCCTCCACCCCCTTCACCTTCCTCCCCCTCTTCCTCCCCGCCTGCTCCCCCACAATCCTCTGCAAGCTCGGCACAAACGCACTCGTCCTGCTCCCCACCTTTACAAAATCGATCCTCTCCCCGGACGGCAGCACATTCACCTTCCGCTTCTCCCCCTTCCCCCACCGATGCAGCATCAGCCAGTCCTGCGGGAACCGGCTGCTGTCCGCCTCCACCGCCACCGCCAGGCCCGTCACGTATCCCAGCGCGCCGTGCAGCCGCGCTACCATCTCGGCGGTAAGCGTGTTGGTGCCCTGCTCGGGGTGGATGCGCGCGTGGTAGAGTATCTCGTCGCCCACCCAGTTTCCGACGCCCGCGAGAACGCTCTGGTCGAGCAGCCAGGCCTTCAAGGGCACGCGCCGCGCAGAGAGCTTCGCGGAGAGCCAGTCGATGCTGACGGGGGCTTGCACGGGGTCGGGCCCGTTCTCGGAGAGCGGGCTGACGAGGCGTAGGTCGCCGGTGGGGTGGTCGATGAGGCGGATGCGTGAGAGGCGGCGTGGGTCGGTGAAGGCGAGGGAGGAGGCGTCGGGGAGGTCAAAGAGGAACTTGGCGAAGCGGGGGGGCCAGGTGGGGTTTTCTTCGGGGGTGGTGGCGCGGTAGTGGGCGGTGGAGTCGTGTTGGAAGCGGATCCAGCCGGTCATGCCTTTGGGGGGTTAGTTTGTGTGGACTGGTTGTGAGGTGAGGGAGGAGGGGGAGGAGGGGGGGGGGGGGTACCGAAGTGCATAAGGGGGTGAGGAGAGCTGTCCATCACTAGCCTGGAGATGTGTGTGTATATATATTAGCAAATGATATACACATAAAACCACTTATTCACACAGACAGATGTGGCATCTAGATACCAGAAGTACTTCCCCCACTGCCGCGCCTCAAGCACCTTCTTCCCCTCGAGGGCCTGCTTGAACGCCTCGTGCGTGGTGTCCTTGTAGACGATGGCGTCCTCGAACGGCGTGACCTTTGTGATTATCTTGCCGACCAGGTGTGTCCGCAGCCGGTTGACGATGCGGGCAACTTCTGCAATCTCGGGCATATTGCTGTGTGTGTGTATGTGTGTGTGGATATTGTATTTGTATCGAGAGACAGCACTGTCTGTACCAGACTTCAGTGTAGTGTAATGAGTCTAGCTGCTGTACTGTAAACCAGACTTCAGATGAGTGAGTGAGTGAGTGATACGCTACAGGGGGCTTCTTTCTGGCTGGGGATACGCGACGTGCAGCGCTGCCTGCAGATGCTTGGCGCCCGTCATTGGGCAAGCACACACTCTGAAGAGATCATCCCACCACCGTCTGCAGTTTGACATAAAACACTGCGAAGAAGAAGAACGGTCTTCAAACACTCCACTATACAAATACAAATACTACCACCTACTACAAAAACAAACCTGGCGTTATCAAGCATCCTGTGGTCCTCCTGTCCCTCTCCCTCTGCACCCACCACCCCCCGGCCCCCTCCACCCACAGCAGAAATGGCCACCAGCACCAGCACCGCCGCCGCCGCCGGGCACCCGCACCTCAGCCCGCAATTCTGCTTCTCCACGGGCGCGCTCAAAGGTCTGCCTCCCCCCCCCCCCCCCCCTCCCTCCCTCTCCCTTCCCCTCCACAGCACCCACTCACCCACCCCCACATCCAGAATTCCTACGCCTCTCCCGCTCCACCGACGATACCATCTCCCAATCCCTCAACACGCTCAGCACGCCCTCACGCACCCCCTTCGACCCCACCTCCACACTCAGCACACAGCGCACGCCGCGGCGCCTGCCCAGCAGCGCCTGCACGCAGTTCACGCAGCAGGTGCTGTTCCCGTCGTGGCACGCGCGGAGCTTGGTGCTCGAGTACTGCGGGCGCGTCGCGGCGGCCGACGACCCCGAGGACCCCGCGGAGGTGGTGGTGGTGGGGGAGCGGGTGGTGGATGAGAGGCTGGATCCGTATAGTGGGCGGTACTATCCGCGGGAGAGGAGGACGGAGGTGCTGGCGGGCGTGGTGAGGGGCGAGTGGGGGGTTGAGGAGATTGTGAGGGAGAGGAGCTGGAGGGTAGTGGGGGAGCGGTGTGAGGGGGTGGGCGAGGGGGTGGGGAGGGGGTGGAGGGAGGCGTTTGCGGAGTGGAGGGCGGGGGTGGTGAGGGGGTAGAAGGGGGTGGGGGTTGCTTGATTTTGCGGTTGGTAGGTGGTGTGTGTGATCTCCGCTCTAATATATATATGTGTGTGTGTGTGTACTTCGAGTGATAGGCGGTGGTTTGGTTTGGTTTGGTTTGGTTGTTGGCTTTTTATTTTTTTATTTTTTTACTGTTTCGTTTCCTTTCGTTCTAGGGTCTTAGACGGGAGTTGAGTTCTGTGTATAAACATATTAAGAGGTCCATGCATCAAGAAGAGCATTAGTTGTAGATTTTAACTACAAGTACATACATATACTACAAACTCGGGGCGCTGGCTTTGTTGGCCTTGTCCACTTCACCATATTTATGCATCGTGGTAATTATGATAATATCCAAGATGGCCGTAATACAATCAGGCTCATATAAGCCTCCGGGATTTTGACGCTTCCCTCTGTTTTGGATGTTATCTGCGTCTATATCAATGAGGTTCATAATTCACCTCGTCATGCAGACTCGCTCTAAAGCCGGTAGAATATAAATAAAATCAATCTCCTAGCTATATATATAGACAGCGTGATATATGGATAAATATATAAGTGCCACGAGCGAGGCGGAAAGTGGCCGCTTCAGTGTGTTGCCCAGAATCAAAGCCGGTGCTGTACTTATACGCTTAACTTGCTCTAAATCTGCCTTAGCTGCCCTGCATGATGGCGCGCCTGGTTTTGGAGCCAGCTGCAGTAGGCAAGTGGGTCTTTTAATCTTTTGCGGGGACTGTCTGCCTTGAGCCTGAGAGTGACTGCCGGCCGGCGGTGTGCGGTGTGCGGTTTCCCGCATTGTAGTTGTATACTATTAGAGTATGTTGGATACCGTATATAGCTTTAGGGTATTTTATATGTAGAGTACATACTGTCTGCTTGTTGAGGGGTCACCGAAGAGAATCGAAGAAGGAATAGGTTTCTTTTAATTTATACAGCTAACAAAGTCGTATCGATATCATCAAGGCAACCAAACTTGTTGTAGATTTTGACAAGTACAGTACTAATAACAGATATATATGAATAGCAAAGACTGTGGAGGCGGCACGGGGTAGCTAGGTGTGCGGTGGCCATGGTACATTGATCCCGTGCTCAGCTCTCGAGGGATGCGGGAGGGATGCGCGGGGTCAGTGGTTATGGTAGTGGGTGAGCGCGGGAGCTATACTTACATGTACATGTAGGTTAGCTATAGTCGGGAATACTGTAGAGTAGTGGCTGCGGGTATGTTGATCTGGTAATAGGATTAATTAGGCGTGAATATAAATGTACTTGTAGCTACATGTAGGCAGAGGTTAACACACATCGTTGTCGTTGTACAATTAGAGCAGATATGCCAAACAAGCTAGTATATCTTCGCAGTTGAGGAACTCTTCCTCGATCACCAACCAATTGCAAGTCATCAAGCGTGACTTTAGTTTAGCGGTAGTTTACTCTATTTTTGCCAGGATATATCTGCGGCAACATACAGGAGTCTTTCTGCCTGTCCGCATTCCTAATATCTGCCTGCAGCCCCAAGTACGCAGAAAGCTAGTCTCGTGTGCATGCTGACCTGATTTCAGGAACGACAGACAGCCCGGGAACGCTATTGTAATAAGATCCCACTAGAGTACCGTACCAGAACCTGCAAAGCTCGCCCCATGGTAACTCCAGCAGAGTATTAGCCGACGCTTACCGCTTCCGTCCTAGCCCCACCGCATACCAACCGCGCCCGCCAATCAGCACGCAGCAAGACCCTGCAGATCTCCCGATCTAATTAATCTTGATATCAATTAATTGATTACCTGCTAATTTAACCCAATTGAAGTAGTAAGGTGTAGCTACATGTATGGCATATCTTATCGAGCTATTGCGCAATGTTGCGCAGCGACGACGACAGCACAAGCTACTAATTAGCTGGCTAGCACGCAATTGGCTTTGTGGATTATGTGTGTGGTAGACGGAAATATGAGGACTTAGGAGATGGAGAGATGTGAATGGCATACATAATACTGCTAATAGATAAATAAGCCCGACTGCGCGCTGTAAAATACTGAGGAGAGTTCTGAGTTTCTTTCAATTTCTCACTCCTCGTTCTAGAGGGCCCTCTGGACGCTGTATTTCTAAACTTCTCTTCTATTTCCCCCTACTACTGTTTCTACTACTTGACTTTAATTTATCTTCAAAGCCCTCCATCCACCATGCACCCCTTCCCCCTCCGCCCCCTCACCTTCACCCTCCTCACCTTCCTTCTCCTCCTTCTCACTACCCACCTCACTTCCACCACCGCCTCCTCCAAACTCCAAACCTCCCCCTACTCTTCTCCCGAGCACCTCCTCGACCTCAGCACCATAACACGCCCCCATGCGCTCCTCGCGCTCGCCCTGCAAGACATGGACCCCACCACCCCCGCCTACGCACTAACCCCTACAAAGCGGCCTTCAACTGGCCGCACGTCATGAGCAACCTCTCTGCCCGCGCCGCCGCAGAGGACTTCCACTTCCCAAAGACAAAGTTCTACATCATTGTGTTCAGATCCCAGATTGAGCCCGGCACGAACAGACACGAGCTGGGCGCAATGGATATGGTGGCGCATCGGGAGGCGGTGGAGAGCGGGTGGTTGCTCAAGTACTGGTTTGGCGTGCCGGATGAGTTGGGGTATAATTTGGCGACGTAGGTTGCTCCGTGTGTGGGTGATTGTGGTGGTGGTGATAGGGTGTGAGTGTGCTAACGGTGGTGGGTGTACGTAGGTGTGTGTGGAGAGATATCAAAGACGCAAGGCGGGGCGGTAGGGGAAAGGTATGTTTTATACCCTAGCTAGATTAGTGCGATCAGCGAGATTGGCTAGAAATGTTTATTGACAGTGTGTGTAGGGACATCAAGCTGCAATGAAGGCCGTGAGGGGCCTGTACAAAAAATGGGAGGTGGAGAGGTTGGCGCTGGTTGTGGGCGAGGGTGTCAAGGAGTGGGACATCGTGAAGTGGGAGGAGGCAGCGAAGGAGGAGGAGGTGAATGGGGGCGGCGAGCTCTGATAGGGCCTTTGTGGCCGGTGATGTGGAAATAAACGCCTTTGGGCGAAAAGGTTTGGACTCGTGCTGCGCGCGGTTTTGATTGGTTATGGGGATTGCAATATAGAAAGGAAGCTAGATAGCTATAACGAATGATGTATTGTACTGGTATTGAGGGATATATGGTCGTGGATATATAGCGATTTGAATTGTTAGTTATATGTTTTGCTGCTCTTATTGGCCATGAGTTCGATGAGCCTTTGTGAACTCGGAGCTAGTGCTGGCCGGCGGGAAATACTGAAAACTGCACTTATGGTATCGTCATGTGGTTTATCGGGCCCTAGGAGGAGCCCTTTAGTCGTAGATATAGTACTAGCTGTTCTGTATATGTATGCAATTACTGATCTTTCCCGGCAGCCACATATTGAGTCTAGTGGCGATGCATACTTATAAGCAGGTCCTCATATACCGTATCATTGAGCTGGTTCGTCCACAGCTGAAGAACAGAGAAATTCGGATAAAATGTCGGCAGCATTAGGGTGTTTAAGTGAATCCTGCAATCCATTGTTCGACCATAGTATTTCTTCCATGCGCAATGATGTGGTGCGCGTGGCTCCTGCAGCCATAATATGGGGCCCAAAACACTCCACTGATCAAGATTGTATATCGACGGGCTTCAAAACAGTATATCAAGGCCATTGGCACCGCCGCGATATGACCCGGCCTCAACTGCTAATTCCATAGTATAGTATATAGCCAATTATCGTATCACCGATCGAGCTAGTTGATCTATAGCAGGAGAATAGAGGCCATCCCCATGGAAAAAAGTTGGCAGCATTGAATAGTGGATCCGGCTGCAATCCATTCTTCAACCATGTGTGTTCCACGTGGGGTGGCGTGACGCACGTGGTCGCCGTAGGCGATCGAGAAGAAGAAGATAAACTCTTCAGACAGTTTAGGAGCTACATGTGTCTTAGTCGATATCTGGACTTGCGCTTAGACTCGAGGGTAGCCCTCAATCATACATCGGTTTCCCAAGAACCAACCTTTGCCGCAGAGATACGGCTGAAGTATGGCCGAAATATGGGGGCCAAAGCATTCCATTGATCAAGATTGTGTATCGACGAGCCCCAAGATCAGCCTGTGGAGAATATCAAGGCCCATTGGGTGCCCTTCGACCGGCCGCGATATAATACTCAACTGCCAGTTTCCCAGCACAGCCATTCTGCCAGCGGGGTTGAAAGACGTCTGTGTGAGGGACTTGGAAATTTGGCGAAGTACAGCCGAAAATTCCTCTGGAACACAGGGTGAAACCGGAGGATATGGGTGATCAAGCTTGCTTGGTCTAATCGTGGTGAGTGCGCACATGCGCACATGCGCACGAAGAACTGTAAAAATATCATTGACCCTCAAACGTTCCACATAGGGAAAGGCGTGCGTGCCTCTGTTGCATGCAGTTGGTCCATCCAGTGGCATCCGCCCCCTCCGATGAGTGTAACATGCAACCGTCAAGATATCAATCCGGGCCGAAAAATCTGTTCGTGACATCTCTTGGGTTGTGTCTTAGGACCCCCATCGGTGCATCGTGGTGCTTGTGCGATTGATCGGCGCTAGATGAGGGGGTCCAGCAGGATTCCTTATCCAGGAGGGGCGTGCGTGGACTCTTGCGGAGAAATCTCATATAAAGGGCCTGTGGGGTTCCGCGGGCGAGGAGAGTAGATGTGATGAGTATGTAGCGGTTTGTTCGTCGAGTTGGTTGATGTGGGGTTTGTTCGCCGAGTCAATTGATGATGTGGGGTTTGTTCAACGGTTTGTTCAACAGTTGAAGGTTCTGAATGGGATCCTCATCCGTATGTAATCACCATCTCTTGACTCACCAACTGCTATTTAGGCCCGAGCGTAGTTATCTTCTCTTTAGATATCGATTACTCTACCTCACTGTCCATGCCAATACGGCAAGATCTACGGCCCGATGTTTAGGTGAATGTTTGTGGTAGGCCGGCGCTGGCCGTTCGGCACCCCACAGCCTGTCGACGCCGCACACGAACCGCTAAGCAACGCTAACGCTAACGTCGGGGACCCCTCCTCGCCAAAAAAGTGTGTTGGACAACAAACCCCTCCTTTTTCTTTTTTCTGCTCATTTAAAGTAGTCCATCACGTCCCCCACTTGTTCTCAAACCCTTTCATCATCACATCACCATTACCTCAAATTTTTCTGTAAGTTAATTGAATTGATTCCATTACCACGCTGGCTGGTGACTGTGGGCTAATCGATGGTGGGATTAGAACAAATCAGACAAGATGAGCGCTCCCGCACAGCAATTCAAGGTCGCCGATATCGTGAGTGCTCCAATTGCAATTGCTTCAAACATCTTCGATGGATAGATTGATGGAATAAATGGATAAAGGAGGATATATATACTGATATGCTGGTTTCAATCTAGTCCTTCGCGGCGTTCGGTCGTCGTGAGATCGAGTTGGCTGAGAATGTAAGTTTTTATTCCGAATGGATTATAGATCAGATATGCTAACAATGATAATAGGAAATGCCTGTATGTGTATTCGAATCCTCAAACCGAACGAATTGAGTTTCTGACTCGGAATATGATAGGGTTTGATGCAAACGCGTACCAAGTACGCTGCTGACCAGCCCCTCAAGGGTGCCCGTATGTACCCCACGCCGTGAAAATTCAATTGAGTGAAAATTTTGCTGATAAGTAATCACAGGTATTGCTGGATGTCTCCACATGAGTATGACTCACTTCCTGATAACCGGTCGATTGATTTGGTGAATTTATCTAATTTTCCCATGTAGCCATCCAGACTGCCGTCCTCATCGAGACCCTCACTGCTCTCGGTGCTGAGGTTACCTGGTCATCTTGCAACATTTTCTCCACTCAGGACCACGCCGCTGCTGCCATTGCCGCTGCCGGTGTCCCTGTGTAAGTTTTCATATTCCGGCTTTGTTTTGATATATCAATGGTTCTAACACCGTATTAGCTTCGCCTGGAAGGGTGAGACCGAGGAGGAGTACAACTGGTGTTTGGAGCAGCAGCTCCTTGCCTTCAAGGATGGCAAGAAGCTCAACTTGATCCTCGACGACGGTGGTGATCTTACTGCCCTTGTCCACAACAAGTACCCTGAACTCCTTGAGGACTGCTACGGTGTCTCTGAGGAGACCACCACTGGTGTCCACCACTTGTACAAGATGCTCAAGGATGGAAAGTTGAAGGTCCCTGCCATCAACGTCAACGACGCCGTCACCAAGTCTAAGTTCGACAACCTTTACGGATGCCGTGAGTCCCTTCTTGACGGAATCAAGCGTGCCACCGATGTCATGGTTGCCGGAAAGACCGCCGTTGTTGCCGGTTACGGAGATGTCGGAAAGGGATGTGCTGATGCCCTCCGCTCATTCGGTGCCCGTGTCATTGTCACCGAGATTGACCCCATCAACGCCCTCCAGGCCGCCGTTTCTGGTTTCCAGGTTACCACCATGGCTGAGGCTGCTCCTCAGGGTCAGATCTTCGTTACCACCACCGGTTGCACCGACATCTTGACCGCTGAGCACTTCAAGGTCATGAAGGATGATGCAATTGTTTGCAGTATGTTCCACAACCCTATGCCACTGAAACCAAGTTTTTATGAATACTAACTACCCTCAAGACATTGGTCACTTCGACTGTGAAATCGATGTTGCCTGGCTCAAGGCCAACGCCGAGAAGGTCGTTTCCATCAAGCCCCAGGTCGACCGCTACTACATGCCTTCCGGCCGCCGCATCATCCTATTGGCTGAGGGTCGTCTCGTCAACTTGGGATGTGCCACCGGTCACTCCTCATTCGTCATGTCCTGCTCTTTCACCAACCAGACTCTTGCCCAGATCTTGTTGTTCAACTCCCAGAACCAGGCATTCACCGACAAGTACCCCGAGTTCCAGAAGGCCGCTGGAAAGCTCGAAGTTGGCGTCTACACTCTTCCCAAGATTCTTGATGAGGAGGTTGCCCGTCTCCATCTCGCTCACTTGAACGTTAAGCTTGAGACTCTCTCTGCTAAGCAGTCCGAGTACTTGTCTCTCCCGGTTGAGGGACCCTTCAAGTCCGACATGTAAGCAAATTCCTTCCAACATTATTTTGTTATAAACATTTACTAACCCCCATTATAGCTACCGTTACTAGACGGTTTCATTTCGTATAAATAGAAAGAAAAACTTAGGTTTAGGTAAAAGTAATTGTCTTCAACGGCATCTTTTAAGGAATGTGGTTTTACTGTTATAAAATCTTTCCATGTGTTTCAAATGGGTTTTTTTAAAAAAGGGAAGGTTGGGGCGTACTTGGTTTTCAACAGCCAGTGGGGGTTCAATGTTTTTGTTTTTTCTACTTTCATAGTTACTATATGTAGCCAGTCTTACTACATCACTGGATAAATATAAAAAAAAAGAGGCGAAAACCTCATGTTTCGTGATCAAACTCGTCTCCAAGTATTGATGGACTTTCGTGATGTTGAGGATTATCGTAGGCCTCGAAAGTCGTTTCTCGCTTAATACCGGCGTTTGTTTGAGGTGGTTTAAAGTTTTGTGGTACGGTAGGTACAGTTAAATTTGCACTCAGCTGCTTTTATGGCTGGATTTACTTAACCGAGATGCATAAACATTTTCGTTCCAAAAGTGAGAGTTGAGATTTAAACTTTGGGGTTCACCAATCAGTTGTTGTTGTGTTTGGTCAGTGGTTTAAATATTAGTTCCGGATTTTTGGTTTTTGACTGTAATGGTCGAAAGGTTAAGGAGGTCTCCACATCCCAGTTCTGATTTCCCTTTTCATTCCAACGGCAAACGGTGTCCGGTTCGAACCCCGTGGTGGGCGTCTCACCTGTGCGAGTAATCCACAGCGCTGAGTGCCTCTAAGGGCGAGAAATATCCTTCAGGGAAGCAATTCTGCAGAGAGTTCTCCCCACGAGGTGGCGGCGCCGGACTGCACTGTGCGCCGGTATGGGAAGTTAGGACAGGGCGGTGATCAACTTTTTGATGTTTTTTTTTTTTCTTCCTTCACACGTTGCTTTTATCGTGTGTGTGTGTGTGCTTCATCTTGTTGGCGGGCTTTTGGGTGGGTGCAGTTCATTCATGGGTTACCAAGCATCATCCCACATCTATTCCTTCTTACTTTACCGTCTTGAATGCAGCTCTCATCGCACGAGAATTTTAATTCTTGTCTTCTTTCTCACCAGAATTGAGTGTGACGCCACAGTTCATTAACCCCTGCGTAGATACCTCCACAGCCAACTTCCTACCCTCGTAGTTATTTTAAACCATACCTGTATCAGACGTGCCAGGATCTTTACCCCCTCCAAACGAGGGTCCACTCGCAGTACGCAAGATACACATACATACAAGTAGCTCAGCGCATTCGTTAGACAGCTGCCTGCACTTCGTTCAAAATATTCAAAACAACGGCAACAACCCCCTTGGAAAACCTCTCACCGAGCACAGAGTACATACAAAGAACCTTACAACCTTCCGCGACGGCATCTCCATGAATGCCTTTACTCAACCCATACCTCCGTGCCTTCTTTCGCTCCACGCTTCCCGCCCAATGCACTCCGGTACAAGATTACGTACGGCCTACCGATAGACACAAGAATAAGAGAGAGAAAGGAACAGAGCTGATGATGGTTCACTAGATCCTCCTGGTACCCACAACTGAGATTCTTACAAACACTCGCGATCGGGAGTCCGGGGCGCTTTACGCCGATCTTGCGGGCGTGGATGAGTTCCTGGGGAGCCATGTGTTACGGGTTCCGAGCGGAGGCAGCTCGAGTCCCATGGTCGGGAGCAGGGAAAACAGGGGGAAAGCAAGGCAGTTTACAACATTCAATGGGCGGACTGTGGTTGTGAAGGATAGTTGGGTTTATTCGAATAAGGGTGCGTCTTTCCTTCCTTCCGCGGAGGAGGTCGGGAAAGTGGGGTTGCCAGTGGTGATCGCTGGAAAGAGGGGGGGGAAGGGAAGATCTGCGGGGCAGCGGTGATGGGGATGTGGTGTAGTGCTGGACAGGAAGAGAAAAAAAAAGGGAATTTGGGAATTGAAGGCCAGATGAACTGATGGGGGGATACAGGTTTCAGGAGCTTGAATCAGGCACAGCTACTGAACGATACGCTGTTCTATCCCGACATCAGCGACCCCCAACAGTGGCTTATCTACTTTATTTCACGCCCGCTTATCGGTAGTCTCGAGGTCGTGTCAACGATTCCTCCGCAGTTACGTGACCGCACAGCTGTGGAAACAACCGCCTCGAGGGCAACTGGGCAAGTATCATCATCGTCGTCGGGACCATCGGCAAAAAAGAAAGATGTAAAATCGTTCAATGAGCTTTTAATGCTCTTTCCCATGATTGCTCGTCAAATGCAGCCCGGGCTCGAAAAGCTATTCCAAGACTTTGAGGTCTCATTCCAGAAATTCAAACCGCTTCCCATGCCTCCGCCCTCACCAAAGAGCGTGGCATCTGGAGTTTCAAGTAGTAGGGCTTCGACACACTCAAGCGTCAGCGGCGATGTTTATAAACAGGCTGCTGATGAGGCCGAGATTCGCCGGAGTTTGGAAAATGCAATCATGACTGCAGTAGACTTATTCCAGCGGGTTGACCAGTCTCAACTCAATCTACTAGCATCGACGACGGACTTGACTGGTCCGGCATGCGATCGGTTGATTGAACGTTATGTAGCTGAGCAGCTCCATGATTCCATCTTGTTCCCGAGGCTCTGCGCCACGAAGAACATTGAGGATGAGGAGCTGGAAGGTAAGATCATGGATATGGCCAATGTGGATTTGACGCAAGTTGGGATTCCATCCCTAGATCAACAGGAGAAGAAGAGCCTAGTGAATAGACTCGGAAGAGGCATCAAGAGTTTTGCAAAGATTGGGGCTGCGAAGAGCCCACATGCCATGACAGAATACCTTCTTGAGACAGCTCAGACACTAACTCGGCTTGACGATGACCCACCTGAGTCGGAACCAAAGAATCCGGAGAAGAGCTCAGTTGTAACTATGAATGCAGATATGCTTGTCTCCTTGCTTCTTATTGTTGTTATTAGAGCTAAGGTGCCGAACCTGCATGCTTGCTTGAGTTACATGCGTAACTTTATCTTTGCGGAGGATGTCGAGCAGGGCGAAACTGGATATATCCTTAGCACTCTCGAAGCAGTGTTATTCCATATCGCTCAAGACCATGCGTTGTCTGCGGCGAGCAGGAGTAATGAGAAACTATGGAGGAGTGTAAAGGCGGGAGATTTGGAGGCTGTGAGAAGGTTACTAGAGGTTGGAGGTGATTCTAGGAGTAGGGCAAGTAGCCGTGTGAGATCTGATGATGGATTTGAATCCAAAAGTGAGAGCGGGAGTGATGTGGAGAACACAGCGGGGCGGAATGGTGAGAACGGGAATGGTGAGGGGCACAACATTGAGGGACAAAACGGTGTACCAACAGTCCAGGTATACAGCCCAGTAGCGGAACATGGGGGGGGTTTTATGGAAGAGCTGCAAAAGGTATCGGAGACAAATGGGGATAACGATGAGGAATCTGGATCAGAGGATGTCGAGGATGGAAATGTGACCAAGACGACTGAGGAAACGACTCAAGAAACGACTGGGGATGAAACCACGAATCATGAATCTACGGCCAATAGCACCGAACCAAAACATGAAGAGCCGAAAAGTACCACTGAGGATACTGCTGTTGAGGAGGCTGAATCTTCGCAGGACGCACTAAAGAACGGTGAACAAGAAATCGAAGAGGAGAAGGAGTTGCCAGCGGTCCCTACTGTGACAAAACCTTTAACAAACTCCGAAATAGTTGAAGAGGTCTTCATTGACCCCTTCGAAGCTGAACCGGTTGATGCCCCATCTGCCCCTGCCGGTAGTATCTCCACTCTGCGAATAGAGGATATAATTACCGATGGACAAGATGATAGTGCCTCTGTCTTGAGTGTTACCCTTGCCCCACCAGTACCAACAAAACCATCGCGCGGCTCTCCAAACGGACGTGCAGGAACAGCCCGATTCGAGGTTGACGAACCGGTATCTTCAAACAAGTTCCCATCCCGTAGGGAGAGATGGAGTACAGCCAGTCTTGCGACAACTCTAAATGATACAAGTAGTATGACAAGACTAAGCAGAACATACACCTCGCAGTCTCAAACGGCAGATAGTTTCTCTGTCGAGAAACTCAGCAAAACCCGGAACGCGAGTGGAGAGAGTGTGCTCATGATGGCTGTACAGGAAAGGCGGACAGAGGTATTGAAGTATCTCCTCGAGACCAAGTTCTTTGACCTCGATTTTTTGGTAGAAGACACCAATAATGAGGGGACTACACTTTTGTCTGCAGCCGTCCAAGCAGAGAGCCAGGACATCGTGGACCTAATATGCCCATACCTATTCGAGCTCGACGAAGCAGCACTCAGGAAGTACTTTACCCGCCCTGATACAGCTGGGAGAACAGTCGCTCATTATCTTTTCAATACCCCCGACCTCATCAAGCGCCTGGGCCGCTGGCTGCCATGGAAAGTTAAAGATAAGAACGGCCAAACACCTTTATTTGCACTATGCCGTAGCTACGATCACGCAAAATACAAAGAGATGGTATCATCGGCGATTAAACAAGCGCAAGCAGCACAAGGAGATGGATGCAAACTGCATCTTGACGAGCATGTGGACAATAAAGGAAACACTTTATTGCACATTGCGGGAGACCCTTCGGTGTTGAGGACCATGTTAAGATGTGACTCGGAAGTGAATGCAGTCAATGATCGAGGCTTCACGGCGCTGATGGTTGCGAGTAAGTATGGACGGGTGGAGATGGTGAGAACCTTCTTTGCGGATGGCAGGGTAGATCTGTTGGCGAAAGAATTGAGGGGTTTGACGGCGGTAGAGCTGGCGAAGGATGATGATGTGAGAAACCGCATCGATGGTATGTTTGTCCTTACAGATCTAGCTTTAGAGGGATGCTTACTGGCAATATAGACTTGGTGCTATTCCAGAATCCACATGGAGATGATGGAAGGGTTACTGCGGTTGTGAGAAGCTTCTTCGTAGAAGATGCGACGATTAGGGTGGTCGTGAAGAGTGGTGCCCCGGCGGGAGAGAGCACGTTCACCATTACAACATGTCGGCGTTCCTTGACGGATTTTCAATTCCTTCAAGAGTGGCTCCAATATGAGAACCCCGGGTCATGGTTACCAGTTTTAAACGTGCCGAGGAGTCCATACCAGATCCCGTCAAAACCATCAAGATCGGTGCTGAGAGATATACAATTGCGGGTTGATTGTTTTCTCAGAACATTGCTCGCGCACTCCACATTCTCGACGCATGAGCTTTTATGGGAATTTTTTCTTGTTCCAGATTTACAGCAGGAACTAATGATGGAAAGGAGTAAGAAAAAGGCAGAGATAAGGATGGAGAGAATTAGGGAAGAATTTACACCCATAGAAGATATTAGGGACGTAGAGAACTTCGTAAGCTATGCGAAGGATAGTGTAAGAAGTGTCAACTACGCTTGTAGGAGTGTTACAAGAAGAGCCACGGCTCTGAGGTACAACATGTTCGGTGAGTTTGGTCCGTTTTCCTCTCCTGTGGCGGAAACTGATTCCGTAAACATCAGATCTATCGGACTCGTACAAGTTCTGCTTAAAACATCTCAGTGGATTCAAGTTCCTCCAAGACACAGAACACCTGTCCGCCTTCAACCGCTTCTCTGAAGCCTTAATACCAAACGAATCAAATCCCTACACACTCTTCATCGAAGACTTCCGAAACCTGCAAGCCTCACTGAACGGGGTCATGGCCGCAATGGACCGACCCCGCCAGCTTATCAATCAGATGTCGGTCCTTCAAAAACAAGTAGACAAACATATACTCTCACTCCGCCGGTCTGACCGCTGGCCGCTCGGTCTTCTTGACGACACGCGTGCCAAGATCCACCAAGAGGCTGCGGAGAATGTGGCAAAGAGTAAAGAAGAGTACATGCAGCTTAGCAGTGAGCTGAGATGCACTCAAACCGTGGCTGCTGCTGAGTTGAGTAGCTTTCATGATCTCCATGAGAAGATGGCAAAAAGGGCGATAAGAGACTTTGCCAAGAGGTGTGTAGTGGGGGAGAGAGCAAAGTTGGAGAGTATGAAAAGGGCGATAAGGGGCATATCGAAGATGGGGTTTGAAAAGCCTCCTAAGCCTATGACGGCACCGACTGAAAATTAGGCTGGTGAGGAAAGTGCCTTTGCGGGATTTTGATTTGTGATACTAGGCTCGCTATGATAAACGTTGTGCGTATGTGGGTGCGTGTATGCGAGTATCTCATAGTATGGGGGCGGGTTACTTTGGTTTTTTCCTTTTTTCGCTTTTGGTTTTGCAAGGTTTTGGTGAAGCATGTTTTGGTTACTCTTTATTTGCTATTGCTTCCACTTCAACCTTCAATTACAGGGAGGATATTTTTTGCTTTTTCTACTTTTTCTAGCTCAGGCCAGGGGATAAAAACTAGAGATTCTTTTCACACTTTCCGTTTCATTAACTACATAATTGTTCCACACCTCTTTTCTTAGCTACATATAGAGGTCTTTCTTATCATGCGGGATACAGTTATCATATCTCGGACCAGTTTATCCAGGGGTGTTTGGGAGTTTGTTTAGCTAGCGGTTTTAAGAAGCGGGGCTGGTTAGGTACCTGGATATTTATTCCTATCTTCCGATCATGACTCTTAACTCTTGTTGTGCCGCTTGTATGCTCGTATAAAAAAAATTCCTTTGTGTAATGTATCGTGAGGTAGTACAACATAACCTCGCTCTTTGTACCACAGAATAGGTAACTTCAAACACAAGGCGTGATATGTAGGCAAGAATGCCTGTCAACGCCTACGCACTGTGACAGGCCTTGGTACTCACATACAGTTTACAGGCTGCGAGTGGGTCATGTCATTTCAGGTTCTTTGCATTGTGGTACTTTGAATAGCCCCTCTGAATTGAATTTCCTCGGACGCACGCAGGTCCCATTTCCTATCCGTCCCATCATCCTAAACTCTATGCAATAATCCGTCCAACTAGAGAGTAGCAAATAATAGATGTTTCTTTTTCCTTTTCCACTGTCGCAGTGACAGACCAGATCGAACATGAACTTGACATTCAATTCCCGTCCCTTTTCCCTTTCGTCCGACAGATACCACGCAACCAACCCATCCATACATTCCATCAAAAAAAAGGTTTACCAATAAAAAAATAGCAATGAAAACCCCCCGCCAAATGAAACTCCCCAAGCATGAGCTTCGTATGAAGAAAAGCTATAAAAAAAAAATATGAAAAACCAAAGCTGATGCAAAAGCACTAGAGAAAGAAGAGGGATATAGAAAATCAGATACTATCTAGTTATTTAACGTTTTCGTGAAGAGTATATTTATATTAATTTTTATTATTTTTTTCTTTTCATTGGATTCAGGGGCATATCCTTTTTTTCAGTACGCCATTGGATATCCTTGATCCTGCTGCTGCCTTCGCGACGATGGTTCATCAACAGGGCTGAACATCTCCTGCTCCTGTTGGTGGATCCTCCCACCATCCACTGGCAAGAACAGCTCCTGATTTGCAGGGTGCTGATGGTTTTCCTCCATAGGCATAAACATCTGGCGACTCGGAGTTCTTGGCGATGTAGGTGGAGAAGCTACTGGGGTGGATTCTCCCTGCTGTGAGAATGAAAATCCGGACGGGCCACTCTGCATCGGTGAAAGGGTGTTTTGTGGTGGGAACGATGTCTGAGTTGGTGAGAATGTAGTCTGAACTGGTAGCGGGGACGTTGCCTGTGTTGGTGCTAGCATCCCCCCCTGCTGCTGAAAGGACGATGACGGAGCTGGAGAAACAGCTCTTGGAGATCCAGCGCCCCCGAATGCACTTTTAGCCGGAGAGTATGGTGGCAGGCTGCTAGACCTTGGGCTTCCTAAAATATCCGCAGGGAACGGTCCCCTCTGTGACCCAGTTGGCGTACGCGGTGAATCCTGTCCCTGGAAAGCTTGTGGTGGATAGCGGGGGCCCAATTCCTTTTCAATCGCAGATACAGCTGCACCATTTTTATAATCTGGGGGTGGGGTTGAGGTGTGCTGGGGGACATTGAAAGAGGTGGATGTTGGTGTGCCTGGCTTCGAGGAGCTTCCAGAGACAACCGGAGCTGGCGGAGGGGCGGAACTGGCGAAGGAAGCGGTGGACTTTTTGTTTTTGAGTGAAATTTCTTCGTAAGGTTGACGGTCCGGGGCTTCATATGCTGCAAGAAGAGCTCTTCCCTGTTGACGTTTCCGGTGGCAGGCCCAGGTTGCAAGAGCAAGAAGAACAAGCGCAATGCCCCCACCGGTAGCAACGGCGATGATCATGTTGGTGTTGAAGAACCCATCCTTTTTTGAAGAGTGGGCAGCTGAGGATTTTGTTGTTGGTGAAGCAGTTACTGTGGTTGTTGAAGTTGGGGTTGCTGTCAATGTGGCTGTTACAGGCGCGCATCCGTCATTGGCAGCACAAGTCTTTATTGATGAGCTTTTACTTCTAGATGGATGGGTTGAAATACTACTTACGTGACTTGGAGGACAACAGTATGTACCACATGATACGTAAGTTTCTGCGCAGGTAAGTTCCCGTGGATCCAGGCTCAATGGAGATGCATGTGTAAAGACCGAAAGATTGAGTAGTAAAACCAATGCCGAAAGAATGGCTGGCAATGAAAATCGAAAGAGCTGCATCGAGACTGATATAGAAGTTTTGCGGTAAAAGTAGTAGTAGTAGATACCAGGAATAGACAGTTAATTAATTCTGGCCAGGAATGATTGTAGTAATATTAATAGTAGTAAAGAGTGAACTATTAATTATTGTATAAGGAATGACGAGGTCGATGATTTAGGCTTTTTTCCAATGAATGAATGTAAAGTCTGACCAAATGAATGACTGACTGACTGGCGAGAAAGAAAAAAGAGAGAGTTGTGTATACTTCCCGTCAATTACAGAAACTCCGGGAGAAGGCCGGAGTCGGGGGTTGGCTAGTATTTAAAAAAAACTTTTCAAGAATGATCAAGACATCTCGAAGATCTGGGCTGCAGCCCCACTTATGAGACTAATCCTAATTGTTGCCTGCAACATGGGTCCTTTCCTATCCCCCAGGTTCGTCCACCCACTCCACAAATCGTTCCAATTGGCTGAAGTTTCTCGTGACGATGACCATAACTGGAGCAGCGAAAGTAATACATCCTCTGTTGGGGTACAAAAGTGGATTGGCCCGAAGATCATAGCCTAGTTCCACAAAATCGAACGGGAAAAAGGGGAATTGTTTTTTGTTTTTCTCCCCTTTCTCTTCTCATTTCTCTGCAGGGGTAAAAGGAACACGACGAGGCGTAGAATCTCCATGCGAGTGATGCGACTCGTCCACGAGAAACCTCCTGTAACTGCTACTCCTTCTCTCGACAAATTCATGTTCAATTGATCGTTGCCCACCACCACTAATCCTACCCAAGCCAGCCAAGCCGAGGTCGAACGGGGTTCAAGGGGGCCTGTAAATTTTTCTTTCTTCTTTTTCTAGTGCCTCTGATCTACGCCTTGGATGGTAACAAGCGGAACGGATACTCGGATTTCCGACATGTGTTCCTGAATTCAATTCTTTTTTTGGAAATTCTTGGAAGGCAAAAAATGATTTGGTGACAAATTTCTTGGAAAAAGAGTTGCGCTCAGGGCACGGCTCGGGCCGTACTGGTTGACTCCAAGACAAGAACGACAAGAATCGCCCCCAAACTGGTGCCTGATGAATAAGAATTTGGCAGTGAGAGTTGGACCCTGGCAGGAACTCAGGAACCAGTTACTAAAGAGGGCGGGTGGTTCACCAGGTACAGAATAATACCGGCAAACATACAAGCATATGTGCAGACTCGTATCCTGGAGGTAGAATAGGTACATAGCTACGATGTGTGACTCGATTCTCGCTAAGGTAAATGCACATTGCATACTTTAGGTAAGTAGCACCTGGAGCTTCGCCTCGTTACTAAGACGCAGGTACGACGAAATGAGATGGTCTTTTAAAAGATTTGGGTTTTCTTGATCACCTTGGGTACCAGGTAGCTGGTAGTACTTGTTTACCACGAAAAGAACCAGAAATGCAGTTGCCCAGGGCAAGGATTATTTGTATGGAGTGGCGGTGATCTCTCATACAAACTATCCCTGTTTCCGTCACTTGCATTTTCTGGTTCTTTTCGTGGTAAACGAGTATATAGCATTGCAACCAGAGAACCTTGTAGGCGGCTTCCAGCATCCCTTACTCTTCCTGTCTTGTTGTTCACTTTTGTTCATCCTCGCTTTTTCGAGCTTATTGCGGATTCCAGGGGTGTTGTGTCTTCTCGTTGATACCTTCTGACACCTCATGTTTCGTTCTGTTTGACATGGTCAGGTAGGTTGTTATCACCCACGTTTCTGAGGCCAAGCAGCTGGCCTCCAGTACTGCATACTTCACTTGAACTCGTTTACGAGCAAATATCGGGTTCAGAAGGAATAAGTGTATAGAAAACCTAACTCACGATGTATGGATGATAACTATTGAGAACCGCGATATTACCCGTAAAGCCGTCTAGAGCCTACTCTCCTTAAAGTAATCCCTGGTTGTCAACTGGTTGCTGTCCAGTGAACGACTGTTGTTTCGGCACGCTCTGTTCAAGGTGACCCCAGCATAAATCTTCCACCTAGGAAGACCCTGCCTGACACAGATACTACCCGGAGCAGTATTGACGCAGAGATGCACCATTTCGATGTGGTGAACATATGCCCTTCAATCCAGTAGGTACTAACATGTAGGTACTCTATGTACCGACATACAATACATCTTGTACCTACAAGGCTAGTGTCATCCATGCGTACATGTTGCTGTGAGATCAATGCCCCACTTACGTCTAGGCACATCCCAACTCTTCCTCCAACACATCGGTCTACATAGTAGGCGAATCAACAAGTTCTTCACACTTAAGTACAGCAATTGGTACTGTACAATGGTCACTGTTTACGCATCTTATAACCAAAAATTAGCTATAATTCATGACCAGTCCGCCAAGGGGAGAATGATCTATAGGAATCAAAGGTTTGTAATCCGATGTATGCACTAGTACTACGATGTCACTTGACAGGACATCCCTTGCCATGTTCTGTCTTTAATTTAACGGCGCTAGCGATAATGGCAGTTCCATGGCCACAAAGGTTCCCCGGCTCATTAGGTTCAAATTCAATCATGAAGATCGCTTTCCAGAAGATTTCCTGACTGGACTGGTTCACTATGGGGTTACATGTCCGAAGAATTGCCTCTGCCGTAATTGGACTACGTAAAACACTCAAAGGTGTACCTCTAGGTACATAATCGCCGCTCAGCAGTCCGACACAGCACACATATAGCATAGCCTCCGATGGAGACCCCATCAGGCGGCGTGTGGTCATGGGCATTGGTTATCAACGCTGTTTGAACTCGCTCGTGAGATTGAACATCAACTCATGGGTGTTTCGAATACAACGACCTGCAGACGAGCTGCATACGAAAGGTATCGATCTGGCAACGACAACGGTCAAGAGGACGTGTAACATGTGTTCTAATCACTACAAATTCAATTGATATATCCTATTATTCGCAGGTGAGTTAGACTACTCAATATAATTAGAATAATAATTCTAATATATAATTTATGAGGCAGCGCAAGCTTTGATAGCAGATCTACAGGGGAATCGCTGAGCTGAGCTCGAGGCGTTCGCTTGAATTCTTGCGTATTGCCATCGTTTAAAGAGTCATAGAAAGCTCAGCTGCTGAGGTTTAGGGGGCTATGGAGGCCAAACGCAATAGCCTACCTATCAACGTTGAATAAGAAGTTCGGCAATTGGGCTGCGCACACTTCGGCTCGTATCCCCCCATTGGTCACCCCTACGTAACAACAAAAGCGAGACTTGATCGTCATAGCCGTCACCGTGCGCAGACAGTTCCATACATATGAGTGCCGATCTAGTAGTAACCTGTTCGCAACATACCGTACGTACAACTTCATTTGAGAGAATTTTATGGAGATTTTGGGCTGGGTGTTTGTATGGTTCGACGGAATAAGCATTTAGCTGTGTAGGCGATTTAACTAGCTTGTATGTTTAACATTGTACCCTCTAGAATATGGATAAGACTGAGATTGAGTAGATGACCGGATATTAAGATATAATCGGGTATCTTGGGCCATGGGTGGAAAAGGTAGCTAGAAGGATGGAGATTCTATGAACGACGCAACTGATGAATTGGTGAATCTAGTCGGCTTGGAAGATTTCAAGAAATCAGTATCAACTATCGGAATCCTTAAGGATTATGATACCAATCTGGGGGAAGAACGGTTCGACATTGTTTTCCAAGGGGGCAAAGTGCAAAAGATGGAAAAAAGAGAATGGTCGGAGAAGCTACATGCAGGTGTAGAATAGTGTGCGTGGTACTGCCAGAGGTAAAACTAGTAGCGTCAATTAATCGTAAACTAAGACTAAACATATAAACAGTATCAGAAGTGGATCTGATACCGCATCAGTACGGTATTGTGAGAATGTGCCGCTTTATCTCCGTATTTTAACGAAGCATGCAGTAGTGTTACGGCAGTTAATCTAAGGCATTGCCAAAGACTGCGGTAGTCGTTTTATCTATGTTTCTCGATCTGTCACTGAAGTTGTATATAACAGAAGATATTTATGAGTGGTATATATGCTCAGGACTATTGATCAATAAGAGAAGAAATATTGCAAAGATTCGAAGCTTATCGGTGCGCGTAATAGGTGTATATCACTAGGGGAGAAGGCGGGTCCAGAGAGAAGACAAGAAGTACCGGCCCGAAATCAGAGGAACCGGTGGATTGATTACTTCATTAATTGATTGTATTGAAATCAGTGGAAGAAAAGAAAGAGGAAAAAGAAATTTGGTTTGTTGTTAGTTAGGAATGGAAGTGAAGATAGGTGAGTACGGATCTAGAAGGTTGCACGAATAATCAATCAATTCATTCTATAATACCATATCATATATATATAAAAGTAATCAAACAAAGACAGATGTCGAGTGATAATGCATGACCACACATCTGGGCTCCAGAAAAATCTGAGAGAAGCCTTCGGGGAGGCTATCATTTCCCATATGAATTCTAGAGCCTCCCTCCCTGGAAGCGAGAATCTAGAGTTTCTAGAGCCCCCTGGATATCACTTACCGCCTATCAAGCAGATCTATAATCCTGCCACTTCTCCCACTCTATGTATAGTACATCCCAAGACACAATTCCTAAAGAACCATCTCAATAAAACAACACCCTCTCAAAACAAACCCACCAACAACCTGCCCAAAACCCAATCATCTACCATCAATCATCACTCATGACCACCCCTGAATCCGCCCTCCGCACCGCCACCGTGGCCAGAAAATGCGCCTTTGCCCAGCGTATGATTACAGCCTACAGAGAGCTCTACCTCGAGGCCTCTTTTGATCTAACAATGATCCGTCCAGCCTCATGCGCAACGGATACGACTTCCGAGCTCGGGCCCCCCGCGAAGGAGTCACGATGACCGATGATATGTAGTGGGAGGTGGACCACATTGAGAACTTGAAATGGGTTATAGAGGAGTGTTGCCTTTTTATGGAGAGCGCGGACAATTGGCGCAAGGATCTGCTGCTTTTGGAGATGGAGGATGTCGAGAGGGATGAGGCGGAGGCAAAGGCGGAGGCAAAGGCGGAGGCAGAGGCAGAGGCAGAGGCGGAGAAAATTAGAATGAGGGAGCTGGAGCTGGAGGAGGAGAAGGGCGTTGATGGAAGTGAAGAAGTCGCCAATTAGGTAATCTTTATATCTTCGGCCGTTGATATTATAACGCTCAGGTTCTCATCTTGATATGCTGGAGTTTGTTGCAGAGGGTCATGGCGTAGTATAGTTGTTCGGTTTGTTGGTTTTTGTGTCTCTTTGCCAATCTTGAAGCATCAAGGCGGGGGGGGGGGGGGACATGTACTGTACCGGTACGCGGTCAATGAGGTTGAGACGTCAGCGGTGCCAGAGGAGATATTTTGTACGAAACGTTTTGGCTTTCATAAGGCACTTTTAGCATCCTGTACCAATTACGGAACTATTAGAAGTGTTGCCAGCTGTACTAAGTATACTGGAAAATTATCAATGCCCTTGAAAAAATTCCTCAAATCACTCACCACCTATCAGAAGTAAAAAAGGCTTTTCCAACATCTTAATCATTTTATTTACCTGGTTTATGGTCATGTCAGAGGCAGGCTCATAATAACAAGTGTACCAAATAAGTGTCAGCTATAAGGACTTTGTACCAATATATTTTGTTAGATTGACCCATATACCAGTATAAAAAGCGTCGGACAGACTCAAGTTAATTGTCTCAGCCTCACTAACTAGTATAGTATCCGAGGAGGTTACGATCCGATTAAAGGTCGATACGTCTGAAAAATCTGATAGATGTCGTGCTGTTGGCGGGGGAAAAAAAAAAAAGGTCGTCGGGTCGAAACTCCAGAACGGTTTGCCCCATAAGCTTTATTAGTGCTTCATCCATACGAAGCTTCCCGAGTGCAAATCGGTAGTGATCTGTATACTTGTACTTGTAATTATCGAACACTTTCGAGTCTATGTATCTTCTATTAAATCCGCTGAAAACGGTGAAATCAAGCCCTCGACTGATCATTCTCTCTCCGCTATCAAGCGCAACAGACCAAGAGATCCATAGGTCCAAAACTGGTAGTTTATTGGCTTTTCTTATAGCATAGTTCGATATTTCTACGCCGCGGAGAAATTCCGGTAGAAAGACCGAGCCCGATATACCGTAACGAGCACTGTGGTTGATACGTCGTGGCTAACTGTCATGATAAGTTTATATTTATGGTACAAGGTTGATTTGGTGCTGACAGGTAATTCCATGCTAAGGTATACTCACGGTTTTCCAGCAACGTAATGGCTCTACTCCTCCAGTATAGACCTGCACCCTCTATGAAATAGAAGCCTTTTTTTTTTTTTTTTTTTTACTATTGCTGACATCGAAAATTATGGTATAGTCGCAGTTTTTGCTGACCTGACATCGTACCATAATTAAGGGACAAAAATCGCCTGCTGGCAGCTGACGTATCAACCGGCCACAGTACTCGTTACCGTATATATGCCAGATGATCCATTCTTGTCAGCTGCGGTATAAACGCCTGCATAATGGCGCCTATATGCCTTCTTTGGGCTTCGTCTTCCTCATCTTATGACATCAGACGTACCATCAGGTATGACTCTTGTGAGCTGGACGTCATCTCTCCAGACTTTAGGTATATAAGAACTGGTATCGGAGCCCCATAAAAATAATGCACATCCATCATATATAGTAAAGTGAAGCTTAACCTCCCTCACGATAACCATCGACATTATACACATACAGTTAATTCTACGTAACCCGGATTAATAGTGGGCTGGAATAATGGATTTTCTTTTGGTTTCTTCGATTTACTATAGCTAATATAAACTGAAAACCCCGTTTATATATATATCTCAACAGCCCCATTGGACAGCTGTAGGCTGCTACTTCTCTCTTATATCACCATATGCGAAACCCTTAAATTGTATCCTATTGTAAGGTGTCCTTGGTAGAAACTCGGAGTTCGGTGTGGTTATAGTTCGAGGGAGATGCGATACGTATTTACATATTATAATCATGACATATCACTCTGAAAAATAAATTGCCAAGCTTTTTGTAAAGTGTGCCTTCTCACAACCTAGCTCCCAGAGACGCGGAACCTGCGCATGAAGACTTTATGGAGCAGCATTTCCTTGCCAAGAAATTCTGGATGCGTCCATAGCCCTTTCGAAGCTTCTTGCTCATAAAAATCACGCGATTCTGATCTTCTCAGTTACCTACTTCTAATATTTAAGAGCCAATGATCAGAACACCACGCCCAAGATTATCCTTGACACCATCTCATCCTTACCCCGCCGCACTCTTACGTTCTATCCGATCTCTCTATTTCCGACTCCAAGATAAGAACCTGTCAAGGCGATCAGGATCTGCGCTCACTGCGCATGCTCGATTTTCCTTTCTTTTTGAAGAGTAGGCTTGGTTCCGGTCGGCCATTAGAAATTAGGCCGAAGGCCACGGGATTGGAACTTCTAGGCGGGAGTTTGATATACGTCGGGTGGGTATGGAATGGAGGACAATACCCGATTAAGTTTCGGGATTTATAAGAAATATAGATGTATGAGTGGTATATTGTTGTTTGCAGGTGGGATGTTGTTTGCTCGTTTGATAGCTGAATAGGATTGGCCGAATTAACTCGCGAAGCTTATCATTAACGTGCGATACTATACTATATTTTTTTTTTGATTAGATTTGAAATATAAAGTATCATGCATGGCACTGCTCTCAATGACGTCGTAGAATTGATTAGATTACATATAGAGAGTTGAATTGAATCCAACCACGCATCCACAGCCTGTACTTAGGCCGGCCTAGTAGCTGTCCGGCCTTGCAACTCAAAATTTAAAAACAAACAATTAACCTGACCCGCGCCGTAAGAACCGATTAGGTGATTGTTCAATTGATCAAGCCACTTGTCAGCAATCAAACCAGCTGCGATATATATACATATATCCTTGCGATAAAACCACTTCCACAATCCATCTATTTCACAACATCTTCCATCTCTGCGCAGGATCAATTGGCTCCCCGAATCACCTCTCCCACCACTGTCTGAGCTTTGCCCTGGATACCGTTGCGCCACAACCAGACCAGACCCCACGCCGCCCCCCAACGCCACACCTTAGATCCCCTAGAAGCGGCCCCCAATTAAGTTCGCACCCATCTCCCCCCCCCCCCCCCCGAAAGTGCAAAAAAATCGCGTCTCCCTGCAAAAGCCAAAAATAAAGAAAAAAGCCAATGGCCACGACCAACAGCACAAGAACCCACCAACAGCGCTCGGCGCGCAAGCCTACGCGCGAGCCGGTTGTGGAGATCCCCGACAGCGACGAGGAAGAATGCAGCGACGGGGAGGCGGCGGAAGAGGAGAGCTCTCGGGGGGCGTCAACCACCGCGCTGGTGGGGGGAAACGCGGGGCACCAACAGCAGCAGCTGGTCGGATCCGAAGATGAACAGGAGGAGGAGCAGGAGCAGGAGCAAGAGGAGGAGGACGATGATGACGAGGGCGATATGTGGGAAAACGAGTCCCTCCTCCGAGACGTCGTCGGGGACGGTAGTTCTCCGGTGATCTTTGAGCCCCGTGAGTGCTACCTTACTTACCTACATGATCTACTTCCTACTGTATTGCTTGCGCTTACTTGCGCTTGCTTCGCGTTTCCCTCCTCCTCCTCCTCCTCCTCCTCCTCCTTCTCCGCCACTGCCAACTAGCACCCAACCAGCCAGAGAACTAATTGCTCCCGCGACTACTATTAGATGAAGACGCGTTTTCAGCACAAGACGCAAAGGAGCTTCGACAGCTCCTACGGCAAGTCGGGGAACAGAAATTCTTGGAGCTGACAGTAATGAGCAAGAGTGGAGGTATAACTGCGAAAAAGCTCATTACAGCTTTTGGGATTAGGCCGGTTCGGAGTTTCCCGTCTCTCCACCAGTTCATGCGATTTTCTTCATAGGATAGAGAGGCTAACACGATGTTTGCTACCTTTTTGGTCGTTGTTTGATTTTACAGCCAGAATTCCTAGAAGGCTCGCCGGACCATGTGTACTACAGGTTTCTACAGATCGGTATTGCGCGGGAGCTGGTGAGACGGACAAAGCTACCCCAGTACAACTCTCCCCAGGATGTCAAGAAGCTTCTTCTTGAGTCAAAAAACATAATTGTCCTCACCGGCGCAGGTGTAAGAGCTCCCTCTCACCCCTTCCGTTAAAGCTCACATCACTGATGCAGCCCAGATCTCAACATCTCTTGGCATCCCCGATTTTCGCTCCAAAGAAACCGGTCTCTACTCCCGTCTTGCTTCTCTTGGTCTCTCAGATCCACAAGAAGTATTTGACCTCGCCGTCTTCAATGATGACCCCACGTTAGTGCCCTCCCTCCCTCCCTCCCCAGCTACTCTACCTCTAACCCCCCATATAGAATATTCTACTCCGTCGCCAAAGACATTCTCCCCACCACCGAGAAGTTCTCCCCCACACACGCCTTCATCGAGCTATTACAGCGCAAAAACAAGCTCCTCACCCAATACACCCAAAACATCGACAACCTCGAAACCCTCGCCGGCATCCACCCCTCCAAGCTGATCCAATGCCACGGCAGCTTCGCCACCGCCTCATGCATCAAGTGCCGCACGCGCGTCCCGGGGACCACCATCTTCCCCGACCTGCGCGCCGGCAAAGTCGCGCGCTGCGAGGCCTGCCTGCTCGCCAATAAGACCGCCACCGCAGGCAGGAAGCGCAAGCGCGGCCGGAGCGGCGACACCTGGAAGAAGAAGCGCTACAGCGAGGACTCGAGCGCCGAGGAGGAGGAGTTTGAGTTCCGCGAGGCAGGCGTCATGAAGCCGGACATCACCTTCTTTGGCGAGATGCTGCCCGACACGTTCTACAAGCGCCTCATGGAGCAGGACCGCGAGAAGTGCGATCTCCTCATCTGCATCGGCACCAGTCTTAAGGTCGCGCCCGTGAGTGAGATCATTGGATTGCTGCCTGAGCATGTGCCGCAGATCTATATCTCGAAGACGGTAATCACCCTCCCCAATTCTCCCCCACGGTATAGGGCGCGCGCAGAATATATCCACTAACATCCACAGCCGGTAACCCACGTCGAGTTCGACGTCGACTTCCTCGGCTCATGTGACGACGTAGTAGTCGAGCTCTGCCGCCTCGTCGGCTGGGAACTGAAGCACGAGATGATACCCGAGGACCTCAAGGTCGACATGGTCCTCGAGGAGGGGTACCCGAGCCGGTACATCTGCACCCGGAAAGAAGAACGGGAGCAACAGCAAGAGCAAGTGCAAGAGGAAGAGCTGGACGAGGTCTCCTAAACATGTATTGGCGTTGATTTGGCATTGATTGGCATTGGCTTTGGGTTCTGTTATCATTTTTTCTTCTACTCTTCAATACAATTTCCACCCTCACCACCACCACGCACGTTTTTTTAATCCTCACCCTTTTTTTTTTCCTTGTCATCTATTCTTTTTTTCTTTCTATCCATGCCCCCCGGTCCCTTGTATGTGTATTTTTTGTTTATTCTTTTTTTTCGTTTGTTTAGCTCCGAGGGAACGTAATTGCGGTGATGGAATAGAGTCAAGTCACGTGTACACGGAGGGAAGTTAGGCTTGGGGACGGGGCGGAGGGGGCGGAGGGGCGGAGGGGGCGGAGGGGGCGGGGGAGGTTGCAGCATATCATAGTTCCGTTCGTGCCATTGGAGGGGTTTCAATTAGTTTCGTCACATGCGGGATTCTGCTTTCACAAGAGGGTTACGGTCGATTAGCCATACATATAAATAGGGAACATAAAAGAACAAAAGAGCGGATCACTGATCACACTCCGTAGAGTACGATCCTTCCTACCCAGCTCATCATCTCATCCCCTCCTCAAAAAACCATCCCCTCGGCCACACTCCTAATCACCCCATAACACCCCTCAAACACCCTCTGCACCCACCCGCCCCCCTCACGCTCCAACACACCCCTCCACACCCCCGTTCCACTAAACATAACCACAACCCGCCCCGCCCGCTGCAGATAAAACACGACGAGCTGGTCCTCCATGTAGATATTGCTCAGCCCGGCCTCCACGCCCGCCCCCGCCCCCTCTTCATCCACACCATCGTCTATAGCGAAGCCAGTGAACTGCACCGCCGGTACAGCATTCACGCCGCGAAACACATCCATCACGGCCGCATCAATGGACGGCGCGACCAACTCGAGAAACGGGTGCAGGTAGCCCTGCTGAAAGTACTTCGTCGTGAGACCTATAGTATCCCGTCGCGATCGGTGAATCGCATGTCAATGATTGAAAAGGCACGAGTGATACACTGTGATTGGAAATAACCTACCGTCCTGCGTTTGTTTTATAAGCTCACGTCTGCGCCTCCACGCTTCTTTGAAAGCATTCTGCATCTGCTGCATCTCCCCCTCCTCCTCCTCCTCACTGCCACTTTCCTCGACACCAACACCGCTTTCCCACGCAGCAGCATGCACGAGGCGTGCAAAGGCGACGGATTCGGGCGTGACAGGCATCATCTCGTCGCACCGTCCGTAGCGGAAGTCGCGCAGTAGTACGGGCTGCCAGATGGGTGGTATAGCGCCTGTAGGAGAGACGCTGATGAGGGTGGCTTGGAGGGCGAGGTTGAGGAGCGTGTCTGTTAATCGCGGTGAGGGCGGGGGCGGGAGGGTGAGTGCCTTTACGGTGCGGGGGATGGGCTCTACGACGGCTGGTGGAAGTTGGGGAAGGTTCAGGGGTGGAAGGATGGTGATGGGGGTTGCGGGTGGGGGGGTGAGTGGGGATGTTGGCGTGTTGGTAGGTGTGGCGGCGATGTTCGCGAGGAGGGTTGCGAGCTCCATTGCGGGGCCGCAGTCGGAGGGGGCGTGGTCGAATGAGAGCCCCGTTGTCCCTATAAATCATACACATTCAGCACCATATTCCCACGGTACAGCATAGACCCCAAGCTCATCTACCATCAGAATACGACACCACTGTCAGCGTTTGATCCGCAAACCTATTCTCGCTCCCCCCGCCCGTCCTCACACCATTCAGCTTCTCCGCCAACCCCTCCGGCGCCCCCTCCTCCTCCAACGCAGCACTCACAAGACTCCCATACAGCACCCCCAGCGCGCCCTCGTTCCCTGGCACCGCAGCATACGCCGCCCTCTGCACGCACCACGCCGCCCGATCCAGCCGCCACGACACCGCTGCCAGCAACGGTCCCGCCTGAGCCCCAAGAGCACTCTCCAATACCTGGCGAAGCTGTACATCGATAGCATCCGCCGAGAAGACAGCCCCCTCGCTGTCCACGAGCTCAATCCGCCACGGCCACCCCCGGTGCCACACTACCGCGTACCGCGCCAGCGCCGGGTCTGCGTACTGCAGCGCACATGTCTCCGTCGTGATTGGGACGCGGAAGGCGGCGCAGAGGCCGCGCAGTTGCCATTTGAGGCGTTTCTGGGCGGTGTTGTAGATACCGGTGCCGCCGGGGAGGATGTATTCCTTTGTCCAGACGGCGACGGCGCGGAGGAGGGCGGCGACCTTGTGCGTGCGGGTTGTGAGCGGGGGTGGAAGGGTGAGGAGGAGGGTGAGGCGTGTGCTGGTGGGGACGGGCCAGCGGGTGGAGAGGAGGATCTCGAGGAACCAGTGGGTGGACCAGTTGGTGGCGGTGGATTGGAGGGTGTTGAGGAGGGTTTGGGTTTGTGTGGGGGTGAGGACGGGGTGCTGGAGGGTGGTGGTGTGGTAAGATTTGAGCAGGTCGGCGGGTAGGAGGGCGCTGGCGGTGGCGCCGATGCGGGTGAGGAGGAGGGGGATGTTGGGGATAGGGAGAGGCGGGCGAGGGTCTGGTGGCGGGGTGACGGTGTATGTACTCATCTTATCTGTGAGCTGAGTAGATATTTTCCTATAAGTCAATGAGAGATGAGATATTAGAGACCAGCGCCATACTACTCAATGAGTAGTTATATAACCAACGGGTATTTAACAGCTATTTAGCTATTGAGCGCGAGAGGCCCCGCAGCAGCTATCCTTCCCTCGGGGCCCGCACACCAAATCCCGAGTGAGTCAAAAGCTGCAAATTTTTTCCCTTTATTCCCTACTTTCCCCTCTCTGGCGCAGATTTGGAAACATTCCCCGTTTGGAAGGAGCACCGTATCCAATCCCTGCGTAGATTCATCAGCTGGGGAAGCTTGGCCTCAGGGTATATATATAAATAGTCCGTAAAGCTAGGTGCTGTATTATATGTGTATCATCATTTCACCATCAACTGTTCCACATCCCATTTGATTGGACAAAGAAGTATGCGACAGTTAGACATGATCTGCCCGTATTGAGGAGGATCATGGATAATCACTCGGCCCAATCACATGCTGCTGGAGACCGTTGCCAAGTCCCGTTCTACTATTGCTAAACACGGAGGTAAGCCATGCAAGAAGAGTACTCGACTCGCTCTCTCACGGGCCACGTTACTGTTAGCATATATGTGCCTACGGATAGTGCCTGTTGTGCGTCCTGCAGGGTGCGTATGAGGGTGAGTATAAGGATGGTGCTGGACAATTCAAGATATATATATAGGGAGAATGGGACCTAATAGATATATCTTGCTTAGCGTACGTCGTGGTGTAGCCCCGTGGAGTTTCAAGTGAGGCCTCTCTCTTCCGGTCGTATATATATATAGCTCCAGTTAGTAACAGTAAGCGGTTGATGAAATATCCCCCATGAAATAGAGGGGGGGGGGGGGGGTGGGGGAGTTCGGCCCAAAAGTCGTAAAGCTTTTCTGCGTGGGAAAGAGGAAATTTCACGTACCCACTTCATGGAAGGTAGCGTACGTAGCTAAGCAGTAAGTGACCATTGTGCCGGCAAGATCAGGTACCAGCATGGCTAGGGTATTGTAGCAGAGATATAACATAGGTATATGGGTATGGGCGGATAGCCCGGCCGGGAAGCAAGGCTTCCTTGATTCTCTCCTGTGGACCATACATTGGCGGTGCAGAAGAGAGAGGTACATGTCCAAAACTTTGAGTAATCCTCCAGAGATGTAGCTAGCGTACCACAGGGGTCAGCTTTATCGGACCCTTTATCGGCAAAATATATTCGAACCCCCCCCCCCCCCATCTGCGGAGAGAACGAGCGAATGAGTACGCCTATGAACTAGTTGAATGATATCCAGATAAAACTAGTAGCCAATTAAGTATTTATCAAGCTAATAAGAGTACACGTTACATACTCTTTTTCTAACGAACACACCACAGTACATGTAGTACTGAAAAACCGTCCGATCCCGGGTCCTGGATGTAAATACGTCAGACTCCCAAGTCAAGAAGGGCACATATCATAGCTCTCATGACACCGTATAGCGCCACGATATCGTTTTCTATCAACATGATGGACACCCAGAGGAGTATTATAATGAGCAACGCCTGTACAGCTGTTACTTATGGATATACGCATATATCCAGAAGATCTCATTTCTTCTGCCACTTACCTGTAGACTTGGCCGGCGCCAACTATCCTACATTGACATCTACCATGATATCTCCGCAACAGCTAATTGCAATTGGTCCCGAACCCACCCAACCTAATCCACTAATGCATCTCCAACACCGAGTTCAACGGTTAGTAGATAGATCTCCCACCCTGCGTTCCTGTAAGGGGCAAGGGAGGGGCCAGTGTATGTGTGTAGGGGAATGCCTACAGGATTCGAAACGACATTCTAACCTGCATCAGATTGGCCATAGGTACGTATACGACGCGGGGCCGGACAGCATATGGATAAGATAAGCTCCTAGACACCCCCCTACCTAAAGTGCCAAGAATAATCACAGGTGATCACTCGGCCCTACGCTACCCAGCTGACTGACGGCTTTACAACGCCTCCCGTTCGTTCACTGCACCACTAGAGTACATGTGGGTTAAAGGGCTTCACGCAAGTCTCCACGAACGAACGCACTTGCTAATGAACAGAACTTTAGGACGACCGTTTTATATTCTCCTCCCTCCAAACCTCATCCCCGCTATAGCAGGACTAAGCACTACAACAACTACTACTACTACTGCTACTAGAAAAACAGACAAATAAAACTTTCAAAAGAGCGAATACTTTTTTTTTATCACCTTCCCATCCATCCATCCTCCCACCCCCCATCCCATCCCTAACCTCGCGCCCCATCCACATCATCCATCCCACCGACGTACTCCCCCTCCGAAAATGAAACAAAAGAGCTAAAGAGTACTAGACAATAAGAACTAAACTAAGAAAAAAAAGATAAGGATAGCAAGATAAAAGATAAGCCAAATGGTATAATGATAGCAGGAAAAAAAAAGCAGAAAAAAAAGGTACCCTCAGAGTAACTCCCGAAAACAAGAAAGGAAAAAAAAAGTAATAACACCGGATATCCTCAACCAAAGGAGATATACAACCACCCACAGTAAAAAAAAAAAAAAAGCTTCGTAACAGATCTAACCACAATTTATCCGCGCGTATATATATATATATGTGTGTGGCAATGAGAGACCTTCATTATCGTCACAGACGGACAGAGAGAAAAAAAAGATATGAAGAGAAACCGGTTTTTTGTTTAAAAGCACTCATCATCCGTCTCCCCCATCCATTCCTCCGCGGCTCTATACCCCGAGGACCCACGATATCTGCCGCCCCAGTTCGCACCCACGCTCCTCTCCCTCTTGAGCGCTGTTGGGGCCGGCTCCGGCCTCTGGCTTCCAACCACCACCTCACCCCTCAGCACCTTCAGCGCGCCCTCGAGGCGTCTCCGGTACTCTGACCGTCGGACTGGCTCCTGCTCCATCTCCATGCTGCAGCAAACCTCGCCCAGGCCCTCAATCATGTTCTCGATGAGCTCGCGGTCCGAGTTTGACAGCTGCAGGCGGATCTCGCCGTCGCTAGTCAGCAGCATCGATTCCGCGGATCCAAGCGTGATGACTGATTTCCGGTTGATCTTGCCGCGGGTGGCAGCCGTGACAACCGCATCGATGGAGGTTGGTGCGTCCTGCGTTGGCGACGGGTGTATGGGGTATGGCTTCGCAGCCGGCTTATGTCCCGCCGACGGGGAATAGTCCTTATAGCCTAGATTTTTGGGCGTATGCGGGGCCGAGTGATAACCGTCATCGCGGAGAGTCGGGGTGGCTAGCCATTCCGGTGATGGGGTAGGGTGGTGGTTCTGGCCAGCGGCCTTGCGGCGCAGCGATTCCGTGGAGGATGTGCGGTCCTCGGCGGCCGTGGCGAATGAGTTTATCGAATCGAAGCTGTCGCGGCGCTTGAAGTGGGGGGTGGGTTCTAAGATTGCTGTGGTGGTGGACTCGGTCCCATCGCTGCCGTATGAGATTGGGCGGCCGTTTGCGCCGTTTGCGTAGATGCCGTTGCCGTAGAAGAGGGCGTCGTACGAGAATGCGTCTTCGCGGTCCTCGTGGCGGGTGGGCGAGAACGGAGATACAGAGCGTCGGTAGGCCCGTGGTGTGCCTGAAGACACAGTCGACGCATATTCGTCTTCGTCGGGGCTTTCTTCAGCGGACTCCCACGTCTCCTGCGGGGAGTCTGAGTGGTATTTCAGGTCGTCCATGGGCGTGTGAGAGTCGTATGGTGTCGGTGTTGAGCGCAGAGAGCTGATTGAAAGGCGACGCATGGAGTCGGTTTTGGCCTGCTCCTGCAGGGAGGTAATCTTACCCCGGAGGTCCTTCATCTGGTCCCGCAAGGCCCGCATCTGCTGGGTGCTTCTTGAAGGGCCGGTGGTGTGGCCCGTGGTCTGTTCCGTGATGTGGGACCGCTCGTCCTCGTCCGCAATTGTTCCCAATCCCAGCCCTATGAGACCCCCTTCACCACCGATCATGCCGCTCCTTCTCGACTTCATAACCGCACTCTCGCTGCTAGCCCTCACATGCGCAGATCCACCACCATTACTAGCACCGTTCCCATTACCCACCACCTCATTCCTCATCCTAAATCTCTGCGAATGGAACGCCGGCATCGCCCTCACTCCATTCAACTGCTCATTAAAGCTCGTCGGCGTCGTCGACGGCGATAATATCAGGGAGCTCCTCGCCCTCGAGATGTTCTGCCCACACAAATCCAGCTTCTTCTTCGCATTCGCCAGGATACGCTCCGCGCGCCACGATAGGTCGCCCGGCGTGTGAGGGCGCGGGTTGGGTGCGTCGTCGGGATCAAAGACGCTGTCTGCATACACGGACTCACCGCCAAAGATGCTTGCGTCGTCTCCAATCTCGGACATGTTGTCGAAGCCGAAGCCGTCAATCTCGATTGTGCCGTCGGAGTGGAAGGAGGCCACGGAGACGCTGCGGAGGTGGTTGCTGGGGCGGCGGAAAGGCGGTGTGGGTGTGCGGGAGGTGGGGTAGGTGTGTTCGGAGATGTCGGGGAGGGTGGTGCGGAGTGTGGTGAGAGAGCGTTGGCGGGGGGCGGTGTACCGCATGTAATCTGATGTGGAGGACATTGGGGGGAAATAAAAGGAAGGGGAGGCCTAGTGAGAGAGTGAATAGAGTAGGCGGTGGGCTCCTAGTGCCCCGGGGGGGGGGGGGGGGAATTGCTGAAATGAAGTGAACGGAAGTGGTGAACAAATGAACGAATGTGAATGTGCAGATGGCGTAGATCGAAGTGTACTCTCTGGTACTACTGTGTGTGGATTGATTGAATGTCTCAAGCGAATGTAGACGGATTGGCTAGAGCCCCTGGTAATTGTATAATAGTATGGGCTCGGTATTGCCAGTGATGTAATTGGGGGGGTGCAATCCCACAAACGAATGGAAGACAAAAGATAAAAAAAGAGTCACTAAACCCGAGAATAGAATGTAATTTCAAACGAGAGGATGCGTGCCACTGCAGCAGCTGAGAAAGTAGATTGCGTGTCGAGGAGGGAAAGGGAAAGGGAAGGGAAGGGAAGAAGTGGATGGATGGATAGATGTGGAGGAGGCAGCAAAAAGGAAGACACCGAGAAGAGATTACTCGATCAGGGGATAGGAGAAACACTAGACAGCGGCGAGCGAGCGAGCGAGTGAGAGGTAACCAACCCAAACTAAAACCCACCGAACAGCAACCACAGCACAAATAATGATCAATGATGCTGCCGAGAAGAAATATGGCAAGGGGAGGGGGCGGAGAGGTTAAACACGATAGACTGGTAAATATGGTATCTGCCTGCTTCCCTCGTCCCTGCAGTACTAGAGTAGGCGGGTGAGTAGAGCTGTCAATCAATCAATCAATCTCTCAAATCCCTTGACCCCTGCAGCTATCTGCAAATTACTTCCACCGAAAACCGAAAAAGCAGCTTTGTCTTCTGTCTGTCTGTCTTGTCTGAATGTATGTATGTATGTAGAAGGACACAAGCAAGCAAGCGAGAGAAAAACACACAGAGTGTGCGCGAGGGGGAGGCTCAGGCGGCAAAGCAGTAGTAGGCTAGTAATACTCTCCTCCTCCTCCTCTTCTCCTTCTAGTAAGTAGTAGTGAAATAAAAGCCCTTTTTGCACAACCTCAGATCTCTCTCCCCCATATCACGGCCTGTCTCTGCGCGCAGTAAAGTTACCTAGGTCCCACTTCCCCCCTCCCCTCTCTTCTGTTCCACATCAGAGACATACATCCTACATGTAACTAAAGAAGCATCAGCATCAGCATCAGAATCAGCATCAGCAGCAAGCAGAAGCAAGCAATCGCATCTGCATCACAACCAGACTATAGCTACTCTCTAGGTGCATATCATTTTTGCAACCAGCACTAAAACCAAGTGCAGTTTGTATGTAGCTGTACCCAATAGCGGCCAACAGTCCACACAGCTTTGTTTCCCCCCATCCAGTCCATCTTTACCCCCCATCTCACCAGAACCAGGCCAGTCAGCAGGCTGCCCGTCCTCACACGACCCACAGGAAACAAAAAAAAGAAAAAAAGAGAAAAGAGCTCACTCAATAGGAAAAAAAAGAAAGCAAACCCGCCCCAAACCCCAACCCAAACCCAAGCCCAACCCAACCCGGTGCCCCCTACCATCGGGTACGTGAGGATCTATCCATACATAGCGAGCGATAGGCCAGCAGCAGCTTTCTGCAGTTCAGAAACGGTGCCTGACCTGACGCCTCTTCGCTACAATTACAAATCGCCGTCTGGCCGTTTTCTATTTATATGTTTTTTTTTTTGGCTGCGCTATGTACTATTCCTGTTCTATCATGTAGGGCACATGTAGGGATATAGGTGTTTTTCTGTTTGGCTGAGGGAGGGAGGGAGCTGAGCAAGGGTTATGTTTTCGGGCGGAAGCAAAAAACGTGGCAAGTGAACCGGGGGAGGAGGAGGGAATTATGTAAGCGGCCCGGAAACCTTATTTACCCGGTAGGTTGAGGAGAAGCGGCCCTAACCCTGGGTTGATATTGGAGATTGGTTGTGCACGGAGACATTAGAGGGAGGGGAGATAAGAGCTTGGTATTGCTGATAGCAGAAACGACAGTGACAGGGCTACATATACCTACTCTACTAGTACAAGCTGTAGATACATGATTGATGTGCGGTTATGTGAGTGAGTCCCAGTCCCGTGTTTGTATGAAGGGAGCTGCTATGGTGTAATTAATAGCAATTGGCAATTTAAAAACAAAAAAAGCAAAACAAACAGACATGCACCCTATTCCTCGCCGAATGACCTTTGCAAACCAACACAAATTGAACCCATGATAAACCAGACCAATCCCAAGCCCAAGAACTAAAAACAGACCAAAACTAAACCTACAAGCTCACGCTCCTATACTCATCATGGTCCGCCAGGAACCGCAAGATTCCCGCTTCATACTCATCGTACCCGGAGCTCCCCCCATCCTCAAACGCCGACGCATCAGGCGTGCCCACGACGACGCCTCTCTCGAGCTCATAAAAGTACTCGCTCCCTCCTCCACTCTCGCTGCCCGAGACCAGCCCAATATCGTCGTCATCATACCCATCCTCCGAGTACGCCGACTCCTCCGGCGGGTCATCGCTCAGCATATCCCTCCAGCTGTTGCCAATCGGATACGCCTCGACGGGCGAGAACGCGAACCTCTCATCCTCATGCACCACGCCCCTCAAGACGCCAAAGTCGTTGCATATCCGCTCCACAAACTCGCTATCACACCCCTTGAAATGCACCCTCAACACATCGCCCGCAGGGCCCGCAACAGTCACGGGCAGATCGCCCAACTGCGCAAGTCTCTGCACGTCCGCATACACGGCCGTGATGCCACCAACCATGGCGCCAAAGTCGGCACCGAGGGTGTCGACGAACCCGGCGGCCTGGAGGCTGTTACCACTCTTGTTGAGTGGGGAGAGGCGGGTGAAGGTTGGCGCGAGGTGGAAGTCGACGTATGCGCCTGGCGCGCCCTCCATGACGGCGCTGGCGAGACGGGCACGGACGCCGATATTGCCATTGGTGTTGTTGGGGCGCTTGTTGGCGCCGTTGTAGACGAAGGCGCGCATGGCGGCAGAGACCTGTTGGAGGACCTGTGCGGGGGCCGCGGGGGTGTGAGAGAAGTAGCGGGCGGAGCCGCCGAGGGAGTAGCCGCTTGCTGAGCGGGGGAGGACGCCGCCGACGAGCTTGGGGCGGAGGGTGGATGCGAAGGGGGTGGTGGCGGTGTGCCTGACTAGGCCGCGGCGGACGGGGGTGCGGAGGTGCGTGGTGGCATTCTGCGGCTTGTGGGTGGTGGTAGTGTAGGAGCGGATGCTGATCCTTATGCGTGCGGGGCCGGGTTGGGGCCGGGGGAGGCGGGCGAGGGCAGGTTCGAGGACGAGTTTTGAGGTGGTGTGGGGTTGCGTGGGGAGGTGCTCTTTGAGGATTGCGACTCCACGCTTGAGCGCTGCTCTAGGGGGGGATGTTAGCTGATGTTGTGGTGTGGTGAGTGTGTTGGGGCGCGTCTGGCTGTGTGGGTGGCGACCACGGTGCTAGTGAAGTGATGTGATATTGCAGCAGCACCACAATAACAGAACAGTAACGAGGGGAAGGGAAGGGAAGGGCAAGAAAGAAAGTAAGCTTACCGTAAGAAACGGAGGGGCACGTGGACCCCGACCGCCATTTTGAAGATTGTGAGATTTTCTTTGCTTGTGTTCTGTGTTCAAGCACTTTTGCTTAATTCAAGATAGAGACGAGAAGAAATGCGGGGGGGGGCAAAGGGGAGCTTTAAAGACAGCTGCCTAACCGCTCAACTTAACTAACAAATTACTAAGGGCCGGGGCCGGTAGAATCCAGGAGAGCCCATCATGTAGATCTTCCCCCCCATCGATCTCGGGCAGCGGCTGTGCTTGCATGCATCGCCACAGGGTTTCAGCCCTCAACAAAGACACACACACCCCAAGGGGCCAAGCAGTGCCCAAGACGCCAAGAATGCGACGGGGAAAAAATTCTACTGGTCCTGGGGCACTTCAAAAAGCTGCCTGCGACTATCTCCCACCGCCCCTTCATCATCAACAACAACAACAAACGGCGGCGACGACGACGACGATGAACTGCTGGCTGGGGCAGTGAGTGAGCGATGAGTGTTCGTGGCCCTGGATGCCGCTGGAATTGGCAATTGGTAGGTCTTTATCCATCTCTTTCTTGTCTTCGCTACTTCCCTGCCCCGCTGTGCTGGCACGATTGCGGCACTGGAAGATTTAAATGACGAGAAAAACGCTTTTGAACAATCCAACTCCTACTTTTCCGTGAGGACCTAGTACTCTCATATTCTGATACCATCTTCCTCCTCTCATCTTCCCTGCATTATCCCCATCACCATCCATCATCCGCTAACATTCTCTCCCCAGATGCAAATTTTTTACCTTTTTTTGTATCCTTTCCTCCTTCCAGCGGTTCAGGGCCAGGAAGTGCAATCCAAAAGGTTAGTCTAATTTTTTACCTTCTTTTCTTTAACACGTAACAATTGGGGAAGTCAATCGCTTGAATGATGATACATCGACAATTGCTATGCTCCTTCTTAACACTCGTGTTGATATAAAGTCTACAATTAAGTTTCAGCCTTGTCTGACACGCGATTGACTCCCTCCCCTTCATCCCTTCCCCCTCTTCCTCATCCCAACCACACTTTTACCATCTCAACCACTCAATCGCTAACATTACCCGCAATAATCAGGTACATAAAAACATCCCTCCCCCTCAGAACATATTGCCCCAAAAAACCAAATGAAGAAGTTTGAACGTACGGGCGGACAGAACCGCGCCGCCCCCACCACTCGTGGTAGCCGCGACCCACTGTACAAAACCGGGAAGCTGGGGGGTGGTGCTTGTTGATTTCGAGCGTCAGCTGATGTTTTCCCACATCGTCTGCCTTTTAACTTGCCAATTGCTCTTGTTGAAAGAGTTGGCGCTGACTTTTTTGCGCTCTCAGATCTCAATGGACCTAACACTGGATTTTTGGATCACTAACAAACTAACGGTAAGCTTTTCCCCTCTCTTTGTTATATCCTCTTTTTTCCCTTTTCCTTTCTTTTTATCAAGGGATGGGAATTGTCGAAATGATGAAACATTTATTATTCACACTGTGTGATTGGGTTTCTGCCCTTTATGAGCACATCCATAAAAAATCTGATTTAATGAGCCTGACTCGACATATTTCCCATCCCTCTTTTTATCATACCCCCCGCGTTTCTGTTGCTTCTGGCAAATGGTTTTTGGAATTGAGGCTAATTTCGTTGGCTTCAGATTTTAGGAATAGCAGTAATATCTAGAATAGTAGAGCGTGCACAGCGGCCGCTCTGGTAAGGACTAACAAACCTTTTTACAATGGACGACTTCCCGTGAAAAATTTGGAAGGCGTTTAGGAAATAGATTTCTGAATATGTATGCGAATGCCTTCCCATGGCGAACAATATTTTCTAGATTTTTAAGTACTGCTTTGGTTTAGTGCGTAACATTAGCACCCACCCGGAACTTTCTTAACCAATCGTATTTCGCCCTTTCAAATTTCTAAATCTGAAATTTGAACGTACCCCCCTCCCCCCCTCCCCCCCACTCAGATTCCGAATCTGGAGCGTTGCCATCCAAATTTTATTACTAAACCCATCCAAACCGCTTCTAAACACCTTCTAAACGCCCACGGGAAGTCGCCCAATATATAATAAAAACAACCCGGTCGACATTCAATAATTTACAAAAATAAAAAAGGAACAAAAAGTTCACAACACCGCTCTAGGCCTCGGTTGCTACGTCTTTTTCTACGTCCGGAAGGGGGGTTGAACGCTCACGAGCTCGGTACAGAGCGTGAGCTCTATACCGCTGGGCCACGCCCAACCCCCATGTTCACCTTCTTTCCTTTGCTGCTGTTAGCTCCATGGGGGGCTCGTACGTACGCTAGCTTGGCGATTTCATGGTCAGCATGACCTGGGCCGGATGCGGATGCGGATGGCGTATATAAAAAAAAATACAATACAATAATATTTCTCTCCCTCTTGACGTGACGGTGGGTGGGATGAACGGTGTTTTTTTCTCTTTGCCGGCGTTAGTAGTGTGAAAGAGGGAAACAAATACTTCGTTCCCGAAGCCCAACCAGGTCCATTATAAACTGTTTTTCTCGCTAGTGCCATCAGCAAAAATGAATGGCTTCAGTCTGCCCCTTTGGCTCGTAGTTACAATATGCACCCATCTCGTAGATCACCCTGCCTTGACGCCCAGACGTCAAGAGTCAAGACCCATCCATCTGCAGATCTGATAAGATAAGATAACGATACCACCTCGACCTCTCTACCTACAGCTCTACGTCCCCCTCCACCTCTCACTTTAAACCTCACTCACCACACCCCACCACCCCTATATCAAAACCAGATCAAACCAAAACAATGGCCAACCTCTCCGGTACCCCCCCCCCCCAATCCTCTTCCCCCACCATCCCCCCAATCCCCACTGCCCACCCCACTAACACCCACCCCCACAGACGAAGACTCCCAAATGCACGACTCCCCCTCCTCCACGCCGTCCACACCACCACTCTCGCAGCCGCAGCCGCAGCCGCACACGCACACGCACACGCACACGCACACGCACAACCTCGTCAACCCCGCCGAGCACCTGTCGCTGCACTCGCCGCCCGACTCGCAGGGCCACCCGCAGACTTCTTCGCAGGGGGCTCAGGCGGGCAGATGGGGCAGGGATCTTCGCAGGCTCAGATGGGGATGGGGGGGATGGGGCAGGTGGTGCCGAGCTGGGCGACGAAGCGCGCGGTGGAGGACGCGGAGACGGCGAGGGAGAAGGTGGTGGATGGGAAGTTTACGTTGCGTATGTATGGCCTTTTGTGTTTTTGGGGGGTGGGTGCGGCGGACTGGGCTAATGAGTGTGTGTGTGTGTGTGTGGGGTGGACAGGTTGGGTCGGGGATGATTATGATGAGAGTGATATGTTCAAGACGGACTAAGACGGACTAGACTAGGAGGCTGGCTAGGGGGGATGGGGATAGGGGATCGGGGGAGGGTAGATGGCTAGCTATCTAGCTGGCTGCAATGCAATTTAATGATTGTGTTGCGGGTTTCTTTTTCTTTCTTTTCTTGTTACCATTATTACTACATAGCTAGCTACAGTGCAATGACTGTATTGTGGGTTTTTCTTTCTTACTACTATGTAGTTCAATGCCCGGGGCGTTATTTCTTCAAGTGCAAGCTAGATAAAATAGGGTCATTTTGCAATGAGAGCTCGTGAATTACTACTGCTGCTTTTGGTTAATCAAAGGCGGGGGGGGCCGCCACCTTCAACTTTGCCAGATCCACCTCCACCCCATCCACCTCCTCCTCCGCATCATCCATCCCCCGACCAAGCCGCGCTCATACAACTGTCTCCCCGTCAGCCTCTTCTCCTTCACGCCCCCGCCCCCCCTCCTCCCCTTCTCCTCCTCCTCCCTCGCCGCCGCCGCAAGCCGCCGCTTCTCCTCCTCCTCCTCCTTAAACCTCGCCAGCCACTCCACGAAGCGCTCCCGCGTCACCAGGGTGCCGCGGAACTTCTCCATCTCCTTCTCCTCCTCGGCGCGCAGCTGCTCCTCGCGCCGCGCCTCGACCGCCTGCGCGCGCGAGGCGATCAGCTCCTCGGCGGCTTCTTTGAGCGTGGTGGCGAGGCTGAAGACCATGGCCATGCCGAGGTTCTCGTCGATTGTGGTGGCGAGCGCGGTGAGGAGGGTGTCTTTGTCGTCGGGGAAGGAGAGGGAGGAGGTGGGGGAGGCGGCGTCGATGGTGAGGTCGAGGGCGGGGGCGGTGTCGGGGTAGGTGGGGGGGTAGGTTACGTGCAGGTTGAGGATTGCTGGGGGGGGGGGGTTAGCTAGCTGTGAGGAGGGGGAAGGGGAGGCGGGGGGGGGGAGGGGAGGGAGGGAGGTACGGGGCTCGTGGGATTGGCCGGGGATGTTGGGGGGTTCGAGGACGAGGCGGAGGGTGAACTGCGTGTCTGTGATCTCTGTGCAGCGGTGGGGTGTTAGCTGTCTGTCTGTCTGTATACCGTCCATGTCTTTGGGGGCGCAGATACGCACGTGTGAACTCATCGGGGTAGATGGACTGCAGGACCTCAATCTCCTGGGCCTGCTCTTCGGTCGCCATCTCTGCCTGCCTGTCTGTCTGACTGCACTTCTTTAATCTGCGAGAGTAAGGTAGGCTGCCAGAGAGAGAATTGTAGTTGAACAACTCGATGGTGAGAGTAAGCGTGCATGGAGTCACGCCCTCGTTTGTTTGGCGGGGTTGCAACCAACCGCCGATCACAGCCCCATGCAGACTAGCCCCACGCACAATCCGCGACCCAAAAAAAAAACTCTCCCCCGCCCCCGCCGTAACAACGATCACATCACATCACCTCTCTACAGCTATCTAATCTCTACAGACACACAGCCAACCGCAATGGCCAAAACCCGCTCCAACCCCCCCAAGCGGAAATCAAAATCCACCTCCACCGCCAAATCAATCCTGCACAGCGCCTCCAGCACCTTCTCCACCAACCCACACGCCCCCAAACCACCCCCCCCCTCCGCAGACACCCTCACCGCCTCCGCCGCCACCGCCCTCCACACCGAAGGCAACCCGCACGACGCCCTCCGCCTCACCACCCTCGCGCTGCAATCCGACCCCGCGCACCTCCCCGCGCTCGAGCTGCACGGCGAGGCCCACCTCGAGCTCGGCGACGAGGACAGCGCGCGCACCTACTTTGAGAAGGCGGCCGCCCTCGACCCCGACGGCGCGCTGTCGGGGCCGGAGAAGTTCCTGTGGCTGGCGCAGCTGGGCGTGGGCGGGGCGGAGATGATGCGGTGGTATGAGCGCGGCACGGCGGTGCTGCGCGCGTGGATGCAGGAGGGGCGCGGCGCGGAGAGGGGGCTGAGGGAGAAGATGTGTGGCGCGTTGTGTGCGATGGCGGAGATATATATGAGTGATCTGTGGTATGTTTCCCCCTAGCCTTCGGGGGTGAAGTGATGTGGAGAAGTGGAGGTGGGCTGATGTGATGTGGTGGCAGCGACGAACCCGACGCCGAATCCCGCTGCGAATCCTACGTCACCGAAGCGCTCCTCACCACGCCCGACTCCTCCGAAGCCCTCCAAACCCTCGCCTCCATCCGCATCTCCCAGCAGCGGCCCGCCGATGCCATCACAGCACTGCAGCGCTCGCTGCGCGTATGGCAGGACCTCCCCGCCGACGCTGCCGAGGTGCCGAGCTATGCGTCGCGCATCAACCTGGCCAAGCTTCTGATCGAGACGGCGCAGTACGACACTGCGCTGGAGGTGCTGGAGCGGCTGCAGCTGGAGGACGACCAGCTGCCGGATCTGTGGTATCTGGCGGGTGGTGCTTGTTTCTGTATGGTGAGCAGGAGGAGGCGGGGAGTGAGGAGAGACGCGAGCTGTGGGGGAGTGCGAGGGAGTGGTTGGGGAATTGTGGGGTGCTGTATCAGGCGCTGGGGTGGGAGGATGTGGGGATTTGGGAGCATGCGGAGGAGTTGAGGGGGAGGATTGGGGCGGAGATTGGGGAGGAGGAGGAAGGAGAGGATGAGGATGGCGAGGAGGAGGGGGAGGAGGAGTGGGAGAGTGAGGAGGAGGGGAGGATGGGGATGTGGAGATGAAGTAGAGGGCGAGTGATGCGGTGTGATGCGGTATGGAGACTGGCGTGGTGGGGTTTAACATGCTGGTTGGCCCGGTAAAAGGTGGCTTTCTTCTTTTTTTCTTTCTTCTACCTCTATTTCTTTTCTCTTTTTCTCGCATTTTCTTTTTTTTTCTTAGGTGAAAAGTTAATGAATTGATTCCTACACAAGGCCGCCAAAAAAATAAAATTACAAGTACATAGCTGCTCAGGAAAAAAAAGGGGGGCCCAGCTTAGATTGTTGGTTAGTAAATTTCCAGAGCATAGATCCTAGAGGTTTAGATCCCCGATCTGAATATAATTCGAGTAAATAGCGCCATGATCATTGAAGGCCCGAGAACTGAGAAACCACCTGTACTCGTAAACATCGGACCACCGCCCCCCACCCCCACCCCCACCCCGCTGCTACCTGCATTCTAAAACGTATAAAAACAGCTATACACCCACATCCACCCACCCCGCGCGAGAGTTATATATAGCAACACCCCGACGCACCAAGCACCAAGCACCAGCTACCTGTACGCAACCAGGGGCAATAACCAACCCAGAAGACCTACGCCCTGAGACGCGCCGCTCCATCATGGCAATAAGTTCCGCACAGATTCTCCTGTCGTCCAGCTAGCTGTTTCAGCCCCCCCCCACGGATACCAGTAGCGGAGAGAGGGGGGGGGGACTATCGAGTGATATTTCATGATGGGAGCCAGAACGCCCGGCCCAAGGGTCCGTTAGTCCGTCCGCTAGCTTCCTGTGGCTTTTTTTTTTTTTTTTTTTTACTGCTTTGGAACTTTGAGAACCGGTTCTGGGGGTGGGGTGTGTTGGCTCTATAGATGGGGTATGCTGTTTGGTTTGGTGCGGTTTGCGCATGCGCTACCACTGTATGGATGGACTATCGGTGCTGCCTGCGCTTTCCGGGTTTGATCTTCTTAAGCTAGCTTGCATGGCCTTCTTCTAGCTACTCGGTGGGCAGAGAAGGTACAGATACGCAATTAAGAACAGTTGATAGTGCACTGCCACCAGCTTAACCCCACGTACGCCTCCATGGGATGAACACACAACCCAGCCGCTGTCGGAGCGAGTAGGTAGGAGATTATTAAAATGCAAGTGCCAACCAAGTATTAGCTTGATGGCCCGTTTAATTGGCCAATTGGTTCCCAACTAAGACATACGGCGGAAATTAAGTTGCTCTTTCCCGCAGTAGTCACCCTAGCTAGCTTGTATGGCGCGACGTCGACAGTCAAACCGATTCCTAGAACTAGTAGAAACCTTATTAACACTCTAACAACACTCTAACAATACCCTATGTTAATATCCAACACAACATGTTTCAGGTGGGGCAAAAACATCCCTCAATGAACCAATCAGAAGACTATAAAAGCACATTGCCTATGCAGGTTATAATTATATACTTATTAGATGTACATGTAACCCACCACTACCGCAAATTTAAAATGCGTGACAGCAAAATATCTATATCCACGCCTGTTGCAAATCTAGTTCACAATTAAACCCTCCGAGGTTCCGGTTATAGAATTAAGCGAGCTGTCCTAGCTAAGAGACGGGGTGTCATGCCTTGTAGTATTAGTTATCTTAGTATTCTGCGCTCAAAGATGCCCTTTTCTAGATCCCCCCCCCCCCCCCCCCCGCTCCAATAATTATATATTCTAGCCCGGATTAGCCGCTTATAAACCTTTGAACATTGCGCTGATGATTGGTAGTTATGGGGGTAGGAGATGCAGAGCGTATTGTCGGAGGAATGTGTATTGAGCATCTTTGAAGGGTTCTTGAGTCTAGGCCTTTTTTTCGAAGCAGACTTAGGTCTTGATATCAAAGGTTATATCTAGGCGCGGGCTCCTAACGGAGAGAACACAGTTGACACAGAATTTACAGTGTCGTTTCCAGTCCTCGTTGTTCGCGAGCCGCACACACAACACCACACCGCAACCAATATGTAACAGCAAATTCTGAGTTTACAAAAAGGAAACGAAGCACAGCACATAATGGAAAAAATATATAAAAAAGAAGCTTATTGACCCCTACGTGATTTGAACACGCAGCCTTTCGATCTGGAGTCGAACGCGCTACCGTTGCGCCAAGGAGTCGTGAGAATCCTTTCATGAAATTAATATTTGTCTGGCATCCTTGTTGCCGCAGACAGGGATCATGATGCATGGAGGGAATGATCGGAATCACATGTTATTAACAGAAGGGAGCAGAGGGGAAATAGGACGACTTAGCTATGCAAATATAGCTGGATGGGTGGGTTAGTACGCCAATACACAAGATCAAAACCCATATAGATATTCAAAGGCCTTAATTGGAGCCCTAGTACAGCAGTCTCTCGCTAGCTCTAAGGATATTATCTATAAGCATATATGCCCAGCTAGCTATATATAGGGATAGAATGTCCCGGTCTCGCCAACTTTTTAACACTTCGTCCTGAACCTTCGAGGGTGATAATTCCCTATAAGGATACAAAGTCCTGGTCGTATCGTTCTAGCGAGAGAGAGAGTGCTGTACACAGATATCTCGGCCTGGTATATCCAATGGATTGTGGGACCAAAGATGTATAGCAAAAAAGTCCAAACAGTAGTAAAGCACCTGAAAATCTCACCCCCTCTCCATAGAGTACCTTAGTTATTGGAAGAAAATCATCAACTGCAGGCTTAGCCGGCCAGATCATTGGCTCCTTGTTCTAATGCCTTATGTGATTAATGTTAGTCACGCGTAGTACGAGAGGCTGATGACAGCGCAAATATGGGGGAAATAAGGAACGAATTATACAAAGGCATAGGCGGGAACACGGAACGTTACTGATAACTAATCTTAAATGAATTGGGTTCTTGGGAGGATGGAGCTGGCTGTTGGACGTACTAAAAACGAAGGAGGGAAAAAAAAAAAAAAAGAAAGGGAAAAGAATGGCTAGGCCTAGACTAGTGCTTCACCTCGCAAACGTCAGAAGATGATGAGGGGAGCGGCGAAAGTGCACAAGGCGCGCCATGCCAAGAAACCTAGTTTGCACCTCGAACAGCGCAGTCCATGGACGCACGCACTATTTTATTCCTCCCCAGATCTAACATGCCCGATAAAACAATCGAGAGTTTTGCACCCAATGCTAACCTAGTTTACCCGTTATAGCCTTATCGGGCATAGATCTTCCGCAGTTTTAAGTTGGTAGGCCCTTTGGACCAAGAAGTGACGATCAAGAGAATAGAGGGATGAGTACAAGGCAGTAGAACGCGCCTTCATCTGAAAAACAATTCAAGGAGTTGCAATGCCCAGTTATGCTCAGAGTATAATGGATCTAGGTATATGTGAGGACTGATGAGGAAAGAGAGGAAATCATAGTCGAGGCGCCCCATCATAATTATCTGAGGTAAGTGTGGCTGACCTAGGGCTGGGTGAAGGACTGCATATTAAAAGTAGCTACATCAGCGTTGACGATATGGGTAACCAACTAGCTCGACTAAACACTATGACAAGATACGTACGTAAACAACATAGTTTTCCGTCAATGCCGTTCATATGTCGACATTCACCGGTTGTGACTGTCTTTTCCTCTTATTTATCTCCCCTTCCCTCTTCCTTCCCCTCATTCCTCTCCTCTCCTCTTCATCTTCTTCCTCTTCGGCTTTTTAAGAATAACGAGTTCTTAGCAGGCGAGAGAAAAATCCGCTGGGTACTAAGACTTGGTACGTTTCATCTATACTGTATCTTTTGGCATTAGGAACCGAATAACCGTAGTAATGGTCAGGTTTCGAGGCCTGGGTTAGAAACACACTGCTTAAGAATTTTTATAGACTCGATTCCCCTCCATCAGACTTCGCTAGCTCAGGCTCGATCTTGCAACCATGTGGCTCTTTTTCTTCTCTGTGCATGGATTTACATACTTTCCTGACAGAATGTGAGCTACATTAGCTGAGGGGCTCGAAACCTACGGGCCTGAGTTCCCAATGGGTCAAGTTTCCTCAACTCAAAATAGCTCATGGGTCACACCACGCAACTGTATAAGATCTTATAGTGTATAAAAAGACAAGGGGATAGGCAAGCACAAATGTAAACTGCGACTCATACTCAAATGCGCCAGATCATGGTCCGAGCTCTCTCTAAGAGCTTTTCACAATAAATGACGATATCCAGGAGTGTCATGCAACAGCTAAACCTTCGACAACGTTCCCCCAGATCTCCGCCTAAGTCTTTCAACACAATCAAACAGTCGCTGACTAATCCTATATTTAATTTATAGGCAATTCATCAAATCGTTTCCTCATGACTAATCGTGACTCATTGCTAACAAACTACCAGAGTAACGAGTGATATCCCATGACCAACCACGCCTACCAGTACCCGGTAATCGAAGGAAAGAAGGAAAAAATGAGGCAAAATACTCTATAAAGCCGCCGCCCTGGTTCCAAAATGGCTATCCCAGCTTACCCTTTCGTTAATTCTTGAACCCCTTGGACTTCGCGCTAAATTCAACACAGGCCTCATCAGAATCATTATCTAAATGGTGCAGAACGGTTATTGTCATACCACTTGGCGCGGAAATCATTGCAAGTAGAATCGAGTTGTTCTGGTGCTGATAGTATCCAATCCCAAAGGTGGGGGCGAAGACATCGCAGACCGTTCCCCGAGTCAGGGTTTGACCTGGCCTAAATATGGGGCTTAGTTGGTACGCAAAGAGTCCGTGAATTAGGGTACAAACGTCACAATAGCCCTTGCGTTTCTGCGCTTTGGTGAGTTTCTACGAGGCAAGGCAGGACCTGACTGTCCAGAGAAGAACAGGCCAGCATCGTAGTCAGTGAGGTGCTTCTGTGGGGGCCGAAAATAGAGGTTTTTAGGGTCGTCTTCACAGGACTCCTCCAGCGTGAATGAGGAGCATTCTGCCTGTTTAACCATTAATATGGGCCTTTGATCTAGGTATATTGAGAGCCAAAGCATACCCACGGTCTGTTCATAACCTCCATCTCCCACTGTCTCACTCCCGCCTTCCTGCATGCCTCAACGAGTAAGTTATCTTGCTCACTGGCAAAATCATACCATTTGTTAATCTCAGGCCATTCTAAATGCACACATCTTGTGCAGGTCTGTTTCGGCCCGTTGTTCCGCGAAAATGCAGATCGGAAGGTGAACTTTCGCAGCGCCGGAAACGCCCCAGAACTGATTTTGGTCGCAAACCATAACTTGTTGTTTCGTGCAGGGAGGGATATGCTCATTGAGCGGAGATTGTGCGCTATAAAAGGCATTGGCTTCTCAGTCGGAGGGTATTGGACTTCGTCCTCGTGAGTGGTTGCGAGGACAAAATTGAAAGTGCGAAGAAGTGGGGCGTAAATGAATATTGATGAGAGAAACTCTTCGATAGGCATCATTCCGAGATATGTACCTTCTAGGTCGTTACAAAGTTTGTATGAGGAACTTGAGAGATTCCAGTTGACCTGAAAGTCTAGGTTTGTCAGGGTCGCTGCAGATTGCTGGTGGCAAAGCTTCAGATACTCAAGGAGTGGTTTGAACGGGTCGCATTTTTCAAGCGGTTTGAAGTAGGACTCGCTGACTATGATCTTCAATGACTTCAGTCCCTTTGTTGGAAGCCTCTTGAACATGAAATCGAAATCACAACCGCCTATCCTGAGTGATTCGATGGTTATAGACTCAAGGGTCCCTGGGAAGATCTCAAGTACTTTGTCTGCCCATTCTGTTTTATCCAGTTGAATGCTCCGAATGTTTTTCATCTGGCTGAAAATCTCAAGTAGTCTAGGCTCCTCCAAGATAGCCTCGGCAGAATGTTGAGAGTATCCCCAAGAGCTCCATCTCCAGTCCCATTCGACCCAATTTTGATTCCTCTCCATGGCATCAAAAAGCCTCTCCCGCAACACATCTCTCTCATATTCGTGGATATACGTCCACAGACTTCCCAAACCAAAAACCGACTCTAACCGAGCTGATGCCAGTTCAAAGATGGTGATCCACTTCGGCAATATACCAACCGAGATGTTGTTCTTCCATAAGGCAAGATCCGTTCTGCGCATTACGGGACGCACATACAACTGCGACTCGTCATGTGTGCTTACTTTCGGCCTGTAATGGGCCGATGGTTCATCTCTGCCGTAATTGTACACCCCCCTTGATAGGCCAGTGTATAGTGCAGGATTGATATCATTTGGACCATAAGTCATCTTCCAGCGAAGCTCAATCACTGGGAATTTCAAATGTCGAATAAGCGCCGCTGGGCCCTCTGGTGACCGCAGCGTATTTTCTAATCTATCGAGCTTCTTCCTTAAAATGTTCTCTCTAAGGAAGGATGGCTCGTTGTTATAGGAATCCAACGAATCCCCGTGCACCTCAAGGCAAGCATCCTCAAGTCGTAAATCGAGGGTTTGATAGAGCGCTTTTGTAGCGAACTCGTTGAAGACCCGACATACCAAGGATAGGTTATACAGCTGCTTATGTTTACAGAGAGTACAATTCTCAGTGTAGTCGACCTGTGGCAATATCAAAAACCATACATCTGCTGGCAGGGTTGGAGCTTTGCGTTGTTGTTGCACCACGTGACGATCGACATCTTCGTTGTCGTCCTCTGAGACCGTACGTATCGATAGCTGGCGAAGCGGAATGGATATTGAGTCGGGCCTCTTTGTGCTTTGTTTTGATGATGAAGAGTTAATTTGGAGTGCGTTGTAGACTTTCTTAAATGGAAACATTGGGTCAAAGCAACTTTGAGTTATCGTGGCTCGGAGATTAAATTCAGAAAGAGGAGTTTATATCAACAGCAGCCTCATACAAAGCTTCGGGCTTAGGGCAAGCAGGGTATATAAATAGCAACTGCTGCCTTGATGTGGTGTCCACTGGGGGTTTGGACGCGCAGACCCGGGCTCACGTGACAGGCATACCTGGTTATCCGGTGCACAGCCATCTTTATGGTGTAACATCTTCCATTAAACTCTTGGCTTCTAATGGGCATTGGTTGCAGCAACAAATACCAAGAGCTCATAATTTCTGAAGTTGTTTATTCGACAATGTTAGATTCCCGTTGGACGACAACTTGAGCTATCGGAATATAATATTCCCCACTATTGAAAGTGGGCAGCAGGCGACTAATTATACAGCCCCGAATGATTCATAAGCAAAGCATCTTACGACTCGTCCGATAGGCAAATGGTATTACAGTTGCATCATAGCATCTCACTCGCACCCGAGAGGAGTGAGTCATCATTGACGTTTGAACTTCCGCCCGGGTATTTTCGTACGTTCGCCTGCATCATGCAGTTCTGCGCTCACTCGATTATATAAACATAACCATACTACGTAATAAATCCATTTCAAACAATTCTAGCAACAAACCGTTTCATTCACTCTGGTGTATCAGCATGGTCGCTTTACTACACACAAGGAGAAAAATGAGCGAGCGAGTCTGCTACAGATGCGACAGAGGCTGAGGCCTTTGGTCACACAGTAAAAAGTCAATCAATCCTATACGTATATCAACTCTTTTCTTTTACCCAATTCACAATTTCGAACCCCGCCCCAAGTCCATAACACATAGCACATAGGTAGCCCACAACACGTAATGCAGAGCTAACGGTCCAAATACGTAAACAAAACAGGAGACAGAAACACAAAACACCATTGTTATAACCCTAAGGAAGAGGACGAAGGCTGGGAAGAGATAAAGATACACAAGAATTGACGTCGAAGAAAGGGCAAACAAAGAACGACTCCCAACCGCCCCAAACACGAATACACAAGGGAAAAACAGAGGCTCTCCGTTATTTTTTTAGTAGATTTTCCGACAATTTTCTTTTTCCAATCCTTTTCCTTTAATGACCCAACATGATGTTTTAGGAGCCTAGCCATCAATAACAGAGGTTTCCTGGAAAGACTCGCCCGAAAAGTATCGATATTTCCACAGGGCATCTATCTTTCGCAAAAAGAATGTCGATCCAAACCATCCCCACCCTCACTCATACTATCCTTTTTTAGGTAGAGCGCACAGCACACCTAAATCAAGGAAAAAGGTAAAAAAAAAAAAAAAAAAAAAATTGAAAAGGGATAGGAAAAGCTGTGAAAAGAGTAACTATGTACGTGAAGTTAACATCAGGTTATAAACTGCTGCCCATGACGGTTTTATAAACTGGGAGGGTAGAGGATAATACTGATGAATGCCCCTCCAAATCTTTGTAAGCATCGGATACTTTCCCTTTTGAATGCCTTCCGCCCATTTCTAGATGCAGAAAACTCCCTAGCTAGTTCCAAATACTAGATAGTCCCAAACAATGGTAGGAGTGAAGGAATAAATAGGAAATGAGTTTGGGGCGAATAAGTTTAAAAGAGAAGGCTCAGCCACCTAGAAATTTGAATGAGAATAAAGAAGTAAAAAACCAATTGGGCGCCGTATTAGAACAGAAGAAAAGCGGATTTTAAGTGAGTAAACAGTGATCTTTGAAAATGAGGAGAAAGAATTCTAGTTTGCAGAAAAGTGGAAAGAAAAAAACAATGTTGAACATTTTCGGTGACGATAAACTGTAATATCACAGAGATTTCAAGAGAAAAGGATGTAATATCTTGCGTACGGAATCCCACTACCCCCTGAAGATAAGTTTGAAGTAGTCGACTCATACCGCGACACATTTTCACTATAAACACTGTCAGTCATGATATCACTAAAGGGTATATGCGTCGCGTACAGCAGCATAGGATTCCACCAATCCATCCTTTGACTCCACACCATTCTGAAGCACGAATTGAAGCTCTGAGTCCACGAAGCTTTCAATCTTCTGTTTCCGTTCAACACTCAGCTGAGGATTTGACAAAAATGATTTAAGCTTCTCAAGACCTAGGTCCTGACCGTTCTTTACGTCCTTCTTGACCAAAGCGACAAGATCCTGGATCAACTTATCATGGAAGTGCTCGCGAGTCACAAGTCCGTTCTCGTAGAACTTGTAAATACACTCTAACCCAAACCGTTGAGAAGCGTCTGCATCTGAGAATGCGTATCGCCGGAAGTCCTCATACATCAAGTTGTTGAATTTGGCACAGAGGAAATGAGACCAGAATTTGTAGAGAGTGATCATTTCCGAGTTCTTGGTGGCTCCGGAAGATTCGCGCTGTTGCTGGGCCTGCAATAATGCATGTGGATACAACCTGTGAATGTAACTATCGGATTCTAAGCTTTGGTTGTCCTCTTTCAAGAGCCACCCAACTTCAGAGTCTAATCCAAATGATGGCCTATTCACGATAGCAGACCTATATACATGTGTAAGAAAAGGAAAGGAGTGCGGTCCATACGAGCTGTGATTGACTTACGTTGAGCCGTTGGTACCCACGCCATTGATCCCAGACATAGAAGGAGATCCCAAGGGGGATGTATGTCCAGGACGCCTTGTAACGACAACTAACCTCTGTGAATCTTCAATAAAGAACTCGTCGGGAACAGGCCGAGAGTTTTCTGCCGTTCCGTTTAAATATACAGCGCCGTTTGGCGAGAACTCGGGAACGTTGGCCGAAAGGGGAGTGGTGGCAAAGACCGGGGGGAATATGCCTGAAGGAACGAAGGGTGGAGCACCAGGTGTAATGGCGTTCTGGCCCTGACCTCTGATAGGACCGGGCATGAAAGGTGCAGCGGAGCCAGACATCTCGAGGGGTGAGCCGGAATTACTATTTTGCTGGCTGCGTTGTCTTGGATCAATTTGCCAGCTGCTCTGGTCACATTGAGCCGAAGGATCACGCTCTTTTTCGCTCAGGATCCATGTTTCCCACCCAACGGCTTTTCTTACGTGAAACTCATCAACACCATGGGCAATCTGTATCTCGTGGGATCTCAAACAGGCCTCTCTTAAGATGTTCATGTCTGTGGTCAAATTTCTGATGCGAGGGAACCCTGCAACGAGAGAAAGCTTGACAAAGCCATCACTGTCCATACGTTCTCGCAGCCACACATCCTTGCAAAGGTTGTCAACTGAAAAATAATACTCGCTATGCGAAAGTCAATAATAGCTCTAAAAGCCACAGGAATGAAGAATGTTCTTAAAAACTTACATCTGAGCAATAATCTCACTGATTCCGGCGTATTCAATCGGGGGTGGGATGCCGGTTGGGGATATCATGCTAAAATCGTATGGGAGAGGATAGGACGGCATATAGATTTGCGGGGGTGGTTGCATATTCGGGTTTGGATATCTATTACTGTAGTTCCCATTGTTGGGGCCCTGGTGCGACCTTGATCCTCTAAATGGGCGCTGTGAAGACTGCGAATTTTGAGCTGGATATTGACCATTGGTTTGGTGAGCATTGAAATGGGGAGGAGTGGAAGTAAAATGGGGTCCAGGGTTCTGATGATGCGCACCATTGTGTCCGTTTATATGTTGTTGGTTATAGAAATTCCCCCGTCCTCTATGGCCGCGGCCACGGCCTCCTCCAAAACCACGTTCTCCTGGGCCATGTGACGAAGCATTATCGCCCCCGTGGTGCTCAGGGCGGTTGCTATTGAAGCTCTGGTTATTGTACACACGTTCCCTAGGATGGTAATGTCCATTGGCATTGTGATGAGTCCTGTCTTGGCCCTCGGAGGAATGTCGACCATCACCTTGTGGGACAAAGTTGGGATCATCCGACCTCGAACCTTGACGCGCTCTGTCGTGAGTTTGGGTGCCGGCAGATGCTGTCTTCGAGGATTGGTTCGATTCCGCAGTCGGTTCACCGACCTCTGGAGACACCGCCGAGTCCTTCCTCTTCTCGGGAGATGGGACGGGCAAAGAGCCTTTTGACTCACGACGCTGTGTAGTGCCACCAGCACTGGTAGCACGCTTACCTGGCCTTCCCTGGTAAGCCCCTCGAGATGCGCCAGAATTAGAACCTTGACGGCCGCGATCGCCCTCCACTGCTACCCCAGCCCCAAATGTGCTACCAGTATGCTTATCGCCGTTGGGCGAGGATGATGATGGCACTGTACTTAGCCCCCCTCTGCTGCTACCATCACGACCACCACGAGCGCCCTTCCCTCCCCGTCCTGGCTGTTTGGCGAATGGTGGAACATGCGGTATGGTTATTGCAACAGGAACCCATGTGCTACCCCTACCGGGCCGGAGTACGGACGATGCGGGTTTATCCTTCTCATCTTTGTCTCTTTTAGCCTTCTCGACCTCGTCTTGTGCAATCTCTGGTGTTGGCCAAGACTCGGTATCCGTGACAGGCGGTGGAAGAACTGGAGCAGTCGCTTCTTTTTCTGGCGGCGGGTACCTCTTCGGTGTTTTTCGAATAGCTGGGCCTGTTCCCGAAAATGAATTAGTCCGTTGTGGTGGCCGTAGGAATATTGTTTAAAAAAAGGAAAGAAAGAATATAAATACCATCCTCCTTGCTCGCAAAGCCATTGGCCCTTCCGGCATCAGTGCTCTTCTTCCTAAACTCCCTGGCCGGAACATCTTTAACCCCACTAGACCCCTCCTTAGATCTTTCTTTCTCTGCAACATCTGAGCCCTCACCAAACGGCTTTTTCCTCTTATCCTGCCTCTGTTCCACCGACTTATCCACATTATCCTTAGCAACGATGGCGTTGCTTGGGCTTGCAGGAGTCTTGGCAGATGTTGCAGTTGCGACTGCGGCTACAGTGGGACTGGGCTTCTTGGCAGTTAAGATTTCAGATCTTACCTTCCATGGATTCACTGCTGGGAGAGCAGCAGGAACCAAGTCAGTGACTTTGGAAATATCAGGTGTTCTACTACCAGCACTGGAAGGCTTATTTTCTGTATGGCTTGACGTTTGGGATTGCTTCTCCCAGGAGCTTCCTTTGTCCTCCGACATGGATGAGGCTGATTCGTCTTCTTTTGGTAACGTAGGGGCCGACCCTACTCCCAAATTTGGAGATGACACAGCAGACGAAGACTGAGCGATCGCATCGCCATTCGTTTTGAGATGTGAATCAGTAATAGATGTCGACTGCGGGGTGGAGGTCCCAGTGGCTGGTGTACTGCCGTTCATGTTTTGTGCTGTCGATGAAGTCGAAGACACTGAAGTTCCAGCAACGTTTGATGAGGGGACTGTAGGTTTGGACAATCCAGCAGTCTGTGGCTTGTTTGCGGGAGCTGGGCTAGCAGAATTTTTTCCTGACGCAGCGGCAGCGTAAGAGAAAGTAGCCTCTGACGAATTTATGGGTCTGCTAGCAGACGTAGTAGTCATGATATCTTATTCGCTAAAAGAAAAAGAATTCGATCCTATACCCGTGGCGAGGGAAGAATAGTGTGGAATGAAATTTTTATTCCTAGCGGGGTATCCTTTGAAAGGAGGGGGGGTTGTTCCAGTGCGTCCTGTGAAGAGATTGAGCCGTCAACAAGGTCGTAGGGAAACCTGGACAATTTCTGCTTTCACAAATGGCGGGAGAAGCCGGTGCTCGCCCGCTCTTCACACACTCACAAAGAGCTTCAGTTATAACGCGCACACGCACACACAGGTGGAGACACGCTGCCTTTCACCGTAACCTGTAGAAGAGGAGATGGGGGATGGGCCGACGGGGGTTTCCTAGAAGTTCTGGAAGAATGACCAAGAGTTCGTTGATGGTTGGATGTGTCAGCCTTGTAGGTGAGTGCAACTGTGGGATGTATTTGATCGGGTGGAAAAAATGTCCAAGTTGGAGTGGGCAAACTGTGACGCTATTCGGTAGAAAGACGTACGGGATTTGACGAAGAGTAAATCTTGATCAAAGAGTCACCGAGTGGCCGTGAGGAATTGGAGGAAGGTGGACGGCCGTAAGGTGGAAGGTGGAAGGAAAGGACAAAGTCAGGCAAGCCGCGAGGAGCCGAGAGGTAACCGGGTACAATCTCTCTGAGATCCGCTCAAGCGGTAGGAAAAAAGGAACTGCTAGATTCCTTGAGAAGGAATACGATGTATCGTACACAAAGATTTCTGAGTCGAGGGACTCAAAAGACCGTTGTAAACGTCGTAGTACTTTCCTAGAATCTGTTTGACTGATAAAGAGAAACGGTGATGACGATGGTCAGCGACGACACTTTAAAACCACGCGGAAAAAAAGTAACCGGAAGACGGAGGAATTACACACGACACCGCCGAAAGTTTGTCAGGCACAAGCCACAGGTGAAAGAAAAACACAATTGGGACGGAAATGGGGGTTTACCGTTCCTAATCACACTTTAAGGTCAGACTTATGAAAAAAGTCTTTTGGTGTTTGAAACGAATTGAAAATTCTGTTTGTTCTTTTCTTAGACTTACGGTGCAGAGATCTATGAGGCGTTCAGTGATCGTGACTGCTTTGGTAGTAGTGGGAGGTGGAAGGATCGCTAGGCAGGGCAAAGCGGTAAATGAGGGTCGCAAACCTCAAGTAGATCACACCCAAAAAAAAAAAAAAGAGACAGAGGAGGGAAACGGGTGATGCGGGTAGCAGATTTTGAGGGGGGTGGGGGGTGAATGATAGAGCTGGTTGTTTGCGTACGGGCAAAGACGACACTATCAGTAGGCAAGTGGGTGTACTTTGGCTATTATGATACTGCTTCCTTCTTACGTTCGTCACCGCTGGTGGGGCGAACTTGGGGAGTGGAGGATGTCAGGGCGGGGAAAGACTCAGTCAAAAGAAGGGCGAGTGTGGAAACGACAACCCTTGGGAGTCGATGGCGATGAGATGGATGAACAGGCAAAAAGAAAAAAGAAGTGAGGGCAAAGCGGAGTGGAAATTTAGAGGCCAGTAATTGAAATTTGAGGCTCCCACACTACATTGGCAAAGGAGGGGTTACGCGGGGACAAACTCTGATGAGTTTTTTGTTCTTGTTCCACATTTTTCCTTCAAATGAATGCAATGTATACATACATATAATTGGCTTCATATCCGCACAGAAGTGAGAGGGAAACCTACTACAAACATCACCATGAATTCGTAGTTCATACTGGCAATGAATTATGTACATGTATGCCTACGCAATTTGCGTAGCGTCGTCTATACACATGTGGTATTGTACATGTAGTTGTGTACTTTGTTAAGGGGGGTGATTCTCCGATCCACAGGGTATGTAGAGTGAATCATGAAACTCTAGAGAAAAGGGAGGAAGGAAGGAATCTGATGTTCAATAATAATATGACTCCTGCGGTTTATGTTTGTCCGACACTCCCTCGGTTTATCCTCATCTCTCCCGTTACTCTAAACCCACCAAACGCGTCCGCATCGTCTGCATCGCATCGAGAAACCTAGTTCCCTTCTGAGAATTTTTATTTACCCCGCCACCCGTAAAGGCCTAGTAGTTTTCCATGCATACCCACGCCTGTCTTGTCTCTGTCTGTCCCTCATGTCTTGTCCAGCCACATCCTACCGTCAAGCATCTGTCCCGGATCCCTCCAACGACCTAACCCTTCCGCTGTTGATACCTTCATTCAACCTATTCTTCTCCTACCTATATATATGCACTAATAAGAACATCCAATTCCCTGAGCAAGCTTGTATGTATACATCTAACGTAGGTACGTGTACTTGCAAAGGATCTAGGATTGGGCGGTGCTTTTGTATATGACCGTACTAAACCGCTTTCGGGTCTATGATCTAGACATTCTATTCCCAGAAATTTATTTTACCCTGTAGCTCGTGTCAGGCAATTGCCAAGCATTTCCAATTCAGCTTTCACATGATGGCCCTCACAATCAGCAAGAATGTGTCTCAGTCCAGATAGGAAGTGCTGGGACAGCCAGCCCGGGCTACAAAGTTTATTTTTACAAACACGCCGGTCCCGCATACCTCTAATGTCAATTGATGGTTTACAAGTTGAATTACCTACATTATTTTATTCGAGTTACAGTTACTTGGGACGTCTGTTCTCGGTCTTAATTACTACATGTACATTTATGTACATGTACTCTAGTGACTACATATACTGCCATGTCTATGTTTCCCTTAGGCTTTCGTGTACTTGAGTAAGAAACTGTGATGTGGATACTGAAATGCGTCGCCTCGCTTCCGTGATCTAGAGTATACGTATACATAAGCATTTAACGCTTCAATGCCAATAGCCTCACATAATCCTCCAATAGAAAGCCCACAAATGTAATCCACCCAATAGCTTACTCTAGACTACCTTCAGACAGGCTTTTTCTCTCTTTGCTTGATAAGTCAGCTCTCAATATTTCAAGAAGGTTTCTACTTGGATTGGATTGGGGCTTTATGCCAGTCATGGCTTTGACGAATCATAACGCAAACCAACGACGCAGAGGAAGTAAGTTACCCCCTCTTGTGGAATGCGGTCTCGGTTAACGAGACATTGCAGGTACGAGGAATGTTCCTCTGTTTTGTTTCCCCTCAATGGAGGTGTCGACTGGATATATTAGATATGATCATGGGCTGCATGGCGGGTATGTACTATGATGGACAGATTTCTTGGCTCAGAGAGCTTCTGTAGGTACATGTCTTAGAACTAACACCAGCAGCGAAAAACCTCAGTTTACACAACAATCAATATGCAGAATGAATGGGGCGTCCCTATTTCCACTAGTGAAACTTGCGCCCTAACGCATTCCTTAGGTACTTAGATTAGTACCTAAAGTACAGTGCGGGCCTACCTAAAATCCTACATATACAGTCGTATACAGCCTGCACCCCGCAGAGTACTTTTAGATACGTACTTATACGGAACTCAGTGGTTGCTAGCTGTCTATCATATTACACGGTTCGCTGGAACTCCTCACGAGCACTGGGACAGCTAACACGGAGACCAAACATCGAATCTTTTAATGGAGAGTTTTATCTACACGAGTTGAACAGAAAGTCGAGCACTTAGAAAGTCCTGCACCTCTTATTGGCTAAATCCTTGCAGGTCTTTGCCTAAAACAGCTAGAATTTCTGTCCTGTTCAACTGGCGTAGCTAAAACTCTCTAATTGGGTTTCTTGAACAGCAATCGCCTACCGCCGAAGTAAGGAAGCGTCCAAAAGAAAGTTCAATTGTATACATGCATCATAGCTACCAGACAAAGGAACCTCAGCAAAAAGCCGGGATGCTAGGCAAGCAATTGACGTCTACAATATCAATCCAAATATGGTTAGATCAAAACAGCATTTCGGAACACCCAAGTGGTTCTTGGCATTGAAATCTGAAATCATGTTTCTCTTACCATAACTGACTAGCTCGAAGTGGACCTACATACAAGAAAGATGTGCAACTCTTACCATTTGGGGAAACTATTCGCAGTCCAATGAATTCTTACTTCTTCTCTGTGCCACAAGAACGCAAACCCAGATAATTCGTGGAATCTACTCTACTGTAGAGTCTGTAGAGCACATCCCTCTTTTTACACCTCAAGTGTTAAAAGAATACACGACAGGCTCCCTGCAGAAATAGAAATGGAATGCCAACCGCATTTTTCACTGAGTCCACCCAGCATGGGGGTACAAAGCCATCTCTCTAGCGCCCTTGGACACCCCCACAGCAGTAACAACAGCAGTGATCGATTTAATCACTTTGCCCCACCTTCACACGCCTTCTGTAAGATCATCGGAAGCGGGGAAACCTGTACGACGTACCAGAGACTCGATCTTTGCAGCCCTCTCGATTCTAACTACACCCCCTCTCTTTTGAACCATTTCCCTGGACTTACATGTACTCATTCTTCATATCGGACCGCAAAAGGGTTCTTTTGTTTTTCATTTATGATTGACTGGTTGTCCAGGAGCCACAACCAAGTCTCTACTAGTATTTCTCTGACGTTTTTGAACTGGGCCATTATTGCATACACCCAAAATCATGAGCTTGGCGTATTTTTGTATGGCATGCAATATCAGTCGCGTCCACAAACGTCAGAGAAATACGAGTACATCTTGCTTGCATGCAACCTTGTTGAGTACTGCAGCCAGTATTTGCGAAACCTAACTGAAGTAACCCACACTTGAAAAAGCATTGTGGCGGATAATGTTCTACAAGTTTACCTTTCCTCAGCATCAATTAATGACATCCTCTTATTTCTCTCTCTATAATCTTAACCAATCATGGAGTCATCCAATCAACCTACAGCCAATCAACGTTAAGTCAAATAACGTTGCTGGTTGGAATGCAATATTTGCTCCCAATACAATCAGCAGAAAGGTCATAAAAACAAGTGATCAATAAAACATGAATCAATATTAAACAAATCGGAAACTCACCCGGCCCGGGATTAAACTAAAAGAAAAACCCCACAGGAGCTCGAGCCTCCATATTCAACGCCCCATGATATGAACTATCTTTCCCCGCAAATGACCCATTACATATATGGTGATTCCTAGCGGGGGTCCAGATCCGGGATCGGAACAATAACAATCGGGTGGAGAACTTCATTATCTTATCGGGTGGTTTCATATACTCTACCGGACCGGCTAGTTGCGATTAGAACCTCCAGAAGAAAAATCAGAACTGCAAGGGATTCTATGTCATGTTCCGAGAAGGTTGCCCTATTTAAAATCCCACCGATACGTATGTATTCCTGTAGGTACTTGACTCTACACTAGAGAGACTCGGAGGTTGATAGTTGTGTACTCTAGGATCACCAAATAAACACATATACAGGTTACTCCATATGCATATTCCTATGTACATACATAAAGTACAAGTATACCGGTGGGTGTATGAATCAAGTTTGTAAATTAAAGTACTATACGTAAATCAATAACGAAACGGGTAGTTTCCAAACGGTGCAAGCAGGCAGCAGGCCGAGTAACCGTTCCGCGTTGCCAAATTCCATACCTCCCACCAACATGGATGTGGATGTGGATGTGGATGTGCTGCAGGCAAAGAAGCAGGTTCGACAGATCCCGTTGACAGATCCCACATTTACTTTAAATCTGCCGAGTAGGCGCCCTCCTCCGCGTATACATGAATATACAGGGGATTGGCGGTTCGGGGGGTCTTTTGCGGAAATCGACAGCCGGCGGACGACGACAATGCGTATAGAGAGGGACGGGGGCATGAGACGTTGCGCGTTCTTAGCTTCACTAGACACCCACTTTTTCTTTGTCATCTAGAGGCTTCGGTATAATTTCATCATTAGCCACGAGACAGGGAGGAACAGAAGAGGGCCAGTTTCGAATTATTAACATCTCCAGGTTCTTGAAGTTTTCAGGAACGTAAAACCTGCGCGCACTTCAATCTCATGATCAAAAGTGTTTCAAACGTGCGTGCATGCGTACCTGATACTAATGTAAGTCAACTTTAAGGATGTTTTATTTGTTTTTTCCAACCCCAGACTAACGAATCATCAAATCTCACTCGTGAAAATGAAATTATCAGAAACAAGGCTACACACACACGCACACAGCCCTACTACACTCTCACCTCACCTCACACTCACCTCACCTCACACGGGGTATGATTATTCTAGATAAATGACGTATGTTTCATTTACTTGTGAGACCAAGTCACTTGTCCTCAGTCCAGTCAGGCTATGGAGAATGTTCCCTTATTTATTATCGATAAGAATAGATAGAGCGGATAACAAAATAATAATAAAAAAGAAAAGAGGATGGGATCAATAAGCCACGCTGGAGATGACCCATAACCCGGAGGGCTCGGAACGCCAGTTTCAGGAACAAGGTACCAGACCAGGCCACTAGGCAGCCGAGGCTTTCTTCTCTCTATCTCTATCAGATTCTTAGGGCTAGAAAAAATAAAATACGAAATGGTTGGATTAGGATTATGTGGGAGATGATGTACGTACTGTTTAGGCCTAGGTATGTGACCAGATCATGAGTTCTCCCCTTCCTTCGAGAGCTCGTATTGGATAGACCGTTAACATGTGCTAAGCAAAAAATATATTTCTCCTTTTTCTTAAAGTCGTGTTATCCGGAGAGGGAAAAAAAGAAATTCAAATGACGTAAATGATCTCGAGCTGCTTCCCATAGAACTAACGTTTGTGCACCTGAACCTGAGGACGGCTCCCCGCAATAACTGGTAACTTGGGAGGAATGTACCATATGTTCCAAATGTGGCGGGCGAGCGACCTGTCAGATTAGCCTATGATTCATCCGATGTATGGATCCTTTGTCTCTTTCGCAGTTTCAAGGGAACCGTGGCTTACTCTCTCTACCTCGTCTCCTAGCCTCTGGTACCTATCGCGTTAAAAAAGGTTCCAATAGGATCCGCAGGATACTCACCCAGGATCCTTATGAGCAGTTATTATTTGCTTTCTCCTACCGGAGCTAATTTTCCCTTTTCGTTCGTCCGAACTTTGGAATGGGGGGGTCATCCTACACTGTTAGCGTACCTACATAACTCGCTCCGACTACTAGCTAGCGCAGATCATCTGGGGTTTTCTTTTGTGGCAGCGAACAAAAAAAAAGGTGAGATATGACAGGGAAAGAAGGTTTGGAGGCATGATGATGTAGGTTTGCATATCAACTCGGGCGCATTAACCGAGTGCAAAAAGATAATACACAGCATTCATTATGCACGAATGCGATCGTTAGATCCTGTAGTTCTAGCCCCTTCCCTTATTGTTCGGGCCAGTAGGTACCTACATACTACAACTTTACCACTACGACACCCCTCTTGTGTGCTACTGCTACTGCGAAGTAGACATGCGTAAAGCCTTTTTTTTTTTTTTTACCCCCTCCTCCTTTACCCCCGCTGTTACGGAATCTCTTCATTCATTCATTCGTTTTGCCCAGTAATAAAATGCCAAATAATAATAAAAAAAAAGATGATAGCCTTTTACAAATAAAAACAAGAAAAAGATATGATGCCCCATTGCTACAAGAAAAGTAAAATAGTTACGTACCCAACCCCCTGCAGTCTGTGGCTCAGCTATTACTTGGTGAAGGCGGTGCCCAAGTTGACAACCCAAGTAAGCATGTGAACAAGCTATGTTCTGTTCTAGTCCAAGAACCACATGCAGGATCCAGATGATAGGTCCCCTCTATCTATTGGACCCTACTAAATCTAGCCCTGCATCCAGGATGCAGCTCGTCTAATCCCGAGTTGACTCGCGAATCTGAGGCCTGTATTATAGTGCGGGGAGCTATTAGGAACTTCTATCGAAAGAATTGGAGTGGGCGCCATACCTGTTGAGCCCATTGGGAAATACGATACGAGATACCACACTAGTGCGATAAGTTGGGCAATGCAGGAGAAGAGAGTGAGAATCACAGATTGTACCTGACTCACACGTAAGTGATTGCTACCTCTCAGGATACGTTCACGGGGTCAAATGGACCCAGTGACAATTTTTTGATATTCAGAGAAGTAAGGGGAGGATAGAATTTCAGAATGAAAGCGGGAAGAAAGCAAAGAAGTAATAGTTGATATACCCCCAGAGCAAAGAAAAGAGTCAGGCCGATAGATCCAAAATACGCAGCTGTGAACGGCAACCGCGGGGTAGATAGAAGGTGCATGGCATATGTGAGCGGACCCTGAAGAACTGCCCAAGATGTAAGGAATAGTATCGATCCCACGGTCCAGCTGACATGAGAAATTCCCGTCAGTAGCGGAAATTATTTTGGCGAGGAACATGTGGCTTGCATGAGGGATCTACAGGACTTACAGAACAGCGAATTTCCGGGGTCGTAGAGACAGTATAGGGAAGAGGGAAAAGCAGAGGACGAAGCAAACTGCAGCCCCCAGGTTACAGCATGCAAACACCAAGAGGCGATCCCATCGGCTTACTGTATGAAGAAATGAGGACTCTGATCAGCAAAGTATTTTTCTTTTGCGGCGGTGAATTTCATGCATGGCCGTGGTTAAACGTGCACGACAGCGGCAGCGATCGTTTATGTGTATATCTCAACACCACAACCCACAACCGCTATCATCACTTTCACCATTCTCACCATTCTCACCGCTATTTACATTATATCTACCAAATCCTTCAACCTTGGCCCCAGGAGCTGTAGGAACACTGAAAGCAAGACTAATGGAGACAAGACTCACATGCTAACCATCCTGCGTCCTCTTCCTGGCGAGTTTGAGCAGGAAGCTGTGGGGGAGGGTCGGAGCTCGTTGGGAGCCGGACATAACCTCCGTTCCCAAACGGATTCCAGGATTGTAGTTTGTTTAAGAAAGGAGATGACGCGGAAGTATTGACCGGTTCATCTCTCCTGGACCATCCTAGCGAGTTCATTTGTGATCTGAACGAGTCTGCAGCCATGACGAAAGGTACAAGAAAAGTCAAGCCAAAATGGAACGTGGATGACTACTTGAACCGGGGGGAAGCTGTGTGCTGCTGAGCTTGCTGTCGGAGAATATAAACAGGATTACTGAACTGAACGGAGGGTGGAGCTCGGGATGGCTGTGATGGAGGTGGAGGTGGAGATGGAAGAGGTGGTGGTGGTTCAGGTGCTCTGCATCCGCACCTCCCTTTTTCCCAAAAAAGGTGAGATAGATCAATAGTATGTATGTTCAAGAGGAATATATGGAGTTCTCTCTCTCGGGAACAGGAGATAGATGTGGTCACCTGGGCACTACAGTAGTACTACTATGTACAATATAGTACTGGTTCTTCTCGTTCTCGTATGTGTGCTGTCTAGATCTCTGCTATTCTTTCTTTGCTGTTCAGTGTTTTTGAGCGTTAGGTGGACCCAAGATCTCTGGTGTATACGGGGAGAAGTGTTCGTGTTGAGTTGATGTGGAGGGAGGACGAGGGTGGCGCTAGCCCACATGGGCGCAAGCCTCATACTGTTCGGTACCGCCAAGGTTCCGACGGCCGCCCACTCATTGCCTGAAAGAGGTGTCTTATGGCGCTTTCCAATAATAATAATAATTAATATATTATCAGTCACTTTTTTGCTTGTCTTGGTTTTTAAAAATGCTGTCCAAAGTTTTGCTTGAAACTTTCACCTCTTTTTAGGCCAGTTTTCCAGGACGAGAAAGGTAGAAACATGCAGGTCAGTTATCGTAGCAAGCGGCGTTGTCTGGTAGGTAGGGTTTTTTTCTTGCAGGGGTTGAGTTGGGGTAGAACCTCTCCACCTGTGGAGCGGAGCAAAAGTTGGGGGTGGAAATCATCGTGAGGTTGCCCTGACCGTACCGAAAAGGCCAGCCAGCCATAGACTGAGTGAGTGAGTGTGGAAATTTAAACTAGCAGTCATCGACTCCTCCTCCGGTCGGTGGCTTCCCCCCTCCGCTCTTGCTCTTCCACCCTCCCTTTCATTCATTCCCCTTCCCTTCTGTCGCTTGCACTCTCCCAACCAAATCCCAGTCCCCATCCATCCTTCGTCCATCCGCCCCTCTGTTGATCGTTCCCCCCGTACTACTACTGAGATCTCCTACTACTTCTACCCCCCCTCTCCCCCGTCCGATTCCCCGTTCTTTCGAATCCCCTCTTCCACATACTTCCGAGTTTCTCGCCTCAGTGCTGCACGCCTTCCCCCCACAGAAATCAGTACCTGCCGTTTCATTACTGCATCCCACTCAAATACCCAAATATCAATCAGTCAGCCAAGTCTATATAATACGTGCGAAACAATTAGTTCGCCACAGGTCAACAACAGACACACTACCATTGCTTTATCTCATACATAAAGCCACACATAGCCACTAAGTAACGTAGAGTCAGCTTCCAGAGTCCAAAGAGTTCCGCGAAACCAACTGCACAATAGCGGCGCCGGTAACAACGGTAGCAACATCATCAAAGGAAACAGCTCCTCAGAAGGGAGATCGAGTAGCAGCGACCTGCATATTTCTCCGGGCCAGTCAGACTTGAGACTTCAGCCTGCTCCCCAGGCTCACCCAGCAGCACTACCACACCCCCCATCCTACCACCCCCTCCATCACTCATCCCCCCCTCTTCCACCATCCCCTGTGCCTCTGCTGCTTCTGCTGCTGCGCGCGCAAGAGGCTTGCCATTTTGTGTCACATCTACTACAATTACCCCATTACAGATTCGCAATACTTTGGTTAGTAGCCGCCTAGCTGCAAACCCCGTCTCTCCGCTTTACTTCTATCTATCTGTGTTCATCACACGCCCTAGTCGTAATCCTGCAGGTCTTTCTGTGCAAACACTCTCAGCGCACTCCATTTCTAGAACGACCGACCAATTCCAAGCGATCACATCAATACCGCTAACTAACTGGTTCGTTGCCGGGAATTTTATTTTCTTTCCCGTTAGTCAATCAATCTTACAGTCAGTCAATCAATCAATTCGCTTTCTGGCAACCCTGAACTGTCCTCCTTACCTGGCATCCATTACCTCCCCTGCTTGTCTACCTTTGCCCCTCCAACCAACCAACCAACGATCTACCCAACGTACTTAGCTACATAGCCAACCAGCGTCCAGCCCCACATCTACTCACCTCCACCTCCTACCCTACCCTAACTACATACTACTACATACTACTACATCTACTCTACATACTTCCACTCACCCCCCACCCCCTTACAACTACATAACCCACTACCCACGGCTTCCATTCGGCCTTTGTAGAAAAGCTATTTCTCATCTCCATCGCTCTGTAGAATCCGGCCGTCTCGATATTCTCTAAGCTATAATTTATTTTTGCCAAAGAGTCTTGTCGGTAGTCACCTCTTCAGTCATTAAAACCAGAGCCAATTCCGCTACCCTTTTTTTTTATTGCCAACACACGAAACGAAACGAAACGAAACGTTCCTCCATACCAAGCTGTCACCGTTTCTTGGCTCATACTACCCTTCTTGTGCTCAATTTCTCTGTTGTACCGACGTTCTGAGATCGGTACCCATCACTTCAACACGCATACACGCAGCTCGAAGCAACTAAGGTCAAGTGCGCACAGCAAGGTTGCGCGGTTTCTGGCAGTTAAAGGTGAGAAGGTGTGAGCAACACCCAGAGTTGAAGTTTCCAGTTTTCCGGTATCCAGTATTGGACACCACAAAATCTTTTTATTATGCCGATGACTAGTGAGTTAAGCTTTTACTTTACACAATTACTTGCAGTTGCACGGTTATCATTTTTTTTTTTTTTTTTTTTTTTGAATCGGTTGCCTACCTATACTTAGTGAGTCAACCAAGTAATAAAAAAAAAGAAGCTAACGGCGTCCCTTCCTAGTTCCTACATTTAGCTCCAATACATTTAAAAAGAGCTCCGCAGACCTAAGAGTCGATATACCTCACCATAACAACGGTATGCACGCCTACAACAGCAATTCCAGTAGTGGGAATGTTCCCAACTCGCCAGCTCCTTTCATCAAGAATGAGCCTCAAGACGAGTCAAGGTTTCTTCACCAGACACCATACCACGACGCATATAGCATGTCAAGCCATTCCTACCAGCAAGGCGGATTTGGAGACCAGAGTTATTCTGCTGGTGGCGATGGGAGCATCGATCCATCGGAGCTTACCATGTCTCCATCAATGCCAATCCAACAGAACGGTGGATTCTACCCCAACTTTTCAACTTCCAACAACATGGGGTACATGGGTAGCCATATGCCCGATGAGGACCTTGTGGCTACATTGGGGGGACCATTGGATGATAGTCATATAAACAACGGCCAGTTCGATGCCAATCAGAACGACTATGATAACAGCACCCATGGTTCACTCCATAATCTGTTCCCGGGAATGGATCGGAACACAAATGGAGGCGGAGGTGAGAACGGTGCATCAGTTGGGCCTACCAATATCGAGATGTTCTCTCACACTCCTGATAATGCGCCACAATCACCATTCATTCGTGGCTTTCAGTCACTGCACTTTCGTCAAATGAACAATTCTTATAATGGAGCGACGGCTGAGACCCCATCTTCATACAACGCATCACCTGTTATTGGATCTGATTCGACTCAAGGTACGAATTTCGATCAGTATATGGCTACTGGTAAGAGGAAAGCTCGACCGGCTGTATTGGAAAGAACTAGCTCGCGCAAAAGTCCACATTCGAGATCACCTCATACACCCAAGACTCCCGGAATTGGTGCCTTGTCGCTGGAGTCATCAAGTGTTCCGTCACAGCCCATTCCGCCAACTCACATGAATGCTCATCGCCATCACAAATCGCTATCGAACCACTGGGATGGAAATTCGGGTTCCTACCTCGACTCCCCTCTCTCATCGCCAGGACATTCCACGGTTCACTCACAAATTGCCGATGTTTTCAAATCAGGAAAGCACGCTTCGCTACCTGCTAAAGTCGAGCCAGGTCCCGGTGGACACACCCTTCAAAATACACAGGAGGCCAAAAGGCGCCGGAGGCGGGAAAGTCACAATATGGTTGAGCGTCGGCGAAGAGATAATATCAATGAGCGCATTCAAGAGTTGTCTCACCTTGTACCCCAACATCGTCTCGAGGACGAAAAAGTACGCAAGCATCTAGTAAATAACGGCTCCTTGTCACCAACCATGGGAGGACCTAGCGGTAGTCCACCTCGTGCGACATCAATGCTTGCCGGGGGTGTTGGTCGCCGAGCTAGTGGTGTGACGGCTGCTGGCATCGCCGGCGAGGAGAAGGACAAGGGTCCGAATAAGGGAGATATTTTGAATGGGGCAGTTGGCTGGACAAGAGATTTGATGTGGTCTCTTCATGAGAAATTGGAACAAGAGAAGAAGCTCAGAGAGCTTATTACCAGCCTTGGCGGTACTTTCCCATTCGAGCCAAGCGAAGATGACAAGAGGATGTCATCTGAGCTATACACCGCGATCGAGAAGAATGGTGTACAGAGCTTTAGTTATTCGAGGACACCCGGAACGAGTCTAAGGGTGCCAGGGTACACCGATTATGCTGGAAATCCACTAGGTAGCGGCAATAATGTCATGTCTCCGCGTGTGAGCCCGTCTGGTTCCGCAGGGAAGTCTGGCCAGAATGGCGGCTCAGCTCGAGCTACACCCCAACAGCAACAGCAGCCACAATTCTGGAACCAAAACGGCGATGACATGCCATTCAAGGAGGAGGATGAATACACTATGGACATCTCATAAAGTTGCGGATGATCCGCCTCCCTGCTCGTTACACATTTTCGAGACGATGCTAGTCGTGGCTCAAGTTATCCGACGGCAGTGATAGCTTCAGAGTTTATGCGATCAAACCATGGTTGATTTGATGCAGATTGGACGCAGGGGAACTGCTTGGGTTTATGAAATTGTTTGAACGTTTCTTGATGTGTATTATGAAGAACGAAGGATGTTTGGCGTTTATGTTTGGCATGATTGAAGGACATGCATGGCCCTATTTTATATTCTGTTTTTATTCCTGTTTTCCTACTCTCTCCACGTTTGTTTAGCTCTTCTCGTGTATAAATAGGGTAGGATTATGGTCTTGATTTCTTTTTCTTTTAATTTCTCTCTATTGTGGACTTACAATTGTTCGTGCTAAATCCTGTTTGTTATCTATTCCGTTCTGTTTATGCATCAAGATATTTCTTCTCTTCTATTCATGTTCGCATTTGCTGGTGTATTGAGGGGTTTCATATTGCTGCTTTTATGATTTCTTGGTTTCTTTACTAACTCTACTTGGCGGCGTTTCAAGTCGTTACTTTGTTTCTGTTACCTCCCCCATATTTCCCATTTTCATATCTTCTTCTTTCCCTTAATTAAGTGCTAAAGCCCTTGGAGTGGGTGGATTTCTATGATTGGGATCTCCCTATTTCAGAGTGCTTAGTAATCGGGGCTTTATTTTGAAATTTATTCTTCTATGACGATTTGGTAGTTATTTGAATACGAATGTAACCTCTCTTGCACAGATATCGATCCATCTATAGCTGCTATCTCGCACGGTGTGTGAAAAAGGGAAACCGGGCCCTCATAGATAGGATAATATATAGATACAATGTCTACCACCTGTAACCGGACCGAATCAGAATTCCCAAGTAGCAATACATAAACACAGTTAAGCTAGTTATACATAAATAAACAAGGCTTGTAATATAAAACAACTCGGCTTCTAAAGTACATATACTTAACAAGTAGCAATCAATAATGAGGTACATACAGGTATATGCGACGTATACGGACATGTAGTATGTAGGTACCGGTACGGTGCATAAAATTAGCCCAGCCATCCATTCCAGCTGGCCGGCTGGCTGAGGTTATGGGCGACAGATAGCCCGCTCGTATGTCAATCACATTAACCTTAACTTGCCTGCCTCTGAAACCTTACATCTATCCCACCCCACCTTTCCGGGAGCACAGAATCATATACGTGGACATATATATATATTTGTATTATGCTCACAACCATCTAGATCTAGATCTACCTTCATTTGCACCAAGTACGTGTTCGTACATCCTTAATAAACTGAGCAAGATGACGATTGTTGCTACATGCGGCCCATAACCCTTCCATTAGCTAATTAGGTATGCAGTCGGTTTTGGGTAATGCAATGTATCGTGGTACCAGAAGGGGCAGGGGCCAGAGATGTCTGGCCAGGTAATGGGCTGATATATATTGACACTGTGAGCGGGCGGGGTGGGATGCGGTGGAGTGGAGTATTGGGGGAGGTTAAGCCGATATCAGCCATACAGCCCAGGTTTGTGGAGCGACGGGCATAAGTACATACACCGACTCTTCATGTAGAATTGAGGGGTGAAGAAATTTCTTCGCTCTATTACTGGCCAAATGCTTGGCCTGCGTTTGACAACAGAGGGTTTGATGCTGGTACCCGCACCGCATGGGAAGAGGGGGTTTAAAATGTCGAGTGACGGTCCGTGATTCTTACTGATCACAAACTCCTTATTTTTAATTCTTTTTTTTTTTTTTTTTTTTTTTACTTTCTTCCCGATATATGCTTCCTCAGAGATAGCTATAGGTATAGAATTCGTGCGAACACATTTTATTCCTTAAACTTGCATGCATGCATGGTTATGTCTACCTATAGGTTGTTGAATTATCGTCCGATAGGAAGTAGCTATACGTACATCTACGCACTCAAGTTTGAGGAGGAAGAGAATGGAGATGGACAGTTCTTCATTCTGCCGTGTCAGAACTTGCTCTTTGCTCCAATTCCCCCTTGCTCTACCCGGAGCCGATTATCAGGACGGTGTCACGGTGAAAGTATATCATGAATCATGAATGGTTGTAGTACAGCAAAAGTCAACCGTTCTGCACAAGAGGCATTGGTGGGATTAAGATTCAAGGCGGCTATCTTCAATATCTTAAACTTTAGAGAAATGCGGCAGCCTAGTCTTGCGGTGTGTCTCCTATTCGATCGGGGAAGAGAAAAAAACATGCAAATTCTTTGATCAGCTAGTGATCGATCCCATAGTGCACTCAGAAAGCACACTTAATAAATCGAAAACCACCCGGCTATTCTTTCAGGTATCTGCTCTACAAAAAAAAAAAAAAAAAAAAAGGAAAAGGAGCACCGGAAGTATGTCTTAGCTGGCAAGTTGCATAGCATTCCTCATGTTCCGTAAATTAGTAGGCTGAGGTACCGGTAGTGATTTTTTTTCTTTTCTTTTCGCTCCCCAAGCAAGCAGACGCGTACGGGAATCTGCCTGGGGAGCTAGGGAGGGAAGAAAAGAGAGATACGTATATACATGAGAGGATCTACGCGGAAATCATAGTTACCGGTGTTCACCAAACGGCAAGGCACATAACAGACACCGTACCAGTCGTAACAATCGCTAAGTAGCTAGGTTAACTGCCATATTGCATGCAGGCTACGATTGGATCAACTCTCTTTTACTCTTTTCCTCTTGCACTCAGGCTTACGGCGCGGCAGCATGGCATGCATATGGCAGGTAAACTATGTGCATCAAGCCAATGTTCTTTTTCGCACAAACCCGTTCCTTCAGGTTCCACCAGCGATCAGAGTAACAGTAGCTTGAATGCGGTACCCCCCTGAGCCAAACCCAGCCACTGAGCGAGGCATGACTGGTTCACGTGGCTGGGGAGCCTCAGAATCGAAAATCACGGCACCGAATATCACTCGTGGTGCTGCGTCATAGAACATGATTCATGAGAGAGCCCAGAGTGGGGTCTCGTGCGGCTGAGTACTCCTACTCTACCCTCGGGATGAACCGGGGGGTGTGAGTGTGTGGGGGTTTCTTTTTTTGTGAGCACTCTTTCTCTTTGTCAATAATATGTAGGCAGCTACTCTGGGGATTTTTTTTTCCAAGACTCGATATTGCATGTTCTGATTTGATGGAGAAGGCTATGTTACAATATCGATGACGCAGGAGATAGTGAGCCTAAAAGTATGGATACCTGTGCCGGTGATAGCTTGGGTGGGGAGGTTTGGAGGGGGGTTGTTTCGGACGCCGGAAGTTCATGGTGACCATGGGGTGGAGGTGTACGTACTCGGATTCTATTTTCCTGAGGCGTCCTATAAGGAACCTCTGGTCCAAAGGGAATACTCGGAATAGTGATCCCGAGGTCTGAAAGCTGGTCGGTGATCAGGCCCAAAGATCTGAAAATCAAAAAAGGAAAAGGAAAAAAAAGGAAAAAGGTGACACAGAATCCCCAGATTTTTTATTTTTTTTATTGTAAAGCCTCACATACTACTTCCTGGACAGAAAACAAGATAAGGTCTCGAGACTGAAATAGCAGGGTTAATGAAAATGGTTGTCTCGAAGTAGTTCAGGGTTCCTTAGTTGCCGTCTTTTAGTTATTACGAAATTTGCTACTAACCATATCCGTTTAGTGTGGGTAATAATAGTACATGTAGTCTAGGGACACGAGGCTAGGCGTCCTATTATTCGAATCACCATAGCGAGACATCGAAAAAAAACAGGGCCTGTATAACATGCAAAACCATATGTAGGTACAGTCGTGAGTCGACTCGATCAGGAGTAAGCGAAAGCCCCATAAGGCTGTAATATCGAACACTCCAGAAGTCTTTACTATCATACAATTTGAGAGCGGGGTTGAGTAATACCACACAAAATACAGCTACCTAAAAAGTAACTGGGAGTACACACCGAGCTTACATTAATTATCTTCAGACGCCCAAATAATTAGGCCACCTTGCTTACAAATCTACAAAATACACAAAAAAACCTGTTCTAGTAATGTGATACCAAATCGACCATGTGCTACAGTTCCACGAGGGGGGGTGAATGTCAACCCTTGTAGATGTCAACCAGTCAGGTGGTGGCGGAGGAAGAAGATGTTTCTGTTTACCAGGAGAGCATGAGCCTCAGACAGGTCCGATCCTTGAAACGGACGTCCCCATGGCATGTTTTATTTGGCGTCATGTGACTGGCATGTCTTGTTTCAAAGCTACAAGGATCGTCCTCTATGTGTAAACCCTAACCCTATGATTATACCTACCCACATATCGCAAGTGCGATCAGTTTCAGACTTTGGATTGCGCACATTGGGAAAGTTGTCAATCAATGTTGTGTGTTCTCAATAATCCCAATTCTTCGCTGTGATATATCACCTTATTTTATGCCAAGATACAAGGCGGGCCACAAGTGAACTCAATTTATTTAATCATGAATAATCACTCATGCTCAGCCTTATAGTTATCTCAAATTATAAACACGCCCGGCCCGAAACGCAACAACAAAATCTCTAAGATGAATCAAAATCACCCCCTTATAGTAAACCACCCAATATGCGAAATTCTAATATTCGCAACTCCCCGAACCTACTTGGTCCGTATACGTAGGCTGTAAGAGATGCCTTGTCGGAATAGTAAAAACCATCCTCTTTGTGGTCAGGAGGCTTAATGCTCATATCTGTTTACTACTCAGCGAATCGGAAGGCCGAGGGTGGTATGAATTCATAATGTGCAAAAAAGAACAAAAACAAGGGGTAGTACTGTACCTATTACAGCCAGTGATATAGTAGTGACCTAATGCGCCCCATCCCTTCCCGATAGACCGGAGCAGTCCAAAGCCACCAGGAGTATTGTGGTTAAAAAACAATGCGAAGGCTCAACTCCTCATACACTTACAGAGTTCTTTTTTTTTGGTACCTTTGCAATTTGGCCAAACTTGAGTTTCTAGGGTGGCTTGGCAATGCCTAGTGCGTGGTGGGAAATGATACTTTTGACACCATCACACAATTACGCCCCACCCGCCCAAACTGTACCTCATTGATAATCAGTAACAATAATAACTCTTGAACCGTCAGGCCGAATCGAAATCGGAGGCACTCAACCCCTTTATGGCATTCATGATTAAATCAACGCCAGAGGGTGGTATCTTTAGCCGTTGACATGCGTGATGGTTGTAGCAGATTCCAATTCTATGCGCCACTTGTTACTTGTATCACGATTATCGTAAAGGGTTTGAGTGCCCCGTTGCAATTCGGCCTGATGGTTTAGGATAGTTAATGAACCCTAACGATGCACACCTGATCCACGTTCTACATGAAAACAGTATTTGTGCTGCTGGGATATTCTTCTTTCTCTCTCAAGCCATACCAACCCAAAGCGCTTTGTCTCCTAAGTTACAATCTTCGAACTCTTAATTAAGCCGCAAAACAGAGGCTGTCCCCAAGAGAAAAAAAAGGTTAAGTGATATGTTGATTAATAGGAACTTTTAACTACCTTATTGGCTGTAAAGTAAGTAGGTTGGCTATTGTAAATGACATCGCCGCGCATGCCGTTGACCCCCGCCTATCTGTAGACTCCTTCATAGATTATCACTCGCAGTTCTAAATCCGCCAACTACGCACATTTTTTTTTTTTTTTTGTTTAATTCATTAATTGCATGCAGCCAACTACGCACATTAATTGCTAGATTAATTTGGTACATCTAGCTAGGGGTGTACCACCTCGCGGCCGCGGGTTGTTGGGTTCTGGGTATTGTAAATATATTATTGGTATTAGACGAAGGCCTTCAAGAGGGGGGACTTCTTCCACCCTGCCCCGCCCCCCCCCCAATTCCACCTCCCCCCCCTCCCCCGGCCCCTTCCAACTCGATACCTCCCCCAAGCTCCGCCGCTAGCTCTCCACCTGCCATCTCTACCTCGTCTACCGCCTTCCACCACCTCCACCTCCTCCACCTAGTACTCCCAGTCATATCATATCATATCATACCATATCATTAATTATATTACAATTATACACAGACCTTTTTAGATAAATATAATTATACAGAGACCTTTTTAAATGAATATTAGATCGTTAACCATAGAGCTTCCGTTGCTCAGCAATGTCATAGGTTTTGGTGGGGTGGACCGGTTACCATGCAGGAGTCAGTCAGGGTTAGAGTTCTCGCTCTCAACCAATCAGATGCCAGAGAGTTCCGCAAAAACCATAATCCAGTACATAATAGAGATTTCTATGACAACACACATACATATAAGTAAACGCCCAATATCTCCCGAACGGAACCTACCATCGTTGAACACCCCAGATACGAACCTAAAAGATGTACCCAGAAGCTTTTTTATCTATGTATAGATACATTTTTTCTTTTCAGGAGTACGCATAGCCGGCTGGGTATAGTTGTCTGGCTAGCTCAATACTACTGGTAGTGTGGGTCGTTCTTTAATTGTACCTGGCGCTGGGTTCTTGCGCTCCGCACTGGGAGAACGAGTGATAGTTCATGATTAGCATCATCTGCAAGCATAATGTAGTTCGTGAGACTAAGGCAGTGATCTCTATGTCTCTATTGAGATATATAGATTGCTTTAGGCTACTGTTTCATGAGTATTGAATTCTCTAATAAGCCAAACGGCAGGCGCTCATGGATCATGAGATATCACTCGCAGGATTTGTTAGCGCCAATGTTGAATGTTTGACTTTTCGAACCAGTACAGAAGAGCTGCCAAAGTCGAAGACTTAGGTGGGTTCTATTAGATTTGATAACTATAGGAAACATGTAGCCAAACTTATTCTTATCACACCAACTAAAGAAAAAAGACGAACTATTATTCCTAGCTTTACTAAAAAATTACCGCTAGCTAATCCTCACTCTAGAACATAGTAGAACCTCATCCCTAGTTTTGTTCCCTACTGCTGATACTCCGGCGACGGAGGCCTATCCCACCGTCCCTTGACCGCACCACCTTCAGCAGATCCCACGGGGTGGGCATCGTATTCACCCTGTTCTTCTGCGGAATGGTAAGCGGGGTCCTCTGCGGCGCTGGCAGTAGTAGGGCGGCTCCACGACGCAATGTTTGGTGACTCGGCACCCCATAGCACAGGGGACGGAGAAGGAGCTGACTGAGCAGGGGCAGTAGAAGAGGACGGAACAGTAGTGGTCCATGGTGCAATGTTTGGCGGCTCCGCACCCCACGGCGCAGGAGACGGAGAAGCGGCCGAACGAGCAGGGCCAACAGAAGAAGATGGGACAGCAGTACTCCATGATGCAATGTTCGGCGCATCTTGACCCCACTGTGCAGGGGGCGGCGAGACAGCTGATCGACCAGGGGGGGAGAAGAAGCTGGGGGAGACGTACTCCACCGTGCCGGCGGCGGTGACGCCGATCTTGCTGCACCATTCACTCTTTCTGGAGATCCGCCGCGGCGTTCCCAGATCGGATCTGCGTCGTGTCTTGCCGGCGGCGGAGACAGCGCATCCCCCCTGTTGTCTCTCGCACGTTGCTGGTTGGCCGCTCTCAGCAACTCAACCTCCTTCTCATGCTCTCTCTGAAGGTCATGGATGCGTCTCTGCTCCTCCTCCATCTCCCTCATCCGCTCCCTCTGTTGCTCGCGGTCCCACTGCGCATGCTGAGCGCGCTGCTCCCGCATGAATCTTTCGCGCTCCGTCCACTGCTCTCTTTCTTCAGTGAGGTCGGGGCGGCCGTCTTTGGCGGCGGCGAGCTTTGTGAGCTCCCATTCGCGGGTGAGCTTTTTGGACAAGGAGCTGAGGTCCTCGATGACGCGCTTGCAGGCGGTGGTGAGCGCTTCCTTGGGGCCTATGGTGGCATCTGTGGAGATGCGGAGAGTGAAGGTGGGGAAGAGGGGGTGCGGGACTTTATAGGCGGCGAAGACAACGTGGTCCGTGTCGAGGAGGGCGGAGGTGAGGAGGTTGCCGAGGGTGTGGTCTTCGCGGGCGAAGGTGAAGATGGCGGTGTTGGGGAGGCCTGGGGGGAGATGTTAGTGGGATAATATCGATGAGGGTGATATTGGGGGGGTATTGGGTAGAGTGATATTGAGTAGAATGATACAATTGAAGACACAATTGAGACTTAGGGTAGGAATTTAGGATTAGGGAGGGATAGAAAGTAGGGCTGAGCATGATATATAGCAAAAGCTCCTAGGAGCGCAATCACAAAGAGCAAACCAAGAGCAACCCATTTCAGCGAAGGAGCAGTATTGAACTCCCGTTATCCAGGGCACAAAACGCAACACAAAACACAAAACCACACACCCAAGCCGCACATCCATAGCCATAGCCAAAAAAAAAAAAAAAAAAACAAGAAGAAGAAGAAAAGCGTCAAAAAGCCGTCAAACAAAAAAAAAAAAAAGAACTTACGCAAATCCCACTCCATCGTAACCCTATCCATACGCACCCACCGTTAGCACTCTCTTCACACTTTGTCCTGCTTTCCGGGAGTGATGACATACTTCTCTTCCCCCTCAATTAGCGTAAATAGCTCATACCTCTCCTGGCGGTCGTCCATGTTCCGCGCATCTTGCTTCATGGTGAGATTGAACCGTTAAAAGGCAAGGAAATGTTATGCCAGATGCTATGCTGGTATGATCTCGTGATAGTTGATGGTTGTGTGTGACTTTGAGTTAGGGTTGGGATGAACTAGATGGTCAATGTAGTGTGGAAAGTTGGAAATTGGGTGGGTGGGATGGCTGTCAGAGAGAACAAGGTGCGGCAGGCAGCGGGAAGGACCCTGGCTGAGAGCAAACATGCACTAGCAATCCTGCTCTGGAATTGTCTGGGACGGCTTTTACCGCTGGATGGACGGGATCTGGGTGCAGGTAGATAAGATAAGACCCTTAACTTAAGCTTCGGATTGATAGATGCTGCTATGCTATCGAAGATTACATAGTGCTAAGTTGAGCTCAATGGTTAATGCTCAATGCTCAATACGCTCGGTAGAATTGTTGTAGCTTGCAATTGCGGAGCTAAAATTGATAGTTAGCTTTACCAATCTACCGTTTTATAAAAAGAATATAGATCGAAAAGGTTTCACTGAAACCTAACCCCGAACCTGGCGCCCTCAAAATTGAATGGAATACAGCAGATATCAATTTCATGGTGAATAAAGAATAAAGGGATAGATGATGTGGTCCTCAAATCTGATGGGAGGTCTGCTATCTGTACTCGGGCCGTGGGAGATCGGTCACAGGTGCTAGAAGAGCCTGAGTTCTAGACTACATGTACCCACATACCTTTAATTTGGAGCCTGAAAAATAGTGACCCCGGGGGCAACACCCAGAGGTACCCCTAGTTGTATTATCACTGGTTGATTTATTCTTCCGGGACTTTATACATATTGTCCCATTCGTAAACCCTGCGTATCAGGTCGCCGCTGGTCAATGGGACGTGTCTAGCCTTTGGATTGCCTGCTCTGATCATATCTCATCCCAATGGGGCAGTTTATAAAATAATTATAGCACTAGGACAGAAGTTTTGGTAGTATACCCTTTTTACAGCCAAAGTAGCCATGTTTAAAAGTCTCAAGGACAGTTGGAAATTATCTCAAGACAGGGCCCAGAGAATTCTAGAATTTTAAGTCCATTCGTTAGGTGTGTGTGATCTAATTTTTAAGGTCATGATTTGAGTGTTTCTGATTTTGTATGGTGTTCCCATACAAATTTTGTTTTGCAACGGCAACCAAAATTTACCAAAACTTCTGTACCCCGACTGTACATGTACTTGCAATTGTCGGACATGCTTTAATTGAAGAATTAAGCATGTGTTCACAGTTTAATTTGGCTATGTGCCGCTCAAGTACAAAGCAGTACAAGTCCTGGTAGTGTAATGGCGCACGCTCTAGGTAATAGCATTTAAAAATGTTAGAACTCGGAGAGGTATGAGTTCCAGTCTTAGTCCGGATCATATTTAAAAAAAATTCTTTCTTTCTTTTTCGTCTTCTTTCCTCCGGGAGAGATGTCAAGACCATACTAGTGCCCGTGATTGCTGTAAAGGGGGGGAAGGGGGGCTTATCTCCTGATATATAAAAGGTCAGGGCGAAAAGAAATTTCGCAAATGGCGGGTGATGATTGGCCCTGTACCCAGGCTTCCTACATAGAACGTTAAGGACTGGAATATGGCGGAACAGCCCTTCAATGAAATGATTGTTCTGTTTACTCCGCCCAGGAAAGTACATGTACTTCCAAAGGCAAAAAGGTTCCAGGCCAGAGTAGCAGGAAAAAAGAGAAACGTAAGGCTTTATTCCATTCACCAACCTGGTTTGAATTGATAGAATAAATTAAGATAGTGCGTCATGAAATGATTCCAGTTGGTAACAAACGGGAAAACTTCTAGTAAAAAATAAAAATAAGAAAAACCCCCGCTCGACATCAATAAGTTATACAAAACAAAAAAAGAACAAAAAAGTTCACAACACCGCCTAGGCCTCGGTTGCTACATCTTTTCTACGTCCAGTCCGGAGGGGGGTTGAACGCTCACGAGTTCGGTACAGAGTGTGAGCTCTATACCGCTGGGCCACGTCCAACCCCATGTTCACCTTGTATCTCATAAAAGAATATAGATCAGAAAAGTTTCCCAAATCCTGCGGCACCTGACCCTGCCATATTGACAATCTACCAAGTACATCATGACCCACTGGCCACCATTCCATTTTTGAGCTCCCAATAACTGGTATAACTAGGAAGGCCCAGAACACTGTAAGCTTTTTAGTACAAGCCAGAGCTGTTGATTTCCTCTGTTGATATTGATTTCCACTCTTCCTCAGGACTACACTTCCGCGTTAGGATTCCACTCCACGACAGGTACCCCACGAATATTCCCCAACCTCAGATATCCAATCCACAATCCACTCCCTGACTTCACAGACCCAACTATCTCACTGCAATATCAGTACTTAATTTACAACCCTACCTGTACCAACACAAACCCGCCCCGCCACTCCCATACCGTGTTGCCAACCATGCAGGGCCCACGGGAGATCGCCGCAGGGACCCCACCCCACCACGCAGACAACCAAAATGCACTATACCCCGCCAATGACTGCTGTGCGAGTAACTATTAGGCCCATGGTATACACATTTGTGACATGGGCTGTAGGCGTGGGGTTTGGTGTATATTTGGGTTTTGGGACTATACTACTAGGGCGTACCATGTCATAGGATTGATTATTCGCGGAACTCGCTCGATACTCGTGTGATTTTAATTTTTGAAACCTACCTACCAACAACACCTGCAACTGCAGTGCGATAGACACAATGAGCGGCTTCGGACGACCACCTTCAAAAGTCATTTTCTCGCCGACGCCGTAGGTCTCTTCCTCTACAGTTGCCGACCCAATACTAACCCACCGCACCCCTCCAGTCCCGAGCGCGGCAGCTTCCCACTCGACCATGAAGGTACACCACCCTACCTCTCCCTGCCTAGACCTAAGCACTAACAGCAGCGGCGCTCCCAGGCGAATGCAAATGCGTCATGACCACCTACCTGGAGTGCCTCAAGAAGGCCAAAGGCACTAATGACATGGCCTGCCGTCTGATCGCCAAGGACTACCTCAAGTGCCGCATGGACCAGTTAGTTTTTTACACCTCTCTCCAGTTTACCCGGTAGCTGATATGGGAGATAGTCAATTGATGGCCGTCGACGAGTTCAAGAACCTCGGCTTCCAGGAGGAGGCGCCGGTGCCGGTTGCGTCGAAGGTGGCGGTGGGCGGGGAGGGGAGTCGCCTGGATGAGCTGCGGCGTGAGAACGAGGAGCTGAAGAAGCAGCATCGGGAGGCAGATAAGAAGACTGCTGCGGCGGCGGGGGAGAAGTAGGAGTTAGGTATCGGCGCAGGTACATAGTCAGTGGTGTAGAATATATAGGGTCTATTCTTGTAGATTATCCGAATTGAAGCCCCCGGTTCCCAAATATCGTGATGATCATCCGTGTCTGTGTATCGCAACCGCAACCACACGGAACAACCCGCACAACCTCACCTCCGCCAAACCAACAAAAACCTACACACGATGAACCCCCCGCGCACGCCCACGCCCAACGCCTGCCTCATCGCGATCCTGCTCATCACCCGCGACTCCTCCGGCGACAAGCTCACCTTCCACTACCCACCCAAACCCACCGTCGACACGCCCCTGCCGCCGAACAGCACCTACACCGCATCCAGCGCCTCCTCCTCCGCCGCTTCCGACGTCGCCTCTTCGGGGGACGAAGACGACGACCGCCAATCTCTCACCACACTCCACGACCTAACTGCCGTCGAGCGCAGCGAGTCCGGAAGCCGCATCGGCCGCCGGCGGAGCCGCAAGGCGGTGGTGCCGGAGGAGCCTGCGGAGGAGGAGGAGACGACGAAAGATGATGGGGGGCCGCCATGGGAGACAGTGCTGGGGTTTAAGGCGGATTTCTTGGCGGGGTTGTTGGCGCCGAAGGCGGGAATGTGTAAGCGGAAGTTTGAGCTGACAGTGGATGATGTGGTGTTTTTGGGCTTCCCGCTGCATGTGAGGCCGGATGGGACGTGGCGAAAGAAGAAGAAACGGAGGGGGAGGGGGACAGAGGAGGAGGAGTTGAAGGAGAGGATGGAGGAGGCGGTGGTCGTTGATCGGGGGAGCGATGTTGAGGAGGAGGAGGAGAAGGAGGAGGATGTGGGGAAAGAGGAGGAGGCGGAGGAGGAGGAGGGAGTAGAGGCGACGGCGGCGACAGCGGCGGGGGCGAATGGGGGCGATGTGGCGGATGAGGAGAAGGACGGAGACGATGAGGGCAGCAGCACTCATGGCGGAGGGATGAGCATGTTCCATGTCGTCTTTGTGCTCAATCCACCTGAGATGGAGTATCATTTCAGGACGAAGCAGATCTTCAACGAGGTCGTCAAGAGGTTTGCGAGGGCGCTCAAATACGAGCAGGCAAAAGACGGATATGTCTGGCGGGAGGCCGTCAAGATCAACCGTCTGCGTGACAAGGCCGTCCAGGAATGTGCGTATCAAAACCCCCCCCCCCACACACAACCGATCATTTCCCCCAACCCCGGTGTCAATGATAGCAGCTCCTGGTGTCAATGATAGTTCCCACTAACCCCCTCCACCGCAGGCATGCCCTTCTCCGAGCTCTGGCGCCAGATCCTCGAACAGAGCGGCCTGGCATATGCCATCTCGCGCATCTTCACCGACATCTCGCAGAACAAGATTGCGCATATCTTCCTCAACAACGCACTAGGGCTGTCTTTGCAGATCCCCATCACCACCGAGACCTCCGTTCTCCCATGCATCACCGACCCGCAGATTCCCGGGCTCCCGCTCACCACCGCCGACTCCTTCGGTGACGACGACAACGAGGGCGACAATCTTCTCGTCCGCCACTTCACGCTCCTCTTTCTCGTCGACGTTGACAGCATTCTCAAGGACATCGCCGCCGAGTCCAGCGACTCCAGTAACTCGCTCGCGCACTTCGTCAAGTCCTGCAAGCCATCCATGAGCTTCCTACAGATCAGCAACAGCTCCGGCATCCCACTGCACAACATCCAAGTCATGGCACGCCACCTCATCCACTGGCGCAAGGCCCGCGCAATCCCGCCAATCCACCACAGAGACATCTACATCGTCTCGCCCAACGCCGACATGAAGCACCTTCACACCCTCATCCCCGTCTACGCCAAACTCTTCCCCACGCTCCCCACGCTCCCAAAGATCCTCTCCCTCCTCTCCCAGAAGCCAAAGCAGTTCGCCGCCTTCATCCCCTCCCGCGACCACAGGAGCGCATACTGCGACATTCTCGCCTGGCTGTTGCGCCACGGCCTCGTCACCCAGCTGCGCAACTTTGCGTGGATCCGCGTCACGCGCGATATCAAGCTGCGCGTGTTCCGCGAGCAGCAGCAGCAGCAGACGGCGCTCCTGTCACGCTCCCTCTCGTTGTCGCGCTCAATCTCACGCTCACGCTCCCCCTCGCCGGAGCCTAGCCGTGCGGATATCGTGGCGTCGGCGGCGTTCGCGTATGAGCCGCACCCAGAGGATCCAGCGTTTGAGGAGAGTATAGTGCTGGCGCCGCACCAGGCGTCGGCGGTGGAGAGCGCGTGGCTGGAGATGATGACGAGGGGACAGCCACCGGATGTGAGGGCGTTGTGGGATCGGTTGTTGAAGTATTTGAATGGGCAGCATGCGATTGAGAAGATTGCGGTGAGGGAGGGCATTAGTAGGAGGGATGTGAGGAGAGTGTTGGGCGTGTTTGATGAGTATATTATATATGTGAGTATTGATCCCCAGCTGTGATGTTTTTGTTTTGTGAGTGGGATGATGCTGATGTTTGGGGGGGGGGGGGCAGGCGAGGCATTGGTAAGTGGTAGGGTGGGTTAATTGTGATAAGACTCTTGGGGGGGGGGGGGTATATATGTAGTTAGTAGCAGTCTGGAGTTTGGGTTAATAATGAACATTAACAATATTTGAATGCGGGACTCACAAACTAGACCTAATCTATCCTATATACCCCGTTGAATGAGAATATTGTTCAGTGTATTGTAAGTAAAAGAAAGAAAGATAGAGTATATGCCATAGCCAATTAAACTAAAGAAACAGGTCAGCAAGGCAGAGGACAGCAAGGTAGGACCACAAACCCTCTTTACAGGCCAACCCGCATATGAGCAGCCAACGACTAGCTATTTCAATAATAGCGCCGCGAGGATCGCAACCATTGATACAGAATACCCAAATATCCCCACTCATTCCCCATGTTTCATGATTGTACTGTGATGTATTATCGCGTTTTTTTTCGTTTGTTGTTTCTTTGCCTTAGTCCTAGCCTAGTTTCGCCGCCCACAAGTAAAGTTACCAGACCGGGCTGTCAATGATCAAAGTGCAGGATTCTGAACCTCAACTTTCCTGATGTGGTTAGCGCGGTATGTACCTGCCAAGACACTTATGCAACCACTTTCCATATGTCGAGAGTGTAATCCGTAGTCTTTACTTTCTGACCTGTTGTATTGATCGCATGCGATATCTTGCCCGGTCAGGGGAAGCTGCTGACTGGGGGGCCACGGACTCATATGATAGACTGCCGATCATGGATAATCACTCGCCCAAACCGGCCCTGTTTCCACAGCGCAGGAGAAATAATCTGTGCTTCTAGCGGTTTTGACTTGAAACTGGAACTATTGTCGATATTGGTATGGTACCATGAACTTACGCTGCGTTCACTCTTTTTCCTCGTCTTCTAGATCTGTTAATGGGGGTGTACGGACGCTGACTGTGGTAGTTGAGCACTTCGGTCCCTTTAAGAGCTACTTTTCTCCACGCATGGGCTAATTTGCCGGTCGTATCAGTTATACCACGGCAGTATGGGTACCGAGGGCCAGGGGTGGGGAAAGTGATTTAACACATGAAGTGTTGTCACTTAATTTTGGCCTACAAGGTACCATTTTTGTCTGCAGAGTAGCACCAATGAGACCAAGAGATATGCGTAAAGAGATAGAGGCCATAAACTCCTGTGTTGAGGGTTGTGTGCCAAAAGCCATCTGTATAAGAGAGATTCTGGAGAATACAGGCGGTATACGTCGAGGATATCATTGTCTTCACTTAATTAGGCGTCATCATCTGTTTCGCAGTAAAAGGTTTTTTTGGGGGGGGAGCAGTTTGAACCCCCTTAAACCTGGGATTCTTCTTACTCTCTGCTCTTGTGCTCCCTCTGTTATTCTTTTTTTTTTTTTCTTTCTTTTTTTTGGGGGGGAGGGGGGCTCCCTTCTAGCTTCCCCTTGCTCTGTTACATCTATAATGTATGCTAACTTTGTCTTCGTACATTAAGGTCTTTACGTCTAGAAGTACGTGTCTTGAATTTCATTGTCGTCATTTGCCTCCCTCTCAACGTTATAAACAAATCACCTCCAGTCACTCATACTGGTTTTTTTGATGTAGAAAACGATTTAAAAACTACATCACGGTACGGTAAGCCAAAACAAGAAGACACTCCTAGGTAAAACCAGTACAGAGCAGCCTTGGGAGAAGCTGCATTTATGCGCCATATAAAGCTCGGAATTTTCCGAAGATTACAAGTAGACACATAGTTTTTCAGGGCCAATAGGAGGGTTGAATTGCGAAGGCCACAGCTAAAAGAGTAGGTTTCGATCTTGGTCCGTGAGCGCTCACTGAAAAATTCTTTTAAGAGCCAACGGGACTACAGGGTCACGGAAAACCAACTTTCGCATTAATTCTACCAGAGCCTGTACATACATACATGCGTGTATTCAGCTTGTCTTTCTTCACCTGATGGTTGGTTCGTTCTTGAAAAGGTTTCCTCATGGAACTCAAGCTGTGCTGGTTATTATCCGACTGGTTTTCCCGGTTTTTCACTGGTTCATAAGGGCTAGGCCTAGGGGTGGTGGACATTCGCTGGTAGAGATTGGCACTAAAACTCGCATTAAATTTACGTATGCTTCCATATCCATTTCCAATTGGCTGAAGGCATGTGGCTGGTAGCCTGCTGAAAGAATTAATGAAGGCACATATACAGCGGTAGGTAATAAGTGATGGAATGGCTGAGACACGGTGATACCAACATACGTATACGGTGTTTGCAGTATAACTTTCCCTCTACTATAATTATAATGAAAGGAACTAACGTAAATATGTCAGCTCAACCTAAGCCTAATCACAGCCGGATTTTTTCACGCATTAGGTTTGTAGGCCAATGACCCACTTCCCAGTCTGACAAGTACCAAGTTAAAATTTTGTATCTAGGCCGTCAATCGATTCATTCTTCACGGTCTACCTACATGTAGTTAACACTACACCGTGCGATATCGCTTATACAACCGTTCGGCATTCCCCACCCTTGTCATACCTACATATATGTAATCCGGATCCTATCTGACAATCCCCATCGTATTCTTTTCTGTCATCATGCATGCGCTCCCTACGCCAAGCTATCTAAGCCACGTAACGCAACAATTAAATATTCTGACGTCCGGTCCTCAGCGTCCAAAACCCTTTAAACATTCTAAGAACGTTCCTTTGCATCATGGCTGATCCTCTAAGTCTCGTTGCAAGTATACTAGGTGTCACTCAGCTAGCAGCAAAACTCACCTGTTTGGGCTATGGATACATAAGCGGGGTGAAGCGGGCGCCAGACGACCTTATGGACCTTATGAACGAGCTACTCGCACTCAGCAGAGTGCTCTCTATCCTACAGGTTTACGCGGACTCAAACTCAAATGCAGCAAACAGTGCACTATATCAGCTCAATGGCGCAAACAATAGCCCATTGCAAGTGTGTTCTCAAGCGCTTGAAAAACTACTAAGAAGGATGGAGCCGAAGGATGGGTTCAAAGGCTTTATCAGCAATATGAAGTGGCCATTGGAAGAAAAGGAGACTACACAACATATAGCTCGGATTGAAAGACACAAAACTTTATTCATGTTTGCATTACAGGCAGATCAAATGTGAGTATTTTTCTTAGTAAGGTAATTTTTTGATCGTTCAACTAACTCGAGCTGCAGATCTCTCTCTAAAGTTATTGAACTCTACACCGAGAACATCGATGCAGCGATGCAAACTATCCAGGCGGACATTAACTTTATGAATAATACGGTAAAGGAAGTAAAGATGGAGATTGGGCGCACAAATTCCATGGTTCGGAAAACCAACGATACTGTTCACGATACAAGCACTTCGCTTTCCAATCTGAGCATCAAGTCTATGGAGGAATTTATGGCACAGAAATTCTGGAGGGATAAACAATACACCCAAGACATGGGTAAGAAAATCCATCTGATTAACCCTTCAGAAGCCAGCAGGTAGACATATGTTTATCTCAAGTAATTTCTTACTGGATGAGCTGTATTACTACTATTAAACCTTATCCTAGAAGAATCCAGTTGTTATAGATAGAGACTAAAATGCCTCTCACTATAGTCAATACCCGCAATCAGTTTCTCTGTTGGGTATACCCAGGAAACTTCAGTGAAAGGCACCTCAGAATCACCGAAGCAAGGCAAAGAAACACGGGGGGTTGGCTTATGCGAACACCGAGTTTTCGGAATTTTGTGCATGACAACATACGTCCTTCGCTGCTATGGGGATATGGGATTCGTCAGTGTCCCAAATACCTGCTCTAGAAATATATGCTAATATTCAATAGCGGGAGTTGGGAAAACCTTTCTGAGGTATAAGCCAAGAATAACTTCCTATCTATTTGGTTTAGTTTATTGGGAGACGATTTTCTTGAACAGCAAGTACACGCATTTTAGTCTTGTCCTAATTCATCGTGTTTTGTCTTCGGAGCATGAAACTAGAATGGTTGGGTCGAGGTTAAAAATTTTACGCATTGTCGCTGGGTCCTACCTTTTCTGAGGTGCTGTCATGCTGAGGTGCAGTTGAGCTATAGGATATGCCGCTATGGTTATCGAATATACCCGCTATTTCTATAATGGAATAGTTTTAGAGCTTACATGGGGATTTGAGATTGTATGTCAATCTCTAAGTAAATGCATGCATATTCGATATCCTGAGGCATACCTCATAGGTCGATGCACCTTTAAATACACTAGCTCCGATGAGGTAGCGCTTTTGAAAGCAAAACAGTGGCTCGCGATCATAACTTCTTCTATAGTAACTGACAATATGCAATTCATGCGCTTTAGCTCCTCTGTGATCGATTACCTACACGATCGTGCAACAACGACGTCGGAGAAATACACAGTCGCCTATTTCTACTTCGATTATAAGCAACAGGAAGAGCAGGGACCTACCGCCGTTCTCGGCAGCCTTGTTAAACAGTTAGCCAGTCATGTATTGCCGCTTCCAAAAGAAATCGAGGATATATACCAAAGAAATTTGAACGCCAACAAGAGGTTGAACTTAGAAGAACTATACTCTGTTTTAACGCTACTCTTCAGTCTGTTTAATCGAGTTTTTCTTGTATTCGACGCCTTGGACGAATGTCATCCTGAGAGGCAGAGAAAACCTTTACTTCCCTTGTTTCATCGGATGGGAGAAGATGGTGCCAGTATTTTCTTTACCAGCCGTCAACATCCCGAAGATATCCAAGAATCTTTCCACAATATAGAGAAGATAGAGCTTTTAGCAGACGAAGAAGACATTAAGGCCTACATCAGCGAAAAGATTGAGGGGACTCCACGGATAAAACGGCTTGTACATCAGGGGAAGTGTAAAGATGAAATTCTTTCCGAAGTTACCGCTTGTTCGAAGGGAATGTAAGTTAGATCCCGGATCCTACTCCATGCATACCGCGAGAATAAGAAATTCTTAGCGTGGAAATAATTAGAATCGCTAAATAGTGGCGGGAACTTGAAACATTCGTACATTTACTAATTTATTACAGGTTTTTGCTTGTAAAATTCCATACCGATTATATCTGCCAGCAGATAACAGCAAAAAAGATTATTAAAGTCTTGGAGAAACTAAAAAGCTCCCCGACGGGGGATAAGCCTTTGGATCCGACCTACGATAGGATCATGGAAAATATAAATCGCCAACTTGAAACATCGGAGTTGGCAATCAAGGTGCTCTCGTGGATAGTCAAGGCGCAAAGACCTCTTACAGTAGAGGAAATCCAGTGGGCAGTTTCTATCGAGCCAAATGAATACGAACTCGATGAGCTTGATCTTCCAGATCGAGCAACTATTCTCGAGTCCTGTGCGAGCCTAGTGGTTATTGATGAAGTCAGCAATATAATTCGACTAGCTCACTATACAGTTCAAGAGTATTTACTAAGGAAATCGATAATTCCCGAAGACGCGGATCAGAATATTGCGATAGTCTGTACTACCTTACTTTCACTCGATACAATTTCCTAAGTTCCTTGTATATCTAATGAATCGCCCGAAACCCGACGTGAAAAATATCCTTTCTTGGATTACGCGGCGATTTTTTTGTCTTTCCATCTCAAAAATTGTCATGAAACATTGTCGATAGAATCCTTCCTCAGATTTATAGCCCGTCCACAGAGCATTTATTCCTATATGTTGATAACGGATCCTGCTGTAAGCTATTGGAGGCAGTTCAATCATTCTCGGCCCAAGGAACCTCCTTTGCACGTTGCAGCCACCTTGGGGCATGCTCTAGCAGTCAGGTTTCTACTAGAGGGCACTCATTCAATCTCGATACCAGAAAAGAATGGGTCGATACTATTCACTCTAGACGCATCTATGAAAGATGAAGAGGTCTCCCGACTACTCCACCGAAAATCTGACATATCAAGTGTCGACACCCATCGAAATACAGCTTTACACAAGGCAACTATTAAAGGAAATAGAGAAATAGCCCATATACTTCTCGAGAAAGGCGCCAACCCTCGTCTAAGGGGAAATGATGGGAGAACGCCCTTGCAAATAGCAGTACAGGACGGAAACAAGCCGATGGTTAGTTTACTTCTCGCGGGAGGTGCCGATACTTCAACAAGAAGCCGAGATCATGATCGATTGACAGTCCTACACGAAGCTGTATTAAATGGAGATGAGGGAATGGTTGCTCTGCTCCTTGGAGCAGGTGCTGATACTTTAGCACGTTCCAAGTCCGGACTGACGGTACTGCACCTGGCGGTACAACGAAAGAATATAGCAATACTCGATTTACTTCTCAGGACAGGTGTTGAAGTCTCGGCACGCTCTAATTTTGGGATGACCGCACTACACTTCGCGGTTCAACACGGGATTGTGGAGATTGTCGATTTGCTGCTTAAAGCAGGTGCTGACACTTCCGGGACGTGCTCAAACATAACGAGGGCAATACTGGACGAAGCAGTAACACTTAGGAACATAGAGACGGTTAGATTGCTTCTTAAATCAGGCGCCGTCCCCTCAGAACAGACCCTCGCCTGTTTTTCAAAGATCTTATCTGAAGTAATAAGATATGGCGACTTGGAAATATTCGATTTGCTCGTCAAAGCAGGTGCTGACACTTCCAAGATGGACTCAAAGACGAAGGGAAGCTTGCTAAAAAGAGCAGTAGCACTTAGAAATATAGAGTTGGTCAGATTGCTTCTTAAATCAGGCGCCGTTCCCTCAGAACAGACCCTCGCCTGTTTTTCTGGGGTCTTCACTGGAGAAATAAGAGATGGCGACTTGGAAATATTCAATTTGCTCATCAAAGCAGGTGCTGAAGTTTCCAAGATGGACTCAGACACAAAGAGTAAGTTGCTGGACGAGGCAGTAGGACTTGGGGACATAGAGTTGGTCGGATTGCTCCTTAAATCAGGCGCCGTTCCCTCAAGGCGGCCCCTCACCTGTTTTTCTTTACGGGTGAAAAAGAGATGGCGACTCGGAAATATTCCATTTGCTCGTCAAAGCAGGTGCTGAAGTTTCCAAGATAGACTCAAGCATGAAGAGAAAGTTGCTCTGGACGAGGTAGTAGGACTTAGGAACATAGAGATGATCAGATTTCTTCTTAAATCAGGCGCCGTTCCCTCAGGGCAGACCGTCGACCGCGAATGATGGTTTGAGATGGTGACTTGTAAAATAGTCGTTTTGCTCCTCAAAGCGGAATTAAAGGTCGGACCTTTGGGGGGACACAGCCGTAGTTAAGGTCTTAATACACCAAGTGATATTCAGCGGGTCCTAGAAAAAAACCTGAATTGCTTTAAGCCGATACACTATAGAAGAACCCGGAGATAACGGGAATAATGTTATACGAAGCGATAGTATACGGAGCAATAGCTATAGGAGGTGAGTCCGAAATAAAGAGAATGGTGTTATACGAAACGGTAGGACTTAAATTACCTCGGGAAATCCAAGATATTCCATTACCCCTTAGCTCCATTAAATGGGGGAGCCGAATACTACACTTCCAATTAACGATACTCGAAAACGGGAGATTCATTCATTGATTTTTCGCCAAAGACACTGGTGTTCCGGTAAAGGGTGGTTGCGGTAGTAGGGCATTGGATATTGTAGTTCGATCGGAGTTTTAAGGAAAAAAAAGGATACAATGGCAGATTCTTCCATGTGTACAAGATCCAACTGGATTTTTTGTATGCTTATCGATTTCAAAAAACGGATAAGCTAGTAAGAGTTATTAGACACTCGAAAGACAGTGAGGCCGCTTAAGTGGATATGGCTCACTTTTCCCGCGAGGTACTTCTCGTGGCCACCGGGCCTGGCCCTCGCCTCGGCCAACCAGAGGCCACCACCCTTGCTAGCTATCGATTAGATACATACAGACCTTATATATCCTAGACAATTCGTATATCCTGGGTTAGAAAGATTAGGTCGATATACCTCAGAGTACAGTGATGCATTTGTGTAGAGACTACAAATATATTTTCATACCTTTACGAGTATATCTTACGCTGATACCTGCAGAGGATGTTGAAGTATCCCGGGGACCACACACGTTACAGTCGTCTCCTCTTATAAGAGTAGCTCTTAAAAAGGTAACCGCTTTGTCATGATATGGGATCTCGGGCTATATTGAGCTTCGTAGAGGCAAATTTCCCTGTCTATAATTATAAGGGCACACGAGCTATAATGATATTAAGGGTACGACTCCACGCCGCCTCTGTACCCCTATAAGGGTGAGTTAATTGTAGTTAGATGGCTCAGAAACAGCCAGAGGAAGAAGACTTAGTCTTCTATTTAGGGGTATATAGAAATATGAGAATGGAAAAACGTACACTTTCGAGGGGGACTTTGGTCTAAACGTCGACATGCACTTAAGGCTACATATGTTCGAACTAGCTACGTCCATCGAGTAGCTCGCTGCTTGGCTCGAGCTATAGTTCGATCAGGTGACGCAACTTCACCTAGGAGTAAGTTTTATTACTTTAGGTTAATGTCTGTCACACAGATACCCTGGATAATGGCGGTAGAGAGATTTACTTAAATTTTTAATGATTTTTACTTTCCACTTAAACTTGGCCCGGTGGGAGCGGGAAAAAAATAGAAAAACAGAAGGGAGTATAATATCGAGTGATAACCTATGACTAAACCTGAACTACATGTTAATAATTCAACTGTTCTTTGTCGCAATATTGTTACCCTGTCACAGTCCTACCATTGCGTATTAATATCGGTTTTTCTTGTTTGCTGAATATCCAAGCCTGGATGATAATCAGTTCTTTGGGGCCATCAAGACAACATTTGCGGTAGTTCCCCGAGGACAGACTACCACGTTCCAAGCGCGTGCACGCACATATTCCTGCTACGAACTATTTCTTGATGTTTACTTTACTTTCTTTGCTTTGACCTGGGGTATTTGAGACTGTGTATTAATTCCCAGCGGAAAACCAGAAGGACCCTATCAAAGTATATGGTAAGAGATTGGTAGAGAGGTTGCCGTTGAGGCTATCAGGTACATTGACTCAGTGACCCTTTGTGGGGTTCGAGGGCAACTACAAATGTATGTAGTTAACACCAGTCCTCCATTAACGTAAATGTATTATGGCAAATTCCCCTGGCTTTTTTTGTCAAGATTCACCTGCGGTCGAATACAGGTTTGGCAGATCGGTTTGTTGGTTGAGTCAAAGAGATCAACTTGCCTTTGATTCAGCCGTAACGTAGAGTACTATCTTGAACTATCTAGAGTATAAACATCATACCTAATCAGTTTGATAAATACCGGACACATCCACTACCCAGGATTCTCAGCCTCTCTCCGGCTACTATCGGGCACTACACACTCGTCAGCCTCTCTCTGTGCGCCTAGAAGCGCAGATCATAGTCCATCACTTCCAGGTGAAGTCCGTAAGCGAGACTCAGAGTAGCCGCTCTTGTGTGTAGATTTTCTTTTTCTCTTGATAGCGCTTGTAGAGGAGCTTTGGATGTAGGTCTCACGTGAGGTGAGACTTGTGCAACACACTGCCACTGATACTGTACCCCACAATGTTAATCAATCTGTTACTAATAATAGATCTAGTGAGTAGCAAACATTCTACGGGCAGCTGCTTAGAGTAGAGTGGAGAGCTTCGGGGAGATGCCTAATCAAGAGTAGAAGAACAGAATTTAATTACCTACTCATGTACCTACATCTACTCTCAAATCGACTCTAGGTAGGGTAGAGTACGCGTTTGATTCGATCTGGAGGTGCAAGGCCGGGGTCGTGAGCACTCTAGGTACTCTACTCACTCTGCAGGGTCTGCAGGGTCCAAATCCAGAGTCACGTTGTCGTTGAAGATCGTTGATTCGCGAGTGCAGCTCGAATGGAAATTCCATCTCATGACCCCTTTCGTTTAAAGTCATCTGAAGCTCTAAGAGAAGAGGGGCTTTTTTGGCTACTTAAACCGTCGTGGACATCACAATAACGGTGTCCAGTAGACAAAGAACAAAGGCATCCAGTTGACCGTTTGCATCGTCGGTTTCATTACACTTCATTTCCTTCCCCCTCATACATTGGCGCCCCACGTTTCACCCCTGTTGCTACGCCCCCGACTGCACTGTATCTCCCCCTGAAAACCTGTTTCCGAACAACACACACACCTCCTCCGACAGCAGACTCGTAGTACAAGAACCAAGGACCTTCTCCGATCCTTCTCTCGATCTTCTATTCTCTCCTTCGATCAGATCATACACACGTAAACCTACCTACACACGCTCCTTACTCAAGCTTGTTTTTTCAGTTCGAATCCACTCACTCACTTTCCACCAATTAGACCACATTTCTTTACCAATAAGCCAGCACACCCATAAACAATTGTTATAAAGATGTCAGCCATCCGCTCTTCCGTCTCAGGTCTCGCCCGCACCTTCAAGCTCAACAGCTTGCCTGCCCTCCGAGTTTCTCGACTCCACACAATCCCCTCGGCCGCCGCACCCCACTCACCAACACTTCCGACCTCGCGCATCAGCCCAGGCTCATTTCGCCAGGGGCTCACGCACAGCAAGTTCGGTAGCAGCCAAGGACAGTGCAGACTCTACGCCGCGGGCCCTAGGAACCTCGGCGAGACCGGAGGCAGCAAGAATCCATTCCCGGTTGTGCCCTTGGTATTGATATTTACAGCCGGAAGTGGTGGATTTTATTTGTTGGTGAATAGCCGAAAGGGTATGCCTTCTTTCTTAGTAGTCCTTGGGGGTGCTTTGGGTTGAAAAGCACTGGATGAGTAGGCGAAGGCTGACATTCCCGTCAACAAATAGAAACAATGCCCGCCACCGAGAAGACTCTTCCCCGCAGCCCTAAGAAGGCTAAGACTACGCCCACTTTCTCCCCTAAGGATGTCTCCGTAATCTTTGTCCTTGGTGGTCCTGGTGCCGGAAAGGGTACACAATGCCAGAACCTAGTCCGCGACTATGGTTTCGTGCACCTCTCTGCCGGCGATCTGCTTCGCGCTGAACAGAACCGCGATGGCAGCGAGTTTGGCGAACTCATCAAAACATACATCCGTGAAGGCCGTATTGTGCCCATGGAGGTCACTGTTGCTCTACTTGAGAATGCCATGAAGGAGTCTATTGCAAATGGCCAGAACAGGTTTCTGATCGACGGTTTCCCGAGGCAGATGGACCAGGCAATTAAGTTCGAGACCGAAGTGTGCCCAAGCGTATTTACCCTCTTCTTCGACTGCCCTGAAGAGGTCATGTTGGAGAGGTTGCTGAAGCGTGGTGAGACGAGCGGACGGGAGGACGATAACATTGAGAGTATCAAGAAGCGTTTCAGGACGTTTGTGAACACTAGCATGCCGGTGGTGGATATGTTTGAGAAAGAGGGCAAGGTTGTGAGGGTGGACTGCACCCAGGGAGTGGAAGAGGTCTACAGTGCGGTCAAGAAGGAGGTCTCGGTATGTTTCCCAAGGCCTGTGTGAAACGTGCCACAATACTAACTAGATTTTCCTCATAGTCCAAGTTTAAGCCAATGAAGGAGAAAGCGGTAATGACCGCATGAATACATGGCCTGGCTATTGCATCATACGATTTCGTGATTCCGTGTTCTCTACCGTCTCCGTCGTCTCTGGCTCGATGATGGGTCATTCCTACCATTGGTTGACCTCTTCCCCTTCTCTTTTCTGTATGCATTTTAGACTTTAGTACATTGGTTAGCGGTACTCCTGGGTTTCCTTTTTATTTATCGGTTGTAGTGGTTCGTAGACTACCTGTTTGGGAGAAAGGGGGGAATAAATCTTTTAGAGTGGTGTGGTTCATATATTATTGTTTCTACTGCGTTTGGTGCATGAATAGTAATAATATTTTACCTGGAGATGGGATGGAATTGGTTTTGAGCATGGATGATCACTCGCTTTTCATTGGAATGGTTCCACACGTGTTGAGTAGATAATTGAGAAGACAGAATGTGTGGTTTCCTGTATCCAAACTTGCCACATTCCTACACAGTTTAGAGCTCTCTACCTTCTGACAGCTCCGTTCGATATCTAATTTTCGGCATATACTACATATATCCCACATTTCAGTTTATAGTCTATCTGATGCATGCATAGTTCTCTATTTGGGCGCCAATCTACTTCCAAGTAAGCTCTATATTAGCGGTAATTAGGGCCCGAATGGATTGCACATATGCATAAAGTTTTAGCCTCCGTGGAATGCAGACCCGACCCTCTAGACGTGAATTAATTGCCCTCGAGTGCTCTCCAGAGTAATCTTTCGCTCCAAACTGGGATAAGGGATACCTCGCTTATGCCCGCACCCCCCTACCCAGAGAAAAAAAGCTTAGCCCAACCTCATGCTCATGTCATGTTTGTTGGCAAGCAAGCACGGATACGTGGTTGCGTTACGCGGTAGAGAGCTAGGAGGTAAGGGGGTTGGAATAAATACACACCCCCGTCCCCGTCCCCGTCCCCGTCCCCATCCCCATCCCCGTCGCCGGCCTCTAGGCTTTTGAATATATCACCTTTATTCCCTTTGTAACCCGACTTCTTTCAATTGCGCACCGTCAACCTTCTACCTTAAAGCGCTGTTTATTGCTTTCTTGCAATCACATCAAGAGGTTGTGATATTCCGCGGGTGTAGACCAAGGATGGTTTCCGATTACGAGCTCGCCATGTAAACAAACATCCCCTCACCAATATTTCCCACGTTTGAGCTAACATTACACTATCAATCATGCAGTGAACGTAATAAAGCAGCCAATCGAGCATTGTTGGCATCTTTGGGAATTGAAAAGCCACTTTTTCAGGCACCCGCTCCCGTTAAAAAGCGCAAGAAGCCCTCTGTCGTTGTCGAGCCCTCTCGCAAGTCAGCACGTATTTCTGAGGACAAAAAGTCCCCACATTACGGCTACGCCGAGCTTCCAGAAAGCGACAGCGATGATGGAGGCGCTAAGACCCGCCGTAGCAAGCGTGCCAGGACCAAAAAGACTGAAAAGATCGGCTCTACCAGTACCGACGCGGATGCTCTAATCCCCACATACATTAATGAGCGCAACGCTCACAGACTCAACCCAAAACGCTTCCGCCCTGACCCAAAGCAGCATGGCGAAATCCCTGGCATCAAGGTCGGTCACTGGTGGGAAACCCGTATGCAATGTAGTGCTGATGGTGTCCATGCTGTAAGATCCCCTACCCATTCTCTCTGTGGTTCTCTACTGATATCCTCCCAGCCCCCAGTTTCCGGGATTAGTGGTTCTGGAAATGGGTCAGCATACTCTATCGCTCTCTCGGGGGGTTACGAAGATGATGTTGACGAAGGATTCCGCTTTACTTTTACTGGTTCTGGTGGTCGTGACCTATCTGGCACTGCAAAGAACCCTAAAAACTTGCGTACGGCCCCACAGAGTTCCGATCAGCAGCTTGTTGGTGGTAATTTGGCATTGAGCAATTCTTGCGAGAGCGGTCTTCCTGTTAGGGTCATTAGAGGGTATAAGGCTACCTTAGGGCCACCGGAAGGCTATAGGTACGATGGCCTATATAAAGTTGTTAAAGCATGGTGCGATGTGGGAATGAGCGGCTATAAGGTCTGGAGATTTGCCTTCATGAGAATTGATGGCCAGGAGCCTGTGGATTACAAAGGTGAGTTTTTATATCATCCCTTCAACTATCACGACCAATCGAAATGGCAACTGCTAGTCATATGTAGAGGTTGAGCTCTGTTGAATACTGTCAATGGCCAAACTCTCTCAGGGTTGTTAATGCTTATCAGACGCCGAGAGAGTAATGCCAAAGCATTTATTCGTAGAGTTCAAACCATCATACCTACCGCATGTAGGGCTAGCAATTGATATTTAAATTCGGTGTGACGGTTCAAGGGATATAACTGCTAGATTGAATTTGTCAGTATGTTGACTGGTGTGTAGCTGGTAGACCTGAGGATAAGGAGCAATATGAGCTTGAGGGGGCAGACGAAGACGACTCGGAAAATTCAGCGGATCCCACAACGCAAGAAACTACCCCTGAAGCTACGAGTGAGAAGGATGGAGAGGTTTCTGTCAAGAAAGACATAAAAGCTGAAGCTGCTGTCAAGAAGGACACGGGGGTTGCTATCAATAAGGACACGGAAGTTGCTGTCAAGAAAGACACCGTGGCTGCTGACAAGGTCACTGCAGCTGTCACCAAGAAGGGGGCTTCAACAGTCGTCAAGAAGAAGACTACAACAACCGTCAAGAAGGAGACCGCAACAGTCGTCAAGAAAGACGCCAAAGCTGTCGCCAAGAAGGTGATTGTGGCCGTCGCCAAAGACACTGAGCCTGCCGCCGTTGTCGATAACAGAAGAAGAAGCGGAAGGAACAAGAACTAGTGTTCCTACTCCATGAGTAATTTAATAAGTCCGATGAGAGTATGTTGTATTTTGTCTCTTATACCCAAGTGTATCGCTTGTAGCTTCTGTGTGTCATTGATAAAGTTGCGCTCGCAAATGCGATTTGATAAACAATTACTTCAAGACAGCTTGCCTTCCAACCGCAATGAGTGGGATAGACTCTTAAAGTCTTGTTTTACATGAGTGCACACGCACACATGCACAGCTGGCTGATGAGTGTTTGGAAAAGCCAAGGCTTTGATCTCTCGTGGGCTCGAGATGCAGTGGTAGCCTGGCAACAGATGCCATACATGCAAATCTTGTTACCGCGCCACAACACCTCTTATTATCAGCAATACAATGAAAGCAAGTAATCTATAGAGGCCTCAATAGTAAGCCGGCGCACCTCAAAACCACAGGCCCAACCACGAATATCGCCGAGTGATATCCCATGCTCCAAGACCCACAATACAAACCCAACCACATTACTAGCATAATCTCCCACAACCTCCTCCCAACCCATCCTTTCCCCCTACCCAAACCTCCACCACACCACACTCACCACCTCCACCCCAGATTCCATCGAGTGACACTCTATGAAGCCATGCTTACTAATCACCGCACCCATCCAACCAACCTAGCAGCTCCTACCCAACGTCATTTCAAACCGTCCTCTCCTGCCACTGCAATATAACACACAACACAAATGTCGCAGCCCCGAACACGACCAATTCAGAAGCTCGCCGCGGCAGTCGCAAAATGCAATACCGAGGTATATATACTACTTGCTACACAACTACAATGCTCTGTGACTGACGGTGCGGCGGTGGCGGGGGAAAGGCGGCGGCGTACGGGAGGTGTGTGATCGAGGACTATAATGATGTGCATAGGGATAAATGTGCAAAGGCGTTTATGGCGCTGAAGAATTGTGTGGTTGTGGCTTCGGTAAGTACTTTTTGCTACTTGGGACGGGCTGGGGTTGGGGTTGTTGTGGTTGCGGTTTTGGTTGGTTGCGGGTTATTTGGGAGAGATAGCTAACACTGGGGTAGAAGAAGAAGTAGGTAGGCTTGGAAATGGAGGTAATAGGAAGGTTTATTTGTAGAAGCTTTTGATTGGGAATTCAATTGCTGGTGGGTGTATATATAGGTAACTAAAAAACATCACCCATATCACAACAATTGCAGGTCCTTATAATTATATGGTTTCGGATTCAGTTACAAGAAACGGCCAGTGCAATGACTGGGGTACATAGAGAGATTAGTACCATGGTGCTTGGCTATGGGTAGACTGTTGGTACTAATCTTACTATTTGCGGGAGGGAGCTTTCGAAGTGGCATATATGGGGTACTTTCCGCGTTACCCTCGTTTCCCAGCAAGCGAGTCCACCACCACCTACCGAGTGTGAAACCATTTCCCACCCAAAAAGTGGCATCTAAAGCTGCAGCAAAGGGATATTTTTGTGGGGATTGGAGCACTAGTAGAAGCGGTGATGCTAGTTATGGACTTATGATAGTGGGTTAGGTACACGGTGTCTATTATCGAGTCTAACGAAGCAGACAGAAAAACATCTCTAATCCCCAGCTTTCAATTGGGAGACTCAGCCACAAGCAGATTGATAACAAACGCGGGATGGCCATGGCTCAACCCCAACTCCGGCGTTTGCACTCATTCATAACTACCTGTATTATTACCTCCCCTCCCCCTGCCCAGTGCCCACGACAGAACAATCTGCCAGCACCTCGTGACATGCCCCGGGCAATTCAGAAGGTCACAGCTAAACTGTCGTTGCCCTATTTTCTCTGCAGGCCCGTGAAAATTGAGCCCAGCCTAGCTATGATTACATTACCAACACCACGGATGATCCGCTTTCGACGACCCGCCCGATCGACTGCTCACAGCAAGCGCACACCAAGCGACCTATTTACAACCTCTCTCTCTACCGCCAGCATCACCACTGCAGTCAAATTCACCATCTATCTCCCTTCCCTCGCCAGCAGGCCAATTCAGCTTCAACCACCACCACCATCACGATAGGGCCCAAAAGACCGGCCTCCTTCCCTCTTCCCCACAGCCAGCCAGCAAAGCTACCGGCCGGCAGAGAAAGTTTTCCCAAGACCAACGTGGGGTACATAGTGGGGTATTTATGCCGCGCCCCAAGCAGCAGCACCTCTTCGCCAATTGCCGGGGAGTACATCGGACCCCCTCAAGCCGTCCGTCCGTCCGCTAATCCTGTCTGTGCGTAATTATTAACAGCCAGGAGGTTTGTCCCGAGGATTTGGGTTTGACGGATTTTGTGAATCGGCCCAAGCTTTTCTGACACGACGATAAGCTCTTAGAAGCTCCCAAGCTAAGTCTGACGTGCGTGCAGACTTTCTTAAAAATTTTCCTCCCCCCCCCAAAAGCTTTCTTCTGGCACCATAGGTTGTAAATTGATTACGTTTACCCCCCCCGAATCCCCCTCGTATTGATGCCATTGAGCTCTTGCTTAAACTGTACAGAGCTCCAGCTAGTCCCAGAGCTCGAGCCAGCTCCCACCCTGTAGTCTACAATTAATATGCTCGTTCAAGGGGAACTACAAACGCCGTTCCTCCAAGCAGGACCACCCCCAACCCCAACCCCAACGGTTCCCGCCCACCTTATAACCAGCAACAATAATAGATCCCATAAATTATAACCAATACTGACTAACCCTCCCTCCCAAAACCCAAACCCAAACCCAAACCCAAACCCTCAAAGACCCAAAGAAAGCTCAGGCCACCACCCACCCACTCACCCACCGCATCCGCCCTAGCGCCCCACAAAGCGGCCCCAACTGAGACACCCCTCCATCCTTCCTTCCCATCCTTCCCCCCCTCCTCCACTTCTACTAAAATACCCCACCATCCTACGTCATACCCACCCACCACACCACACAATCACAGCCCATCACTCGGCCACCAACACGCACACCTCCCCAGGGGTCCGTGCGCGTGCGCATGTTTGTGCCCTACAAGAGGCCACCCGCCGCCCAAGCTTTGCGCAAGGCGTTGCCGTGGGCTGGGGACAAACTGGACTGTACCTACTGTTATGTATGAACCCCCCCTTGGCCTTCACTTCCAACCACCCCCCCGGCCGGCCGGCCAGAGTGCAGTTCAGGGGGATTCAGCCTCCTAGAGTAGAGTAGGTGTTTTCTCCCTTCCGTGTTGCCTGCATTATTGGCTGTTCCCTGCGCTTCCTTAATTGCCAGTCTGGGCTCAGGGGGGAGAGTGCATGTAGCAATCTGCAGTTAGTTCTATTCGAGAAATGGAAGCAGCAGCCAGCTCAATGAACAAGATTCTCGACTTGAATGTTACTTTAGTAAACGGGGGTTCCTGTATAGTGTATAGTGTATAGTGGGTGGGGCGGGAGGGGGGCTATCTCATCAGTTGTATAAATACGTACAAGATGGATTGAATCATTAACGTAGTTGCGGTTGGGTTGGGGGGGTTTTTTTTTTTGGTAGGTTAGGTAGGTATACGGCTTTTCGTGTGTCACACAACAATCAGAAGACGGACGACATGAAAAAGAATCAAAAGGCAAAAATATAAAAAACGGATAATGACGATGATGCATGCATGCAGTTGGATGATGATGAGGAGGGGCAAACTTCGGGCCAAATTTGGCGGCCAGAGGAGTTTGTAATATATCACACATGGGCGCACACGATCAGGTATTAGAACCGGTGGCCCTGATAAATAATGTGGAGGAGATAGATATGAAACAGAAAGAAAGAAAAAAGCAAATGAGGCCTATAAAAAACTGCCCGGGAAAGTAGCCCAAACCCAGAATCTAACAGACTATTAGTACCAGTGAGACTTAAAACCGCGCCTCACCCGAAACCAGTCTTGCTCGACGCAATTGCCCAATCGACAATCAGAGACTATCATACCCTTTTTACCCTCCCAAACAAATACAACTCATTCAACGCGCCTACCAGAGAAATTGAATAGGGACAAGGAATAAAAAGACAAAAACGACCAAAACAACCTTGAATAAACCCTGGCGCGAACGATCACACCGAATTGAAAGAAAGAAAGAAAAATAGAAAAAAGTGTAAAAAAAAAACCACAGAATGATACAACACCTAAGAAATACAAAGGAGACAACACGTACACAAACAGAGCAACAGAAACACCGAAGAAAAAACCTATCAACGGTACATTTGTTTCTCATCTGCTAACTTAACACCTTAACCGTAAGTTTTTCCCCACAACGAGATAATATGACGTATTGAACAATTCCGCCATCAGCCCCATCCTTAACCATCAAATCAAAATAAACGGCTTCCTTTTCTCGTATCATTCGTTATTACTCCCCCACCCATTTCCATGCGACGTATATGATTTCCAAGGTTCGCCTCTGGCAAGGGGTATATCAAGGCCCGTTCTGGAAAAAAAAAATGAAGGTCGGTCGTCGCCAGCCGATTAAAATATGTAAAAGAGTGAATTGAATTTATGATGCATGGTAGGAATGGGATTGTTAAAAAATGGAGATGTTGATTGATCACCGGGACTCTTCCTCAGACTCAACAGGCTCCGGAGCAGAAATATCAATACCATGAGCCTTCGCATTCTTCTTAGCCCACTGGCGAGCATGAATGGAAGCTGGAGAGAGAAGTTAGTTTGAGAACATCAAGAAGTGTGATGGATGTAACCTACCTTTCATGAATTTCTTACTAGCATACTTCTTGAAGAACGCCTCGTGCTTGACAGGGCGAGCAAGATAATCAATCATGAGGTGGAAGACTGGCATGATCTGATCCTCAGTGTAATCAGAGTAGTGAATCAAATCGGCATCCTAATTGGTAACATATGTTAGCATTGATTATAATAAGAGCGTAAGAAAACATACCCAAGGTCCACGCTCAAGCATCATCCTGGACAAGTACATCGCAGCAGCAGCGACGTGACTTGGCAAGAATTCCATGAACCTGTGATCCAACAAGCTAATCTCCATAAGGTACTTGGCGACAGTCCTGGTCTGGAAGTCGTACTGGTCCGCCTTGGAGATACGTCTCAGGAAATTCATAGGATTAGGATAAGAGAGGTTGTAATCAAGAGTTGAAAGAACAAAACGTTCAGCGCGCAAGATCTCCTCTTCAGTGAATCCATCATCGGCAACGTGACGGAAGTATTGAACGTGAGGGGAGAAAACCTCCTCGTACTTAGCGGCAATGAACATAGCAGTGACACCAACCAACTGGAGCTTGTCCAACTTAACAACCTTGCTGCTCAAGAAACGATCGACAATGTTGACAGCAAGAAACAAGGTTTCAGGCAAAAGGCGGAAGCGAGTATGAACCTCAATGAGCCAATCAATAAGGATTCCGCGCATTTTCCACTTAAGCTCATCTTGATGGTCCATGTAATCAGGGTTTGGCTGAGTGGCTGGCTCAATTTCACGAAGATAGTCAAAAATTTCACTAACATACTCAGAAACCATCAATGGATCGTCTGCGTCCTCATCGTCGAGATCATTGTGAGGAGGACGAGGAGCAGGCTCCTTGGTGCGGATCTTCTTAGAGGCATGAACAACTGGCTCGGCCTCCTTAGCATCAACCTTAACTTTAAGCTCAACAGCGGCAACGGCCTTGACGGTGGGGGCGGCAGCAGCAGCGGTGGTGGTAGTGGTGGTGGTAACCGAAGACGCGTCTTTTTCCTCAACAACAACTTCCTTCTTGGCCTTAGCAGCAGCGGCAGCAGCAGTGGTGGTCCTCTTCCTGCTCTTCGCCATAACCCCAGATCCATTGTTTGTTCTCTTAACCTCTTCCTCCTTCCCAGTGTTCTTGATTGGTGCAGCTTTGGCGGTACGTGTAGTTTTGGTGACCCCATTGGTAGCCGCAGCCTTATTTGTCAGGGCAATCTTGCTAGAAACTTTCTTTCCTCCAACCTTCTTGCTCTCCTCAACTGCTCCACCATCAGCCTTCACGACGTTACTGACATCCCCCAAGGCGGCACGCTTTCGGTTGTTTTGGGCGGCGGTTGTGGTGGTGGTTGTGGACAACTTTGAAGTAGTCAACTTGGTTGAGGCAGCATCTGTAGAAAGGGCGGCGGCCTTAGCCCTGGTTAGACGGGTTGTTGTAGTAGCCTTGTTCTCATCATTGGCCTCGATGTTGCTCGCTGAGCGAACGCGAGCGGCTCGACGCTAAAGAGAAACAAGTATTAAAGTTAGCAACGCGCTGAAAAAAAAACAAAAAACAGTAAAGTAAAAAAAAAATAAAGATAAAAAAAAATTGCAAAGTAAAAAAAAATTCGCGTTTTCTCGCGTTCATGGGATTGACAAAAAATTGTGGGGTAGAAATAAAGTTTTACTCACAGACTGCATATTGTTGGTGATGGTGGGTGTTGAATAAGAAAGAAAAAAAACCCGATATGAACCGGGTTTAAAAGGTGGTGATGAAAAGGGGTATCGTTAAAAAAAAGTTTCGACTTGGCGATGTTTCTGCTTAGTTCCGAATGCACGGTATTTAGCGGGTACCTAATGCCAAATACGTCAGTCAGTTGAACATTCATCAGATGCGTTATCGATGACAAGAGGCTTTGGGGGAACGCCGTAAAAAAAAAAACGTGCAGACAACCGATTGGACAAGCAAGACTGGACTGCCAGCAGCAGCAGGGGGAAATACTAACCGACCTGTCGAATGATTGTTGCTGGAAGGACGTGTCTTGTCAAGCCTCGAGTTCTAACGCAGACTGTGTGGACTCGGGATGAGAAAAACCCCAGGACGAAAACACGAGAAACGTGCTGAGCAAAGGGAACGAGACGTGATTAAACGTGCTAAAGCAATCACGAAAGGAGAGGCGTGAAGAATGGATGGGGAGAGATGGAAGAAGGTTGGGTGTCGGAGAGAAGAAGGGAAAGGAAGGAGGAAGAGGATGGGTAGAAGAAGGGTGTGTATGTGTTGTGTTTGTGTGTTGTTGTGAGAACGGGGGGTGGAGAGGAGGGATGGGATGGGAGTCGGCTGTAGGAAGAGGTTTAGCACCTCAGGCATGCTGGTTTTGGTTTTTTTTGCGTGCCAACTTGCCAAGGGATAACCTTTTTTGTTGAAACAGTAAGGACTAAAGGAACACCCCGACCGCCGCAGCGCGCAAGCCCCTCCGCCTGGGAGTAGCTAGACATTGAGCGGAACAGTAGCAGCGGAAATAAATCTATTTGCCTTCTCAAAAAGCCCGCACAATTAGACCCCTCGAGAGACTATCGGGTTCTCTAGCGTACAGTAATCACCACTCCCTCAATGGCTCAAATAACGTCCTTTTAAACACGTTCATGTCACGTACACCTGACAGCGCTCTTCCTGTAAACAGGATAAGCGCGTGGGGTGGTTTCCACAGCAACACACGACCGCGAAGAAGAAGAACGGTCACCGGTGGTGGTATTTACCTATTATTTATTGCAGCCTTGATGTCCGGCCAGGCTCAGCCGCCCTCTCTCCAGATAGCCCACCCAGTAGACTGTAGATTCTGGGGGCAAAAACAAAAGACAGAAACATGTCTCCCGGCAGAAGACGTCACTTACCATCCAATCGGTAATGTGCTGTCGCGAAAGTTTCGCCATCAGTGCCCATCTCTCGTTCTGGCTGGCGCAACCCCCCCCCCCCCATGCCATCTCGTCCGATTCCCGATTTGGGTCCCCGCAAATAAACAACGGGCAAGCATTGACCCACCACTCTACAAGCAGCCCCAGGCATAATAAGATCGAGGGTAGAGGGTTCTGTCAGGTTGTGAATAGGCAAAAAAAAAAAGTAGAGCACATACATAGATGATCGCATTCAAGGTTCGAGAGGTAAATACTATCAAACTAACCTGATACATGATGGGAGGGAGGTTGGACTTGTACATTCAGATTTCCCCTCACCTTCACCCCTCTCTTGAGGTTTCCTTTCTACCTGCAGTGCAGTTGCAGCAGCTTGAAGGTACCTAGCCTCCGAGATGCTACATACAGTACTGACTGGAAGGACTCATCAATCGACATGACTCTATCGAACCCTTCCTGGAAAGCTCAGCCGCAGCAGGACATGTTATGTATGTTACAGTATGTACGTATGCTCACAAAAAAAAACATAGCGGAATTGAAACAGCATTTGTTCATAAGCTGCGATCAACGAATGTCGAGACGGTCTTTTAGATGCCCTGACCCTCCCATTGGCTCTATACAACCAAACAAACAGTGGCCGGTGGGATAACAGGTCAATCACTCGTTGTTGGAGCTTCCCAACCACCTATTACTGATTGGGCCATTGTGGTGGGGGTGGTGGTGGTGAGGGGAGGTTACTTCGGAGCTCAGGTATTAATACGATTGGGGGATTAACGGTTTCCGTCAACAGCTCATGGGGAAGCTTAATATAATGCACATCTCCGCCCACGGTACCGGAACACCTCTCTCTCTTTTTTTTTCTGTTTCCTGTCATACGCAAACCCTCTGACTCTTTCTTTTGTTTCTGCTGTTCTTCCCATCGACATCAGTTTCCCCCCAAATCCATTCGTGTTGATTGACTGACCTCATGGCGCCGGTAACGTCACAGCACACACCTACTTCCTACTCGAGAATAGGTACTTGGCTCCGCAACAGGCAGGTAACGAGGTAACGCTGCATGATGGTACAGGACAAGTCTTCTCTAGGTAGGAAAAAGAGTAAAATTGCTCAGCGCTCTACCTTACACTTCTTCTACCTAACTGAACAGTATGCTTGGTGGAATCCGGTCTAGCTCCCGGAACCCTACTCTAGATTACTCTAGACCGGCCAATTCCATCGAGAGGAACAATTTACAATTGGGCTGTCGGGAGAAGTCCGGATCGTGGGAAATTCATTCCAGCTACCTACCTAGGAGATAGAGAAGATTCCTCGAGTGAAATTAGGCTCTCTTTTTTTTTTTGTTCACGAGGAATGACCGTCTCGACTCTCAGGAATCCATCTGTCCCTAATCTCCCCCGCACTGTAGGTCCGGGCTGGACTGTCTACTATGCTCTAGAGCTAGAGGGAAAGCAGATGAACGCGTCAAAGTAGGAAATCAGGTCGGAAATAGCATACATACCCTACGAGTCTACCAAATCTATTTTTTTATTTAATTTTATGCAATGAGGGGGCGGGGTAATACCGCACTCAGGGCTTAATTTCCTTCTATCGTCTTCTTATCACCCCAAGAGCTTTTCGGAGATTTCAGAAGGGTCAAAACGCGAGATCGAGAGCTCAACGCGTCCGTGGCATGTCCATCTTAATGTTGCGTATACATGATACCCTAAACAGAACAGAACAGATTGTTACTACGAGTACAGTACTCTAGTGGAGTAGAGCAGAGCGTACAACTGCCCGAGTATGTACAGTACATGATATGCTTATCACAAACAAACAAACAAACAAAACCGTGCTGTGCGCTGGATCTATCAAGAGTCAAATAACATCTGGAAGCACTCACTCTTTAAACCAGGTTACTGGCAATCGGCGCCCCCACCCCACTCTCCCTCTATGCTACTTGATCTGTCTGTGTTTGAGTTGCATGTTTATGCGGCCATGCCGCCATTGGTCCGCATAGCAACGGGAGCCTTGGCGCCAAGAGGATGAGAGCAAGCTGAGGTTTCACGTTGCACACTCAGACATTGATCACTCACTGACTTCAACGGTGGAATCCTCACGACATACTACGGGTCTACGTGCTGTATACACTGCTAGATGTGACCGCATCAGCATGCGTCTCTATATTCTCAGCTTAATTACTGCCTAGAATTACCTCGATTCCGACAGAGCTGATCTAGGTAACGCAACTTCGTCTCAAGATTTCTAACCTCTTTAGATCTTTCAACTAAACGTCCAACTAAACCTCCACCTAAACCTCCACCTAAACCTCCAAATCCTCCGCCAACATATCTGAAATTATCTACACAATCCACCAACACTTCGACCTCACCACCACAACCAACACTCCAACCTCACCACGACCGCCATGTCCACCCCCACTCCCACCCCCGCCACAACCCCCCCCTCCACGTCCACCTCGACGCCCTCACCCTCCAACGCGAATCCCGCGCCCCCCGCCCCCCAACCCACTCCGTCTACCACCGCACCCCGCACTCCTACCGCTCCACCCACTCCGGCCTCCACTCCTCCCAAGCGCGCACGCCCACCACCACGCACTCCCCGCGCGCCTCCGTCTCCACCCTGCAGCTCCAGCACCTCCTCGAAAAGCTCGAAATGGACCAATACAACACCTACGGCGTCGAAGAGCTGCGCGACGGCTTCTTCGACGCCTCCTTCTACCGCCCCATCAAGCAGCCCGACGATGACCCCCTCCACCCCCTCCACCCACCGCGCACAACGCCGCGCCAATGGGCACACGCCCAACTCACCGCCGCCAAGAGCGCCGCCACAACAGTGTTCACGACGCGCCAGGGCGTGTCCCTGGCAAAGAGCTTCCTCGCCTACTTCGCCGCCTACGTCCTCTGCCTGGTGCCCGCGACGCGGGCGTGGCTGGGGCAGCACAGCTACTGGGTCCTCATCGCCGCGCTGTCCAACCACCCGGGGCGCACGGTCGGCGCACAGATCGAGGGGACTGTGTCGTGCGGTGTTGGCGGCGTGCTGGGGCTGGGCGTTGGTGCTGCTGCGCTTGCGGCGGCGGGTAGGGCGGGCGGAGGGTGGTATGGTGGTGTTGTGACGGTGTTTGTGGCGGTGTTTATTGGTGTGGCGAGTTGGGTGCGGTGCTCGCTGGTGAGGGTGTATCAGGCGATGATGGGCGCAGGGTTGGCGTTCTTCTTTTTGGTGCTTGTGGATGGGCGCGTGGAGGGGGAGGGAGTGGGGGAGGAGGGAATAGGGAGGGTGAGGGCGAGGGTGGGGGAGTGGGCGGTGCCGTGGGCGGTGGGGCTGGCGCTGTGTGCGGTTGTGAATGTGTTGATAGCGCCCGAAGCGGGCGGGAAGGCTGTTGCGTATGTTTTTTTTCTCTAGTCTCTATTCTACTCTAGTCCTCTCTATGTACATCTACAATATACTCCATCCATTCTCCCATACTGATCCCTCTCCCCGCACCACCAGAACCGCACTGCACAAAGCCCTCCTCTCCGCCCTCGACGGCCTCGTCCAGCAGCACACCTACTCCCCCGCCACACACCGCCACATGTCCCTCCAACTCGTCAACCTCTCCGAGGCCGTGCGCGACATGCGCAGCGAGATTGTCCTCTCGCCGCTTGCGCCGGCCGACGCCCTGCAGCTGCGGAACCTCCTACAGGCCGTCATCCGCGATATCATGGCTATCAAGCCGGACGCTAGTCTCTTTGACACGCCCGCCGCGACGGCGAAGGAGGAGGAGGAGGAGGAGGATGCGGTGGTGGTTGGCCTTTCCCCCACTACTGCTGTAGATAATGTGTCAGACAGCGATAACCTCTCGCTCGCCTCCTCGACCGCAGAACACATAAGCCTAGTGCGCAGCATCATGGCCACGCCCACACAAGCGCTCCTCGCCGCGTGTGCCTCCGTGCTCACATCCTGCGACAGCAGCCTCATGACACTTCTGCACCACCGCGAGCTCCTCCGGCACCCCGGCACCCCGGCACCCTCTTCCACCCCTCCCACCACCACACCAACACTCACCACAACGCACAGCACCTTCACCGCCGCCCTGCGCGCATTCGACGCCGCCGACACACACCTCATGGAGCACCCCACGCTGCCCAGCTCCTACGCGGCGCACCCAGACCTCGTCAGCCTCTTCCTGTACATCCACCCCGTGCGCCAGGCCGCCGAGTCCGTGTCCGCGCTCGCGGGGAAGGTGCTGGCCCTCGAGCGCGGCGATAATAGGAAGCGCGTGTATGGGCCGAGCTACCCGCTGGAGAAGGCGCTGTACCGCGCGTCGCCGCAGGTGCGCCATGACCGCGGGGGCACGACGGCCGGGTACTATTTTAAGAGTAAGCAGCGCATCGAGGAGGCGATGGAGCGGTACCACTCGCTGCCGTTTACGCCCAGCCCGGACATTCTCAGTCCTGCTGGGGCGAAGACGGATTCGCCTTCTGCGGGTACGGCGGGGGCGGAGACAGAGACGAGGCGGTATAAAGTGTGGATGGTGGTGCATAGGCTGCAGCAGTTTGAGAGCCGGTTTGCGGTCAAGGTTGTGCTGGTGACGGCGCTGCTGTGTGTGCCGGCGTGGACGGAGGCGGGCAGGGGCTGGTATGTGGCGGATGAGGGGTGGTGGAGCGTCCTGGCGGCCTGGTTCATGATGCATCCGCGGGTCGGCGGGAGCGCGCGGGATCTGGTGACGAGGAGTGCGGCGGCCGCGGTGGGGGCCGTGTGTGGTGGGGTGGCGGTGGCGGCCGGCGGGGGGAATCCCGTGGTGGTCGGCGTGTTTATGGTTGTGTTTATGGCGGGGTGTAGTAAGTTCTTCCTCCTCTTCTCTGTGTGGGGGGCGGGCATGTGTGGCGGGTGAGGGAGAGTGGATGCTGATTGGTGCTTGTTTCTGTCTCAGTATTCCGCTTCACGGCAAGCTCGCATCCACGCTCAGGGCTGATGGGGTGCGTGGCCTTCTCGGTCGTCTCCGTGAGCGCCTACACCGCCGCCGCCGCCGCAGACGCCACAGGCACGGCGGCGGGCGCGGCAAGGATTGCGTGGACGCGGGGCGCGGCGCTGATTGTGGGCATTGTGAGCGCGGTCGTGGTCAATTGGGTGATTTGGCCGTTTGTGGCGCGGCACGAGCTGAGGAAGAGTCTGTCGTTCATGATGCTGAATCTGGGGATATCGTATCGTGGCGTTGTTGCGAGGTTTGTGCCTGTGCTTGTGTGGTAGAGGAGCGGTGATGGCGGGGAGAGTGGCTGATGTGTGTGTGTGTGTGTGTGTGGCTGCTGCAGGTATATTTACTACGACGCCGACTCGGCGCCGACAAAGGAGGATCTCGAGCGCTCGGAGATGCAGGAGGCGCGGTTGAGGGAAGGTATGCACGCCTGTCTGTTCTTTTCTTTCTACACTGGCTTCGAATTACCTTCCTCGCTCCTGTCTGAGACTGAAGCAAAGCTCTTTCATCACTTTCACTACTCTATTGTAACTTTTGCTTTTTCCCCACAAATGTTTTTCTTCTTCCCTGTTGCAGCTCCCGTTGTTGTCGATCGCGGGCGCCATCCACCCCAGCCCCATTGGCTGTCTTGCCGAATCGGGGGTGAACTAAGCTTGGTTGCCTGTCTAACACTTGTTCTTCTCCTTCTTCCTTTCCCAGGATTCGTCCGCATGCGCGAGCTGCTGGAAATGACCAGACACGAGATAGTAAGTACAGTGCATAAGTGCACATCCATCTCTGATCTACCTTCAAATCAAATCAATCCGGAGAGAGAGAGAGAGAGACCCGGCAGCTAGCACCAGGTTGGCAGTAGCTTACACTTTCCCCTTCTCGCACAGCGCCTACGCGGGCCCTTCGACGCAGCGCCCTACAGCGCCGCCATGGACAGCTGCGAGCGCCTCCTCGAACACATTGTCGAAGTGCGCCAATCCTCACTCTTCTTCCAGCCCTTCCTCTACGGCGGTACGTCCCTGTCCCCCCCCCCCCCCCTTTTTTGCTCCGCTCCCCACTAGTGGAACCACGTCTCCCCCCTAACCCTACACACAATACAGGCACCGAAGAATTCACCCGCAAAATGCTCTCGGTGCGGCGCGACGCCGTAGCCAGCATCCTCATGAACCTGTACATCCTTGCGGGCGCGCTGCGCGCGAAGCGGCCCGTGCCCATGTACCTGCCCTCGGCGGCGGCGGCGCGCAAGCGGCTGCTGGAGCGCATGGCGGAGATTGAGGAGGAGGATGAGGCGCTGGCGGAGGTGCGGCCGCGGCCCGAGGGGTCGAGGAGGTGGGCAGATGTGTATCGTAAGTTGTTGCTCTTTTCCAATTGACCCCCCGGGGGGGGGGGGAGAGGAGAAGGGGGGCTAATGAAGGGACAGAGTATGCCTATTCGTCTGCGCTCACGGATATTGTGGGGCAGTTGGAGCTGCTGCAGAGGTATACGAAGGCGATTGCAGGGGAGATGGCGCTGGATTTTCCGGATTGGTAGGATTGGCTGGTCTGCTCTGGTCTGGTCTAGGTGCTCTAGTTTGGTTTAGTCTGGGGGTGTGGGGGGGAGGGGAAAGAAGAGGGGTGATTCATTGGATGGATTGGGTTTTATAATAATTTTTTTATCCCTATTTTCTTTTTCTATGTATCGTTAGCTTATGTAGCTTCAGTATGTAGCTTAGCTTAGCTACAGCTACTCCCCCCCTAGCTAAGGCTGCAGCACACACAAAAAACACAACTGGTCAATAGTCATGTGCCCTGCACTTATTTCTTCCGGATTATTCCCCCGCAATCCATTGGTCCCCAAGCCCCAAGCCCCATGCCCCATGCACGATTGCTTGTCTTGCCTCTAGCCTCTAGAGTAGCTCTCCCTCTCCATGCACCCACCCCCTCCACTCGCTGCACGTCACAACAGCTTCCACGCCCACGCAGCGCACAGCACAGACAACAAACACCACCCTATCTCAATTTCTGCCTTCTGCATCTCCACAAATACATTAATTACTCCCCCCCACAAGCAAACCACAAGCGCAGTCACAACCCCCCCCCCCCCACACTCCACACGGGAAGGAAGCTTTAGAGTTAGGGTTCGAGATGGGCATCCATATCGCCCACCCCACCTCCAACCATACACTAATTAACCCTAACCCACAGCCAACGCCGAGTGAGAGCTCATGATGGCAACGACGGAGCGGTGACGTTTGCGGCTCTGTTATGTATGTATGTTAGGGGGTGCGATAAAAAAAAAAAAAACGCTTATCAGGGCAACCCCACCATTAGCCAGAGAGAGCCCCACCAAGCAACCTAAACCCCCCCCCCCCCCCCGAGTTAACCACTTATCATACAGCGCAGAAGTAGCGCAACATAAGAAGAGGAAATGCAGAAAGAAGGAGGAGAGGAAGCAGAAGCAGAAGGAATGTCGATAGTACCGCCGGCAACAATCCCACTGGGCGACGACGAGCCGATCGAGTGCCTGATCCACTTTGCGCAGATCCACGAGACGTTCAGAAAGGCGGAGATTGACGCGCTGGCGGTGCTGCATGGGATTGAGGTTGTGTGGACGGGGTATAGCGATGATGTGTGTTTCTCTCTCTGTGTCTCTGTCTCTGTCTCGAGCTCTGTCAAGCTCTCTCTATAGAGCAATCCACTAACATGAGTCCCCCAGAGCCCCTACGCCACCCTCCTCCTCCCCTCCCGCACCTCCGCCCGCACCCTCGTCTCCCGCAGCATCCTCACCAAAGCCATCTACGAGCTCTGGGCCACCTCCGCCACCCTCACCACGCTACACACCACCATCCAACAGCGCACCCCCCACCTCTGGCCGCGCCTCACCCCCCACCCCTTCAAATTCACCATCGAGACCTACAACTCCTCGCACACCTCCGCCGCCCAACTCGCGCTCATAAACACCTTCTCCTACCTCCCCCTCACAGGCCCCATCTCCCTCCACAACCCCACCACAACATTCACCCTCCTCGAATCCTACACCCCGCACTCCCCCACCCCGCACACCCTCCACTTCGGCCTCCGCCTCGCCCCCGGCGCCCGCCACCTCCCCGACACATACGACCTCAAAAAGCGCACCTACATCGGCACCACCAGCATGGACGCCGCCCTCTCCCTCATCACCGCCAACCTGTCCCTCTGCGCCGCCAACAAACTGATCTACGACCCCTTCGCCGGCACCGGCTCCTTCCTTGTCTCCGCCGCCGCCTTCGGCGCACACACCTGGGGCAGCGACATCGACGGCCGCCAGATCCGTGGCAAACCCGGTGGCCCCGGGGTCAAGGATAACTTTGTGCAGTACGGGCTGACGGACGCATACATCGACGGCTTTGTGAGCGACCTGACAAACACCCCTGTTGTTGCCGGCGGCAGGCGCTTCCTCGACGCCGTGGTGTGTGATCCGCCGTATGGCGTGCGCGAGGGGCTGAAGGTTCTTGGATCGCGGGATCGCGAGAAGGGGCGGGAGGCGGTTGTGAGGGATGGGGTTTTGCGGCATCTGTATGCATACCCACCCCCGGGGGCTGTCCCCAATCACAGCAGCAGCTAACGAGGGAGAAAAAAAACAGGCAGCCAGACTACGTACCCCCCAAGCGGCCCTACAGCTTCACGGCCATGCTCAATGACATCCTCGCCTTCTCTGCCGCGCGCCTGGTCGACGGCGGGCGCCTGTGCTTCTGGATGCCGACGGCCAACGAGGACTTTGTCGAGGGCATTGATATACCCATGCATCCGCAGATGGAGCTCGTGTGTGTATGTGTGCAGGTGTTTAACAAGTGTATGTGTTTTCTCTCTCCCTCTTGGTGATTTTGCGTGTGGGGCTGGGTTTGGCGGTGGGTGCTGATTGAGAGGGTGCGGCGGACAGGGTCAAGGAGGCTATTAACGTACTCCCGGAAACCCGGGGATGAAGGTCTGGAGAGCGTTGCGGCGGCGGTGGGGGAGGGGGCGCGGGATGGAGGTGCTGCAGAGGGGGAGGGGGCGCCGAGGAAGGCGACGGCCGATGAGTTGAATAATTTTAGGAAGAAGGTAATGATCGCTTTCACCAGTTTTTCTTTCCTGCATGCTGACAAACTATGACTTAGTATTTCGAGGGCTTCCGGCCTTCATAGGGTAAAGGGAAAGAAAAAAAAACAGCAGGATGTACAAAAAAAACCACAGCATCAGCAGCAGTTAATATTTATAAAAGTATATATGTGTGCAGTGTGTGTGTGTGTGTGTGTGTGTGTGTGTGTGTGTGTGTGTGTGTTTATGAAGTCTTTTGATTTTTGGTTCTGCAATTCTAGCGTAGCGTGGCATCTACAACCCCCCCCCCCCCCTTCTCCCTCCCCCCTCCCTCCCCCCTTCACCCCGTCCAGATTTCAGATATAGATTCCCCAGATGCCGTCTGTCTACAACTCCAACAAGCCAACGAAAAACAAAAAAGAAAAAAACAAGCCCTCTAACCCTCCCCCCCGCCTATAACTAAAACCAGCTAACACACACCAAATGCCATCCCCATCTCATTCAGCGCCCTCGACAGCCACGTGAGGAGCTCCTGGTCGCCCTGCGCGACCGCAATGCACTGCGAGATGAGCGGAAACAGCGTAAACAGGTGCTGCTTCGTCGACGGTGGTAGGTGGGCTAGAGTTATTTTTGTTAGCTTAGCTCAGCTTAGCTGGCGGTGGGGGAGGACGCGCTACTTACATTCTTTGGAGATGGATTTCGAGCTGGACTCGAGGTTGACTAGGCGCTTGAGGACGTAGAGCATCTCTTTGCGCTGGACGACGGGCTGCGGCATCCGGCCCCGTAGTGGTTGGTCCTGGTTTTGTTAGCCGTAAAGGTTATCTGATGGTCAGGGGGTTCATACGGAGATGTAGTGCTGCAATACTAGCCCGGCTCTTAGCACTAGGAATGGTGCGGCGGCGGCAGCAAGTCGTTGCAACTCAGGCGAATCTAGCGTCACAACTTAGCACCTTGTTGACCAGACTAGCAACTGGGACCTTTACCATCACCTCCAATCTTGGAAAGTTCAAATAGCTCGTCGAGACAAACGTAGCTCATCCTAACCCTTCTCTCTAGAACCAACTCGCTTGTGATACCGCGTCGCCGCCTCTTCAGTCCCTCTAGCGCCCCTCCGTCCATCTCCAGATCAACACCATATAAAAGTGAGCTCTTGACGACGCTTCTCACATACTCATTAACCACTTTATCTGGAACCACCGACCTCCCTAGCCGCGGCACAACCAATTCTCTAAGCTGCTTAAAAGAGCTGATGTCAAAGTCCTCATCCATCTGTAGCGTTACCTCCCCGACACCACTAGTCGTGTCCGCCGAGACAACAGAGCCAATGATCTGTATCACCAGCCCCCACACCTTCTCCTCGGCAATCTCCAGCGAATCCATAGCCGCCAGTGCGCGGGTCAATATCCTTAACACGACTGTGGTCGCGGGTATCCACTGGCTTGGCCGCTTAACTGAGCTCGTTGTTTGCGGCGCGAAATTGTACTTGAGGCTAATAGGCACGCCTAGCGCCTCCAGGACGCTCTTTAAGGCGCCGCTAGAATATATCTCCCGGTTCTCAATGTGCTGCAAGGTTACCGCCTCAATGATCTTCATACTCTGGGTCGCCAGCGCAATGTAGGTGGGGATGCGCACGCCCTTCTTGTCGATACCCGCATGGAGGTTAGTGTCGTATGCGACTGTACTGAACTCTGATATCTGCTTCAGAACCAAGCTGGGCACGCCCGGAATATCGGTTCTTAGTAGTTGCACGACCTCGAGGATGACGGCTTGCAGGGGCGTGAGGATATCAATATCTTGGAAGTATGAGGGCGCATCGGGGAAGATGATGCACTCTCTCATTATAGCGAGTGTACGGCCTGCCATATCTGCGTCGAGAGTAGGCTCGAGAAGCCGGTAAAGGGGTTTAAATGAGTCCACATATGCTGTCAGAGTCTCTTGGATACCCGTACGGGAGGTCTCGACGTTTCCTTCAACGAGCTTGATGCCCTGGCCGCTCCACATGCGCCAGACATCTTCACGGTTTGCCTGGTCTAGTTTCTCGGGCTGAGAGACCTTCTCAAGGACATGCTTGAGCACTGTAAAGACATTTGTGTTGACCTCAAAGCTCCGCCGGGAGAGGAGGTTCTCGAGGTAGTGAATGAAAACGCTCCAAGTGTTTCGGAACTCGGATTGCTGCGCAAAGATATCAAAGTAATTCGAGTACAATGTTCCAATTCCGCTGAGGACGAGATTGATTGTATCGTCCCATTGTTTGAATTCACTCGTTTTTGCTTTGACGCCAACATCAGAGTCAGTGGGTGCTGGTGCTGGATTGATTCCCATCATCTTGAAGACCACAATCTTCAGGCAAGAGCTCCACGCCTGCGGACCAAGTTGATGCCCGTAGGTATCGAATATTCTGAATAGCGTTTGTATTGATCCTACGCCAGCGTTTAGCTCTCAATCAAAAACTGGAAAAAAGATTACTTACCGTTCCGTACTTCTGCTCTCCGGTCACCACTCACCCCCGTCAGCCTCAGCAACAGCAACATCCACAATGCACTATGGCTATCTCCCTCTCCCTTTTCTACAATCTCTAATAGGTCCTCTTCCTTCTCCGCCCTGCCCACAGAGCCCCCTTCAGCCCCCCCTCCCTTTGTCTGTAAATAATCGCTCACGTTCCAGAAAAACGTTATCGTCGTTAGTGATATATTCAGATCATCCTTCTGGCTACAAAACGCAAACAGCGCATCAATAAGCACAAGCACACAACTCGTCGGTAGATTTGCTAGAAAGTCGCTACAGATGAGCTCTAGCGAGCTGAAGGAGCCCCGGATAAGCTTTGGACTCTTCGCGCTTTTGGCTCCCTCCTGCTGCGCATCTTCCACTGGCAGGGCCGCATCCCGCCGCCATACTATACTAGAATCAAATACGCCCGTGATTATCTCAAACACAATCTCCCATCCAGCGATCAAGCTCTGCCCCGAATGCTCAAGTATCGCATTTAGCGCTTCCAAGCCCATCCGCACAATCTCTGCCTCTGTGGCTCTGACTCCTCCGTCTGGTGCCACGCCCTCCTCACCGCCTCGGACACCCTCCCTCAACGCTGTTAGGATTCTCCTCTGTACCTCTGCTACGTTCTCTGTGCTCTCCAGCCCAACTGTCTTTGCCGCTGCGACTACAACCTCGTTCAATACTTCTGCAGCCTTCATCCGAATTGGGTTTCCGCGGTCCCTACTCCCAGCCACAGTAGCAAGATGCGTAGCAAGAAGGTCCCAGCCTGTACTTGCGGGATTGGGGCCAATGAGACGTGACATATTTATCATTGCCAGCTCGCCGAGCTTTGCAAGCGCAAAAGCGTTATCTGTGACCACAGCCTGAGACGAAAAGGACGACACACTACCAATCCTTTTGTGGCCGCCCGGAAAGGCCGGAGAGCGGGGCTTCTCCATACTTGTTCGACCGCCTGATTCGCTCTCACCGTCACTAAGTTTACACATTGCAGCAAGAACGGCCATAAACGCATCATCGGGAAAGTCACGAGTTGACTCGAACATTTTCCCTGCAGCGAGTTCAACGGCAGCGAGTTCAGGACCGACATTTGTCATGAGGGTTCCCTGGTGCTCAGCCTTCATTGAGTCGGTTCTTGATAACCCTCCTCCTGGTGCTGAGAGTGATATCTGTCGCCCATTCTTCCTCGAAGAAGCAAAGAGAACATAATCTGCACCCTGAAGGGTTTCAAGAAGGATGCTCCAGCTTTTCTCCAAGGTTGGACCGAGGGCAATCCCAAGATTTAGCAATGCACGGAGACACAGCAAATTCCGGCTATTAAGTCCAACCGCTGTCTCTTCCCTTAGACCAGGGCTAGGAGCACCACGTTCAGCATCAACACTAAGTAAACCCTTGGATCCAGCAGTACTGCTACCGCTACCGTCAATGTTGGCAGAAATAACATTACTCGGCACTGCTGCCTTGCCCAGCGTTGTTAGGAATGCATCTCTCGGCGTCGTAAGTCGCAGTAACCCAGCCACATGCGTAAATTTCTGAAAGCTCCTTACGAGCCCATGGTAAAAACTCGTTATCTAAAGTCGCATACAAAAAGGTAGAGCACGCTGCCAGGACCGCTGGCCAACAAGCCTCCATTATCGCAGTAGAAATCGTAATTTCCGCGGCCAAAGGATGGTTCTCAAGTGTGAGCGGGTTAATGGGGATTCGGTGTACTCTTGGGGCTGGCTTGCGTTTTAGAACCGCACCCTTTGTTGCTGCCGGACTGGGAGTTCTCGGTGATTCGGCTGCTTCACTATCGCTCCCGGGGGCTACCACGAGAGACACAGTTCCAGTCCGAAGCATGCCTCGACCCCGCCGTTTGGAACCTCCACTTTTACTTTCGCCGCCGGGAATAGTGAGTGGAAGGATAAATTTTGCGAGCCCCTCGCAGAATAGGTTGACACAAGTCAAACCGAGACAATAAACATAACTCTCTGGCATAGCGGGTGGCTCACTTTTATCAAGTTGATCAATACACGGGACCCTAACTAAACTCCACTGTGTACTCAATCCCGCAACCTGGACTTCCCCAAGCCCAACTGCGCCACCGATAATGCCAGCAACTCCGCCCGCCTCTAATGCAGCTTGCTCGGAGGAAAGGTCTTTGAGTGCCTGTGCACCAACTGGAACTGTGGATTGTGAACCCAGGCCTATGATGCTAGGCCGTTCAGTTGCAAGACGCGTGAGCGCGCCCATCAATTCTTTCATGATGGGTTTGCGCCCCTCCACAGCATCATAAGTGGCGAATATTTTACGGACAAGGGTAGGCTCCGAGCAGATTCCACGGAAGACTTCCATACAGAGGGCACGTTTCCAGGGTGCACTAGCGTCAGGGTCTAGCATCTGCGTAAGAAGGTTCAACGCGTCCTCGCATTCAAGACTGAGAATACTAAGATGTCTTCTTAGAAGAATATAAAGTACCCTAGTGATTCTTACTGTTGTTGGGAAGTTGAGCCTATCGGCCAAAGAACGAATAATGAGTGGTGAAACTCTTGTCTTTAGAACATATGCCTGTTCCGGGTGTGTTAGGAAAATGTCCGGATGGTTGGTAAGAACTGATTCTATAAGTTCTAGTCCGAAAGGTTGCGGGAGAACATTGAAACGGAGAAATTGAGGACGATGGCCTTCTGTAAGGAGGCAAAGATCATAAAAGACACGATATGCATCAAATGCCGCAGGACGGAGAGGTATGAGGCCATCATCGCAAGGCGCCTCGCCAACCGTGTGAATATCGGTTTCTAATAAACGCTCATCTTCTGAGACTACTTTATCGAATATAGAAATTACAATCTGAGATAGTGCTGGGAGATGTTAGCAATATTGTCTTCAGGCCGTGCGAGGTAACATACTTGCGGCAGCAGTATTATTAACAACGCCCATCTTACTCCCTTGAAGTATCGAGCATATTAGCAGTGCTTCTCCAAGGAGATTTCCATTCAGGTCTTCTGCATAGTTTTGCAATAACGGTGGTAGCGCTTGTAGAATCTTAAGCTGGATTTCGACACCTATAGCCCGGTTAACCCTATCCTCTACCAGTGAACCTTCAGCTATCTCGTACCCAGATTCGCAGCTTCTCTGAACGCTTCCAAAACTTCTCGCAATCTCGACTGTACAAAAAGTAAGCATTAACGGCTCTAGTTTCATAATCCGGAAACATGGACAGCACCTTTGCAAGAGCTCTCGAAAGGATCAATCGCTGTAGACACACCACTCCTATGGTACTGAACTTCGCATTCCGAGTGCCACAGGCGATCAAGAACGGCGACAGAAATCCCGGTTTCGTAGATAGCTCTATAGCACACTATCAGCTCCAACAAAGAGACACCTCCGGGCTTGCGTTGAAATACCGGCAGCTACCTCAGCTAAGGGACTCAGCGACTTTAGATCCGACAACGATTTCTCCGCAGCCTACCACATATCAGTATCATCCATTCCCGAGCCCGAAGGTGAACTGCAGTATTATCACACATGTCTCAGATCCGAATTCTTCCGTTTCGCCTCTTGCACTAGGTTTGTGAGCTCGTTGGTGAGAAACTGAGCGGTCATTCTGAAAACCCGTCGCTCAAACAGCTCCCGTGGTGGACGCTCTATTAGGTTGTGATTAGGTAACTATCGCTCTGCGTGGTAATCGACTCTCCTAACGAGATTGAGGTGATTTAATTGTTTCGTCGCGCGTGGCCTTTCAAGTTTGAAGCTTTAGGTCGTCATCGTGGGAGCCGCGTGGGTGTGATCTGCATGCTGTCCTAACCGTTTGTGGGTGGGACAGGTACATGCAGGGATCAACGGGCCTGCTACCAGATTGGTGATATCAACCTCAGCTGCGAACACTTGAATCGATACTATGCTTGATATATTACTGAGACTTGTGAAGGTCATCACTAGCTGCCACCATCAGGAAGCAGCCATCAGGCTCTACTACACTTGAGAATAGAATGTACTAAAGCCGAAATTAACGATAACGTTATTCATATGATCACCCAACAAGTACATACCTTACCTGCATGTAGGTAAGTAGAGTACCCGGGGTAAGCAATTAATAAGAACAAAAGTACAATGTGTAGCTTTTCGCCAGTTGCAAATCAGAGGTTTTTACCATAAAAAGGTTCTTCTTGCCTACCGGCCCAAGTACGTGTTTGGTTCGATTAAACGAAAAATATACAATATAGTTCGTGACTACACATGTATACATATATAAATTATAAAAGCAGGTATACGGGTCATTGATCTTATCCATTGATTCCGGCCGCCACTGGTTGCTGGGAAAGTCTAACTGCTCTTGCCCGCCTAGTGCTATTAGCCTGTTGGAAAGCACTTATGTATCTACATGTAAGTACATACATGTATATCTCTTGTCGCTAGTTTTTGAAGAACCATGTATGTATCTTTAGATACTAGAAAAATCTACTAAGTGGTAAGGGGTTTGGCCGAAGTACTTCAAGACTGTACATCTAGTTAGATATTATGTGTTTAGTTCTCAGTCAGCAAAAGCCCCTGGAATCAAGCGTTGAATGTGCGTACGATACTGTTCATATTATGATTACAGTACTTTTCGTTCTTCACTTCATCATGCATATACATTGTAACTTAGTAGCTTTATTGGTATAGGCATAGGAACAGGTCATGCCCCCCCCCCAAAAAAAAATTGGGGGGGGGGGAACCAGCCCGACCTAGTAGGCCGAGCCTAACAAACGTTAAACGAGCCAAAGCCCAAGGAAATTGTATACTAACACTCAACATAAATGTAAATGTTGAAGGGTGCATATTTATTGTAGGGGCCTCTCATCTAAAGTATACGTAGCTTAAATTCACCTAGCTTCCCATTGGCCAGCTAATACGCAGATCTTCTGCGCTTGGGAGAGTAATGTCGAGTGATAGTTTATGATGGAGCCGTGAGTGTTTCCATGGCCTTGTCTCTGAGGCCAAGGGACTAAAAACCTAGCGTATACTACATGTGCATATAAAAAGTTACATGTAGTCCGGTAGAGGTTTAACTGGCAGAGGAAAAAATGGGGTTCGTGCGGGTTAGTTAGGGCTAAATGTATATCTACATGTAGTTAGGGTGTCTTATCGGACATCTGTGGTATCGATAATGAAATGGGCAGGATCGACGTCGACTCATACATCGTACCTTTGTCCAGATAGGTGTGAATACCTACACATTCACCTATCAGGACGCTCTCTCAAAACATCAGTTCCTTCTTCGATTACTCCATTGTCTTCACATGGCAGAATTAACCGTCCCATCGAAGGCGTCATTAGACCCCAACACCAAAGAACAGTTCAAAACCTTCCAAGACAGGAGGCCACATCTCCAAGAAATATAAATAAATATTCTTTTACTAGAAATACGCACAACTAATTGTTCCCACACCATCTACGCATCCGGCCAAATACTCTTCGCCAGCTCCACAACCAACTGCATCTTCTTTTTCATATCATCTCTTGTGACCAGATTTCCCTCCATATGGCTCGCAAACCCGCACTGCGGGCTCACACATACCCTTTGGAGAGCCTCCTCCTTACTTTGCGCGTTTCCAGATGCCATTATCTCTGCCGCTGAGTAGACTTTCTTCTTCATCTCCTCGAGATCCTCTAGTTGCGGGAACTTACTCGTGATCAGGCCGAGTACGACCGTTTTGTTTCTGGGGAGACGCTTCAGGGGTTCAAAGGTTCCCGCGCGCTATTGGGAGGTCAGTATGGCCGTGTAGGCGGAGAGTGGATGTTTGGGTGGGTCTATAGTATACCTCAGTGTCGTATTCAAGGTAGTACACATCCACGTTGATCTCATTGAAGAGCTTAGTAGCAATCGCATCATATCCCCCCTCCGAGAAGTGCACACTATTCCTAAAGTTCCCGCGGCACAGGTGCAGACCGACCGTCATATCCGGAAGCTTCGTCGCACGGTCCCGGAGACAGTTGTTATACAGCCTGATATAACTCTACTCAACCACAACCATCAGCGATCTCCCCTGGGCGCCCTCAAACAAAATGACACACAGAAACCTACATCAAACAGCGCCTCGGGGTCCTCGCCCTCAGCCTTCATTCCATCCAGCATTGGCTGTGCGCAAAAATATGCCAACAGCGGGTCATCGAACTGGATGTTTCTGCAACCCGCCTCATAGAGGATCTCGAGCTCTGTTCGGTATGCGGCTGCGATATCGTTGAAGTGCTCTTCGTTGTTGGCGTAGATGGATTTGTCATAGGCATTTTCGCCTTTGGGACGTTAGTAATTCCGCAAACCTTACTACGGGTAATTGGGAGCGGAGTGGAAGGATACCATGGCGTAAGTGGTACCATTCTGGGGCCGCGAGGGTGAGCTTAATATTTTTAACCTCTGAGGGCTCAACTAGGGCTTTAAGGGCCTCGAATTGAGGGAGGTAACCGGATTTGACGTGTCTATTGCGGGCAAGTCAGAGTTGGCTCGTGGGATACAAAGAGGGTTTTGCGTACTTTATTTTACCAGTACAGAGAGTTGTAGAGGGGGGTTTCGTTTCTTTAAGAAGAAAAACGCCGACATCTGGGACGTACATCTAACAATGGGTATTGATATTAGTCCACATATAGATATAATTTGACAAATATCTACCTTAAAGATCTCTCTCGGTGCCTCCGCAATATCTACACAACAATCAGTATATTTATCGATTGCTCGATTAAATAGAGTAATTACAAGTAAACCCTTCCAAATGTTCAAAGAACCCATCGAAAAACATATGACGCCTACATATTATATCTTGTCAGCCCGCACATTAATTGTTATAAACGCAGCAGGTCATCTAACCTATATTCTCCGTCCGAGATTCCCTTAAAACCCACTTCCTTTTGCAACTTTACAATATCCTCGATAGCTTTGTCCTCAACCATCTTAAGCTCCTCCGGTGAGAGCTCCTTCTTCTCGAAAGCCATCCGGGCCTTCAGCAGCTCTTCGGGCCTAAGCAGAGAGCCCAGATGCTCAGCACGAAACGGGGGGTTTAGTTTAAAGCTCATTTTTTTTAGAGGGGAGGATATATCAATGCAATAGCAATCGAAGCTGACTAGCTGTTGAATATATAGAGAGAGCGCGAGCGGTGAGATACCAATGTCTCCGAGAGGAGAAAATGCGCTTTTATATACCCTCTCCTCATAGTGGGGCATACCGAAGATCCCCCCGGATCTCGTTGCCGAAGCGGGGATCATATCCTCACTGGATAGCCCCGTGGTCCTTACAAAGGGCTTGAAATCCCCACGCATATGGCTGTCAAAGCATATGATAATATGCCAAGACTGCGCTAAAGCTGCCGAAAAGCTTGGTTTGGGGCCATCAAGCGCGGTGCTTTCCTCTCACGTGATAGCGCGCGGTGAAGAAGGTAGAGTAATGTATTTGATGCACAGTCACTACTCTATCTCTGACGCGGTCTATCTAGGAGATACTTCGGTGTCACTGAATCGGACATTGGGAGCCTGGTGCACGTATATCTGTTTGCTGTGCAAGGCGTCAGCCATATCATGAGATATCACTCGTTCCGTTTAGTCATTAGGGAACGCTAATTATAGACAGCCCGTGCAGCCTTTTGCCGGGCAGCCTGTAGTAGATGTAATAAAAAATATAGGACCTCCTTGACTCATTCACCGTATATCATGTAAATCCTGGTTTACCCTCTAGTATGTAGGTACATGCCGAAGGGCTGGACGAAATGGTATCTCACTGCATATGCCTCATCCTCCAAGCTTGAAATAAAATCCAAAGCATATCCTAGCAAGAGATAATACATATATCCGCGTTATGAGACTTTGGAGTATCGACATCAACTACCCCCAAGACAGTTAGTTATGCTCACCATATTAATAAATTAAACAAAAAAAAAAAAAAAAAAAAAGGTTATGTTCATCATGCAGGCTTCATCACCTTATTATGCGCACATGAGAATAGCTTTTCAGTAGTGTAGCCGATCCATAAGGATGATAGTCCTTGTGCCCTCGATATATGACACTAACTCTTCTTACGTTAACGAGGACGAAGACACTCTTAAACCTCGTCTCGAGCACCCTGTAGACCACACTACTTTCAGTGACAGGTACGTACTTGGATCACTTGGCACCGGCAAGCGCAAACGTGTCTACTATTCAACGAGTACAACTACAACTTTAGAGCCGCAAAGATCTAAGTAGACAACCACCCTGTTTGCTGGAGGAGCAGGCTGGGGGAGTATTGTAACTAAGCTTCACAGTATAAAAAGTATTGCTCTAGATCAAACCAACCAATAATTTCCTCTCAACTCATGGCGTGCATTTCCTGAAGGAAGTACTACTCATACCCGTCTTTGTGCTACTGATATCATATCTAACTATAAAATCCAAACACCGAGAAAAGTTCCTCTACAAATATAATAACGCCCCCTCCAGCCCTTTCAGATCCTCCCTGATCCCCTGAATGTCGTTTCCAGCTTTGCTCGCAATCTCCGATTTTCTACCCTCCCCAAAGCCGATCCATCTACAAACTAGGGCGCCATCCAAGACCCCTCTCAGAAGGTCACCTCCGACACCCGCGGCTCCGCTACTGACGACGGCCCTATACCCTCGGGGGTTCAACCCTGCGGTGTGCTCTTCCCCACTTACAATTTGGCCTTGCACGATGTTGAGGCGACGGTAGCTGGTTTCTGGGAGCGTGGTGATCATTGCGAGAGAGCCGGTAAGGGTCCCTGCTAGGACGAGGAATTCTTCGGGAGTGTCTGTGACGGTGTCCATTACATCTGGGTCGGGTTCTGAGGCGATTGGACGAGACCGTGGGAGCATCGTAAGGGTCTTGACTTCGTGGCCGGCGAAGAAGTCGGCACGGCGGATTAAACGTTGACCTGCGAGAGATTTAGGATCTAATCCAGTTAGTACTGTCTGTTCGAATGGGAAAGTGGGGGAGAAAACATACGCTCGGGATCGTATTGCAAAACATGAATATTGCTGTCCGCATCGGCAACTACGAAATATAGCTTGTTGCCATCGGGCAAAAAGTCGGCGGCAACAACTTCGAGTGTCTGCGTATCCTTTCCGAACAACGTCATCTTATACGGCTCCTCAGAGAACCCAGTAAACCAGATGCTCTTCATGAAGTCTCCAAACAGGATCATGCCGTCGAGATTCTTTGCAACAGTGACATACATACTCATGTCCATGAACGCCACTGGGAGAAGAGACTGGTCTTCTTTTAAACCTCGTACCATTATCTATAGATGTTAATTGTGAATCACGCATCAACGGGGGAGGAGAGTGTAATCAGGTACCTTTTGACCCTGCGCGGCGAGAAGATATCCATTGACCCCACAGATAGCAGATACGGTCCCCTTTACTTCTTCACGACACACAAGCTTCAACTTACAGTTCGTCTCTGGCTTTCCGGGCTCTGGGACAACTTCAATTATCTCAAAGACGTAAATCCCACCTCTTGCGGAATGGTCTTCTCCCTTGAATATACCCGTGCCTACAGCAACAAGCTGTTTTCGCTCCTTTGTGTGCTCCGAGATTTCCATCTCGATCGTCTTCACTACCAACGCAATTTCGTTATGTGCAAATTTAAACCTAAGCCATGTCAGTGATCGCTTTGAAAAGAAATTATTTGGAGTTCTAGAGAACTCACTGGTCAACAACACTCCAGTTTAATGGTGACAAGATTTTAATCGCCCCGCTTTCCACCTCCGGTTGTAAAGTTGTTTCGTCCTTCGCGACACTCCCATCGTCCTCAGCCAGGTCAAACGGTACCAGCTGTGTAGTGCTCACGACATATACGCCCATCGGTGGGAAATAGCTCAGCGCTTGCACGACATCGCCCACGGCAACCTTTCTTGCACCCCAACTCCCATCAAAGTTAAACTCAGTTGGCATGAGTGAAACACGCACTATTCCGGAGTTGTCAACATACACAAATCCTCTATCCGCACCTGAGGAATGGAACGCTGCTAGACTCCGCACTGCGTTTCCAGCCAGGCGGTGCACGTGCGGTATACTCTTGCTTGTCTTCAATACAAAGGATGGGTCTGCGCCGGGGAGAAACACGCATCTATACCCTGCCAAATTTTGAATAGAGACAAGGGGGCGGAAAATAGTTTTTGATGATGAGGGTTTCATGGGATTGATAGGTAGTGCAAGGTGCGGATTTGGAGACTTTGCGAATCGGAGAGTGGGTTTGCTCTCGCTAGTGCCAGGACAAATAAACGGTTTGTAGAATGTAAGATCGTCTCGCGCACTTCGAACCTAATATTTGCTAGTTAGATATCGTAGATTTTAGCTAGGGTTGGTGTCTGGTACAATCATGAATGGTTCCTTCGCGACCTGGTCTCCCAGGTCGGTAACTAATATCTCAACTATATTCTCTTTAACATTTTTCTCCCGATGGGAATGTGATGTTGGTTCAATTGTGTCGTCGGCTCTCAATAACGGGGGAAGAGAACTGAACCCTTCAGATACGAATATGGGTTCGGCCAAATTTGCAAGACTATAAACCTAATCAAGGTCAGTACAGCGACTTTTTCACGGTCCAGGAAGAGAATCTAACCTGCAAGCATCCCTCAAAAGTGATGAGGAACAACACATATTCCGTTTCCCCCTCTTCTTCCTCCTGGGCTTTCCTTTTCTCCTCATTTTCTTCTGATACTGCAGCTGCTGGATGAAGTTCGCCTTTTTTAGCGGCATAAATACACCCCGAAGAGTACTTGCTCGATTTCAGTCTATCGCCCCTCTCCTCTTCGACAAGTTCTAGATTTCCTTTATGGACTCTGTAGATCACTACACTGCCATCAATTCTAACCAGAAGCACATATGGATCATAAACTCTCGCCCTCACCACGTTTGGACCCTCCTCTCCGGTATCTTCATTGAACATGGGTATTATTTGTGCCAACTGCAAGTCACAGTCATAAACACGAACTTGTTCACTCACAACCTGAACAACTCTCATTCCTCCACCAACAACACCAACCTCAAGAGTCTCTCCCTCGCTCTCAAAATCTGTGCCCCGGACCTCTTCAAATGTATCGCCAACTCTGAATACCTGACTCTCCTCGCTCTTGCTCACGAACAAGAACCCATCAAATTCTTCCTCTGCCCCGCCTTGGTCTTCTTCGCCGCTTGTTAAGCCTGCTAACGCAGAATTGACTGCCGTCTTCCCCGAACGAGCTCGTACGGTCCAAAGCGCCTGGCAGGTTGGGAAATCGAGTTTACCTACAACAGTCGGCGCGATTGATTTGCGCAACACACTAACTCCGGCGTCTTCGGGTGTATTGATAGGACCAGCAGTAGTAACGAGTTCTAATTCGGGCGTAACACCAACCTGGCGCGAAACAGAATCCGGGGTAAACGTGGGACGTCCTAGGACGATATCACGGAAGGGGCCAAGGTTAAGAAGACGGTCATGGGTGGAGAAAATATATTCTCCCATCGGCTTTACCCCACCATCCTTTCGCTCTGTCTTTTTATAAGAAGAATCACCACCGCCATAAAGGTCGTCATCCATGTCCTCCAACATCTTGTATACATCTTCTTCATCTTCGTTCTCAGCAACTTCTTCCTTTAGACTTTCGCCAGGCTTTTTCTTCTCGCCTTTTCGCTTCCACTTGAGGAGACGTGCATCACCTTCTGTGCACCCCACAAAGAGGCGGCGGGACCCAAGTGCGACGAGGGTCGAAACCCGGCCGCCAACGAGAGAGGTAGGGTGGTTTGCAAGGCGGTTGATTTTTACGCCACTGACGTTGCGGCCGTCGGTTTTGAACTCAATGATAACAGCCTCTCCCTTCTTCGTAATAAGCAAAATGTCACCATTTTCACCCTCAAGTTCAACCACTGAGCTTCCTTCTAGCTCCAGGCATAGGTCGCTTTGGTCGGCAAGACCGGCAAAAGTGGTACTTCTCTTAGTGTATGGGTTTACTGCTACCCCAGTTGTCTTACCAGCTTGATCAAGGTGGATAATTTCGTTACCTCCAATCAGCAAGCTCCCTCCGATTGGTGGGGCCAAAGCAACCACCTTAAAGATATCATATGGGAGCCCCGAAACACTGAGAATTGGAGTGGAGGCTCGCTGCTCTAAATCAAGTGTAATGACAATATATGAAATGGTATCCTTCCTCCCTTCTGCCGCCAGTAGACCAGCCCATGTCCGGCGAGGCGAGTAAAGGATTCCGAACGTAGGCCCGCGATATTCGTGCAAAAACGTGAGAGATATAACATGTGAAATCGCATCGTCAAGTCGAGATACTGGGAGTACAAAAGATGGGTGATAGGGTCTATCCGCAGCGACCAACTTCGCTGCCATGACGTCCTCTTTTGTTTTATCAGTGGTTCCGGCCATCTCACTATCGAGCTCGTCCTCGGGTTTCTTCTCAGGGGCCGAAGGATCCCAATCATCGTCTTCACCTTCGGCCATGTGTAGATCGTGGCTAGCTCCATCCACATTTCCTAATGATAAATCTTCGTCTTCCCGTTGCCGAAATGGTAGGATTGCGATCATGTCCCCCGCAAAATTGAGCGCCGCGCAGCGACTCCCTGGATCTGCCACAAGGGTTGTCGACAATCCTTCTGGAACCACAGATGGCCAGAACTCCTCCCTTTCGTAGTAATGTAAACTGATTGTCGTAACTGCGTTTGTCGATGGATCCCACTCCAACAGCGAGAGCTTCGCATCTTTAAACGACAATAATAATGCCTCTCCGCCCGATTTCGATACGAGAAGCTTAATCCGTTGCATTCCCGTTACCGAACCGCATAGATTGTATTCCGCGACCAGAACAAGCTTCGTAACCGTTTGGACCTGCGATCGCTGCAGGACTATGTCTGCTGCGAAAGTCCCTTCCTCATCCGCGTCAAGAGCGCGGCGATCAATTCCCCCCTCCTTCTCTTTGTTAGCTGGGTCGGAGGAAGATGTTCCATTGCTAGACGGGAGTTCAGTCTCATGTGTTGTCGTGCAAAATATCTGGAGGAGCGATGTTCGTGCGACGATCAGGTTTTCGGCCGTCGCAGATGTGAAGTGGATAGTGAGCGAGTGCGAGACGGCCGTGGGAGCGGTCAGTTCAGTGTAAACTTCCGGCATCGTGAAGGGGCGAGTAGATTATTGTTTCGTCTGTTATTACTAGTATCGGGCGGGGAATTGCATTCTGCGTCGCGTTCTTTCTGGAATGTTGTATGTAGCAGGAGCTCGTGTAGTTTAACCCTTGGCTTAGTTATTGGAGTGCGGCTGAGTGACTGTGCCACTATTAGCTAGCGTATCTCCACACCACGTGCCACATCTTATTCCACCAATTTGAATCTTACGAGCCGGAGTCGCAAGCTTTGTACCTAGCATACAGCTCATTAGGGATTACACTCACTCACGGGGTGAAGGTGGATCCTGTCTGATGGCGGTCAGGGATTTGAGGCCAATAAAAGAGTTAGGTTTTGGACGCCAAGGGCAAATTACTACAAACAGAACCATCAGACAGGATCCGCCGTCAGTAGGTGAGCGACTGTACTCACTTCTACATAACTACATGTACATATACGCCCACGAGGCTACACATATGTAGCCATCGACATGAACACACAACGGCTATATTTATTACCCCAAATAATGGTCCAAAACTACTTGAACTAGTGCAGGTAATAGATTGAGACAACTCTAAGCACATATGTAAATACATGTGTATGTACGTGCATGTAGATATATACAAGCAACAAAGTCTCATCACACTCGGGCTGCAGCCTTTCATTAAGGGAATAAAAGGCCGGAGACATTTAGAGTTGTAGTTGTGTGGTTAATTCGGTGGGATAAGAAGTACCTACATGTACTCGTACTTGCCTACACGGAGAGTTATTCGGCACATGTTAGCACCTATGTACCTATCTACATGTATTCCGGTTGAATCATGAATCGTCACTCGTTTAAACTTCGGAAAATTATTATTACGTCACCATAGCTCAGCTAAACGCTAACCACCTTTGTATTACACGAACCCCTTCAGTAAAGCGTGGTCTCAGCCGAAATCACAGCACCCCGCGATTCCCCTCGCGACAAGGAACCAACCGTTGCAAAGCAACCCCACCTCACATAATCCACACCTCCGACTTCACCTGCTACGATCAGCTCTGATCATACTACCTATCGCATTGGTTTTTATACCCTAGCCATCCTCCCCATAGAAGAACTCACAACTCAAACTACAAAACATGACTGCCAAAGTCCCCAGGAACTTCCGCCTGCTCGAGGAGCTGGAGAAGGGTGAGAAAGGTCTAGGAGCTGGTGAGTATTATCCGCTATATAGATACGTAAAACTAGTGAAGCTGATTGCTTTACCGCGATAGATGGCTGCTCCTATGGCCTTGCCGAGGGAGACGATGTTATGATGTCTAACTGGAACGCTACGATTCTTGGCCCCCCCCATGTGAGTCTTTCCTGCTTGAGGTCTTCCTTTCGCGTTCTAGAGGCACAAAAAAAACCCATATCACCGAGATCACTCACTTACTGTTGTCCAGAGTACCCACGAGAATCGCATCTACAGCTTGAAGATCCACTGCGGCGATTCCTACCCGGACCAGCCTCCTATCGTCCACTTCATTTCCAAAATAAACCTCCCCGGCGTTGACCAGAATGATGGCAGAGTATGCTTGAGTGTCCCGATAAACTTCTTCCCCGTTTCTAATATTCATGAAACATTTAGGTTGATCTTTCAAAACTTCAACGCGTGAGTCAGTGGGCTAGAAACTTCACCATGGAGAAGATCCTTGTAGCTCTTCGAGAGTATGCCTAACTCACCCCTCACCCCTCACCCCTCACCCCTCACCCCCTCCATTTAATATAACTAACGCGTCTATCCTCAATTGTAGGCATATGGCCCACCCTAACCACCGGAAGCTCCACCAGCCCCCAGAGGGCAATACTTACTAAACTCGAGGGGGAAAAGGCAGACGCCATGATATCTGGCTGGGTACGGCATAATCGAATGGTCGTCCTACAAATGTGTAAACAAGACTAGTCCTTTCCTGTGCACGCAGACCTAGCTTGTATTTTTTTTTTAACTTTACTTCGTTTCAGTTGGTAGGGTTCAAGGGCTTCGGAGTATCGTAGTTTCTCAAGAATTTGCTTTTGTCATCAAACGTTCCTATTAAAAGCTACAGGCAGATGATATGAAGTGAACTTGCATTTATGGATAGGTATTCGTCTATAGAATGCCCGCTGCGTGGCGAGACACTATTGAGTAAGTCAATTGTAGTGTCGACGACATCACGAGAAAACCCAGTTTTTAGCAGACAGTTTCAATGAGCTCGATGCAATCGTAATACGAATCATATTGGGTGATTTTACTACTGTCTCTATAGGTGTACAGGTTACGCGGTGAAAAGCAAGTCGGAGATATGTTCTGCCCGATACGCGAAATCCTCCAGTTCACGAACTGGGCGCCCGGTTCGGTTGATTTTCCCGCGGGGCACGATTGAGAAAGTATGAGTTTAAGTCGCTATCAAGATTAAGAACAACGGAAAATATTGCTTTAGCCCCCAGCCTGGGGTACGTAGAAAAGTTTCTTTCAACCCTTTGAAACCAAATACGTCTTTAGTAGACGTACCCGCAACAGCTGTCTACAATCCGAGGGCTCAAATGAATATGATAGACTTTCTTTTAGTTACTATGTCTCAAAGAATTCTAGTTAAAGTGGTTTCACCCGAGGTAGTTGTATTATTGATAATGGCTGATCTCAGTATCAATGAGAGAAAAGCACGGTTCTTTTTGAGCAATTGAGTACGGATTTTATGTAAATTAATATTCTGAATGGGACAACTGATCTACGAATTCGCTGAACAGGTCGATCCGTTCAAATTTTGTATGGTACTTCCGAGCAGAACAACCCACTGAGGAAACTCACTGGACCGGGCGCCCAGTTCGTGAACTGGAGGATTTCGCGTATCGGGCAGAACAGATACATATGAATGTACGTCTTCTAATACAGTCTGGAAGATGTAGGTACTGCTAAATATGAGCTTGCCCTATAATAGAATCCCTAAACCTACGTAAATCTCTATGTTTATTGCTACATGGGATGCGTGGCAAGGTTGCTTTTCATGCGCATATGGAAACAATCCGTCGCGTATGTAGATAGACGCGAAGCACGGATTCATTGATAACCTTATCCCAATCGCACTGCATTTGGTTTTTCTCTCATGATCCTCTCACTTCAGTCAATTATTAAAAATATTGTTAACTCAGGTATAAATTTTTACGAAGGCCTTCGGGTCAGATCGCCTGTTGAGACTTTGGTGGGATCGCCGGCGATATATATATCGCGATCGAGTGATGCGTAGTGATTCACATAATCCGCAAAAATCTTATATATATAAGTACTTGATGTACGTGTAGATCTATACTCGGGTAGCTTATTACCTTGGATCTAAGCTACTGTAAAATATGGTGATTTCGCAAAATGACCCAGTTCTAGGGTACAAAATTGCGGACTTGGCGCATTTTGTATGGGATCCAATCACAAAAGCATGCGTGTAGCCCCCGCATTTAATAAAGGCTGACTTTTGAACTTTTTAATGTCTATCGCTTTCGAATTCCAGGTCTCCAGATACAAAAATAAGTACCTCTTAAGAATATTTAGCTCGCTTCCATGGCCGAACCGCTTTCTATCGGTGCTTCAGTAGTTGGATTGATATCGACAGCTACGCAGGTTTCATTAGTTATACTCGACTTCGTTAATAACGTCAAGGACGCACCAATTTTTGCTCGGCATGTTATGAGTGAGGTTTATGCCATCAAGGCCGTAATATCCACTCTTCAGGGATATCTCTGGGGTGAGACGAGTACCACCGGCTCTCAAGAATCCATGATCCTCGTGGAGCACTTAGCTGTCATCTTGACTGCATGTGTGTTTACTTTCGTCGAACTTGAGAAGGAGGCTAGCGCTCTGAAATCAAGTTACAACATGAAGATATTAGAACGGGCGAAATGGGCACGTAAGAAGAGTACTTTCACACAAATCTTTACATGTTTGCAGAACCACAAGAATTCATTGAATTTGATTTTAGCTATACTGCAAAGGTCAGCTGGCTTACCATTATTTTCCAACAAGTATATTACTAATAATCTCATATAATAGTCAAAATAATGCACAAGCCGAGGGAAATTCGGGCAAGCTCTGCGCATCCCTCGATAAGATATTGAACACCCAGAGGGACATCCTCAAACGGCTCGAACGATTTGAAACTAGAGTGAACTCAGTAGGATCAAACCTAGTGGCCAGAGAGAATGATCTAGATACAGCGTCTTTATATTCATTTCGAAGTACGATAAGCCGCGAAACCGTTGGAACCATGGTTTCCAAGTTTAGGTTTTCTTTCGATAGTACTCTAAAGATTTCCAGGGTTTATCAACGGGCGAATTCCAGATATCCGATATTCCTCTCAACAGACTCCAAGACGAGCACAATTGCAGCACAGAGCATGGGATGGTCCTTTATGTCAGGGCTGAGCATTTCCGATATATCACAGGTGTCAGTTTTGGGTCTACCAATATACCCACTCGACATGCCCAACAACCAATATTACACCTTCGGTTGTGAAATACCACGCTCTGCAGCTTCAAAGAAAGGCAATCCTCGACGACTACCGTTGCACTTTGCCGCGGAAGATGGGAATAAATATATGGTTAAATTATTGCTTGATAACGGAGCGGACATCTCAGCAGCTGATTCTACCGGGATGACAGCCATACACATAGCAGCAGGAAATGGGCACAAGGATGTGGTTCAACCTTTACTCGAAAACGGAGCAGACACCTCAACAATGGATACATCCGGGTCAACGGCATTACATGTAGCAGCAGAATATGGGTACGAACGTACAGCTTTATTACTACTCAATAACGGGGCCGATCTCTCTGCAGAGACAACCCCTAGCAAATGGGTAGCATTGCACATAGCGGCAGAACGTGGGCACGAAAGTGTAGTTCGATTATTACTCGATAACGGGGTAAATACGTCAGTAGTTACAAAGCCTAATGGATGGACACCTTTGCACCTAGCAGTGAAAAATGGGCGAAAGGATGTGGCTCGACTTCTTCTCAGTAAAGGGGCAGATATCTCAGCAGTAACGAACGATGATCATCTCACAGCGTTAGAGCTAGCATTTCTATATGAATATGATGATATTGCCAAGATGCTATCCTCTAAACCCAAGGAAGACGTACTATCGAATCGAGACTGGACTAGAAGTGCTGTTTACAAGGAGACTATGAATATCCCTAAGGATTATCGCGGGCCAACTATTTACTACGGAACCCAATTGGTAAGTCATTCCACTCTGAAGTGATAAACCTGGCATGCACTGTAGATATATGATCATGAAAGAGACTCATTTTGTTTCTAGAGCTCTCTTAAAAATCACCCTCCAGCAGTTAGAACGTTCCCTGTAGACACGAGTAACTGGGCAGTGACTTACGGTGCTTCTTCAATATCGTGAAGTTGAAAAAGGATACAACTGCATGTATTTTCTTTGCGGGTGATAATGAGGGAAGAGTTATCAGCGTAGCGCAAGCTCGGAGTTGGATCAAATTTTTTAAAAAATTATTTCATTTTCGCGAGAGAGTGAATTATGGTTTTATATATATATATATATATATTTTTGCTCTATTTTCTTTTTTAAGAGGAATGAACATGGGGACGAGAGGATCCGTTTACATGTATACCGAGGGTATATTTTGGTAATGGGCATGATCGAAACATCTCGAGATAATGTCTTCGCATTAAGATCTCAGCTGTGAAATGAGGAGAATCCTCTCGACAACTCCCGGGCCGGTCCCGGACAAATCACATACAAGACTCCACCACATTCCCACCACAAGTTGAACTCGTACCAATGTAGATCAATGTAGTCCACGTGGGCGCTGGAGGTGAGATTTGAGAGTGTCCTCATGGGTCATACTAATTTAGACGGATATGGAGTTTTAGACGGGCTTTTCATGTCTCTCGAGTGATATACCATGATTTACCGCTCTAACGCGTTAAGGTCCAACCTATTCAGTATCATTACTACATATTCATTCCAACACAACAAGTACTAAAATATTTTACAACACCCTAAATCACTTCTACTACATGTAGTTAGTGCTCGTAATCGCACACCAATTCTTCACGCAGCACCAACCGCAACCAACCCCACGCACCCACCAGAACCTACATTAACCCGTCTACCACCCCCCCCCCCCCTCCCCTCCCTCGAAATCTACAACAACGCCACCACCCCCTCCACCCCACCCTCCGGACCGCTGGCCGCCACCTCCCTTGCCACCTCCCCCCTAATCCTCACCGCCACCGCCGCCCCCTCCTCATCATCCAGCTCAGTCCTCACCCCATCCCCATACCTCGACAGCAGCCACCTCCCCTCCGCCCCCGCCAGCAACTTCTCCCTCTCCTCACTGCTCGGCCTTGGGATGATATGGTAGTGGACATGCGGGACCACCTGCGCTGCATGTACGCCTGCCCACCGTACCCCACTCTCCCCATCAGCCCTCCTCCAACACACGCACACATAAACAGAGGGAGAGCATAAACACCAACCGTTATTCTGCACAACGTTAAAGTCCCCCACACCCACAACCTTCACCACCGCCCTCGCAACAACCGGCAACCACGCACCGATGCCGCCGCTCTGGGCCGGCGTCAGGTCCGTCAGCCGTTCTTTGTGGGCGCGGGGACACACGAGGACGTGGCCGCGGGTCAGGGGCTGGATATCCAGGAAGGCCATGACGTGCGGCGTGGCCAGGATTATGTGGGTTGGGGGGTCGAGGGGGGCTGCCGGCGCAGCGTGTGGGGAGGACGGAGGGTGCGGGGGGAAGGAGGCGGCAATTGTGCAGAAGGGGCAGCTGTCGGGGTTAGAGGCGGGTGCGGCCATGGTGTATATGTGGTTAGGGTATACGAGGGAGGGGGGTGGGGGAGGGCTTAGGAGAATAGTTATGAGCTTGAGATGATGCTGATAGCTGGTAGCTGATCATTACTAGGACGAACTTGAAGTTACCGGTTGTTACCGAGGCAGGCCCCATCCCCGCGCACGTGCGAGCTACCTAACCTTTATCAGTATGTATGTACACAACCCACCAAGCGCACACCCCAGCGGGGGGCGGCAAAGATCAAAGCGGTTGAAGCGCACGGAAAGCTGCAGTTTCGATCATTGGCTCTTACTATATGTCGTTTGGGCTAACCAGATGTGTACAAGCTTCTACATCTTTACTAGAGGGATAAAGTGCCAATGATTGCTACGGCTACAATCTCAAAAAAACATAAAAATTAAAAATAAAAGATGAATATATAGAGAGAGATCCGTGGGGGGGGTGCAAAGGCCACACTAGACTGTCTCTCTTGCGCGTTGGCACTATCAACTAAGTAGTTACATTGGATCATTTCTTATTCTTGTTCTTTAAAAAGAAGCTCGGTATTGTTTGGGTATCTACATATACACATACGCGGGGAATTCTTGGGTAGTGCAGATAGCTACAGATCCATCATGTCCCTATATTCATAGCAAGAATAACGGAAGAAAGAAAGAAAGCAAGAAAACGAAGGAGGATAATACTCCCGCTAATAAGCCCCATCACCAGAAAAGCACTCTCCCCAGCATGCCACCTCTGCCCCCCTCCCCGCCCCATCTGCCTAGCCCATATGCCCACCCCACAACTACACCGGAAAGTCATGCAAATTCTTCCAAAACGCGCCATACGGCCCATCCCCCCACTTCCCCACCTACCCGACAAACGCTCCGTATCCAGCACCGCAAACACCACATCCCTCCACCACCCCCCGGTAAACTCCGGCTCCAAAAACACCTCCATGAAGATCTCCGCCACCTGCGCACTCGGATTAAGAAACACGCCGCACCCCAGCGCGCCCAGCACAATCCTCGTATGGCCCTGGTGCGCCGCGACGCGCAGCAGCAGCCGAATCTTGTCACGCATCAGGATGCGGTCCGCGTCCAGCGCATACCGCGGCGGATTCGTCGGCGTCAGCAACGGCGCATACTGCGCGGCCACGGAGACCACCGACACGCGCTTGTGGTCGTGGGGCGGGAGGATGGCGTGGCCTGCGCGCACGGAGGCGCGGAAGACGGTGACCTCGGGGGAGTAGATGGCCGAGACGGGCGGGAGCGGGTAGAAGGACGGGGTGAGTGTTACGCTGAGGGTGGAGCGGAAGCAGAGTTCCTCCTCCTGTGCCATGGCGCCGCCGAGCCAGCCGCCGCCGACAGCGTAGGCGTTGGCCAGGTTGAGGACGAGCACAGGGAGGGGGTCGCCCATCAGTTGGCCGAGTGAGATGGCGACGTTGAAGGTGTCGCCGTCGACGATGCGGATGCGCGTGCCCGGGGCGCCGGGGCCCTCGGGGTCGCTGTAGGGGAGGACGAAGCCGGGGCAGGCGGCGGGGTCGAGAGGTGGTGGGGGCGCGGCGGCGGTGAAGAGGAGCGAGGGAGGGGCTGGGGGGCGGAGCGCTAGAATTTCCGGTATCATTGTGCTGCGGACGGTGGGTTAGCTATAGCTATCTTGAAGCCCATATATAGCTGGGGCAGGTCATGTAGTTACACAGTTTCCGCTGCAATAGCAGCTAGATTGACGTCCCTTCTTCGCGGAGTATTCCTTGCGCCTGGGGACCATCCGTCGTCGCCGGAGCTGTTACCGCCACCGCCTCTATGGCTCCTGGCGCTTTCCCTCTGGGCCACATCCTGGCGGACCCATTGTAGGTCTCTGTATAACCCGTCAGAGCCTCGGTCACCGCCTCTGATTTGTCCCGGCGGTGTAGCGACTCTGGCTGCAAAATGGGGCGACGATGTTCCCGACGAGGACGCAGACGCAGACGCAGACGCAGATGATGGTGAAGGTGCGGAGGCGGCGGAGGGGGAGGTTCGGGGAGCGGCTCGTGGGAAATTGAGTTTTGACTGGATGAGCTTCCGTTCTGAGTTGGACTCGTTGAAGGGCTTTCTGGGTGGTGGGGGCATTGTGAGCGGGGAGCTGCACCTGGAGAAGGAAGAGGTTGGGGGTGTTTCGAGCTCGGAGAAGATATAAAATTTGTAGCTATTTGGTCACGTGCAGATGTAGCTGCGACTCGAGGTAATTAAGGATGGTGGTTGGAGCTGTAAAGAGTCACAGCGGTTGAGTCACGCGTGCCAAGGAGACTTCATGGGATGTCACTCGTGCAGGGGGGCGGCAACAGCTGTGCAGCTAGATAGCTAGGCGACCGTACAAGCTCTATATATATATTGCGAGGGCAGACAAAGAAGCAGTCAGACCAACCAACAAAGGGCCAACAAAGAACGAAACAGCGTCCGAGTCCGTCAGCTGGAGGAACATGGGCATTGTCATTGTTTCGATCATATGGGTCTTCGAGTCGCGTCGAAGAAGCATTGGGAAATCGTTGGATCGAAGCCGGATTACATTCGTATTATAAGAGCATCGATCCCTGGCCTAGCCTTCTAGCTACCAATGGCTCTCAGCACAGCCTAAACTCACCTTTAGAGTACTCCCCCCAAGTAAACTTCTCTCCTGTTCCTACTACCAACTCCTCCTCCCACCCCGAAACCCAGCTCAAGCCTCACTACGTACAGAGAAGAGATGATTATAGAGAAGAGATAACACGGGGCAGCTTTAGGATTCCTTGCATGAGTGGTTTTTTCGTGCGTGCTCTTAATTGGTGTCTCAACATGCAAACCGATGACCCGAGAGTGTGTCAGTGCGCTACCCGAGGCTAGGTGGTCTAGTACTAAGGTTCATGGAGTATCACTCGATTTCGAATCCTTAATCTTGTTAACTATTAGCCTTGCACGGCCTCTAGCTGTGCGGGTACTTGAGCTTATGGACGATTTATACTGGCGCTACATTCCACGTCGGAGTTGGAGAACATGAGAAACTACGGGGTAAGGGGTGAGGGGAATCAGGAGACAAGAGTGAACGGGACCAGGAGCCAAAGGGTAAATAAGAGCAAAAGAAACCCGAGCCCGAGAACTCCCCAATCCTTTTGTTGTCCCCCCGCTCAGAAGCCAGAGGAAAACGAAAAGAAAGGCAACAAGGGACGGAAGCCAAAGAAAAACTAGAAGCCAACAGGAACAGAACCAAGAGGAACAAGAGCCAAAGGAGACAGGAGCCCAGAGCCAAAAGGAACAAGAGCCAAAAGGAACAAGACTGGAGAGCCAAACAGGACAGGAACCAAGCCAGAAAAGAGCAAAAACGAAAAAAAAGAAGAAATCACCAAAAAAAAGTTCACCAACCATTTCATCCCCTCCTCGCAACTCAGACAGAAGACGACAAAACGAGAAGCAAGGCCCGCATCCGCGCCCCAACAAGACCAGGCCTTCGAAACCGAAGTTGATCAATAGCCCGGCAGCCCCCCACCCACCTGTAGCCCAACTCTGCACAGCGAAGAGCCACAGGGGGTGGTTAATGGTGTTGCAATCATATCAGCCCCAGCGCCAACAGGGCCGGTCTCTTGAAATCGTTGCAACGATTATAAGTCTAGCATTCCCCCTTACTAGGAGGGCTAATGGCGCTGGGCGAGCCGGAATCCCACTTATTGGGACCTCTGCTAAGTACCATGGGCCCCTGGTAGGTGGCAGGATCTGTGGGAGGGGTGTGACACCTCCCGGAGTGGTAGAGCTCCTGGATGGGGGAATGGGGGAGGGGGGGAGAAGGGTGGTGAGATGTTGCGCTTTTATAGTAGAGTGATAAATACCTTGGGTCTTGGCGTGAGTAAGTACGTACGGTTAGACTGGGGCTTTCCCCAAGGGTTCTGTTGATCATGTGTTGAGTGTGCATGTCTGAAATATGCCAAACCTCGTTCAGAAAGGGAGGGGGAAAAAAAGGGTGACTATGAATTCGGTAAGGTTCATTTACTGTACGTACGCTTTTCTTGTACGAAAGCTATATAGCGCGGCACCCCTGAAGTTGGCGTCCAGATACTGAGCTAGGGAGTATTACATTCAGAGAGGAAGGAAGAGTAGCAATGTTTTTTTTTACCAGGACTCGAGCTATGCAAGGCCTAGGGACTTCCTCGACTCCTAGATTTTCCCATGAGTTTCTTTCGACTTGCTTTCGACCTGGCCTGAACGGTTACGCGCATATAGCTAGCCCATACTCTTAATTCATATTGTCTTACCACTTCAGTCATATAGAGAGCTCAGTCAAATACTTCTATTGTTTTTTCTTTTCAGTGAGGTGAATCTAGAACAGTGAGACGGGGGATTAGCACTGGATCATAGATTATCACTCGCGATCGGCCGCCTTGTTGTGTCGAATTAAAGCTCAGTGCGGTCAACGAGGACGCTCGAGGCGAGGCTTGAGGGTGCCCTCGAGGTGCCTCGTCCTCATTGAACTCTGTCCTTGTCTGCCCTTGAAGTCCGGCACTGTTGTTCTCGATGTTATTGTCACGATGTTGCGCATTGTATAATACAGCTACTTTTTTTTTTAGCTAGTACATGGCTATAAACTACATACGTTCGGAGGACTAGCATAAATATCACAACCGCAAACCACAAAAGTTCGATTGGTAGGGTTTGCAGCAAATATGGCCTTACTTTTTAGAACTTAATAGTTTTTCGTCGTTAAGCAACCCGGAGCTGCGCGCACGGGGGGGGGGGGGACGGGAGTGTGATTTCACGTTTTACTCTACAATATTAATTCATAAATCGAGAGCTGCGAGGGCTCCAAAACATGACAAACGTTTTCATCCTTTTACACCCTCGGTATATCACAGTTAGAGGTATCACCCAGGGCGCAAGAGGGAAAAACGGCTTGACGCAACATTAAAATACCCCCTTCCTCCCCCACAAGGGGAAGGAAGAGGGCAGGGAGACCAAACGTACATAAATTAGCCCACTTCCCCGTAAATGGAGGGATTGGTCAAGGAGACCTAACGCAACTCGGCCCCCTCTCTCCCCACAAGGGGAGAGAGAGGGAGGTTACGCCTCCTCAACACCAGCCCGGGCGCCCAGGCTTAGGTAGAAGAGGAGGGGGGAGGTAGGGGCAGAAGATAACTCCCCCCAGACTCCCTTCGTCCTTTATGCCAGAGGGGCCAGGAGAAGGGGGGGAGTGAGACCATCCCCCATCGGGACCCTTTTAATCAAGGGCCCACAAGGGGGATGGAGGGAGAAGGCCTCCCATCCCGGCCGTTCCAACGGAACCCTTTACTCAGGGATCCAAGGGGCAAGGAGGGAGAAGGTGGGTTTTGAGGTAGCCCATGATGGAGAAAGAAAGAAGAGGGACAATGTGTGGGCTTATAAAGGAAGAATAGTTCTCTCCAAGCCCCGTTTTTTGCTGCCTAAACTTGGGGTGTACTTGGTAGGTTAGGGCTTACAGGTAGAAATGTACCAACTAGGAAGGTTCTGTTTTTTTTTGTGGTCCCTGAGCTAGCTGGTACACGTAGCTTTCTGTGATAACTACATGTAACGTATCGACTTATCGCCTTATCGCCTTATCGGGCCTGGTAGGCCCTAACAATTAAAAAGTGACAATCAAAGGGATAGAAAGCAACTTTTCTCTCACCTAAGTACATGTAACTCTTTAGATAAGTTCATTGCAATGCCTTGAACTGCCAAACGGACCATAAATTAAAACATCCACAGTATTTGCGGTTGGCCTGCAAAAAGGGGACAACCTTAGACCGTAACAAAATAAGCATCAGTTTCCTCTTCAGCTGGGCCGTAACTACATATAGATACATGTACGTAGCTATGAGCTACCTCATGGTCGCGAGTTACTACTCTTACTCGACCCTTCCCTAACGAATGCTCCACTCAATTCCCCTAGATAATAAGAGAACCCACTAGTCAGCCGGTTGTATGCTTTCAATCAACGTGTCGACTCGGTTTCCAAACCTGGCATACCGTTAAGGGGTCCCCGATATTTTTTTCCTCTCAATTTGGGCAAGCCGGCTACCATGCAGAGTCAGAGTTTCTGCTCTCGACCAACTGGAGCTAAAAGAAGTTCGAAGATTAAGGGAAGTATACATGTATACTAGCAGTTGGCTGAACTCGCGAGCGCGAGTTCCTTTTACTCCAATTAGTTGTGCCTTTCGTGGGGCCTTCCACCTCGACCGCACCACCCCCCAGGTCCTCCTCCCCCACCAGTTGATGATTCCGCTGCAAATAGCTTATTTGAGGTATCTCTCAATACCATCCAGTTAATTCAATTTAATGATAGTATACCTCCCCGTACCCCGTCTTTTGATACCCCGTTGATGATAGCTCTCTCTATACATTCATGGAATCTCAATACCCCTAGAATATTTGAAAGATTGTCTGTACCGTTGAATCCGGCCTGTTGACGGATTTGAAATTTTGAGTGGCATTTTGGGTGGACTGGTTGCTATGTAGGGTCAGGGTTTCCGCTCTCGACCAACCAGAGGGCTCCGGCGCACGCAAGAATTAAGGGTAGTTCATATTAGATACTAGCACCTACTACCCCTGGCACAATAAGTACATGTACTGGAGCCCGCGTCCTCCAACCTCCCTCTCTCGAGTTGTGCTTTACATATATGGAATTCTTTTCTGGATATATATACACGTATATATGCGACCTATGGTTTGACGTGGGTATATAATGGGTTCGTATATGAGATTCCATAGCTCATTTACTAAAGTAGAGATACTTGAGAGAGCGGTGTATTAGAGCACTATAGCCGCTCTCCATGTGGCCATATAAGATCCAAAGAGCCGCGAGATGATGTGCACGTGGCTGAATTCGAAAGGGATATACATATGCTCTACCAAGAACATCTATATCCGATAAGGCCAGAAGGGATATTTTTTATTGTTTGGTGGTTACTCGTACTTTTTGGGCGCCGCGTAGCTTGAGCATCTATCTGCACCCCGCAGCACACAGTGATGCAAGGCCCCCAGGGATCAGGCCCGTACCAAACGTCTCTTATCGTGAAAGTTACTCGTAGGAAGTGGGTACGAGGCTACCATCACACAGGTATAGAGGCAATGTGAAGCGGTTATGTACATGTAATTGATAAGATACCGGCGAGTACATATAACCAAAAAGACAGCAATCGCAAGTCTATACGTAAGTCACAACACTTGAATCATATGAATTAAAAAAAAAAAAATCACCTGAATCATAGAAAATCACCCGCAACCAAAAGCTAACCTTACCGGATTTATACAGAACCAGGGCTCTCGCCGCAAGGAATAAAAAGAAAGCAAGTGATATTTTTTAAACCAGGCATTGTGGCACGCTATAACATCGCAAAAGAATATATATACTCAAAAAACGCTCTATCAATTCACCTCTCCATTTTTTAGACCCATCCGCCCCGCCCCATTTTAATTCATGGCCTCATGAAAAAAGCAAGAAAAAATTGACAGAGAAAGAAGAAGAAAAGAATATGATAGTAACAAAAGAAGACAGAAAGTAAGTAGTAAAAGAAAAAAGAGGATAAGCCTGCCAACTAACTACCTAGTTACACCGCAAACCACGAAACCAAACCGCTAAACGTCCTTCTAAGCCTCGATTTCCAAAGACCTTCCAGCCCTCTCTACAGCGTTAGCAGACGCCTGCTGCTCCTTTCCATGCTGCTCTACAACTGCTTCCCTAGCGCCCCGGACAGTCTCCAATATTCCTCTCAAGCTCTGCCTCCAGATATCTAGTCTGCCGGCAACCTCCTCCCACTCGTGTTTACCGAATGAGCGGTATGTGGACCGGTGGATGAGGAAGGTCTGGTTGAGCTGCGAAAGCTTACCCTCGACAAGACCGGCACGGATCACGTCGATGACCCAAAGCTCGACTTCTTCACTAGGAATGTGCAAGCGTCGGGCGATGATGTTGTAGGGGAGTTCACGGTTAGGTGCTTGTGAAGCAAGGGAGGCGAGGGTGAGGAGACGGATCTTGCGGAAAGCAATGGGGTGGTCGATACCTACACCCAGGTCAATAAAAGTAAAAAAAAAAAGGTGGGGAAGACTTTAGAAGGACCAACCGTTGTCGTCAACCCAGCCGTCGTGCTCATCATTGAACTCCTCGTAGTCCTCAAGATCTCCACCAATGAAAACCTCAAGGAGAGCAAACGCCTCAGGGTCAGTGTTGGCAAGTTTTTGTACGGCGTCAAGGGCAATCAGGTCGTCGAACTCGAGGCGGGAAGGAATATTGACACCGGCCTTAACGAGGCGGAGAGCAAGAGCTCGGGCCTGCTCAGTGGCTGCATCGGCGGCGGGGATGGTCTGGAGAGCCTTGAAAAGGAAGGTGTAAAATTCACTAGACCGGGTGAGTTAGAGATAAGTTTATTATTTTTAATAAGATAAAGTGACCATACTCGTTGTCGCCAAACTTCTCGGCAGTGTCGGCAATGGAGAGGTACAACTCCCTGATCTCCTCGGGGGAGGAACCCCACTCGCCAACCCACTTCTCCACGTTCTTAAGCTGAGGCTGGAGCGTCTCGTACATTCCACAGTCAGAGGTAAGCTTCAAGGTTGTCTTCAAGACCGGGTATCGGAGCTTGCTGTCGGCGGGGAGAACATTGAAGATGGTTGAGAGCGCATGGATCGACAATGCAGGTCCGTTGTGTGGTGATGTAGGAGGGGGGGTCGCAAGGTTCTGGAGAACTGTGGGGAGAAGGTTTGGCAGCTCGGTGGAGCTGCGGATCAGGTGGATGAGGAGGTTGTAGGCGGGGATGTACTCTGTCCAATGTTAATATTTACTTTATATGTTTTATATGTATGTGTAGAAGTTAACCTACCCTTCTCTGGCGCGGAAGAAAGTACGCTACTCGCGTCAACGATCTTTTTGAGTGCCGTCTCCTTGTCTCCAGCCTCAATAAGAGCCTCGAGTTCCGGAGCGAGAGCCTGCGATCCCTTGCGGGTATCGATGTACTGGGCCATCTCGAGGATTTGGTCTACCCTGTCCATTAGCCCAATGCCCTCCAACACTGCATTGTCTGCATATTTCGGGAGTTACCGTCGAACGACCCCTCGACCATAAGGGTGTTTATCGTAGGAACCTCCATATTTGCGGTTTGGGCGATTTCGAAATGGCTTCGAGATGTCGATGGATGAGGTTCTTTTTCTGATAGACGTTGTTTAGTGGGGGAGGGAAGTGTGGGCTCGCCAAGACTGCAGTAAAAAAAGTTACGCTCAGTTCATGGAGGGGCTACCGGGATGGATAATGCGCCGGGTCGGTAATTTAGGTCACTTAAAGTAGACAATTGGCATGGCCCTGGGGGGTTTACACTACGAATGGGGGGTTATTTTAGATTTTCGGTGTAATTAAGGTCGATAGTTTTTAGATATACAAAAAAAAAAAACAAGGAGTTTGTGGTCGTGAAATTTCCATATCAGGTGACTAGGGCTGCACCCTTGCCTACACCGTCACAACACCCACCACCAATCCACACAATCACACTCGAATCACAGCTACCCTGCCAAAAGTTGTAAACGCCACTACCAACTCTACGACGACACTCGCCCGCCAACCACGAGATATTCCCTCCGACGAACCCGCCGACAAACCCTTTTCGTACGTCTAAATCGCCGACGCGCTGCTCGCGAAGGAAATGCTGACTGGGTGGAAAACTAGACACCAACAACTAAACCGCAATCATGGTTAAGAAGAGAGCTTCCAAGTACGGTTCCCCCTAGCAGATAGACGGGACATTGGGGCGCATGTGGGAGACGAGATGATGGGATTGGCTGCTGACCCGGAAAAATAGCGGTCGTAACAAGAAGGGACGTGGTCACGTTAAGCCGATCCGTTGCTCCAACTGCTCCAGATGTACCCCTAAGGATAAGGCCATCAAGAGATTCACCATCCGTAACATGGTCGAGTCAGCTGCTGTCCGTATGTGCACCCATTCACCCTACACTTTGCTTTTTCCAGCTTGGATACCCAAGGGAGGATTAGGAGGGAGGGGGGGGGTTGGTTGTCGGGGGTGACAAGAGGAGGAATATATGGAAATAAAATAAGGGGAAACCCCGGGGGGGGGGGGGGGGAATTGAGAGTGGAATGCTGTTGAGATCGATTGGTAAGATGGGATGCTGACCGTTCTGCGGCGACACAGGTGATATCAGCGATGCCTCCGTCTTCCAGGAGTACACCATCCCCAAGATGTACTTGAAGCTGCAGTACTGCGTTTCTTGCGCCATCCACGGAAAGATCGTCCGGTCCGTACATATTTGAATCTCAAGCTCCAGCTTCCTCAACTAATAACTTTCACAGTGTCCGTTCCCGAGAAGGTCGTCGCAACCGTGCTCCTCCCCCAAGGATCAGGTACAACAAGGACGGCAAGAAGGTCAACCCCAACCAGTCTGCTAAGACCGCTACCGCCGCCTAATTGTTTCCTTTTATCTCCTAAATAAATAAAAAAGTTAGGTGTGGGGATGGGAACGGAGGAATGAATGAGAGGGAGATCTAACTGTAAAAGTGGGCTCTCTTTTTTTTGTAGCACAAAAGAATCGTTTCTCTAGGGGTGTTGAATTTCAAAGCTTCTTTTCTTCTGTCCATGATGATAAACAATGTGATCACGATATGGGAAGATTGTTTCTGCTTTTTCTTTTGAGGGTTTCGGAATAGAATCTGATAATCAAATTTTTACTGGGTCTGGATCGTGTGATCATGAGTTCTCACTCGAGATAAACACTCGGTACATTTTTTTTTTTTTTTAATTCATTAATTGCATGCAACCTTACAGTTATGGCAATAATCCCCAGAACTACCCCCTCCTCCGCCACCTCTCTCGCTCTGCCTGACATAGAAAATTATATAAGAATTATATCATGTTTGTCCTATTCTTCGACTGCAGCGTCTATCAGTGTCCCCTATTCCTAGTTCCCTTCTTTCTTCTTCTGCATTTTCGTCTCGTCCACCCCTCTCATGTCTCCATCTAGTGAACTGTTTCTATATCTTTACTGCTGCTTCGAGTCCACTTGTTTTCCAGAGGAGTTTGATGATCGTGTTGTGCTCTTTATAGGTCGGTACATTATGAGGGCAGAAAGCTTCGAGTTTGTCTGGTAAAGACTAGGGCTATTATTAAAGTAATATTTCTGTGAGCTATTATTCTTGTCCGTAGCTCGTCGTGCCTAGCAATTGTGACGCCCAATGGCTCCGAGTTACGTTCACCTTATCGCTACACCCGATCATCAGTAGTAGTACATAGTCCAATGATCCTAGGATACATAAGCGCCTGAACGGAATTACCCGGCAACTAGTACTAGTAATCATATTCATTAATAATGACGCACCTCCCCCTGAGATTCCAGCTTCATCAACCCGACCTCAACTTCCCCATATCAGCCATTGTATACCCACCATGTTCACCGGAATAGTAGAAACGATTGGGAGTAAGACCCCCTATCTCTCCAATTCCTTACTACATTCCAAAAACTAATCCACATAGCTGTCTCCTCCCTCATCCCACAAGACGACACCACCACCGGCGGTGGCGGAACTTCCTTGACCATATCCAATGCCGCCCCAATTCTCACTGATGTCCATCTCGGTGACTCAATCTCTGTCAATGGTTCTTACCCCAATCGCCTCTCGCTGAAACTGAGCTAACAAGTCCTCAGGAACCTGTCTCACCGTCACCGCCTTTGACAATGACAGCTTCAAGGTCGGCGTCGCCCCCGAAACCCTCCGCCGCACAAACCTCGGCTCTCTCACTGTTGGCTCCTCCGTAAACCTCGAGCGCGCCGTTGCTGGGCACGTCCGTTTCGGCGGTCACTTCGTACAGGGCCACGTAGACACCATTGCGACGATATTATCAAAGACTCCAGATGGAAACGCTGTGACGTTCCGCTTCCAGCCGAGGGATAAGGATGTGCTGATGTACATCGTGGAGAAGGGGTACGTGACTGTTGATGGTGCGAGCTTGACTGTTGTCGCCGTGTCCGACGACTGGTTTGAGGTTATGCTTGTGGCATACACACAAGAGAAGATCGTCACCGCGGCAAAGCCTGTGGGCGGTGAAGTCAACATCGAAGTCGATATGACAGGCAAGTACATTGAGGTGGGTCTACTACCCCTGATCTTTAGGAATTGTGCTGATTTGCTGTAGAAACAAGTGAAGGCGTACCTCGGCGGAGCCAGGGGTTTTATGCTGGAATCACTAGTGGAGAAGATCGTAGAAAGAAAGTTGGCACAGAAATAAGTAACTACATTGTACACGACCTGATATCCATCGAATATATTACCACCCTGAACCCCAATATAAAACCTGCAATGTGATCATTGACATCCGGTAGGAGCAATGTGGCTCACGGGTTTTGAGATATCAGGCTTGTCATTCGCTCGTTGGGGCAGGGCTTTGCTGAAGGGGCAGAGCCTGCCTGAGCTTATTTGGGGCTGTTTTCTTTTGGTGTGTTATTAACACTTAGCAGTGATCGGACGGGCCAAGCTCAACTCCTCTGCTAGCGATGGCTGTTTCTTAGCGTAAACGTGGCTTTTCTTAAATGATCAACGATGAGTGGTTCTTCTAATTATCGCGGCCCAAAGTTTTGACCGTACTCAAGGGCAATACCCAACCTTTCATAAGGGCTCATCTATGTTTGTTCTTTCTCAAGGATTGCGTGTATGTGCTGTATCGCCCTCCCCTAATATATAAGTAAATAATGAATGGGATTTATGAGTTCCCGTAGCCTTGAAGGGAAGCTTGAACTCATGAAGATTCGATGATCTGACACGCGTCTTCGGGGCGTGTGGAGCCTACGCTATCTCTATGCCTTGTCTTAAGCTGGTAATATGCCTCTATGCAGTCCTAAACAGTCCAATGTAGCTCAAGACGCCTACTATCCTCCTTGGTTTGATGTGCCTGTGGTATCAATCAAGTATCTAACATGGCCCACCCTCGGCAAGAATAGACCATAGTATTGCATATATGTCAGCTCTAGCTGGAGAAGTGAGGCGTGGAAAACCGCTCAAACTCTAGTGCCTCTATCTTGTATAGATGTCGTTCTTCTGTCTCGGGCATATACAGAGTGCAGTACAGGATCAGCAAGAATTCTGTGACGAGTTATGTACATTGCACACCGCACTAGAGGTAATGTAGAAGATAAGTGGTATATAAGTAATTAACCGAGACCAATAACTAATCTATCATTTGCATACCCGCCATCATACACGAACACACTCCACATGTTCTCCAATAATACACACTAATATACAGGCTTGAGGTTTTATTTTCAGGACCCCAGATCTATAACGCATAATCCATAATCGTTCAAAAACCGCACGGCCCCCACCCCCCAAGTACCTTCTAATGATTACACCCACTAATAAATATTACACCACGGCCCCACATAAGAACATCTAATGTTACAGGTTTCAAAAAAAAAAAAAAAAAATATAAACGAACCAGCACACAAAAATAGTTCAAAAATGAAATTACACCATCTCGTTAACGACATCCCTCAAAATTGGCCTATTTCCCAAGAAATCTGCCCTCGACGTAATATTTTTCTTCCCATTAATAACCTTCACCAACTTCGCCGCCCCCACTTCAGAAGCACCTTCAGAAGCATCTCCAGAAGCACCTTCACGGCTTTCCTGTCTCTGAGATTGGGACTGTGTTTGGAGTATGGGCATAAAATGACCAGCCTGTGCCTCCGCAGGTAGGTCGTACACCCATTTCTTTCTTTCCATTAACCCCACAAAACTAGCCAATAGCTCATTGGTGCTCAATGTTGTCTTACTGCCCAAGATTATTAACTTTGTCTTGGCCCTCGTAAACGCGACATTGATCCTTCTCCAATCCCGTAGCAACTCGCCAACATTCTGGTCATCGTTTGAGCGAACGAGTGAGATGATAACCACCTCTTTGTCGCGGCCTTGAAATTTGTCCGCAGTGTGCATTTCGACAGTAGGCCGACTGCGGAGGAGGTTCTGAATGATTTTGATTTGAGAACGATAGACGGATATAACACCAATGGAGGAAGGATCGATCCCGGTTGTGATAAGACCTTCGACGAGCTGAAATGCAAGCTCAGCTTCAACAGGATTATTGATTCGATCACCTCGACGCTCTTCGCGAGCTGGGACGGTATCAGTGTTGACGAAACATGCTTTCACACTTGAAGACATGGAAGGTTAGCAATCATAATCAATCACTCGGTGTTAAATAAAACGCCATACTTCTCGCTCAACAAATCACGGATCCAGCAAGGACTGCCAGTACATGTTTTTGACTGGGAGTGGAGTCTATCAAGGCCCTTAATGTTCGGAATTTCAAGCTTCTTGTTCGCAACCTGCTCATTCCCGCACTTAAGCATTCCTTTATAAATGAGTTCATTCGATAGAGTCATGATCTCTTTACACATCCTATACTGGTGTTCTAGGTTGACAACTGCCTGTGGATGTGCTTCGCATAAGAGCTTGAACAGACTGATATCTAAACCTCCTTCTCGAGCCTCCGGATTCCTTACGAGCGGTGGTAATTGATAGTGATCACCAACAAGGATGAAAGTACTAGCCATGCGGATAGGTCCCAAGCAGACGGGCAAGGTGATCTGAGAGGCTTCATCCACTATGCAATAGTCGAATTTTCTTTCATTGAAGATTGTGCTAAAATGATGTTAGATGCTAGTTCCTAGAGATATTGGACAAGATAGAAATCAACTTACTGGTTAATACCTAAACACGTTGTTGCCACGACCTTTGGCTTGTGGAAAGCATCATGAATTTCTTTAAATGTTTTCCTCGGGGTCTCTGCTAGCTGGGCAAATCCTTTTACCAATGGATGGATTTTGGCCCCTGAGCCTATTCGCAAGATATCAATGTTGTCGTTCCGAATCTTCAAAAGAATGTTATCAACAGCCGTATGGGTGTACGAAGTCAAAAGCACACTTTTTCCCTGATTTACCAGGGCTCTTATGATGTGTGCAATAGTCGTTGTCTTCCCCGTTCCAGGCATTCCCAACACAAGCGCATAATCATGAGCTGTTAAATCAGCAATAGTATCTAATTGCAACAGGAAATTTAAACATACCAGTCATAACTTTCTCAATCGCTTTTCGTTGGTCCCCGTTCAAGCTTTCAGCGTTTTTTAAAGCATATGCAGTTGGAGAATCCTTGAACTTTGGCGTCTCAAGGTCGATAATCAGTCTCCGATACTTCTCTGCTGAGTTTGGCATCATCATCTGTATAAGATTATTCCTCACGGTAGCCATGCCGTTACTAAATTCGTCTTTGTCTAGCCTAAACAGCATTTCCTCGTCTTGGGCCTGTAATAACCAAGCATCCAGCGGCTTCTGATCATTCTTTCCGTCCTTCGTAACCTCCATAATTCCTGTGAAGACCTGGTTCTTTTTACTGTCAAACCCTGGCTCTCTCGTTCTAGCATTATGAAGTCTCCTATCAACCTGCACCGTAATTTTATGGCTTCTGATATCGGTGACATATCCCAATGCCAACGCATAGTGACTCTTCTCGTCGGAAATCACGATTGGCTCACCAAGACTGATCTGGGAATCCAGAAAGGTAAGTGTAGGGTCGTTGGTCTTCTTATTGAATGAGTACGTGTACTTATTAATCTTTCCGGAGGATTCGTTCACCGAAACCGAGCCGGGCTCGATCACAAGGTTTCCAAAACATCTCCCTACAGCTTCTCTTTCAGAGCTGATCATCCCCCAAAGCTCCCTGCGGAAACGAAACAGATCCTTTTCTTCTTTAGATAATAGAGTGTCCCAATGTTTGAAAAATCTTGCGTCAGAATTGCCAAGGTGATGGGTCATTTCTGTGAAGGCCTTTTCAGCACCACTGGTTTCAGGGGTTCCATCTTCCAAGAGCTACTAAAATCAGAATGTGTTTATTAAAAGTTCTTAGAATATAAAATTACCTTGTGATAAATGAAACATGGTGTTTTGGCGTAGCATCTTTCGCATGCATTTTTATTGCGTAGCATTTCAGGAAGAACTGTACGATTACGGCTGTAGCTAGCAATTTCATTGCGACCAATGATCATCCCACGTAACTCGTCTCGAATTGCCGGAACACGAATCATCTCTGCTCTCTCAATGTAATACAACATCCCGCATGCCACATCGATGTCTATCATCAACAGGTCAGCTAAGCTGCTAATAAAAACGGAGGAATGCTTGATACGAACCGTAACGGTCTGACATCAGGAGGGTATATAGCATAGTCTGTGCCCTGTGCATAGTCGAACTTGAATTTTGCCCACTCTTTAGCTCTAGAGGGATTGTCAAGGTCTTTTCACCGTTACTGTCGATGATTGTGGATTGAATTGTCGCATCAACATTACCCTTGAGTCCATACATGGGCGACCAAATATGTTCCTCAATATCAAGCAACTTGTTTACGGCAACAATAGGAGCACTTTTACCACGGTGGTCTGTTACTGTGGCATTCTTCTACAGGACTATTAGTTTTGCTCTGATTATCAAGGGAGTCAATAATTCTATACCTTTGGCTTCAGTGCCACAAATGTTTTTGCCCAATCCTGTATTAACCAGGACTTCGACCTCACATATTTCGTCGCAACAGGTATTTCCTCGTGGAGAACATAAAGGCTTTCAACATGCTCAACAACGAGTTTATCTATAACCTCATCCAGATAAACAGTTGAGAAATCATTTGCCATTAACGCCGCCTGAAATAAGGCGTGTAGAATATTTCCGTACACTAGCGGCCTGCTGACATCCCCTGCTGCTTTTACACGATCTTGCATGACCGATTTCCGAACACAGCTGAAAGAGTCTGCTACCACTGTACATGAAACGAGAAAATCGGGATGTAAAATGATCATGTTGTGGGCGTTGTCGACGATACATGTACGGGATGAATCAAATGACCCGATTAAATGTAGATGATCACCTTCAACCACGATCGTATCATACCAGTTCTCGCGAAGTTTGATGATACACTCAACTTTCTCTTTTTCGGCTTTCACTCTCAAAACCTAAATGATTTAGACTCTTGAATAAATAGGATTTGGAAAGCGCGGGAAACCTTCTCTTCCCGGTCTGAATGATTTTTCCATATCCAGCTTCCCAGGGAAATCTCAAGAACTAGATATCTTCTTATGCTCTTTGGTTTTAAATCTTTCTTGAAATCATTAGACGCCCAACGAAACACGATTGGGGAGACAACGCACCAGGCCACTAGATATTTCCAGTTCTTCGTCATTCCACTCATCAAAATCAATATCACCAAACTCCTCCAAGACCTGGGATGCTGCAATCTCAGTTGCGGTTTTGTGATATTCGGGCCGCGATCGAAAGAGTTGGTGTTGTTGATCAGGGCTTGATGTGTTTGGATTATTTACAGTCGTTTGGGTTGTTTCATATTTCGAGATGAGGTTTTCGACACCAGCCGCAAACTCATCATCATCGTCATCACCGAATTCATCCTCATCCTCTTCTTCCACCACACTTTTTTTGACAGGAGTCAGAATCCGCTGTCCCTTTCCTGAAGGTAGCTCCGGCTCTAAGACAGCGTCTCCTGCTAAGGAAGCCATGGTCTGATGCGTGCCTGTATTGTTTTCTGCGAGCTCTTCCGCCTTATCAAGCATCATCATATCAATATCATCATCAAAATCTCCAAAGTCTTCAGAGTCAGAGCTGGCCATATGTCCCTTTCCCTTATCATTACTATTATCTTCATCATCACCATCTCCATCCTCGTCCTCGTCCTCGTCCTCGTCCTCGCTCTCTTCGGCCTGAGGATTGATCGTATATGTCCTCCCGCCCCCTCCCCGACGAATTGGAGAGGAAGTGCCATCAAGAGGATTTTCGTGCAATGGTGAAGAGGATAGTATGTTTGGCATTGAGGAAGGTTTCTCTAGCGTTTCCTTCACCTTATCTACCAATCGACTAACCCTCGACAATCTCGACGGCCCGGGTGCACGATTTCCAGGCTCTCCTTCGCTCCTAATAGGTCCTTCAGGGACCTCATCTAGCTCAGAGATATCTTCGGACGAGACTATTTTCCTCCTCTTTAACCGCGTTTGCGGCCAGTCCGGCCCGCAACTATACGCCCTTCTCAATCCCAGAGGAGATTGATTCGTCCCTTCAACCCCAAATAATCGTGCCGCTGGATTGGCGTCGGGGTTTGAACCGCTTGAGTTACCAGTAGTCGAATATTTGCTCCACAATTGCATTGCTGGATCTGCCAAAGGTGTTTTAAGAACGCCCAGCCGCTGAGGGTTGAATGTCTCTCCACGTTTCCTTCCAATGGGAGTTACAACATTCGGTGATGCAGTTTGCTTCTTGCCCCGCCTACCTTTCTTTGGCGCAGGTGTTGTTTGTGACGCGCCATTTGGTGTCCCTCTAGGCGACATTTGCCACATGATTCGATCCTCAGGCGAATCTCTTGTTTGCAGAAGAGCCTGGGTGGGGGTCCCCTCATCACCAATTCCTATCAAATCCGATAACTGTAGTCTTGGGGCTGGAGTTTTGGGGCATTCTTTCATCGCATCAGGCCCTGGGATTGGTGTTTTTGAGTTGCTCTTTGAAATCTCTAAATCTGCATCATCATTGTCATCCCCGCCTCCACCGCCAGGTGCATTTCCGGGTCCTGTTGCTGCTTTAATTGGCGTTGATGGCTTATTGAACGCGAAAGCTCCTAGCTTGGATTTAGTCTCGGTGGAAACTGGAATAGAGCCGGCTGCCGAGTTTGTTCGGGATGCATGCGATGAAGGATCACGCTGTTGTAGAGCGTTTGGGTTCCTTTTCCAACGTGGGGCGCGCTTTGGGTACAATTAGTAACAAAATATACATACGACCAATGCTTGGATGCCAATGGCACGGAGGTGATGGAAGAGGTACCTTCGCGGAATGGTCCGTATCGAAGAAGCTCGTTGTAGGCTTTCGAGACATTGTATAGAAGAGTGTGAAGCTGGTAGATTGTGAATAAATTAAGGCCGCAAGGATAATAACTGATAAAAAGAGAAAAGAAAAAAAAGCAACCAGTTGCAGCGAAAGAAAGATAAACGAACGTCAAACGTTGAACGTTGAGGTGTTATGAGATTGGTGATGTTCTTTTCGGGAGCTAAATTGATGATCAAGACGCGTTTTGCCTAGCACGCGACGCGAGCGATCAAGCAATAACCACTTACAAGATAGCCTAGATTCACAATCTCAGGGATGGTTTTCTGGCCTGGACTGGACTGGTGCTTCACCCATGTTTACTTGAGTTCCGAAGCCAAATATACCATACGTGTAGTTTATAAACCCCATTCTATTACTTATCCATTATTATATTATATTTCCCAATGTTTCTCGCTCTCGCTCCTGCCCATTAATTCTAGTATTTACGATGCATGTCGAGTCCCCTCTGCTGTTGCATGAACCCTTTATGGGGCATGCAGCTTGAGCCTCCATCTTGTCATACAGACCCAGATATCCATAGCCGAGTTACCTATCGAAGTCACCCGGCTTTCTCCACCCCCACCTTGTCGCTCAAAAGTCCCACGGTCCAGGTGTTTCAATCGTGACTTTAAAACCCCTCGTGTGCCGATAATAAAAACCTCTTTCTCAATCTTCCAAACTTTTGTTCCTTCCTTACTCTCTTTACACTATAACTTTCTCTCTTCACTCATCATCAAAATGTCAACCAAAGATATGCCTATTCCTTTTTCCGTGACCTTCGCGGCCGGTGAGTAATTCCATAATTTTTTCTTTCTGATATTGCTTTTTTTTTGTACAAGAAAATTTGCGCAAAGCTGACTCGAGAAAATAGGTGCAATTGCGGGTATCAGTGAGGTCTGTACAGCTATGAGAAGATATGCAATGGCAGAAATCGCAAAACTAACTCAGTTATCTACTCTATGGATTAGATTCTCACTATGTATGTTATTTCCACTGAGCGCAATCTTTTCTATTACTGATACTCTCCGCTTGCTTCAGGTACCCTCTCGATGTTGTCAAGACGCGAGTGTATGAAACACCTTTCCATAAAATATCACTCGACTCTCTAGCTAAGCTTCGTTAGACAATTGCAAGACAACACCGCTGTTGGTGCTGACAGGTACAATGGCATGGTCGACTGCTTCCGCAAGATCGTCAAGAATGAGGGGTAATGATTTTTCCAAATATGAGTATATAGCTCTATATGCTAATCAGAAACCAGATTTTCGAGGCTGTACCGTGGTATCACAGCTCCAATCTTGATGGAAGCTCCTAAGAGGTAACTTCAAAGCCAATACTAGTACTGAAATTTCCCTCCAATCGGCTCTCTGACATGACTGAAGGGCTACCAAATTCGCCGCCAACGATGAATGGGGTAAAGTTTACAAGAAGCTCTTTGGCGTAACTGAGATGAACCAGCCTTTGTCGGTCCTCACTGGTGCTAGCGCTGGTGCAACAGAGTCCTTCGTTGTAGTACCTTTCGAGCTTGTCAAGATCCGTCTTCAAGACAAGGCATCTGCGGGCAAATACACTGGCATGATCGATGTTATTCAGAAGACCATCAAGGCCGAGGGTGTTTTGGCCATGTACAACGGTCTTGAGAGCACACTGTGGAGACACGTTGTATGGAACGCTGGTTACTTTGGTGTCATCTATCAGGTCAAATCCTTGCTTCCCAAGCAAGAGACTAAGAAGGGTCAGATGTTGAACGATCTGATTGCTGGATCCATTGGTGGTACTTTCGGTACCATGTTGAACACTCCGTATGTTCCCTAGACTGCGGTACTATCTGTTGCTGTTCCTGACTTGGGTTTAGTGCGGATGTGATCAAGTCTCGAATTCAAAACACTGTTCGTGTTAAGGGCGTTGTCCCCAAGTACAACTGGACCCTTCCTTCAATAGCATTGGTTGCTCGGGAAGAGGGTTTTGGAGCCCTTTACAAGGGTTTCGTTCCTAAGGTGCTCCGTCTTGGACCCGGAGGAGGTATGTGGACCCTGGTACATATTTAGTCCTAGCAGTTTTCTAACGCCCTCTAGGTATCCTGTTGGTCGTTTACACTGCCGTTCTCGACTTCTACAGAGCGTCGAGAGATGCAAAGGCTGCCCTGACCATCTAAAAAAAGGAGAAGAAAAAATCAAGAGGAGCGTGGATACTGGCGATGGTTTATTTTTTTTATTTTTTCAGTTTTTTACTTTCGTTTTGGCGGATGGGTAGAGTAAAGTTTAGAGTGGTGGATCCACGGTTTCTTTCCACGTTAGAGAAAAAGCACACTTCTTCCTTTTGCCGTTCATCTGGTCGTAAAGATGATTCCACTATTTCTTTTTGTATATATACTACTCCGTAAACTTAATTGTTCACGAAGAAGCTCCATCCTGTCGCTGTCTGGTATTCCTGGCCGCATCTGGCTCAATGACATGCTCCTGTACAGCTTGAGTGATCAACTCTCTGAGCTCCCTTTGCGTCTCCTCACTCTCAAAGTTCGGCCGCGACGCCATCTCTTGTATCCGCTGTCTCAGCGCCTCATCGACAGGTGGAAGAGACTCGTTCACATCCTCCTCTGCACTCAAGTTGACTGAGACACCCGGCGGAGGCTTCGGGATCGCCGGATCGGAGGGTTCGCGATCGCGCAGATAGGCAGCCACTAGTGGGAATGATCCGTCCTCTTCGATTGAATCCGCAGCCTAGAAGGTCAGAAAAGTCGCCCCACTTATGAGTAATTTCAAGTAGTAGTCCATACAGTCATCCCCGAGCTATTCGTGTGGTCCACGTTTGCGCCGAGCTCCTCCACGAGAACCTTTGCGACCTCTACAGTCTCTGCGGCAAATAGAGGGGTGTCTCCGTCGTGGTCTTCGACGTTCACGTTTCCGCCGTGGGTACGGATGAGGGATTTCAGCAGTGAGATGTGACCGTATGATACAGCGGCGTGGATCGGGGTGTCTTTTTGGTCATTTTAGAAAATTGCCTTGAAACGTAAATAGATGAATTGTTTTTTTTCTTTCTTTCTTATTGGGAAATATTTTTTTTTATATATATCTATATTCTAGTATTGGTGGTTGGGTGGTCATCTGGTGGGGGAGAGAGTGTGAGAGACTTACAACCGTTCTCATCATGAGCATTGACAGCAGTGGGGTCTTGCGCAAGGAACCAGCCAACAGAGGCGATGTCACCATCGCTGGCAGCGATCCAGATATTGGCGGAGGGCATGTCGCGAGGTATTTGTATCAATTGACTGGGCGTTTATTTCAAAACCGAGGTGATGGAAGGGCCGGATGGAGGGGTAGTGTGAGGCTCAAGACTTTTTTTTCTTTCTACTCCTGTCGGTGGGTTGGTGGGGGTATGTTTGACGTTCGCGCTCGCTTCGGTTGCGAGCAAGCTAGAGTAGCTACATCAAGCTATGGTAGAGCCTCAGTTAGGCATGGGCCACCCCCAACCGCTGTCATGGAGGGAAATGATCCTTTTGATACAAGTAGCCCCCATACTAATCAACAAAAACTACATGTCCTTACTGAGGAAAACGACAAAATTGGCAGGTGGTCAAGGACATATCTTCTTGTTCATGTAAGTCTTCCCCCTCCCGCCCCCGGTCTTCTCTTGGTCTGCGGTACCCGAGTGATTGCATGTGCATGCGTGCTTCTCTCTGTTAGAGGCCTCCAATCGGTTCAATGGAAACTTTCGTAACTTTCGTACTCAAGTACTAACTGTTGACGAAATGTACTAAGCTTTTACTAATTTAGAGGTGGTTTATTTGCCCTCCCTATATCTACCTATTAACTTTTGTATTATTAACAACAAGCAAAAATACAGATTTGCTTGTGATACGTGGTTCTCGAAAAAAAAAAAAAAACTCAAAAGAGGGCACCGGTCTTGACTATGAACGAGCATGCGGGGATCTGCAAACCGTCGTCGGAGTGAAATGATAAGATCGCCGATATTTTCCATTACAAGCTAGATCCTCCAATGAACATTGAGATGACGGATGGAAAGATTTCAACAAATCTTATGCTCCCATGTGAGATCTCTGGGCGTACTGCAGTTTCGAAATATATAAGTTGTTACTTTTGACCGCTGGACCCTTAATTGGAGAGTTTAAAGGTCTCCAATTAAGAGTTTCTGTACCCTCGTGCGCTGTCTCAATGCCCCTCCCTCGCTCGCCCCCCGCGGTATAATTGCGGTAGGTAGGTACGCTATGAGAAGAGTTTTTTCTTTCTTTTTTTCGTGTATTTTTTTTGCCTCGCGCGGAAGTCTTCGTACGTAAGGGTGGCGCGGGTGAGTGATTGTTTGAACCGTGGAAGGTTGAGTGATAGTGGCCTGATGTTTTATCCCTAAACCCACAGGTACCTCCTACAACCTGCTAAACCACAACAACATTACAACAACAGCAACCAACTGAACCCGATGAGGTGAAGAACGTGATGCTACTATATCCGCATAGAAGCTTATGTACCACAACTTATGGGTAGCTGAATCTTCCTTGAGACATTTGGAGTTGCCAGCCATAGCCTTTTTTGCTTTCTGAAAGGTCGGATGAGCGGAAACGTCAAGACATGTCGGATTGGTGGTTCAAGCATAAATCCTTTGTAATGATTGGACCCTTGTAGTTAACTACAATAAGCTATCTGGTCTCCACATTATTACAAGATTCATGACTGAAACAGGGACCATGAATGTGCTTCTGTCGGGTATGTACTCGTAGTTTTTTGGCATTTCCGGACTGGGGTGTAAATCGTGCTTGACAACCATATTTGGTATGCAGACCCAGTCCAGTCCGGAAACGCCAAAAAACTACGAGTAGATAGTAGGAGGAAGGGGTTTTGAAAAGCTACATCATACAAGTACCTACAAGTACTAGCTCGAAAGGCAATAAACAGAGAACTTAGCTGGCCCTTACCCTGAGCCCCAAGCCCCATATCTTCGGGCCGCGCCGAATGACACGGAAACTACCGCTGGTGCCTTGGTTTGGTACGGAGGATCCCAGCTCACACAAGGATCATGGCCATGTAGGTATCGGTATCTCATCTACCCTACGGTACATGTAGGTACATGTACTCAGTTTCCCTCACCCCCCCCCCCCTTCTTCCTTTGATTGCCTCCCAAGAAACCTCTCTCTTTCAGCAGCATCTGAAAGCTCTAATGGTGCGCGGCGCAGCTTCCAATTGTTGGCGCTAGCAGCACGGAATGGTACAAATGGCAAGCTGCATACATACATGCTACCTACATGTATCTACCTCCCGGTAGTAGTCTCGCAGGGAACGGCAGTCGTTGAACGTATCTCTTCGGCCTTCTTCTCAATCACTCGGCAATTTCGTGGGGCCTTAAGAAAGCTGTTTTATATGTCTCTGTCTGTAGGCTGTAGGTAGGGTGTGTAGGTATGCATTTTAATTCATGTATGTAGCTACATTGAGGTGCTCCTCGTGATTGCGGAGGATCATATTGTAATCATCTTGTCTTGCTGCTTGGTGCTGCTGCTACTGGTGTTCGTCGTACTGTCTATGGGTGTGTCTTTTATTTTGTTTGTTTGTGTGGTGAGATAGGATAGATGTGCGATACCACCGCAATTGCAGTACCAGTATGTAACAAAAAGTGTTGGGGGGGGGTGGTGGTGGTGGTGGTGGGAGGGAGGGGGGGGATTTGCTTCTCAGTTCGATCAAATCGATGTCGGCCGGAGCATCCGTGCGGCTTCTACTGCCTCATTCGGACCGCCGGGTGAGTAGGCACTTGGTTGACAGAGAGAGAAATTTGTTCTGTCTATTGCCGGGTGTTTTTGGAGAGAAGTTGTAGAGAGGTCTAGAGATCTCAAGAGAAAGAGGAGAATGGAGGTGAGGGAGGTGATGGTGGTGGGGTGGGGTACATAGAGAGAAACATTAGACAGAGACATACAGACAGACGTTCCTCAAAATTCTGTGTTCTGTCTGCTTCCTGCGCACATACTGTAGGCACTGTACTGCTGTATCTTTAGAACCACTCACTCGCTGCAGTGTTCAGCCCAATACACACCCTACATACACCCACATCACGTACGGTCGTACCGCACAGACGGTGACAGAACTGAGGAAATAAAAAAAAGGCAGCCCAGGAGACCACATACAACCAACATCTTTCCTTTTTTTGCGCCAGCACTTCCTATTGCATCCCTAGCCCATTCTGTTCTCTCTACCGAACGAAGCTTTCTTCTGGGTCCTACTATTTAATAGTTGTCCTTATTATATTATTATTTACAGTCTGTTGGGTACATACATTACATACATTGCAGGCCTACCTACTTCTCCATCCATCCATACAGAGAGAGAGAGACATCTCGGGTTTATTCTTTTCTCCACTCTCTTCTTTCTCTTGCTCTACACTTTCTAAACCTTTGCAATTTGGCGTTCCTCCTCCAATACGCACCCCCCCTTCTCTCTCCCTATTACCACCACCACCCTGTTTCCTCGGGCTGAACAACCCAACACCCCTCAAAAAAGAGAATTCAAAGAAGGAAAAAAAAAAGAAAAAAAAAAAGAGGCAAAAAAAAAGAAGCCTAGAATAAAATAGAAATCCCACCGTCGTCGTTGCCTTCTTCACAGTCACCTTCAACAACCACAACTCCCCATCACCACCTTAATCTACAGAATTGACCACAGCCTTACTTCGCGAAGGTCTCTTTAAACCTGTCCCAGCCACAACCGCATTAACTTCCTCCCATCAATTATTTTACTGCCTACAAACAAAAATCCAACTGAAGCTAGCTAGCTGTTACCCGGCGCTGATAGAGCGCACCTCCGTTAATACGGACAGTGTCCTAATTCTCATGCCTCTTTTTGTCCTGCGTTAAGTTACTTATGGTAATATTTTCACAGCTTTCCTTTTTCCGTTCCTCCCCTCTCCCTTCGTTACACGGGGGCGTTTTTTGGTTTTATTTGGCGTTGTTGGTGTTGCAAAAAAAAAAAAGCTCTCTTCTCTGACTCCTCTTAGTTTTGGGCTCTGATATCGCCATTTAGACACACAGCGGAGCCGCCGCGACTCTCCTCATCCTCTCCGCTACGGGCATTCTTCCAGCGCCATGGCGAAACGGTAGCCAGGCATCCGATCGTTTCCATTGTCACCTCCGTGGTGTTCGCTGTTGTGCTATGTTACCCTTTCCCGATCCTCTACTCAACAACAGCTCCCGGACTGCCTTCCGTGCCTCATCATGTCTGGACCTCCGCGAGGCCCTTCTCGAGTTCGTACACGGTGCCCGACATTGGAATCAAGCAGGTGTGGGTGCAGGGGTCATACATGGATGCGCTCAACAAAGATGTTCTGGAGGAAGCGTTGAGGATTCAGCAGCTGTTGTTGGGGCCAGAAACTTCTTGTAATTCGTTCTCGGAGGAGGGATACTTTAATGAGATGATTTCGAAACCGACTAGCATCTCGGCATTGGATAGGGAGAGGAATAAGAGTTCTGAGAGAATGCAGGATGGCATGTTTCTACACTCGCCTCTGCTATACTGGAATTGCTCGCTGGAAGCCATTCAGAATGACCCTAATCTACTACAAACCGTAAATCAGGGTCCCAGTCGCCGTTCAGCAGCCAATGTGACGTTGCGGTGGGGATCTGTGTTTGCCGGGAAGAGATTCCATCACCAGGAGTTGGTCGGGGCAGACGCTTTGGTTATCAGTATGTTTTATCAGCTAGATTCGCCAGTGGGGGAGATGTGGGACCGGCAGGCGGAGCTTTTGGCAAAAGGCGCAGAAACACATCAGAGATATCAGGTGTATCCGAGCGACGGGAAAGAAAGGGGAAACACTTTATACGAGGTTTGTCGATTATCTCAAACCAGGGAGGAAGGGCAATGTTTTATTGACAATGGGGAATCACGTAGTTCCGGTTTCAACTAATGAGCAGGTTGGACAATATTATGCTGGCTGGATGCTATTTTTTCACTTTGGCATATCTCGTTATGTCCTTGAAAGGCTTAAGGGCCGTGAAATCGAGGTTGGGCCTCATTGCCACTGTTTTAACACAGGTAACTACTTTTGAGGTCGGGGTTGGAGGCAGCAAAAGCGCTAACTAGGCTTTCAGATAGGCTTTTCTATCATGTCCAGTTTTACGATATTGGCCTTCTTCAAGGTACCCGTGTCTCACGTGCCGAGGTATGATTCGTGTTCAGTTCTAAACATCCAACAAAATTATTTAATTTACCCGTATTAACCGGTTGCTTAGAGAGTTCTTTCCGTTCGTCGTTATTGTCATTGGACTAGAGAACATGTTTCGTCTCATCAACGCAGTGCTAGAAACACCGGCAGAACAGCCTACAACAAACCGCATTGCTATCGCTCTCGGCGAGGTCGGGTTTCTCTCAACGGTAGCTGTAGGAACAGATCTTGGCCTGTTGTTAATCATTGGTCATTTTTCTGTGCCGGCCGTCCGGGAATTTTGCACATTTGCAGGGGTGGCCCTGATTATGGATTTTGTCTTGCACTTGACGTACTTTCTAGCTGTTTTGAGTGTTGATGTACGGCGTCTTGAATTACAAGATTCGCTCGATTGTATGAGCTTTAGTGATGACCATGACAGCAAAGACCCCTGGGAAGATCCACCTAATGAGAATGATTCATTTCTCAGGCTTGTCGTGAAAGGTGCACTGCCTGTGAGCACAAGAATTGCTGGCTCGGCGATTGTAATACTTTCCGTCTCTTGCAACTGTTTTCTTCTTTCCTTCTTTCTATCTAGGGCTAACATTTCTTTGTAGATGATTTGCTTCCTTGTGATACTCAACATGCACTTCTTGGAGAACCAGTCCCCCCTACGCACATTTAGGTCATTGGTCGAGATGTTCACGAGTACCCTGAGTGGGAGCCTGGAAAACGTGGCTAGAAGCCAGGTGGCCACCATGCCAAAGAATGTGGCTAGAACACCCACATCTTGGCTGAGGTTACAGGATCAACTTACCGGCAAAGAACTAATACGAATTGTTAAGCCTGGGGCGTATAGGATGGTTGCTAAAGTTTATAACCCGATATTTTGCGTCGTTAGCGGCTCGAATCGATCGAAGATACCCGGCCTGTTACAAAATCTTGCGAGCATGATTGATCTGGAAACAGTCGCCAAACATTTCCAGGGATTTCTTTTGACTATAGTTTTAGTGGTGGCTGGTGTGACGATATTGATGAACTATCTTCTCATAAAGTACATCGCAGATGACATGTCCGACGGTGGAACAGAGAACGAAGGACCTTTATTAACCTGTCAAACTTTGTATGAAGGACACTCATTGGATGTAGTGATGCTCGCAGCTTCAACAAGAGGGGTGGTGGTATCGGTTGGACTTGATAGGAGGATTGTGGTCTGGAAATTGAAGCCGAGGGAGCAGGTTCCGTCAAAAGATATCATTCGCCCAACCTGCGCCGAGCATTCCCTATGGCCCGTAATGGCCATCGCATTGGACGAAAAAGGAGAGTGGCTTGCTATCGCACCAAGGGTAGGGATGATATCGATATGGCATGTTGGAGAATCGACCTTCAAGGGCTCAGTAGCGATCGATTTGGCAGGGCAACAGCCAGCGGCATTTTTCTTTGAGTCATCAAAGCATGGTGATGCAGTAGACCGGGGGCCATCATTGATTATTCTAAGGCAGAACGGGTGGCTTTCAGAAATCTGCATCAAAACTGGGCAATGCATCCAACATCGAATATGTACTGGTGTGGTGGTTTCGTCGTCGCATGGGGTTTTCACGCCAAGAACGCCGTTGAGGATCGTCACAGCCTGCCAAAAAGCGAGAATCTTTGTGACATCAAAGTCTGGAGGAGAGTGGAACTCGAGGCAGCTCAATCTATTGGGGCAGCCTTGGTCACATCCATCGCTGGAGGCGGGAGTCGATGCCACCACGGTTTTGCCGTTGTCAGCACTGGGGATGATTGTCGTTTCTAGATCCTGTAGCGTGGATCTTGTGGATCTTGTGTCAGGTATGTAGTGCTAATGCGGAGAAGCGCAGGTTTATGCGGTTTTTTTTTTCTAACATTGACTGCAGGAAGTGTTGTTCGAACATTCCAGACAGGACAGTTCAAGTCCGGCTCATTAAGGGCCTTCCATGCTAAACGACGGACGTGCCTATACTGCGGATGTCCTGCTGTGCTCTCGTTCTCCATCGCCTACACGGAAAAGGAATCAGGCATGTTCATTATGCACACTTTCTTCTCGTCACGGGGAAAGATGCGGGATGTTTGTCTGCGAGCTGAGCGTGATAGAAGAGAACGCAAGTGCTTCGGTTTCGAAACTGTTGGGGAGACAACGCATTGGCTCGAAAACGTTGAAGGCTGGGAACCGACAAACTTGAACATGGTTACCGGAATCCGGCGGCGAGAGGCTCCCCAGGAGGACCAATCATCTGACGACCACGATACCTGCTCTTCCTCATCACAAGCGTACAGCCTACGCAGACGCAAGCAGATGCAGAGAAGATCCAGTACCGAGGATGAGGACGAGTGGGAAGCGTGGACCATGCATGCAGACGGCGTTGTCACATCATATCCACTATCCTACAAGAATGGGGGCAACAATGACGATTCGTTACTTGTGAGCACAGCCGGTCCCGTGTGTCGTGTTGGGCAGAGGTCAGTGGCCGTCGGCTTCGGGAACACAGTAAAGGTTCTGCTTGTTGGAAACGAACGCTACCAGGATGAAGAAGACGACGATTTGTACCAAATTTCACGCAAACCACGCAATTACCGACGCCAATGACCTTGTGAGCGGACACCCTGTTCATTTTCACGGCATATCTTTTTTCTCTCTCTTTTTTTGATTCTTTGGGGGGTTTTCTTTATTTCTTTATATCGTTTCTTTCTTAACTCCCTATCTCTCTTCTCAACGATACCTATTTTGCGACCCCTCTAGGACTCATATCTGTTGCGTCGCATTGCAAAATCCGCCTTTTTTTCTCTCTTTTTCTTTCTTTCTCTTGTCTCTTCCTCTTCCGGTTTTATCTCTGTCATGTACGCGGCTCTCGCAGCTAATGCTGGTGGGAGCCTGTTTGGTATCTTTTTTTTATCTATAGGGGTTAAATGGAGTTGGGTGGGATTCGTCATTCTAAGAATGGAATAAAAAAAAGACTTGTTAAATCGCTCGATCAATAGTGACTGTGCACATCTCTGACCATTCTCATTCACGGCTTACCTTTGACTTTCCCCCCCTCCTTTGCCTCGCTCTCCCTCTTCTCGCGCCTCAACCGCTGCCTCTTCGCCCTCTTATACTCCCTCACCGCCTCCTCCTTCCTCCTCTTCTCCCGCTCAATAATCTCCTCAAACCTCCTCGTCAGCGCCACCGCCCGCTCCTCAGCAGTCCACATCCGCGCCTTCACCTCCTTCCACGCCGCGTCCGCCTCCCGCCCAAACATCGCGCCCCCATCATCCCCCTCCTCGAACCCCACCTCCGCCCTCAACAACCGATCAAACGCGTCCTCCTCCCGCCCAACAACAACATGCTCCTCCAGCACCTCGGCAAGATCCATCCGCTGCTGTCGCTTAATGATCTTGCGCTTGATCGTCATATCCATGGCCGCGCTCTGCCCCCTCCCCGGCCGCCGGAACACGGGGAACGCGGACGAGCTCCCGAGATTTGGTATGCCGCGGCGATGGATTGCGGCGTGGTGTTGCCACCGCTCGCGTGCGACGGGGTCGGTCTGGGCCGCGAGACGCTTGAGACGCTTAAGGCGGGTGGTGGGCGGGGTGGGCGGTGGGAAGGTGGGGGGTGGCCGGGAGGGCGCGGTGGAGAGGGCTTTTTGCGTGCGCTTGAGGGCGCGGTGGGAGTGTAGTTGTTGTAGGAGTTCGCCGGTGTGCGTGGGGTGGCCGGTGGCGGCGTGGCGGAAGAGCGTTTCGGTCTGGTGGGGGGTTAGTGGGGTGGTGGGAACGGGGGGGGGAGGGGGGAGGGGGAAGGGGGAAGAGAGGGAGGGAGGTACCTCGTAGGTGGACTTGAGGGCGGCGCGGATGTTGGTCAGGCCTTGGATAGTGCGGCCTTTGCGGAAGCCTTTGGTGATGGCTATGTGTGCGTGGTTCTTGATGGCTTTGGAGAAGGGGAGATGCTTGGTGTGCTTTAGGAGGGCTTTGTACAGCGCGAGGCCTGAGGGGGGCGGTGGGCGGGTTTGTGTTAGCGGGGTGGGAGTAGATCAGGGTGGAAGAGAGAGAGAGGATGGAGGGTTACAGGCGGATCTGTGGGCGCTGATTTTGTGGAAGTTTGGCATTGTCTCTGGTGTGGTGGTATTAGGTGGGTATGTTGTGTGTATTGGATGTATTGTATTGTATTGCGGGTGTTGATTGAATTTATAGTGTGTATTGTATTGGGTGCAAGTAATGTTAGAGGGTGAATGATTAAAACAGCATGAAAAACCGTGCAGTGTCTCCCGCCTGTTTGAAATGCTGCTGCAGTCGAGGGAGGGTGAATGATTGGCACGACAAGAAAAGAGGGTCAGGCGAGTTTCGACGTCCGCGCGAGCCAATCCAATCCCAGCACCAAGGGAGCCTCACTCGTGCCCCGATCCGGGTAACCACACCACGCAGAGGATTTGAAGATATCGAGATCTAGAATTAACCCGTAATTCAGACGTCGACTGGGGATTCCCAAGCAATCCCGAACTGTCTGCGCACTCCAGCTAGCCACAGAGCTACATACCGGTCCTGTAATTGGTGAGGAAGTTTTGTTATGAGTGTCTACTGCAATTGAGCCTCTCCCCCCACTACTGGCACACCCCACTACAAGAAACACAATTGAGCAGAAACTAACCGGCAGAGACACGCAGGCCACGCATAATGATCCAGCCCATGTCGCTCTCGCGGCTGCTGCTGCGGCAGCAGCCATTAGGGAGCAGCAGCCTCCTCACGCAGCGCCTGCCCCTCGCGCTCCCCAGTCTCGCAACCACCGCACTCCGCTTCGCATCCACCCGCGTGCGCACGCGCAAGCCGCCCACACCCGCCCTCGAGGCCGCCGAAGACCTCGTGGAAGAGGAGGCGCCGCAGGAGGTCGGTTGGCGCTCACAGATGGTTGCAGCCGTTGACCGCAGCGGCATGGGGAAGAGTTTCCGCATGTATGTTCTACACTACCGTTTCCCTCTCTCTTATGATAGAAATATGTGTGCTATATATATGGGGGGACTAATAATGGGGGGCACACACACACAGGCGCACCTACAAGCCGCGCACCCCCGGTCTCCGCCACCTCAAGCGGCCCGTCGAGGACCACATCTGGAAATACGGGCCCCACCGGCCCCTCACCTTTGTCAAAGTCGGGCACGCAAAGGGCGGGCGCAACAACAGCGGGCGCGTGACCGTGCGCCACCGTGGTGGTGGTCACCGCCGCCGCATCCGTACCGTCGACTTCCACCGCCTCGACCCGGGCCCGCAGCTCGTCGACCGTATCGAGAAGGACCCCGGCCGCTCCGGCCACATCGCCCTCGTCACCAACGTCGCCTCGGGCAAGAAGACATACATCTTGGCCGCCGATGGCGTGCGCGCCGGCGACACGGTCCAGAGCTACATGGACGGCGTGCCGCCGGAGCTGATGGAGGAGATGGGCGGGAAGATTGATCCGGGTATCTTGGCGGCGAAGACGTGCTGGAAGGGGAATTGTCTCCCGCTACATATGGTGCCAGTGGGGAGCATTGTGCATGCGGTGGGGTCGAAGGCGAGGGGTCCCGCTGTGTTTTGTCGCTCGGCGGGTACGTATGCGAGTATTGTGAGCAAGGACGAGAGGACGAGGACTGTCATTCTGAAGTTGCAGAGCGGAGAGGTGAGGAGGGTGAGTAAGTGGGCGCCGGCCACGATTGGGATCGTGAGTAATCCCACGTGGCAGCATCGGCAGCTGGGGAAGGCCGGGAGGAGCAGGTGGTTGAATATCAGGCCGACGGTGCGTGGTGTGGCGATGAATGCGGGTATGTAGTGCAGTCTCCTTTAATTGGGGAGGTAGTGGCAGTAGTGGAAGTGGTGATATACTAACTATGTGGGGGCGGGCAGCGGACCATCCTCACGGTGGTGGACGAGGTAAGAGTAAGGGTAATAGACATCCAGTCTCGCCTTGGGGTATTCCCGTAAGTTTTCTCTACAATCCTATCATTACCACCTCTCTCTCTAGTACCTACTAACCGCCCAACCCTCCAGACGAAATCCGGCTACAAGACTCGTGAGCCCCCCGCTCTCCCCCATAACTTCCCTTCCCTCCCCCCTTCTACTACTACTAACAAATCCTCGCAGGCCGACCCAAGAAGGTCAACAAGTACGTCGTCACCCCCCGTCCCCGCAACCACGGAAAGAGAAGGGCCAAGAAATAGACACCTCCCCATGCACGTCCCCCATCTTCCCCCGACTTCCCCGCCCCTGCTTGCTGCGTTTGTATATATACTATTTTTCTTCCTCTATTTCAAAAAAAAAAAAAAAGGTATATATTACTATTCTTTTTTCTCTCGTTCTACCCCCTGCAGCAAAAAATAAGAATAAACCGGTAGCCTCCGATCCCCCAGACAGAAAAAAAAAATTTATACCTGTATGTACAGCTAGTAGATAATTGTAAGCGCGGACCGTACAGGAACAAGAACAAGAGTAACCCCGTGCCATGCCATATATGACGTTGGCTTGGTGTGGGTTAGAGTAGCTGGTTTCGTTGATTATGTAGCTTGTTTAGTACAGTCGAGCAGAGGATACATAAGGATAAGGCAAGCTCACCCATCCACACAATCACCCATCCGCCGTGCCATGCCATCCGCCTAGTTTGGTTCGCAATCTGTAAGACTCAGAACCCCCCCCCCCTTGTAGACTCTATATCTGCATCCTACTTTACTCCCACATCATCCATCCCATCCGGGGTTTCTCGGCAGCCAGTGCAGTGCAGTGCAGCGCAGCGCAGAAACGTCGGTGCTTTGCTTCAAGTAACTCTCCATACATACATACCATTTCGATCCACCTGCCTGATTACTCTCCCCTCCTCCCCTCCTGCCCTGCCCTGTCCTATCCTCCGCTGCTACTGCTACTACTACTACTACTACTACTACTCCTCAGTACAAATCTCCAATCCCATCTACCAGCCCCCACCCACAACCCACACCCCCGGGCAGCGGTGAGTATAATAGCGTATGTATGTATGTAGTGAGTACACCCTCCCCGACGCCGGAAGCAATGAGTACACACAGGTCCGTTCGCTGCTGCCCTCTCCTTCTCCGGTGATTAAGCTTCAGGCACAGGGGGGAAGCAGATTATTAAGTTAAGTTGCGAGGCGCAGTCGGTACCGACGGATGTGTGTTTCTCTTTTTTTGTTCGTATTTTGCTGGAGTACGTATTCTGAATTATTTACTCTGCCTGTTTAAGACGGGACGGTGGTTTTAATAAGATCGGAGCCCAACCCAACCAACCAACCACACGACAGTGCGCACTAGAGCACTACTCTAGGCATAGAAGTAGAGGACCCTGAAGCAAAACCAAACCAAACCAGTTCCGCAAAGGCAAAATGCACTATATACCATAAAACGGGCACCCACCATTGCTGCTGCTGCACTGTACTCACCAGCCCCTGTGCGACATAACATGCCCCCCCTCCTCTCCTCTCAGGATGAAACCCGATCAATTACTTCCCCATCTGCGCTGTAATCTAGAATGTTCCTTCATCGATTAACAACCACAAACCGGGGGGGTAGATACTGAGTATTAAGTGGGAGGATGGAGTGAGAGAGGGGGGAGCATGCGCGTTCACTCTCGCCCACTCAAACACACAGCCTCGCAGTAGAGTGGTAGAAGAATGATGCCATGCAATGCTAGTTAAGTACTCTATCTCCATGGATGGTACTATCTACCTACAACTCTAGATCCATCAGAAAGATGTAGACAGGCAGGTAGGCGGGTAAGTATCATATCGCCAGCCAAAGCTGCGATGCACACCCAGAGTCGTCTGCTCGTTAGGTCTGGTTGGGAATAGTTACAGAAGAAGCTTTTCTGTTCTTTCCTCTCTGCCTATCTACATCTAGGCCTGTTAAGTACATGTAGTAGTGAGTAGAGGATGATTAGAATTACAATCATTGCTCCTCCCTCCTCCTCCTCACACTCTCACTCTCACTCCCTGAACCCTTCAGCCCATTGATGCTTCTTTTACGCCTCCTCGCATCCCCCCCTCCCTCTTCTCCCTCTCGATCCCTCACCCACTCGACTCGCTCTCTTGATAATTCTCGGGCCACATCCCGAATCCTCTTCTTTCCTTTCCTTTCCCTTCCCCCTTCTTCCTGTATTCATACTCTACATTGCATACATTAAACTCCCATACCGTCCCAATAAACGCTTTGTGCACCCACCAGTGACTCAGTTTGCGTGAATTCGCTTGCGTTGCCCTGTCCTGCCCCCCTCCACCCCCGGACTCTCGGACACCCTCAAGCCCGAGTCGACATCAGGTTCGCCCGTCGCCGCTCGCAACCCTTCCTTCGTACCTTAAACCAACCGGAACGGCACCAGGAAACCAAGCACCACCGAACCAAGCAGCCCGGCTCCATCCATCTGCCCAGCTGCCTGCCTACACGGTTCATTGATAGTGGAGTAGAGTAGACGCTGCACTCCTGCACACACTATTGCCGCTACTACTCCTACTATTAACCTTCTACTGCTACTATTACTACTATATTACCTACTTGACAGCCACTCCCCCACCCCACCGCCACCACTCTCCCCCGGACTAATCCAACTATCCGCGCCGAAGGAAAAAAAAAAGACCTTTCAGTGATTTCTAAATAAAAATTAAAAAAGTAACAAGCAAGACAGCTCAAACCACAGCTACCCACCGGGCCTACCCGCCCGATCGAATGAACGCTAGCCCCCAGCTTCCCGGCGCCAGTTTCGACTTCTCGGAAAAGTTCAACAACTTTGCTGACATGAGTAGCATGTCTGCGCAAACACCCAGTTCAAACGGTGGGAGTAATAATGCCAGTCCTGCATCTGTAGGAGGGGATAACAATCATAGTAATAGTGGAACGGCCTCGGCAGCGCCGGAAGTCCCAAGGCCGAAAAGGATAGCTTGTGTCGTGTGTAGGAAGAGGAAGCTCCGGTGCGATGGCTCAAAGCCTAGTTGCGGGACGTGTTCGAGGTTGGGCCATGAATGGTGCGCTTTTCTCAGTTTTCTTCTGTGGCTTTTGATTTTTATAGGAGCTGTTACTGCTGTGCGGATGTTGACGGCGGTGATTGTAGTGCATATGATGAGATAAGGCGAAAGAGCGGCCCCAAGAGAGGATACGTCAAAGCGCTAGAAGCCCGTCTTGGTATGTTGCTCTATGTACCCGATGATCTCCTCCTCGGCGATTTGAGTCTGTCTTGTCTCAGTTCTAACACCGGCCGAAGCTCAGGTAGAAACATTGCTTAAGGAAAATACGACCCCGGAACCACCGGCGACAGTGACCAACTCTTTCGTACCCCACCTAGTCAACCCTCCTCAGGTTTACGGCGGCAATGGTATCCCTAATAGAGGTGACGGTGGTATGCTGAATATGTCGGAGCGATATTACGTTGGAGCTTCCCCGGGACAAGGCCCATTTGATGCAGGGTCGGGCATGCTAGATATACCGATGCCCGTACCGACCAACATCTTGGAAGAGCCTCAGTTACAGTGGGATCTGATTTCGATGGGGTTTGAGGAGGCGCTGCCGGAGCAGTCGGTTATTGATTCGCTGTATGTGGGCTTCCATCCTACAGTCCACACACATACACTGACCACCCCACCTTCAAAGACACCGGACCTACTTCGATAAGATACACCCATGCGTGCCAGTAATCCATAAAGGACGCTACCTTGCCAGTCTTGCCATGGGCCCCACCCAGCGGCCGCCCATTTGCCTGCGGTACGCCATCTGGACGATGGCCGCATCCGTTTCCGACGAGCACTCGCACCGACAAGAGTCTCTCTACAAACGTGCGCGCAAAGCCATTGAGGAAACGGAGCTGCGAGGCCATGGCGAGGCCATCATATCTGTGGCTTGCTCGCAGACCTGGAGCTTGATTGCCTGCTACGAGTTCAAGCTAATGTATTTCCCACGGGCGTGGCTGTCAACGGGGAGGGCGGTGCGGCTGGCGCAGATGATGGGAATGCACAGACTTGATGGGGTGGGTCTGGATGTCAAACAGTGTTTGCCGGCGCCGAAGGATTGGTGCGAGAGGGAGGAGCGCAGAAGGACGTTTTGGGTCGCATTCTGTATCGATCGGTATGCGAGTATCGGGACGGGCTGGCCCATGACCGTAGAGGAGAAAGATGTGAGTGGAGCAGAGTTTTTCTAAATCTACTCATCAACGGTGCTAATAATTCCACAGATTTTAACAAACCTCCCGTCAACGGAGGAGGCATACGAACAAGGTCGGCAAGAGCCGGGATTATCTCTAAAGGAGGCCATGACGGCTGATGGAGCGTCGAAATTGTCGCCGTACGGCGGCGTCTGTTTGATGGCCTGTCTTTTTGGAAGAAACCTCATTCATTTGCATCGACCTGATGCGGACGATGCGGACGGCGACATTAACGGGGCTTTCTGGACACGCCATAGAAATATGGATAATGTTCTTTCAAATATCAAGCTTTCGCTTCCTGCCCAATTCCGCCTTCCCAGTGGGATGAACGATCCCAATATTGTGTTTACTAATATGAACATCCACACCTCAACTATTTGCTTACATCAGGCTGCAATCTTCAAGGCGGATAAGAACAGAATGTCGCCTTCGGTATCATCTGATAGTAAGATTAGGTGTATAACTGCCGCTGCGGAGATTGCGTCGATCATGAGGATGGTTTGCCATCTTGACTTATCAGGGGTAAGTCTCTAATATTCCAAACTCCGGCCTGCCTGGGGGAAACAATTCGGGAGCTCATGAGGTATCAATTTCCAGATGAACCCATTCATTTCCTTTTGCCTCTACGTTGCTGCCCGCGTCTTCGTACAATACTTGAAATCCCGTCCCCGCGACGAGCAAGTCCGCGCATCTCTCCAGTTCCTCCTGACTGCAATGGGTCACCTGAAGAAAAAGAACCCATTGACAGAGTCCTTCCTCGTCCAGCTTGACGTTGACCTAACAGGCTCAATGGACACACCGGAGAACGTTAACAGGTTTCCGTACAGCCTCAAGAAGGGCCAGGTAAGTTCGGGCGTCTAACATAAGCTCATTTACGGGTTGCAACTAATGTGCTGAAACACTTAGCAGCCAGAGATCTATCCCGGTGGTTGCGATGGCTGCACTGCCATGATGCCAGAGGTATCAGACGATATTATCACCTCCGATCTCGCCCAGAACTGTCCATGTATGTCGGGCGACCTACGAACGCTGATCGAGCAGCACGCGCGGATGGGCCCACCCACCGCAAGTGTTGTCCACGAGCTCCAGGGGAAATTGCCAAATGTCTGCCAGTGCATGACTCCCGAGGTCAGGCTGTTTATAGAGACATGTGCAAATAAAGGAAACATGCTGCCGGACTATAATTTGAACAATAGTAATAGTAATAGTCAGCATTCGTCGCATCATAATATCAATTCAGATAATGGGCAGTCGCCGGCGTCGATGGATTTATCCGATAATTCGCAGGGCGTTACGCCCAGCTCGCAAGGTGTTACGCCGAGCTCGCATGCGACACCGAATCAGATGGGATCCGCATCGGGGTATTCGCCCATTGGCTTTTCTGATATGAGCCAAATGCAAGATCTAAATGGGAGCCAGTATAGTATCCCAAAGAATGATTGGGATGCGGAGCTATTAGGGTTAGAACAGTTTGATGACCAGCTTGGGGATTTGGCGGGTCAGAATTATAGTGAATTTTTTATGGAGGCGTCGACGCTGATGAGGGAGCACTAATAAGTCTGCGGATTGGGCTGGGAGATTGGAGTTTTTTTCTTTTTTTTTTTTTTTTTTTTTTACCTTCCCTCCTTTTTTTTAATTCATCGTAAAAGGTATTTTCTTATCTTCATTCTTATTTTAGTTTGGCGGTGGTACTGAGGTACGGATATATTGGTTTAAAGGTTTTGTTTCGTTTCCTTCGGATCTTTTTCTTTCTTTTTATGGGGTTTATTTGCATGCGTTTCGTTTCCGTCATCATTTTTTTTTATCCGTTTGACGTATATCCAGTGAGTCCACGGGAGAGAGGGCTACTGTCAGTTGAGAGACGGTCTCACCTCTTATTTTTCTTGTTTAGCTCTTTTCCCGCCCTTTTTCTCCCCTCCATTCCCATACCAAAACCCCTTCTCCCCTCTCGATCTCGGAAGTCGCGAATTAGATCTTGATGTAGATAGTTAATGGCTTTCTCAACGCCTATTGTTGCGGATATCTTGGCTCGACATGTATGTGAATAAGATGAACATATCACGATTCAAGCTTCGTATGCAGCCTAGCCATATGTAAGGAGATATATGATATCGGAAGAAGAGCCTGGAAATGGGTGTGTAAGCAGCCAAACCAATGATATCATATAATGCAAATGTTGCATGATGGCCATTTGGGCCCGGAAGTCCGATGTAAGTGAGGTCAGGTAGAAAATTTTGCTGTTACACTCCCTTTGTATATGGACAGAATTAGCCAAGCCCCACTGTGGAGTTGAGTTGTTGCCTAGGGCAAACATTCACCCATTATAATATAGGTATCATTAAGGCTTTTCAGTTGGTAATTGACTATCCTATAGATGAAAGAGATCGTGATTTTTGTTGCTGCGGCCACAGAGGGAAGAGAGGGGAGGATTAAATTCGGAGAATCTGGTGGCTAAGGCGCAGTAGTAGTGTACTAATAGTGTACTGAAGCCGCTATACCGCAAAAACTCGACAATAAGAAACGGGGCCGGGCTAGAATATATACTGTACTCTCACTAGTTAAAAGCATAGAAATTTACTCTTTCAGCAGTTGTGATTGAGGCTCAACACCCATTCAACAAATAAGAAAGCCGTATTCGCCCTGCGGTCTCAGCCCGGCTCCGTTCCTTATTGTCGAGTTTTTGCGGTATTCCTTACGAGTATCAGTGAAGTGAAGGGTATGAAGTTCATTCAATGTGGTCTTGAGAGGCAGAACCATGTAGAGTAAGTATGTCTATGGTCGGATACTGTGAGTGGATATCAGTTAAACGTTCGGGTGATGCAATCATATAATATCACTCGACAGAGCGTTCGATCGAGGCAACTCAAAAAACTTCCATGATTTGGTGAAAAAAGGTGCTGTCTGTCCTTTTACGCCTAAAAGTGCCTCTTATTGTATTTATAAAACTTCAAAAACCGAAATAGAGCTCTTTTATTACCTCCAAACCGTGGGAAATGTAAATGAGGAACTATCCGTCGGCTTAAGCTTTGGTTGGACCCGGTTATCACAAGCGTCGTTAGACCGTCGGGCCCAAAGACTAATCAACCCGAGTCCAGTCCGGATTGGAGTTCGTCCGACTGAGTGCAATAATATAATGTCAGAATAGGAAATAATTGAATATACCTCTCTAAATCTGCAGGTAGATATATGGTAATAAGCTACTTGTAACTGGTAGCTATATATGTAGCCACATATGCATACGCTTGGTTCTCGCGGGCGTGATGCGGTAATGGAGCTCATATACATCAAATTATGATTTAGATGACTTTCGACCAATCACAAATTCGAAGCAATTGGACTTGCAACCCTCGAATAAATATTTCAGTACTTGACACGCGGGATAATTATTCAGTTTAGATGTTGTTTATCACAGCTGAAGAAACAGACTTGTATTAGCGACTTGATACGTACACCAAGAATTAAATATGCAGGGAGGATTCCTTGCCTCCAATTGAGAGTGAAGTATATCTTACTGGAGCACTATAATAGTCACTCATCTTCCACAGTAAGATAGACTTTCAATTATGCGCTGTTGATATCCCTTAGTTTCATTCCCACCAGTGAAGGTGACACTAGTGTCTTAGTATCGCGGAGGTGGAATACCTTTGCATCTATTGATATTATCACAAGTATGATGCAAAATGATCTTCCGGTGTGCCATGGCCCAATTTCTTTTATCCGGCCCTAACTTCATTTTGTGATAGATCTTGGGCTACTAACGAATTATGTAGTTTGTGCATCCGTCCATTTTCTCTCCGATGAAATGACCCACGCTGATGCCTGTTAAATGCCTATAGTCACTGCTTTTTATTGGTCAATTCTTATTTCTTGAAAGTGGAGTACCATAGATAGCCAGAACTAAGTAGCATTTCTATCAACAGAGCAGGGGCTGGTATATTACGAGACAATGTAGATTCCTCCAATGTCGGCCTAATGTCCGTGAATTCTCGGGGAAGCTGCTGCAACCTTTGATAGTATGATGTGGATTGTAAGAAAGAGCGGTAGTGGGGTTTTATTGGGGTACGTGATGAGTTCTGATAAGAAAAAGTCGGGTTCAGCGAGGTTTTCAACTTACGACACTGCATAGCTAGGTCTAGATCTCCACCCTTGATCTTAGCACAAGGCCTATTGATCTCTGGACGGAAACCGATAAGGTTTGGCACTAGTAAACTAAGTCTCGGTATTAGAGCACAGGGTGTATCCTATACACCCGACAACATAGCTAAAAAAAAAAAAAAGTACTGCATCCTCTCATACATGTACCCAGGGGTGCCGGAAAGTGATGCAACGACTCAATTTACTACTCATGATTTCAACCACATGCAACCCAACTTTGACTTTAACGAAGCAGCGATATATAGTATGTAAAGTAAAGAGAGTATGAAGAACTCATCAATCACATCAAAATGAAAGAAATTACATGTAAGGTGGTTGCGAATTCACTAAGACCTCACACTATATTTCCAAGCCGTTGCATCACTTTTGGGTACCCCTGGGTACATGTATACGTAGTTCTGCACTGCATTGAACTTCACGTTTACTTTATACACTGCCCTTGTTTTACACATTAATCTCATCGATCCCAGAATCTTCTGCTTTAACTCTAGCATCTTGAGCTTAAGCTTTTAATCCTTGTTCTATATAGCATCCGAATATCCAGTACATGAACTTACGTCTGTTCTGTGGTATGGTGAGGAGTACATTTATGATTTATTAGGTCGTGTAGATAAGCATCACAAATAAGATTACTGAATGAATACTTGGGCTAGGACTATTAACTTCTGTTCACAAGGAATATAGCCATCCCACCCACCCATAGGATAAAACTAGCCTAATGCAACATTGGTCTACGGTCAATTCTTCAATGTACAAACCCTCGAAAGATAAGCAGGATTTCATAAACTTAGCAATTATTGTGGTCATAGATCGTCACTCGAATATCGATACCAGACATCTTCCTACATTTTTTTTTCGTTTAATTCATTAATTACATCTTCCTACATGGTGTCAGTAAACATTGCTGTGGTGGTGCAAGATAATTATAAGGGTGGGAGTAGAGTGTCTCAAATCATTATCCTATTGAAATAAAAGCATCCCCCGGAACTAGGAACATAATTCCCATCCCTTCGTCCCATCACAGGCTCTTTTAAGGAGTCTCAATCTGACAGGGCTACATATAATCGATGAACGCTCCTCATTTTAAGTCTCCATGACTCACCACCTTCCCTATGGGATCGGAAGCCATACCTATGGTATGTGTCCTTAAAGTGTCAATTATTCGTAGTTTACCAAATGATGTAATCCTCCATGCTGACGTTGTGAGCCCTGTACATGCCTCAGACGATCAGATCTATCAATCCCGTTAATGAGAAGAGATCCCACTGAGTGAAACGAGAGCGTAGGGCCGGTTTAGCACGCATATAGGTGATAAATATTGTACACAGAATTGGATAGCTAATTCTTTAGTGATGAGACACGAGCCGCTGGTCCATAGACTATATAAGACTCTCTTAATGAAGATCGGTTTGCCAAAAACTATCCCTTAAGCTGTTCCTTAAATGCCGCCAACATAAGACATGTTAACATCAGGCGAGCCTCGCACGCAAGTCACAGAATTGAGACATGGTACTTGGCAAAGTTGGCAGCTTTACAGCATAAGAGATAATAGAAACTGAGCAGGATCTGCAAGCATAGAGTCCTGAGCGCTTCAACAATATAGACAGTAGATCTCGTGTACTCGTAGAAATCTATGCCAATAAAACAATAGAAGAGCGGGGTGTGGTATGGATGAAAGGGAGGGGATAAAGGGCCTCAAAGGTAGAAAATAAACTCACTACATCTACTTAGTGATCAACATCAGCTCTTCTCCGGTGGCGTTGGACGTTGCATACAGTCATGGGATACGTATACTCAACCCAGTAGTGAGACGCAATTCGCTATATACCATGGATCGCGGGCCAGACCGATCGACTGATGCTGGTTATACAGAACTTCCTCTGAGTTTTAAATGCAAAAGATAATTTCATCACCGGACCGACGAACTTTACGAGGAAAAAAGTAGGAACGCAGGAAAACCAAAGTTATATCCGTTTCAAGGCCTAGTATAAATGATTTACCATACGTCCAGGCGATCTATGTTCCAGTTTTTCAAGATTTACGAACTTATTGCTGGGTGACAAAAGTAACCGTGATTTTGCGTAGCAACCAGCAAAAATTGCCCAAATCGACCAACTCCCAAAATCGGTTCTCGAGATTTATACCCAAGGGATAGGTTCTATCAATCTAAGTATTTCTAATTAAACAATCCTTTATTTCATATCTATTATGGTGGTGGAGTTATACTTGTTTCAAGACGCATTCCCATACAAAATCTGGTTGCAATGTAAAATCACGGTTACTTTTGTCACCCAGCTATACATACAGCACCAACCCTTCATCTCCCTAGGCTTACCGTCTATTTCGTTATCCGGTCGAAGTAGCATTTGGTTTCTTAAGATACGGGAGTTTCAGAGTTCACCCCCTCTGCATGGTGGCTTGCTAAGAGTCTTAACGATTCGATTCGTTGGTCGTTGATGGATTAAATAGTGTGCGTGTAAGTCCGGTAACAGCGCCTACATGACAATGTAGCCTAAGCCCCATGTAGGCCTATTGAGCTCAGAAATACAGTCAATGCGCGCCCTACACCTCTCTGTACTTTTATTGTCCTTCCCCCTTCGCCTTCTCCTTCTATCCCTTTGCCCTTTGCTCAGTCGAGTGATAATTCATGATTAATTAGCAATCCACATCGCGGCGGGCGAAGGATCTCGCCGTAAACCAATCATATCAATACTCCATACCTTCTAGACTCGTTTATCTTGTGTGAAATCCTAACCCCACCCTTCCCGACACGAGAGTTCCGAATCGCCCAACCAGGAAAGTGACCACTGCCTCGCGAAAGTTCCCTTCATGGAATATCACTCGATGCCGAGACTTGTCAACTCCCATCTATCATCGGCGCTAGACTTTTTTTTTGGAGGTGAACGAGGTGGTATTACTAGTGGATGTTTTCGTCCTCATCTAACTCCCTCATCCATTCAATCAACTATCATCTTGGAGCCCTAAACATGCCTCTCTCAACAAAAAACCGAGAGGTTAGGACGAGGTCTAAACGGAGCTCCCATGCATGACCACCTCCATACTGGACCAGTCATGTCAGTCACAGTTTACCTACAAGCCAGCAATTTATGTGTAGCTCGGCGTCAACACCCTCACTATCCCCACTATATCAAAAACCACACAACTTCGATACCTCTTATCATGTGAACTACCCCAGTTTCTCACAAACCCCCAACAAAACCAGTATGCACAGCTCAAATGACGTGCGTGCATGAAGTTCTAAAGCATCTGGAAGAGGTACCCTCCCTTCCCCAATAGATGATCGTACCGTTGGCAGTGCAATCTAACGGCTTATTTCCTATCCTCGATGCATGCAGCCGTCGATTCGAGAGCGGTGTGGGGCCGGTCTCCGGGTAGGCGTGCATGCTGAGTACGGAACGACCTCCACCTACAGCTTGGATAATAGAACATAGATACAAGAGTAAAAGAGGACTATGTGTAGTGGGGGTTGTAGGGACCAGAGTGTGGGGTATTGAGGCGAATGTATAGCTTCGTACACTCTACCCCTGCCCCACCCTGCGCACTGCGCACTGCACTCCGCTGGCTAGCGGGCGAATGAGGCTGCGGGCTTCGTATTCAGGCTATTGCTGTTTACAAAACACCATAGAAATACTAGAGGCCGGAGAACAAGCTGTTCTTCCCCGTAACAGGGGCGGATTACCATTCAGTACATGTAGTGTTGACTGACCTTAACGCACCAATCGAATCAGGAGTCAATGATCACACATGCATAAAATCTCGAAAGAGCAATGTCCAGTGATATCAAAGTTACTTCGACGAAATCCAATCACGACTCCATTCCCAACCATCCTGTATTTATACAAGAATAGAAAAAACATACAAACGCCAATTGCTATGAAAATCGAAAAATCGTGATTGAAGAAGTAGAAACCCCTTCCATCCCGCAAATTACAAGAAAAGATATCCAGCTATGCAGCTTATAAGCGGAATGCAATGGAATGACCATAAAATAGTAATAATACAGCAAATGAAAAGTCTAATTTTCAAGATCTTTGGGGTTTGGATCGCCAATGCCGTCCTCTACGATACGATTAGTCATATGATTTGAAAAAGTGCAGAGGAAATCCCAAACATACCATTGATAGCGAACATGCACTCGCTCTCAGGTAAACAAGGGGAGTCATAAATCTTGCAAATTCTCGTCTCTGCTCGCCCTTTCTTCAAAAACAATCTGGTAGTAGAAGCATGTGCAATGATGTTCCCTCCTATCGGCTTTTTGGGATCTGGGTTAAACATGGCAGCCCCACCATCCACTTGAGCGACAACCTGATTCGTGATGACAACAGCGATTCCAAACTCGTCCGCCAGGCGCTGTAATGTGCGCATAAACTTTGCAAGATGCGTTTGTCTCGCCGCAAGCTCTCCACGACCCGCAAAGTCTGTGCGGTACAACGAAGTCGCAGAATCAACAATAAGGAGAGAGAATCGAGTTTCAGTCATCATTGCTGCAGCCTGGTTAAGCAGCTGCAACTGGTGGTCGCTGTTATAGGCACGTGCGTATGCAACGTTATCTAACACCTCTTCCCCGTTGAGACCATAACGGTTCGCAACCGCAAGGAGGCGGACAGGACGAAAGGTTCCCTCAGTGTCAATATAGAGACATTTACCCTCTCCGCCGCCCATATCGAAGGGTAGCTGACAGGTCACGGCAAGGGTATGACATAACTGCGACTTCCCCGTTCTGAATTCGCCGAACACCTCTGTGATAGATCCAGTCTCAATTCCTCCGGCTAAGAGCGTGTCAAGTTGTTTTGAACCGGTCGTTACTGAAATTAGCTCAGAGCGACGCTGGTGCATTTCTGTGGCTGTAGTGAAGCCCATGGGCACAAGACGGGAAGCTAGGGGACTTGTCAGTACTTTTCTTCTTTCTTCTTTCTTCTTTTTTTTTTCGCTTTCAGCGAATATTGATTCTAGGTTGGAAATGTACCTTCGGCGATAAGTTTGTCTGCCTTTGCTTCTGAAATACCTTTGATCGTGAGAAGCTGCCTCTTGGGTCTATTGATGACATTTTTAGCATTTTGGTATATATTGGCTCTGGAAAGAAGTGAACTAACGTGTACGCCACTGACTCGACAGTATTATATCCCGCCTCGACAACAGCCTTGATATCTCTTGCAGAAATACCATTACCCTGGACAAAATCAGCTCTGTTTCCAAGACAGTTGAGGAGGTGGCGTTTCATACCTCTAGAGATGCAAGCGGCGTGGGAGCACCGGGCCCACCAAACTGAGAAGCATTGTCGTCGAACTGTTCCTCTTGACCTTCTCCAGACATGTTTACGATTACAGGCAGGGAAGACAGTTGGTTTTTGTAATCGATCAAAAACGAATGCTTCTGGGTTGGAGGCTGTGCTGTAGTGAGTGTGTCGTGCGTGGCAAGGAGCTGAGAGAGAGGAAACGCGACTTGGGCCCGCGTTGAGGGGTGCCAGCTTAAGTGCTTTCCCGGGTGGCTCAAGTAAACGCGTTTAGTGGCTGATGACTCATTGCGCGATCACGTGCATAATGTGTCACAAGATTATCTCTTATCTGCTGGCAGTGGAGTGGGGTGTGTAACGTTGCCACCACACAAACTCTGACAAAGCCCTTGTTTTGTTCGCCAATCGACAGCTGAAACATCCATCAGGGGGTCTACATCTCCCAACTCGAATCGCCGGAAACAAAGGGCCAGTGTGCGCGTCAACCAACCTCCATCTTCAGGGAAGAATACATTTCATCCTATCGTCATCGCTGCTCCAATATCATTCCATTCCATTTTCAATAAATCAACGCCGACACAAGAGACGCCTACTTTAGTCGCGCACCTCACCCTCATTCTCATCGCCTCGTTAGATCGCGCAAAAAGTTCACACCCCTTTTGACACAACAATGACAGATAAACTACCAGCAAACCTTTTGGTGCTCTTTGCACCTCGACCACCTCTCCGTTATCTCCCCCACTGCGATTATGCCCCAGAGAAGCGCAGAACCGCTCCGATCAGTGGCGTTGCGGCGTTTCTTGAAGAGCTCAAGAAACCAGATCCAAACTATGTTCCAACCGAGAGCTGGATGCAACGACGAGACCGACTAAGAGAAGAGAAGAAAGCGGCCTTGGAGAAAAAAACAAAAGAAGGGCTTGATGCTTGTATGCGCACATCTATGCAAATGGGATAATCCGTAAAGGACACGGTTGGCTAACATAAGTGTCAATAGACGATCCAGAACATGACCCGCTTGTCAGAGGTGATCCTTACAAGACCTTATTTGTGTCTAGATTGAGTTACGAAGTCAAGGAAAATGATCTTGAGCGCGAATTTGGACGCTTTGGTCCCATCGAAAGGGTGAGATAAGAATCCCCCCCCAAAAAAAACCCACCATTGTTCCTGTAGTGATCACCCGCTGACATCTCTTCTCATGATGCAGGTACGTATCGTGCACGATAAAGATACAGGCAAGCACAGAGGGTATGCGTTTATTGTATATGAACGTGAGAAGGACATGAAGGGTATTGAAACCGAAGACTCCCCCTATCCATTTTATATCTTCCCTCCCCTGCCGCAATTCGCATGTTAGCCCCCGGACGTGAAAAGTAAAAACATAGCTGCGCCGCCGTTTCAGTGTCGTGTCGTGTTTTGACTTATCTACTCCTCTTTCCCTCACCATCTGAATTTTATATCACCAACCCCACTCGAGCAAAAGCTCCTTCTCACAAAAGGAGTGGTACAAGTAAAGGAAAGTATGAAATAAGAAATAAACTGACACGGGTTTGAACGATTTTCTCTTCTTTCTTGCTCCTTTACAGCTGCTTACAAAGAAACCGATGGAATACGTATCAAGGATCGCCGTGTCCTCGTCGATGTCGAACGCGGCCGTACTGTCAAAGGATGGAAGCCAAAGCGCCTTGGTGGCGGCCTCGGCGGTCGTGGATACACTAAAATTCCTGTAACGCGCCCCACAGGTCCCTCCGGCTTTGGTAGTGACGGACCCCGTGGACCAGGCGGACCAGGCGGCTTCGGAGGCCGTGGATTTAGAGGTGGCGGAGGTGGTAACTTCCGTGGAGGATTTCAGGGTGGTCGTGGAGGAGGTGGGTTCACCGGAGGCAATAGATTCGAGATCGGAGGCGGTCGTGGCCCCCGAGGCGGTATCGGTTTCCAAGGCGGTGATAGAGGTGGTCAGAATGGCTACAGCGGTGGCGGTGGCGGTGGCGGTGGACATCCTGGTGGAGCCGAGGCCCCGCCAAATGCACCAACTGGGCCTGGAGGACGTAGGGGAGGCGGTGGAGGCGGTGGAGGCGGTGGGTATGGTGGCAGTGACCACAGAGGTAGCGGTGGGTATCAAGGATCTGGTGGGTATGATCGCAGTGCTGGTAACGACCGTGGTGGCCGTAGCAGTGGCTATGACCGTGATGGTGGCAGCAGAGGTGGCGACAGGTATGGAGGTGACCGCGACGCTGGCGGAGGCAGGTTTGGCGGACACAGAGACGACCACCGAGGTGGTCATGGAGACAGGGGCTCCCACGGTGATAGAGGATCCCATGGTGATAGAGGTTCACACGGTGATAGGGGCGGTTACGACGACGGCCATTCGAGAAAGCGCGCCTACGACGGCGCCGGTGATGGAGGGTATGGAAGCGGCGATAGACACAGGAGAAGGTATCAGTAGTGTGATTGACCAACCTGAACCTCTAAACTCTTTGAAGGAAGGTAAAGGATTAACTCACCATGCGTCATCTGCCAATCCTTTTTTCCCCCAACTACCGCCAAAAGTCCACTTCAATAATTACCTATTACTTTCGCCATCTCCATCCATCACGGGTAACAACTCATCAATGTCTTCAAAAAACAAAAACAGCATTTGTATCACTCACTTGGTAACACTCCGGAATGAAATGGAAAGTTTTTTCTTCTTTTTCCCCCCCCCCCGCAAATCACATAGGCAACAAGCAGAACTGCGGGTGGAGCAAAGCCAGTCCATGGAAAGCATGACTGGTTGGGTGAGTCCAGATATAGTCAGTTTCGCGCGCGCTTGTATTGTATCAGTTTCTTCTTTGTGCTTTCATGCTTTCTGTTCTTCCATGTGATTTTCTTGTCAAAATAATGTCCTATTTCCTATCACTCTCTTTTTTCTTCACGCACTCCTGGTCAGTTTCTTGGAGGGGTCAGAAGAACGAAAAATTATGGTTTGTATTTCTATCGTTCTTCTTTATTTCATTTTTCTGCTTGTTTGATATGATTTTCTTTCGTTCCGGGAGCATTCTCCCTCAAGCCCCTCTCCTTGGTAGGTAAGGGTACAGTATGTCTAGTATATGTGTAATCTTTTTTCCCGCGTTGGTTTTTCTGGCCCGGTTGGTAAGAATAGGTCTCCTTAACGTGGGCCAGGTACTAAGTAAGTTGGTTGGGGATATGCTGCTGCTGTTGCTGCTTTGAGAGGAGAAGATCCTAAAAATTTAAACCCTCTCTGGATGGATTGGTCTGTGAGGGTTTGGTGAGCGTGGGTGATGTGTATTTCTTTTTGTTTTTGTTCTTTTTTTTTTGTGTGTCTGATTATGCACTCTGTTTTTTTCTCTCTCGCTTGAATAGATGGAAAAGAAAGGTTTCAAACATGATTTGAGGTGTGAGGTTTGAATGATTGTGGCTAAGTGGGAAGTGTGGTCGTCGGAGGGCCTCAATCAGGCCAGATCTACGGTGCATAGTTCACGGGGATAAGTCAGTTGAGATTATGGAAAAGGTTTCCAAATGTAAGTACACCCGTGTCTAGAAAATTCCCGGATCCCACTCCATAGCAACCAAACCGCGACCCACCGAATATCTCAACTACAGATTGAATAGACATGAAATTGAAATTGTGGCATAATTAGATAGTAAAGAAATGAAATATAAAAAGCTACTATTTTGTGTGGCCCCCATTTGCCTCATAACCCTGATTCACCCTTGGCATACTATGAGCTCAAGGCACATCAAAGGTCTCTTGGGGGAAAATATCCCCACTCCTCAATGGAGGCTCTCCATAACTCATCTATACTATGAGGCCTTCTCTACCTCTTGTGCTACCTTTTCCACAACTTAGATTTAAGCAAACCCCATGGGTTTCATGGTGGTGTTTGGTCGTGGTCTGGTTGCTATGGTGCGGGATCCGGGAATTTTCTAGACACGGGTTACCGGGTGTTGAGGGTAAGTGATCAGAATCTGATAAGTTAATGTTGCGGTGAATACGTGTATTTGTCATCAGATTCTGATCACTTTTCGCTACACCCTAGTACATGTATGGTCTTGATCAATTGATACTTGCGGTTGTATCGGCCCAAGGTACGTAAACGTACATGTATGTATGCTCGTTCCACTCTCTTCATATGTACCCAGCTTGATCCTAAAGACCCAACATTTCCCAGTCCGGGCTTTCTCATCATCTTGCAAACCCGGAGTGCTCTTTTTTTGATTCCTTCAAGTCTATATACAGCAATAATATTCTTCTGGCTTCTTCTGACCCCAGACTCTACATGTATGTGCATCCAACAGCATTCCATCGTAATGTAAGATCTAAGTCGGACTGCAAACGATAGCAGCGTTGCCACTGGCAGTATTGCCTACAAAGTGAGGCACCTCGCGCTGTCTTTCAGACAACACATTGCAAGGGGCTCATAATATATGATCAAGCCTAAGCTGGCCACTCGAGGTATATACTTGACAGTGCTCGAGGTTTAGTAAGCAGGGGTAATGACCATACCGACCATTGTATCTGTGAAGGCTTTATGCTCCATTTTAATTTGCGGATTTCGCCCTTTACTAATTCAGAAACACATGTACTAGGATTCGCCAAACTCCTAGCCACTACCACAGCCAAAATGATAGGTAACCCTCAAGCGTAACAAACTAGTGGTTTGCTGCATACGGTCTTTATGCAGATACTCTTAATTTGAGAACTTGATCAAAGCTGCAAACTGTCGAGGTACCAAAGGACCCGAGTATTGGATATATACAGTACGATGCCAGTCGTGAGGGTCAGGCGCGGCGTCGCAACGCCGCGCGCGCAACAACCTTTTCACGGCAGGTTGGTACACAAGATATTAAATGTCAAATTATTGTTATTTATCTACTATTTAACAACTATACAAAAATTCAGCTCTCCAAAGGATCAATTGTGGTTGCTGTGCTGGTACCCGTGATGGTTCGGGGGGCGTTGCGACGCCGCGCCTGACCCTCACGGCTGGCATCGTACTGTACATATCGGTACTAGCATTCTTAAAACAGAAGGCTGTCACGCTAAATGAATCATCCACTAACTAAATAGACTCGGCTTAATCGGTGAATCCAATGCTACATTGACTTCCCAAAATAGAGTAGAGTATACCAAGAGTAATAAAATATCAAATCTTCTGACCTGAGAAGGCTGATGCATCTTCACTAACCTACGTAATCTCAATTATCACATCTTGTCAGGAAACCTGACCCCACCAATAGCTCCTCGTCTTTTTACTATACATGTCACTAGCACCGACTGATCTCGAGGCGCAATAGTTACCTGACCCGCTTATTTTTTAATTTCTTCTCCTCCGGTCGGGGATACCCCAATGAATGCGAAGTTCAGCCTTTGCTTCAACACAATATGCATCTGGGACTTGTTCCAATTTGACGCACGATAACAGCCAGTGTACCTACAGTCACTCTGATGAATGAGAGTTCGACATGTACTACTTCTTTCCGCTTTTTCTGGCTAGCTAGCAATATGGTCCACAGGGTAATACCGCTCGGTCGAGGCAGCAAACCAGGGCGCGGGGAATCGCAATCATACTCCAGATCGATGCGAGAATTCCAACATGCATACTCATGTCACATCTAATCAGAACCTATCCATTCATTAAGCTCCCAGTAATGGAGATGACATAAATCTGCATGCCAAGTACTGTGGTCGTACATGATATACATGAACAACTTCATAATTCAGTACCGCTAAATCTCGAGTTATTCGGGGGGTTGCCAAGGCAAAAAGCTGAGGATCTTCACCTTTAGAGGCAGAGATCTTCAATAAAACAGCCCTCTTCTGCAGGATCTAAACTAAATGTAGTTTAGCAGCTGAGCTTGGCAACCCCCCGAATAACTCGAGATTTAGCGGTACTCAAGGAAAAGTATAGTTCAAGAGAAAGTATAACTGAAATTTGATTCTATATATAGCGAGAAAAGATTTTCCGAGTATCTTGGGACTTTGTGTTGAACTGTTCGTTCAGCCCGAGCAGGACAACTAGGCTTAAGGCGGCCCATATCCTCACAAACTGCAAGGCAGAGCTGCACAGGTGCATCCGCTTAGCTTAAAAAGCATTGTATATACTGCACCACCCAGCTCTCTAAATAAGGTGTGACAATATGAATTTGTGATCCAGAATGAAACCAAGCCGGATGAATACAAAAGTGGTCATGTGTAAGGGCTAGGGTTTAATCACATACTGTCACTCGGTTGAACTGATCCTCGCGAGTCCAGGACTGCAAGTCAAAAATGTGCGACGAAAACAACTCTTTAGCCTCACGCACCTTTGATGCCTGATTAGAATCTTCGCAACTTATCTAATTCTTGATTGTCTTACTAATATTCCAGAAACGCGCCTTGGATCAATCTAACTTCACAATTTGACAGAGACTCATGGTTGAGCTTATATTACCACTTTAGTGTTAGTTTCCGAGTCTAACCGACCCTTTTAACGTCCTATAAGAGACCCTGTGATAGCTTCCATCCGATAAGGGCCGAATTTTCGTTCTAATCACATCTTGTTAGGAGTGAACCACAACGCAAGCCTACATCACATGTTATCACTCGGTATATTCTTGGAAAAAGAATACGACCAGTGTGGTCCTCCGGTACGGTTCATCTTCATCAGTACTACAAAACATAGATTTATATCATAAATACAATATCCTATTAGCTAGTCAGCCCAGGCAGGGGATCTGCTGCAACTGTTACGACTGAGCAGCAGAGTGACTGACACCCGGGCCCTCTTATATGATTATTCGATGTCATAGGACCTGTTAAGAAGAATAGATATTTCCTTATGGCGACGCGGACTATTGTATGGTACAAGACTCGTTATTCCCAAATCTTCATAATTTCTCCCCAGACGTATGGTAAGAGTTGCAACGGATAGTTCACGGTTAATTGTGCTTGATGATTTGGTGGTGCATTGAAGGTGGGGTACAAGATCCTGCCCTAATTCAGAATTTCTTTATTTTGAAGTCGCTGCAGCCAATTAAACTCACAAAGAACCCCGACCTTGCAACTAATACACGGGTAGTGTAGTCAGTCATGGCTTGGCGACTTCCGTTTTCAATCCTCACCGGGCCGGGAAACGCAAAACTTGGATAGTTGGTAAAATGTTTTCTCATAGAGCGGTGGAAGAGGATATATATTCCTAGCATGAAGAACCGTATTATAGTTCTCCGGTATCATGAGCGGCTGGCGAAAGCTATCCGGACAAGAACCCTGTCTTTTATGTGATCCTCGACCAATCTCTTGAACTGGTAGACTTTCAATTTTATGGACCGATTCTCTCTCTTGCTGACTGGAAACCAAAAACTAACTAGCGAATAGACGTGTGATTGGCTACATGTAGTTTGTCAACTGGCTGCCAAGAACCACAGAGTTGATATCAATACCGACGTCTATATGATTATCGGGTTAAATAATAGGATCTTGTCATCTACCCTGTCATATATACGGAGTAATATTCTCACATCGAGATATGAAGTACTTTGAATTCTGGTGCTAACGAACTGGCAATTGAGTAACATTTGCTTTAGACTGACACTATGGCACCGAAGAGGCCGGAGGCTACTCTTCATTAGTAGTCGTATATATTTCTGCATGACAGATGGATAAGGTAGTATGGGCTATAATGCTTACGTATGATATGTATATGTAGTGGTAAGCTAATTATCGATGGGGCGAGTTAAGAGAGATAATTGATTCGAATAATTCAGTGACCACATCATGGGTCTTAAGTAGACTTCAGTCATGGAAAATGACTCGGATTACTACCACAGGCCTTCGATAGCAGTACCTACCAAAAAATTAAACCACAGAAAGTTGTAGAAGATAATGTGGCATCAATTCTACCATATAAATAGAATACACACTTCCGGTGGTTTTTCGTTTCCGGTTGTGGTTCTGTTTTTCGCGACAACAACCTTGTGTCTTGGCAGGGCCTGCTTTTACGTCGCCTAATATCCGCGTCGTCCACAAGGAAACCAAAACTCACCAACAGCTCAAAATACCACAGCGTGGTCCAACAGTCTGTGCAAGAAGAAGAGATGACCGACCTAACACCCTGTTTCCTCTATAAAGAGACGCGTATAAATCTCGACTGGGACGATGCCTACCGACTGACCGCAAACATCTTCCTTCCTGGCCATCACGGTGGACCCAGCAAACGGAGCTCCCAACACTCTGCAGAACTCATCAAAACGCCGGAAGGAAAGCCCGATACACTATTCTCTCATAGATTCCTTGCGACAGCTGCGTCGGTACACTACAGGCCGGTCGAGCGATATCCAAGATGCATCATGTGGAGGGTTCTGGAGAATGCGCAGGTGTTGTCTGTGACGTCGGTCGATTTCACAAAGCCAAATGATATACGAGGGGAGTTTGCGACCACATTCAGATTCTACTTTCCGGAACCGATCAGGCAGAACTGTGTGGGCTTTACAGATAATCCGGATCGCGATGAGCTGGTGATCTATGCCCTGACCACTGGTAACGTCATCTACACGTTGAACTTGTCGTCAGAGTTTCTACTCAAGAATTTGGTCGTGAAGAAGGGCAGCAAAGATAGCGATTACTGCAGAACTTACTCGCCAAACTCATTCATTATACATTCTCCACATTTCCTGATGGCGATTGATCATCAATCTTTGCTTGTATCATTACAAGATGGCACATTACTCAAGCTGGAGAAAAGTCATTTATTTCCTGACGGTATGCGGTTCGCCTTTGTGCTTGTGGATGTGTAACAGCTGACAGATATATAGAACCAGATACATCGATTTCCAAATACTTTGAGAAAACGTTTAGCGAAGGGAGTTACCTTTCTTTGCTGAAAAGCAAAATGCCATTCCTCGGGCGGACTGGGCATTTGCGATATGGAAATGATAGCGTTTCATTCTCAGCGGTCATTTCATCAGCAGTATACACGCCAAGGCAATCTCATGATTCAATGATGATTGATAGCCATCAAGAAGCGAACGCTCTTCTCTTCACTGTTTCTGTAAACCACACTCTGAAAATCTGGGCTCTGAACAAAGGTCACCTTTTGCATGCCGTAGACCTTCTCAATGAGGAACCTCCTACCTCGAACCACACTATCAAAACCCTCCTTGATCCAGCGCCTTCGCAACTGCTCACAATTATCGATGTATCACTACAAGATGACCATATGTGCTATCTTGTTAGTTTCTCCTCCGCCACGACCGGGAAATTCAAGTTCTGGGCCGTGTTACGGGACGAATATGGTCAATTTGAAGGCCTTGCTGATCTCTATCCCACCTCTGAATTTTGCGCCGACCCCCCCACAGCAAACTCCGTCTGGATCATTTCCGAGTTCCGCATCACTGCAGCATCCCCCACTGACCCCAGCCTCTTTAACCTCTGGGTTCTCTGGAAATCGAACACCACATTCAAGGTCCAGAATCTCCAATTCAAAATGGAAGCCATCCCTATGTACTGGAATAAATGGACCAGTGCCACTCCGGACTCACTCCATGTTTCCCCTGGCCGCACTCCATCGGAGGTCACATCAGAGGATATCACGGACTACTGGATTGACTGGCTCTTCTTTCCGGGCCGTTTCACGGACCATGTTCTCCGGACAGCGCTCGCGGTGTATGAGGACTACTACTCCGTGCCTGCCAACAACGATGATGAGAACGATCCTATCAAGGCTCGCGTTGCCAAGCTCATTCCAGCTCAGGTTGAGCTGCAGAAAATGGTCGATGGGTCTCCGGATTATGATAAATACAGACATGAGCTTGGCTTGCAGTGGATACGGTACTGTAGACTCTGTACGGAGCTTGACAAGCAGCGCAGCGAGGCTCTATCGCTTGTTGCGGACCCAGTTAGCGGGTTCGTATGGACTGTCAATGCGGATGGCATTACGGCGTTGAGGGAATGCACAGAGAGCGAGGTCATCCTTCATAACTACGGGACACATGCAGGTAATCTGCAGCTGCTATCAGAACGCACGCCGAAACGGCTTGGCGCTTCCTTACAAGGGGAGGAGCTTTCGGATGTGCTAAGGCTTATTCAGGCTGCGACGGACCTGAAGTACGATCTCATGGACAGGGCATACGATAATTGTGTATGGAGATTGCAGAAGGAGGTACTGGAGGATGCTCTATTCTCCTATGGAGATAGGATGGACTCTCTCTACCATAACTGCATTGCGGATGAGTTATCACCATCCACCATAGACAAGATTGAGAATGCATTTGCGGCCATGAATGACCCTCAGAATGCCTTCTCGAGTATCCTATCGAGTCTATTCCACTCAGATACCTATACAGGCACCACGAAGCTTACCACGTTCGGTGGAACTGTACTGGTGACTGGAAGTCAGGAAGTCATCAACGTCAATCACAACCTCCTATTTAGTCTCGTCTTTCTCCTTGTCTTGATCTCTGTACCCGAAGAATCTCCCATTAGAATCGCGGAACCCCAGAGGCTCTTTACGCAACTTCTAGACTACGTGCGTGAGTATGAAGTCCTCGATTGGGTTTCCCGCACACCGCTCTTGATACCCGACAAGCGCCTCTCTACCGAAGAGGAGCTGTCTAAAGGCCTTGCCAAGTTAAATATTGAACCCGAGATAACTGCAACCATGAAGAAGCGCAGAGCGTCGGTTCTGCAGTGGCTCTTGGGTGAGAACTATGGTCCTCCGGCTCTAGGCCTCGGCAGGGGTGGTAATTTGGCGTTGTCTGAATGCGTTAGACAGTTCCTGACAACTCTAGAGCTGGGGACTCACGGTAACGGGTTCAGCACCATCTCGTCGGCACTGTTGGCGATTGATGCTGTTGGCACGGCGGTAGAGTTTATAAAGTATCTGCCAAGCACGTGCTGGGGTAATTATGTTGCAGGGAGGATACATCTGAGAGATGGAAATGTAGAGGCGGCGGCATTAGGTTTCAGGAGGAGCGCCTGTGGGCTTGGTATGTATTCCCATTGTTGTATAAGATCGACTTTGTTGAGTGCCGAATTAATGATGTGGTATAGCAAAGGCGAACCCGACCTATTACTCTGCGGTCAAGAGTCTGTTGACGGAGATTGAGCTCGAGTCCTCACTTGGAAAGGGACTGCCGCCGTACTATCTTCATATCGCAAGCCTCTTCGAGGAAGCGAAAGCTCCCGCCTATGTCGCAGAATTCTGCCAGGCAGCACTCGTAGCCTTAGATGATGCTGTAAGCCGACCCCGCTGCTCCATAACTTTCCATCTGCTAACTTTCCCTCCTCATAGCAAAACCTTGATCTCAAATGCGAGATCCTCCTAAAGCTGTTCCAGTCCAACCTCCAGATCTCCCTCTATGACCAAGCATACCTTGCACTAACCCAATACACGAACGGGCCGCTCCAGCGTACTGCCCTCCGCGAGCTCGTCGGGTCCATGGTTGAAGCCGGCCAAGGCTCCAAGCTCTGCTCCTACCCGTTCGTCGGCCTCCAAGACGAGGTTGACGAAGCCCTCGTCTACAAGTGCTCTTCCATCATTGACGTGACCACCGGCCCGCCCTTCCATAAGGTTCTGTACGCGTGGAGGGTCCAGCGCGGCGACTATCGTGGTGCCGCTGCCATCTTACATGAGCGTTTGCAGCGCATCCAGACGGCCAGTGTCGGCTCTGCTGACCCCGGAAGCCGCAGCGTGTCGGATGGCTTCCTGGTGCTGTTGAATGCCATGTCGTGTGTGGGTGAAGAGCAGGCATGGATCTTGAGTACAAAGAGGGTGGAAGATGGACAAGGCAGCTCTGCGAAGAGAACAAGGGTCGGGAATGAGGTTAGCAGTGCAGCGGTCAAGAGGACAGTCGTGACCGTAGAGGATGTGAGAAAGGCGTACCAGATTGAGGTTGAGAGGGTCGGGTTGTTACTAAACGGTGGATTCTTTGTATGAGTGCAGCCTAGTGGAGAACCATAGTAGTAATAGTGGTGGTGGGACACCAGGGCAATGTGTATTTTATTTTTTCCCCCTCCTTTTTTTATGATTTGTTTTTACAGTTCCGCTTTTTTTTTTTTTTTTTTTGCAATTGGGGTGTTCTGTTTCTTGGTTACTTAGTATGACGAGTAGTTTAGGATGCGTATGTAGTTCGGACTTTACCAATATCTTAGCAGTAACCGTTAGCTGTTAACGTAGCAACGAATGATATCTCATGATTCAAGCACCAATGATCCCGCCTACCCAACTAGGACATCTAACTACTTACCCAATCATATAAAGTGTCCCGATTAGAGCATAGAGACCGGCCTCATCTAGCCTTACCTGGTACCTGCGCCCGCTGCTGTAGCTAATAGGTGCATCTCTGCAGAGCGTTGAAGCAAAAGCACAACTTTCCTGTCACGTATTCCATTGGACTGTCAAGTGCTGACCTGTTCATGAGTCACGGCAAAACGTGGTTGAGGGATTGGTTCATGAGATCCAATGATTGATGGCATTGACAGCCACATTATTTTCTTTACAAATGGCCCCCACAAATAAAGTCGCCAGTTAGGTATTAGTAGTGTAACTAATGTCAGCTGGAGTAGACCTCTCTTGCTGACCTACTCGCGACCAGCAACAAGAACCCGAAAATGCACGTCCTAATCTGCAATTTCCATTGGAGTAGAAGTTAAAAATACACCAAATACTTGCAGCTGCATATTCGGGTACTTGTTGCTGGTCGCGAGTACATCTACATACTCAACTTAGCTACATGTAGCTACACAGCTACTCTGGGTAGGTATGTAATCAATAAGTACCGGACAATCACAATGCAGGTGGTTCCTGTCCGCCAGCTATGCTATGCACTGTAGCTAGCTAGAGTAACTACTCCACATAGTACCTACATACTCGACTATTGCCTCCAATGAGAAAAATTCGACAAAGAGACTTGCATTGGGCGGTATTTTTGAGTATTTCCCACAGCTACCGTACTTAACCTCAAGGCGTATGTAGTTACTTGCATGATTAAGGTAGAGTAGAGTAATATATGTATGTGCACATAATGTGCACATACCTACATACCTTTTGCTCAACTGATCAATACGTAAGGACATCCTTACTGAGGTTCTCATAAGCTTATACCAAAAGATCCTAAGACATGGCTACCTAGTTAGTACCTGATGTTCCTGACACGTAGGTGTCGGCTGTCTGATCATGACTGATCGCGAAATTTTTTTTTTAAAGGCAGTGGCTCGATCTAGTGGGAATGCAATTAATGAATTAAACAAAAAAAAAAAAAAAAACGATCTAGTGGGATCCGGGGGTGAGTGAGTACCTGCATAGTTATGGGTTCTTTTTTTTCATTATAGGTAGTTTACTCTGGATACCCCACAATATCTCCCCACGACTAGGCATGTATAGTTTAGTCAGGCATAATATAATTACTGCCTCCATGCCAACAAGCCTTATCCTTATAATACTATCATGATCATCATCAGACAAGCTTAAGCTGTGTAATATCTCGATACGAGTTCTTCAAATATACCTCCTAGGCATAGGCAGTTACCCATGGCCAGCTAGGCTTTCCCTACACAACAAGCTGCTGTAGGAACAGCCGGATCTCTAAAGCCCAACTCTAGAGTAGATAGTACAGCATGCCATATCATTACACCCAGCAGCGTGCATTAATTACTCCCGCCGGGTGCTGCCCCCCAAAGCCTCGTTATCACTATCTCACGATCATTATTAACCCATGTCTCCGATTACAAACAAACCCAGTAGGATGCATTCCACCATTTGCAAGCATACCCCCAGCTAGCTGAACTCCCCCCATGCGCAGCGACCAGAGGAAAACGTGGCCCCGGCCAGACCGATCATTGAGCTGTCTGCCTGTCTGTATATTCTATTCTGATTGCATGCATCTCCAATCACGCTATTGTCACAGGATATCACCCGCCTTGCCCACGCCCATTAACGCGCGATTACTGACTGTGGTGGTGCATGTTGTCGGTACTACTATTTTGGTTGTAGGCCTAGAAGTACTAACCTAGTCTGTGCCTGCAGTGCTAGGTAGAGTACAACCACAAGCTGATCCCTTGCAACACAGCCAACTAACAGTACTAAAGCGGCCAGGCGTCTCTATCTCCCTCTAGAGTAGGTGCAGTCACGTAATTCTTCAAGCCCGTAACGTAACTCTTCTCCTCGCGATCAACGGGGGGAGAAGGGGGAGCTGAAACCAATTGAAACGATGGCTGCTGTGCTTGCTGCAGTCCTTTTTTTCGTTTTCGTCCGATGCAACACCCTACCCCACCCTCCCTCTCCCTGGCTCCTTACCTATTCCAAAAGAAAATATAAAAAAATGAACTGAACTGAACTGAACCAAAATTGTGAAACGATCGTGGAACAGATAGAGGGTGGGAAAGATAGAGAGAGTCAGTTAGGTCTCTCCTACTTCCTCGGAGTCGGAAGAGTCGGGGGCCCTAATTTCCCTTCCTTGTTTTTATGATAATAACAATTATTATTTATTCATCTTCCGCTACGGCTGCCTACCCAACCAGGTAGGTACAGTCTCAAACAGCCTTAGCCAGCCGGCCAGCCATTCCCGCGCAAAGGAAGCGCTAATTAACCCACAACAACAAGAGAAACCCGGGACTGAGACAGGGCGGGATCTCGGAACGGAGCGATGATCATGACGTTCCCACGTCCAGGGCAGGGGGCTATCAACGTAATGTAAGGGCTGGCTGGGTGTGGTTTTGTTGGTTGGTTGGTTGGTGAAACATTTGTCTTGGTCGAGGAAACGGGATGTGGGGACTTCTGGAAGTGGATATGATTATCGATCGTCAAGATGTGTTTGATTTTGAGCCCTAACCCACGGAACATCTATCCATAGGCCGTGAGACTGACTGTGAATCTTCAACTACATACCTAACTGCCAACTAACTGAGTCCCGGGTTCTACTCTATCTAAGCCCTAATCTACATGCAAGACCGATATGGAGCCTTCTATATCAAGAATTATAAGAAAAAGAAGGTGCTTTTGGAATGTGCGGCCGCTGGGAGGTACACTGTTCAAGATTGCGACATCACCAAGCTTAAGCCCAAAACTAACCCCCACTTAGCCATGTGGGTATATAGAAATCGCGGAGATCTATATCGCACTCTACCGTGGCGGGGTGCTTTCGGAATCTGCGGCCGCTGCAGATTTAGAACTGAGTGAGTGCGAGAGTGAGTGAGAGAGCGAGACTAGTTGACATGATGTATCACGGAGATTTACCTGTCTCATATATTCAAAAGCATATGCGGCCGCTGGAGAATATCGGCATATTCGAAATCATACCCACATGCGTCAAGCTGGTAAACGTGTCGATTCGATGATTACCGTTCTGAGTAAGATTCTCAGGTCCGTAATCCGGTCCTGTATCTTGGTACTTGTGAGTCTCCGCAATATTGTCCACGGGTCCAAATGATTACCTCTGAGCATAAGTGCAAGTACATAGTGTAGTGAGACCTAACTAGCTGGAATATTGGAGATATGCAATTCTCTGTAAGTTATTCTGCAACTAGGGCATATCTTACTCGAGTCTCCAAGTAACCTCATCTGTAGTTATGGCCATGACCCACATAAGGTTTAGCTGGGTAAGAACCTATGATGAGGTACAATTAATACCAGTATATACCAGCTTACATTCTTGGGCTAGAAGTTCAAAAAAGAATCCTAGGGTTAGGTTTACTAGCCTCCAAATCCCCAAAGCCACCTCGAACCAATTGCAGCATCTGAGATACGGCGCTGTATCAGGTCAGGGTACCAGAGACTCCCGACAAGAACACAGATATATCGAACGCCACACAACCCACCCCAAACCCTCCGTCCAGGCAGAGCTTTGAGAGCAACTATCCAGTCTCATCGATATCCTGTCTGAGCTAGAGCAGACATATGCAAATAAACCCTCTAATACTTATGTCCTTCTCAGAATTCCATAAGATAATATTCCGAAACCCCACCACCACCGGTTCGGGCACAGAACAGCCCCCAGCATACATATGTGTATCCCTGAGCCCGAGTACTCTACCTACGTAACGCCTAGCTCAGCAGCACCCCGCCATGCACGTTACACAACACCGGTTCTGATGTGGTGGTGCACTGGTCATGGGTGGGTGCGGGTGTAGGTTTAGGGTTCCTGGCCGCCGCGGACATCTCGAGCTCAACCACGGTTATAAGGTGGTCTTAGTAACGCTGTCCACAGTCTAGCCTATCGAGACGTGTCACGTTTATATGTATACGATTTGATAGGCCTTCATCCTTCGCAACTAATAGAAATATCCATCCTATTACCTATTGAGCCTTCGTACAACGGTCCTATAGAGCTAGCTACTACAAAGATATTCAGCCATCCACAGAGGAGCTATGCAAGTAGCTAGAGCTCGGATTAGCTAGGTAACTAGCAAGAAACATGGGATCTCACTACATATATGGCTAGGGTTAACATCCGGCTTATGCCCTCTGCATAATATGCAGGAAGGTACCGGCGGTAGGTATTGTGCCTACATACCTGCATCATGATCATTGGCTTTAGAAAAGGCGACCTGCTCTACATACATGGACGTATACGCAAGCCCACCAAAACCACCATCTTAATTCCTTAATGGCCAGGACGAGAAAAGGACACGAAATATGCTACAGGTGCACAGAGCATGTGCGTGCCTTCATGGCTGCTCACTCATCACGCACAGCTACGGGCACCATGCGTGTGTGAAGTGTTCTTGTCAACGGCACCGCTCACCCCACTACATATCGCCCATTGACCCCACGACAATCCAGGAAGTCCTTTCAAACATTGGATCTTTTCTGTCTTCACCTTCACACTCGAGCCCGAGAGGGATTGGAGCGGTTGTTAACCTTTGGAAGATGTGGTAATATTCTCTATCTTGCGATTAGAGTAAAGAAATGTAGCAACTAGATAAGTCCCCCACACCCCACCCACTAGCCCCTGAAGACCCATCCCTATGCATATGTATACAATAAATAATAAAAGAAAGTATTTAGTAAAACCAAAAAATAAACCCATCAGCAGAAAGGTATCCACATTGCGAAAACCACAAAAACATTACGCCCAATCCTCCGTCCCAATATAATCAAACCCAAACCATAATCAAGAAGAGAAACACCCACTAATCCCTGCCCGCAGTAATCGGCCTCAACTCACTCTCCGCAACCTCCGCCGTAGCCTCCTTCCTACCCATCACCGCCGTATCTCTCCCAGCCCCATGATCCGCGCCAAACCTCGAAAAGATGCTTCTCTTCTTCGGCCTTGCCGCCTCATCCGTGAGCTTCACCTCCTCGAACGCATCCTCCAACGTGCTCGAGAAACCCGGGCCCCTCCTCAACGGCCGCTGGTCCAGTGACAGCCGCGCCGACGGCTGCACATCGAGCGACGCACGCGAAGGGCGCACATCGAGAGACGCGCGAGTTGTCGGGCGCACATCCAGCGATGCGCGCGTTGCGGGCCGCAGGTCGAAGGAGCCCCGGGACGGCGCAATGTCCGTGACTGGGGAGCGCGCGGAAATGTCGAATGAGCGACGATAGCACTCAAAGGACTCGCGCGGGATTACAAATTGCTCCTCTTCGGAGGGTGGGGTCCAGACTTTGGAACTGTGAGAGGAGCTTTCGGATTTCTTCCAGAAGCTCTTTTTCTCTGGGGGAGAGGGGGAAGGTAGACTCCGCTGTCGTTTACGACTACAGGCCGGTTAGTATGATTATTCTTTTTTTATTTTAAAAAAGTGAGGCTTCAGTATGGTGCATTGATACCCCCCTTTCCGTCACCGGAGTTTGTGTGGGGTTAGAGGGAGTAACAGCAACACAACCACAAAAAATAAAAGCAAAAAAAGCAATGATAATGATGCCGGAAGCAAGCTACATACCACTCAACTTGTACCCCTCATCATCTGCCCTCGGAATGCTGATCGCGCTTACACTACCCTTCGGCTTTGACCCAGCCAGAGTAGTCCTCGGGCGCGCATTATCCTCGTATCCGAGCGAGACCTGCGACTGCGACTGGGAAAGGTTCTCGGTGATTACAGAGTCAGAGGAGACATTGTTGAAAGCTGTGGTAGTGGTTGGAGGAGCAGCGGGAGTCCTGCGGAAGGGGTTACGTATAACCGGCATATTGATTAGCAGGTAGGTGAGGTATAGATAGGTATTGGAATGTTTAGAAAAAGATGTTTTGACAGCGGATGGAAGGGAGGGAAGGGAGCGAGTGAGGAGGGGTTGTGTTTGCTTTGGGGCGAGCTTGTCAGGCTGAAAGAGAGCTGAATGGATGAAGGGTGTTTTGGGCACTCTTGGTACTGGGCAGGATCAATACTAGTAATAGATTGGTAAGAAAGACTGCACTTCCAAGCAAAGATCGAGACAAGGCAAAAGAAGGAAAGAGCGAACGTATGTGGTGGGTATGAGTACTTCAACAACGATAGAAACAACACCGGCAGCAACAGCTCATCATCTCACCAGATAGATGCCTGTCCTTCTTCCAAGTTATGTAGGTATTTGCATGGGTCTAACGGAAGCTCCAAAACCCGAACGAGCGAAAAGAACCAAAGGGAAAAAAAATTAGTTCGTTCGCATATACCGGCACTCCCCGGCGGAGTTGAACCATCCCGAGGCTGTTTTTTTTCTCTGTGAGGGGAAGAAGAGGACCTTCTCCACAGATCAGCTCCGCCCTCTGCCCTTCTTCATCCGCCGCCCCGGAAGCCAGTTTAGAATGAATACGCAAGGTGGGTTTCCTTCTTCGGCCAGTTTCACTATACCTTAGGGCAGGTCGGAAACCGGATACCCGTGAATCATCAAAGAATCCATCTCGGGCTTTTTTTTTTCTTTCTTTTTTTTTTTGCTGGAGGAGTGCTTTAGCTGCTACATGCAAATATTAGTAAACGTAAGTAAGGTACTTATATAAGTAAGGTAAATTGTAAAGGTCCTTCGAGTGAGTGCCTTGCATAAAGATTCAAACGGGCGATTTTGAAAAGAAAAAAAAACTTACGGTATGTGCATGCATACCAGCTCTTCAGTTTTCGGCCTCGGATAAATCGATTCAAGCCCTCTTCGTAACCAGACTACATACAGTGCCTACATGCATGTACTCTAGGTAGAGTTGAAGCATACGCCCGCCAGCAAACAGCAAACAACCGAGCTTCATGTATGTGCTTTGCCTACTCAAAAGATAGGCAGGAAAACATGTAGGTACTAATGCTCGGTGCCCATGCATTCAGAACTCGAGTCATTTCCCATGACCTCCCTCCACGGTTGAGAGAGAGTATGGCGAGCCTCCATCTAGGTGCCGCCCAAGGTCACCAAATCTTATCTGCCGGTAGTCGGGGAAAAGGGTTCAGGGCCCGCGGGCCAAAAGCTCGGTATGTATATCTGGCGCTAGGAAAATAAAGAAGTGTTCTAGAAGCGAGATCTACTACTATTTCTAGATCTAGGAATCGGGATTGCCTTGGTTAGTGCATATGTAATTGTAATATACATTATCTACCTACTCGTATGCCATACAAAGGATACATGTAGCCTTGGCGAGTTTTTTTCCGTGTATGCAATAGCAGTTGCGTCCGGAAACGCCAAAAAACCACGAGTACTAAGGAGATAACAGTTTTCTTTTGTACCTACACACGCAGCAGGTGCTGTTAAATTTGCGGGACCAGTAGAGCAGGGTCTCGATTTTTTTGTGAAGCGAATATTAGCACGTGATTCTATAACAAAAGCTTTGCTACTGATACAAGGCCGAACACTCGAAAGAGCAAAGTATGCAGTAGACTACATGTATTAATACCAATATCATTCTCGCGCTCAGCTATTGAGCTCTATTAATACCGGCGCCAGACTGACCATTCCTTTAAGCCCATTCATATCATGGTATCTTATTAGACCAAGATAGAACGGATTATCACTTAACCTCGATCGCGGATTGCTGCATAGCGATAGTTGAAACGATTCCAGGCCTTCGGCTGAATTTAGGTCTTGCTACTGACTGACATGTGATGGCAACATACCAACCAGCTAGGCGCCTCTGTAAAGGCTAGGCAGTTGAGTGATCATTGACACTTTAAACTTTGCCCGCCCCCGCGGATCCATTCCAGTTAACATTTTTACACTTTTATGTACGTTATATTAAGCACGTAGATAGGCCTCGTATGTGTAATTTTTTTGATGTACCTATCCAGTTGTAAAGATACAGTGGCCCTTTTAATAGATATGTCGTGATTTTATGAAACTTGATCCGCGGGCTGATGCCTGCGCTGGATTTATTCAAAGCAATTAAATGAAAGGAGGTATGGTGCGCACACTCTTAAAGGTGACACGGCGACATACGGAAGTGGAACAATTGTGGCTGCAATAGGGCCTCATGGGCCAATAAGAGGGCCCGTTTCTAGCCATTCTACTGCATCATTGCCACGATCAGTCAGGTTTGCTTTTCTATGGGTATAATACTGTTCCACTTTGTTCAGTCTTGGCGCTTTTTACATACAAAAATACCGAATTTCAAGCTCTAATAACTTCACAATTAGAACAGATATCAAAAATCTGCTCGGTATAATTGAACTTTATCACTAGTACTACAATTTTATTCAGCCGATTTTTTTAACTTTTTTTTGTTGAAAAGTTATTAGCCGTCGACCTTCCCTCATTTCTCGGTCACCTTTAAGAGTGGGCGCACCATACATGCACGTATATACTGTGTAAGTAGGAAATGTATTACAATCATCATATTATTATAATGAGTAACTATCGGCTAATTAATATGCGTAGATGTGATATTGAGCTGGGAGCCGAGCGTCCTGTTGATAATTGGTTGCAGGGTGTGGCTTTAGTCATAACAGATGTTTCTGTGCTCACGTTTTGGGTTTAAGTATATGAGTACCCCAAAATTTGTATAGGAACACCATACAAAATTAGAAATACTCAAATCATGACTTTAAAAATCAGATCGCACACACCTGAATAATGGACTTAGAATTCTAGAATTCTCTGGGCTCTGTCTTGAGATAATTTTCAACTGTCCTTGAAACTTTAAAAAAAGTTTGGATGGGGTTGGGTGGTTGCTTCGGGTAGCTAAACATTACAAAAACTTCTATACCTAAATTCTGTTGTAGCAACCGATTTATTGGTCCGATTGGGGTTACTACTGGTAGCAATCCTGATGGTTGGTGTTCAGGCACAGAAAGCCGGCCTCCACCTATCTCAACCAGAGACAAATAATGGTTGCCCATTCGCTATCACCACACCAGTGACTAGAGTACCTGGATTATGCCTTGGTGCCTCTCTTCCACCGGCCGAGTGGGGAGTCAGTACTTGGTGAAACAATAATAATTATACCGTCGTACCTGAGCCTTTGTTAATCTGTCAAGACCGTGCACAAGCTGAAATTAGGTTCTGTTATAAACGTGAAGCCTAAAGAACGCCTTCCTCCCGAGAGGTTTTGGGAGAAGGAATAAAAAAACCTTAATAGTTTATGGCCATCTGTATAACCCTCTCCTCGTGCCCCATGGCTCATGTATTACTCTTAGACCCTCTGAGGCATAAACTAGAGCACCTCCTGAAAAAAGGAATCCCACACAGTATACTATATCCATTCACGAGGACACGAGAGCCTGCTTTCTCAGTTCATCCAGCTTAAGATTACAAAGCTAGCGAGATCAAGGATGACGGTGATCCTGTTATATATTAGTTGGAGTGGGCTAGGTCTTGAGAGAGTCAAGTCTGCATGTCGCGGCCAGTGGGCGACGAGATACTCTACATAAAACCTTTTTTTTCTTCTTTCTGGGGGGCGGTGGGTATCGGCTTCTGCGCCTGCGCCTGCGCATGCTGTGAGAGTGTACTCTACTCTAGGTGCTACCATCGAAATCGAACCTCTCGTCCCAATAACCTAAGCCCGAGCGTGGGAAATGGCAGCTGGTTGGTTTAGTGCTTCTAGACAAAACATTGATCTGGTTAGCTTCTTTCAATCACCCTCGATTGGGACGTCCTGAACGTGTACATAGGCACGACCTGACAGGTTTAAGTAAAGCTAGTGAGATCTGACACAGTGGCGGTGTAAAACACCAGAAGCCTCAACTTTAAATATTTGTGTGCAGAATGTGCCAGTTAAGTAGGTTGCAACCCCAACCTCCCCCACCCCATCCCCTGAGGCCTGTAGAACAAGACAAAATAATGAACAGCGGAGTATGCGAGAAAAATAATGTGGAGTAGAGGTAGAGTAGAACATTCAAGTATCAATGTTCATACCTCCATGACCATACAAGGTGTAATTATAGAATATAAGGTTATGAATGATCATGAATAGGTACGTTGTGGTTATCTGTCAAGGTATTTCTCCATTTATGACAGAGAACTGTCTCATAACGGCTGAATATGTAAAAGAATACTCGGGGCAGGTAAAAAGTACCGGACAATGCAGGTTTTTGGTTCACCAATGGGCGCGCGTGCTAGGCGTGAACCACTGCAAAAAAAGCCCAGAGACAAAACTTGCATTGTCCGGTACTTTTTGCCTGCCCCGAGTACCTTATGGGACAGTCCACGTTCCAAGACCTATAATTCTCAAATTCACCGGACGAAAGGCTCTTCCTCTGTTAGATATTGGATATACGGCTTTTGCCAAGCATCGAGTGACAAACCGTGAACGATGTTCTGTATCTCTTTGTAGCAGCTACAACCAAGCCTAGCTGAGAAAAAGTAATGAGGGCGGGCCAAGAACTTATAATTGAGAAGTGATTTTCAATATGTAAAGGCCAGCATAGGTTCTGTGCGTTGCAACCAGGAATTCGTAGTATTTCTTTTTTATAGAGCCCGTACTCTCCTAATACTTAGTCCGGAACGTCCAATGACAACTAGCCAACGATATGTTCCCCACGGTGAGCCACTCCCGGTCCCGAATCTGCGGTAGCGAAATTTTTGGCGTGCTGTGAGTACGGGCATAATACTACAATAACGATAGAGCTAGGGGTGGTTGGATCTCTCGGTTCCTTGGTTAGAGTCATAGTCATCGGAATAGGGCTTTTTTTTCGGGACCGTAGACGGAACACGCTGTACCCTATGAGTATATCCGTACCAATTGGACTACAGACGGATCGCAAACCCGTCGATGATCCGCAGTGGTCTTGCATCGATGCCTAGAGTACCGACTACTCCACTCTAGGTAGCCGAGAGTACAGGGAGTTTGAGACCAAAAAAGAACTTGCATTTCACATCCTTATGTATGTGCTATACCCTTTGGCTTAGTCTAAACATGTCTCTTTTAACTTGGCTGAGTAGAATTTGCTTTTATAGGTCCAGGTTTTTCTTGGAATAGTCACTATAGAAAATGCTTGCCGACACCTCCTTTTGCGTTTCTGTGGTCGATACTCCGCGAGACAAATGACAGACATAATAGCCTCTCTCATGTATTGTACGGGACAGGCCCCCATACAGCGCGTCATATAGGAGGCTGCTGGACTACGCGTTAACATTATGAAACTCTATCAACGAATACTAGTATACTTGAACCTATCACAGAGTATAGGTATATGTCTCGGGGATCACTTACTTTGAGTAGTTGTAATAATTATTGCAACTCAATCCGCAGATGTCCGATAATCGTACCTAGCAGAAATCCAGGAACGTCCAACCCGGGATATACCGGTAGAGTGGGTGTCCCGTCCGGCATACTGCGTTCGAGTAAATCGGGAACTCAAGATTCCAAGACTTTGCCCCAAAGAAGGCGTTCTTTCAGCTCCATTTAAGCGGCAAGTTCCTTGAGTAGATTTTTTTTCTTTCTTTCCTGCGAGTGATGGCAGTCTCGACTGGTACATGAGCCTAAGCTACATGCAGGTACTCTACATACGTAGAGTAACTGGGGTATGTAGGTACTCCAGAATAGTAGGGGCTGTACATAGGTCACGAATAGAGAGAAGGACCGTGATGGCGGTATACGGTACCTATTACACTTGAGAGTGGGGGGGGGGGGGTTTAGATTTCCAATCCGAGCTCCAAGAGAGAGAAAAAAAAGCAAATGAGGAAAAGAAGGAATTCTCAGGCAGTGTGGCTCATGGTGCGGCTGACTGGTAGAAGTCGAGTGTTCCGTTTTGATCGTTCCATGACACGTGGGATCTCCGTCCGAAACCGTGACGTGGGGATTGTTCAGGAGTCCCGGCGTGACTTGAAGTTGAGCCCTTTAGCACGCAACCCAACTCTACCGAGCTGGTATTGCAATGAACAGCACATCGCAGTGTCGGTATTTTTGGAAGTTTCAACATACCTGGCTGGGCGGAGGAATGGAATGCAATACGTCAATGACTGACTGGATTCCTGTATACATGGATCAACTCATCACTCACACGATTAAAATTCCAATGACAGCACGCAGCATGTCGGGCAAAATATGTTTTTGTGGCACAATTTCCTTTTTCCAATTCGTGGAAAATTCCAGGAAACCGAGCCGTTAAGATCTCGCCTCTTCTCTCTACAAGGGTATATAGCACAAGCACTCTACTCTAGGGTAGGTATTTACTTTAGAGAAGAGTAACTAACGCAGGGTGCCCCGGTAACGGAACAATTCGACTACAGGTATGTAGGAGTAGATTGTGCCCTAGCTGTGTACCGACAGATTCAATGGGTATACCGCCATAACTCGAAAAATTGGCTAGCTTCCAGAGATCAAAATTACTTGTATGGGAAACTTCTGATGCAGATCAATGCCATTCAACCAATCACTCGAGTGATAATCCCTGGCCGGAGATAGCCAATTTTTCGAGTTTTGGCGGTAGCTATGTCAGGCTATCCTTCATACGTATACAATATCCTAAACATCTTGAGTTACGCTTTCTTTGCATCGTAGCACTGGTGGGTACATACTAGGGATAGAGAAGTTATGCATAGATTTAGGTGCTTGGCGCATCCTTGTAAACAAAGTTTAAATGCTCTACTCTACATACCTGCAAGCTTGCAGTCGCCACTAGATGTTTAAATAAACAATACATGGTTGCCACCAAGAGCATAGCCTAGATACAAAAGTCGATTGGCTTAGTTTGTGGCGTCTGCTATTAGTGATGGTGGTGACTGGCACAACGACACCAACCCTGTGTTGTTACATGTCTCACTCGTATTTCTTAATGCCGTCACCGTTGAATTGACCCGTGCCGAGAGGCCGTGCGGCTCATTTAATAACCTCTGTGACTTAAGTGACATAGAGGTTTTGCTGCTGCGGCAAGCATCTGCACACACTTCCTTCCCAAGTGAGAGATCGATTCCGAATACCTTGTGATTGGGGGCTGGTATTCTCACTTTATCGAGCCTCGAAACGCATGTTCGTCTCCTGTTTGGATATATCATATACATAAGTGATAGTTCTATATGTACTCACATCTGTTTGCATATCAGTCGACCTGGATCCTATTGAAAAGCATGGCTCCGGCAGGCTGAGTGGGTAGAGCAAAAACCCGTGTAAGTTCTTTGGATTATTATTGTTATTTTTCTAGCCACATGTAGGTACTCTACTGTACTCCAGGGTCTAAGTCAGTGAGAGCAATAGATACCTCTCTATCCCTGACTCACATTCCCCAGTCACAGTGTCAGTACTCTTCGCCTACGTGTAAAGTACATAATGTATCTACAAAACAAAAACGTGAGTCGACTTGTATCTCCGACTGGACACTCACTCCTCTACACATACACAGGGTCGAGGCCGCGGCCGGGACAAAGTACTTGTCGGCGTTTTTCGCTTGTGGATGTGAGAGGCCCTGACATTAATCTTATCCCAATTCGGGAGGTTTCCCCTGTCCAACAAAGGTTTCCCCGCAACATCGACATTTCCTCATCAAATCAGCGTGGGTGATCGGGAGAGCTATGCCGATCATAATCACAACTCTGATCCAAGTGCAGTTAGCTGTTTATGAGCGTTCTAAAAAAAACACCCCTGTATGGTAAATTCTTTGACGACATCAGAAATTCGGGAGTGGTTAAGTTCTTCTGACAGGGGCGCCCACCATCCGCGATCTTTGCATTTTTAACCTTTCTTTTTTCCCTTCCGTTCTTGTTCCCTCATCTAGAGCAGCCATAGCCAGCTCTCTTATTTCCTTGGGACCTAGGTACCTGTCCTTGTTGCACAACCTTGACCTTGTGGCAGATTCTATAATTCTTTGGTCACCTGTAGCTCACTTTCGCTTGATGGCACCAAAATCTTATGTGCATCACAGTCACGCTATTACACGAGAGGAAGAGAAATCATGTTCTCTATCAAAGTCAGAATTATCGGAGGGTTTTTTTTTTTTTTTTTTTTTTGGGGGGGGGGGGGTAGCGTTACTCTTTAGGTATTGGAATATTAATGTTTCTTCTCTGAATGATACATACCACTGAGGCCTAGAAGTATCTATCTTTGATCCGCCAGTGTTAAGGTTCTTAAAAAAGAATAAAAACCTATTCTCGAGGGCCCTGTTATTCCTACGGTTTCGTTTTGGATCCGACCTAAACCAACCCTTCCAAGCAAGACACACTTGCTTCATGCTCATACCTGGGCTGCCAGCAGTGCGAACCGCCGGGGAGGGCGATCTACTTTTCCTCCTGGAGATCCAATGACGACTACCGCTGTTGGGATTGCGAGGCACTGGACGAAGTTATTCTGTAGAGTACCAGAGGATAAGACATTGTAGTGTATAATCTACAATTCTACTTACCTACACCAAACCAATTGAAACAACCATCACTAGACAAGTGCGAGCCGTGCGTTGGCGCATCTACAAGGACACGGGAAAGCCTGAATAGTACAGATTTGGAAGAAATAAGCAAGTAACTTTTTTTTTCTTTCACTTCCGCGGTCTCCCCCGCCAATCGCTACTCTCGTCTATGACCCCAGACCTGGAGTACTAAGAGCTATTGTGCTGTCCAGTAAATAGTGCGCCCCCCATCGGTCAATTAGTGTGTCTCACCTGTTCGCTTCAATCCCACCAGGGCTACCACCACCCAACATCTTGCTTTCTCTAATCTTCTTCAGGCGTCCCCCACCTCTCTTTTCATCCCTCACCTCATCCATCCTATATACTCTGTACTCTTCCCCCCAATTCATTCCTCCCCCCTCATCCCCCACAGTCGTTTTGAACGCTGCACTCGTTTCACAGTCCTGATTTTCGTCAAACAGTCGCTACTTGTGTCAATTGCATATAATTATTGTTTCTCTTTGCTTTTGCCAGGCAAGAGACTGATACAATGTGAATACCTATTTACTGATTCTATTTATGCCCGTGCACTTGATATTTAAATGTCACGTTACATATCGCTAACACGTCTTCTTCCCATAGATCCCTCGTCCCGCTGTTCACTGCATACTCCCGTTAAAGTCACTCCAGGATCGCCCAATCCCATTAGGAATCGTTGACGTTCGCTTTCAAAATCCCGGGTGGCCTCTATCCTTACACCTCATTACCGTCTTTGCTCAATCAATTGTTATATCCAATACAAACCTCTGGACTCGTCTTACAATAGCTAGCGAGAAGATTAATTGAACAGAATCGACCCTACACATCTGGCTATCCACTTGTTGCTACTAGTCGTTGCCCAATATGAGTTTCTGGGATCACATGAAGTTGTGGGAGAAGATGTTGTTGGTTTGTTGCCTTATGCACTTTATAAATTGAAATCTGCTGACTTTGGTAAAGGTGTTGGCTGTTGGAATGTTTTTGACACTTCTTGCTGGATGCCTCAAATTAATATACAACAATTACAGAGTCAAGAAGCATACGAAGATCGCTGAGGCTAGAAAATCACACATAGAAAGTATTGGTGGTGGAACCGACCTCGTCAAGTCGAAGCAGGATGAGATTCCGTTTGGAATCAAGGCATTGGAGGCCGGTGTAGAGGTGGAAGGCATTTACATTTCACGGCCCAATACTCCTGCTCGCTACACTCAAAGCCAGGCTACCCTTGTAGGATCCGACGCAGCAAGCCAGAAGTCTCGCGGCCAGGGGCCTCCAAGCCCCAGATTTGCTCATGGAAATGGGTCTGGAAGCTCATCACCTGCACCCTCAATGAAAAGCGGACGACCAATAGTCTATCAACCCAGTCCTTATGTGCAGCTTCCCCCAGCAAGTTACGCCGGAATGTCTTCAGTGCGCTCAAGTGCATCCTCACTCAACGGTACACCGCCAATTACCCGACACTCATCGACTGAAAGGGTTCAACAGAATCACCGACCTTATTCCGAGAATGGGCAGGACTGGCAGGGAAAGTCTATTCCAACAGTCCCAGATGCGGATACCCTCGCAAAGTTGGAAGGACGACAGTCATCTGGTTACGATTATTCAAAGAGCGGCAAGCGGGGCTCAAGCCGAACTCCGAGCCCTCCTGAGAGTCAGGTTTCCCCAAGTCTTCCTTCAGTAGACGAGGATGGGCCGTCAGAAGAGTCATCGCGTGAATCTGATTCAAGTCTTGAGCGTCGCCAGCACCCTAGATATTCAAGACCGGGTGGGCTTTTGGCAACATATTCCTCACCTTCGCTCCCATCAGCATTGAATCGCCCTGTGTCTGAAACAACACAGGGAGATCTCTCGGCTCTTCATTCCCATCGCTTGTCTCATGCTGCTGAGGTTGGTCAGCTTTTACCGCGCAAACGGCAGTCAAACAACCCTGGCAGTGTCACCCCAACTGGTGAAGCAAGCCAGCCTTTTTATTCACAAGCCACATCTGACCCAGTATATGCCCTGGACATTGCAATTCCAAAGGGTGGACTTGACGGTCTTCACTATCCACAGCTACCCTCAATGGATTCCTTGCCGACGCGGAAAGATACTCCATTTGGTAGTGATAGCAACTGGCTTCCAGGATCAGAGCAAGGTGGACAAGTATTATCTAGCTCTGACTCGTCGTCAGAACGAAAACCTATAAAGGGCAAGGGAAAGAATCTGTTGAAAAAGGGTAAAGGGAAGGATGTGGATTTGGAGGCCCAGAGTTGAAATGGGAGTTGATTACTGTTTATGCGTTTCCTTTGTTTTTTTACGCTTCACGACTGGCTTTCTCATTTTCGACTTGATGGTATTCAAAGTCTGACTGTTGTGGCCCCCTATGGCACAGCATGCATGCATTTCTTTTTTCTCCACCTCTTTTTCTTCTTCCCTACTTCGCTCTCAATTTTACAGATGGCGTTCATTCATTTACATAGACACATAAGGGGAGGGTTGGGCGGTTCACTCATTTTACTGTAACGACATTTGGGATATTTCTTGCTTTTTATGGCTTTTTATGGCTTTTTTTTCTTTTTTTTTTTGTTCGTATTTGCCTCCTTTATGTTTGCTTGACATTACTACACGAGTAAAGGTAGGCGGTTTGTTTGAGGACTCGATCTTTTGTTGATTGAGCAAGCAGAACGGGATGGTTAGGCAAAGTGGATAAACCGTGAATCTTGGGTTGAGGTTGGAAAAAAAGTTATGAAATAGCGAATCGGGGATTATTATTTAGCACCCCTAATATCTAATTATCTGTCTACATATGCGTTTGTGTCCCCGTTTCTGACCTCATGAAATTCTGTATTGGGAAGTGCAAGACAAAGTGCGCCTGGCTCCATTACTACTTTCATCGGACGGATTTCGGCGTCTTGGTGGTCGCCCATAATTCGCTCTTTAGGTGCTCTGCTATATCTTGCATTGTGCTTTTGGGATCATCACAGATTTTTCTGAAATTTACAAATGTACCTCACGTGGGACTTGGGCTAGCTTTACTGACAATAAAGGCCTTTCAGTAAACCGCATTTACTTATTAGGAATTAGGAATTAGGAGTTGCGGTGACCCAGATACCAAAATTCATGTTCCTGGAATTGGGAACACGGGCCGAAAAGCTTGGCTTGGTTGCCTGCTGCAAAGACCCGTGCAAGGATACGGTGTGCTCCTCGTGCTACCTGCCGACTCAGTGCCGAGACATGGGGATCATGTCACTTACGTACTCAAATAGGCTAAGTTTGAGAAGCTGGGTTAACAAACGACAACAAAGATACAGTAGCGAATGAGAATGAGCACGAGGAATCGGTGAGCTCATCGAGGATGGTGTACTCTTGTGGTGCTTGTGGAGTACATACATCATGTATGTGATTCTCCCTTTTCTGATAATTTCTTTTTTTCTTTCTTTTTTGCTGGTTGACCTTCCACTCCCTCCTGAGGTGTCACCCTACAGCAAAATGGGATGAAATACGCAGGCCAAGTAGTAGGGCAACCCAACACGGCACGATCAATCCCTGACTTGACTACTGCGTGAACAGTTGTAAGTACACACCAGCCCAGTTCCTCATACGGACAACAGTCCATGTTTTAAGTATAGTACAGATGCTTCCCTAATCATTTCCCTATTATCCATCCAACCACCTCTGCCAAGGCTAAACACAGAGTGATATGTATATTTTTTTTACTCGAGGGCCTCAAGGATCACACTAGATCCTTTGTTTCCATCCTCAACTGCAGACTTCAGCCTCGCCATTGACTTCTTCTCTTTCAGCTCCTTGCGCAGATCAGATCCGTGCTCAAAGCCTTCTGTTTCAAGCAATCCAACCACAATGAACGACCCTGCTCCCGTTGCCCAGGAAAGAAGATGAGGCTTGATTTTGGGGTAAAGAAGATTGTGGAAATTAATTGGTGGCGTGACAACTGGAAAGATCCGGAATAGATTAGCATTTTTCTCCTGACTGAGGAGAGAACCGCGCAAGTAAAAAGATGAAGGATCAAGCAGTGGTCAGTAGGGTTATGGTTGGTGTAACAGTAACTTACCTTCAACCTTCTTTTCTTTAGGATTGTAGTGACCACCTGCTACAAGAGTCTTTAGCATTCTACCACCAAAAGCCGTGCCTACAATATGGCCTTCAGAGGTTGGATCGCCTGCTGCTTGTTCAGCAACTCTTTCTAGCGTTGAGGCTTTATCACCTGCAGGTGGAGACAAATCGGGTTAGCGTTGGCCACAGAAAAAGCTTAATTCGAGTATTTGCTAACGGAAAGGGCAGCATGTGGCTTACCAGTGGCGCCCAAAAGAACCTCAATGATAAATTGACACCCAAACGAGTTTGCACACAAATCTTCGGCGTTCCCGGTAATGCCCTCTATCAGAACAGGGGAAAAATGGTTCCTTAGTTCGGACTGGCGCGTTTCTGGGTCTTTCTTACTGCAGGTTAAAATGCCGCGTCAGCGAATGATTCTTCAGTGTATTCGACAGCTTGTTTAAGCGAGCATGCCGACTCTTTCCATACCTGGTCGTCTGGCGAAGCTCGTCAATCTCTTTGAGGAGAGGAAGTGCTGAGGGCGGGAGAAGTCTAGGTTTGCGTCCGGCAAAAGGATATAGAACGGCGATCCGACCGAACTTGTCAATTGCAAGATTATTGAAGTTTGACTGGAACTCAGGCAGTAGGGACTTGGCCACAAGGACAGTATCGTCCACAGTTTCGAATACTGCTACAAGGACAAGGAAAGCTACTTCGCTTGTAGCAAGTTGCACAGTGACTGGTTTGAGTTGTTTTATCATCACTTTTCGGTCCTGCTTAATGTTAATATTTGTTTGTACTCTTGTAAATGAGCTATCTTCCATACCTTTGCAGTTCCCAGCGCTAAACATCGCATAACAACCTGAGTGCCATCTTTTGTAAAGGCAATATCATGTACGTGTTCCTTTACTAGCTCAATGAACTCGGTTACTTCTGGGGTACCAATCTTAGCGTTGGAAATATACTCCAACATGGCTTTATGAACGATTGTGAAAAACACAGCGCCCTTCTCTACCACGCCAGAGATAAGGTCAAATAGAGACTTCATAATGATGGCCCTCTTATCAGGCATTTTCTCAAGAATATCCTTCAATGATGTCGTAGCATCTTTTTCGTCTTTGAAAATAGCAAATTCAACGCCATAAAACTCGCGGAGAAGCATTGCTTTTTGTGCTGGGGTGGCATATTCCCGGAAGCAATCTTCGATGACAAAAGATGCTTCACGATGTTTGATCAACTTTCGCACGCTTCCGTAGAACTCTTCTACAACCATTTTCTTCATTTCGGGGGAACCGTAATGCATGAGCTTAACAACCATGTATTTTCCGTAGCTGCCTAAATCATAAAAGTCAATAATTGTGTTTCTCTGGGTGAAGACATTAGCGTCTTACTTTGCGCCAAAGCGACATATGTCCCTTTCAGCTCAAGTGTGATATTTTCCTTTGTCTTTTTGTCACCGTATTTCAATGCGGTCTGTACAATCCGGGATGCATCGTGCTTGAAGACCAGCTCTTTAACGTTTCCTTTGATTAGTTTTGACAACTCTTCAATGAGCCCCTTTCGCTCGGCAGCAGGCAATTGTCGTCTTCTAATCTGTTCCCATATTTTTTTCCCTCTGATGAGGATGTTTCCAAGTGGCTTTGCTTGCTTTCGTTCTGCTGCAAGACGTTTCTGCTCTGCATGCGCTTCTTTGGATTTTGAAGCTGCCGAACGATGAACAATTACATTAGTTTCCACCTAAGTAATTCCAGCCTAACAAGATATTCATAAACCACTTACATCCAGTTCCAGCCTCGGCGCTCCCGTCTACTTTCCCTTCAGTGTTCATTTTGTCACCTTCCTCGTCACCTTCCTCATCTTCTTCCTCTGCCCCACTCCCGTCATCCTTGATGCCCACGAGCGCATCGTCATCGTCCAATTCGTCGCTATCGGACTCCACGTTTAATACCGGCTTTGATTTTGGCGCAGCAGCAAGTTCCTTTTTGCTCTTCTTAGTTTCACCATCTTTAGAGTTATTTTTTGTAAATTCTTTCCCGTATTTAGGCTTCTTACTGGCCACGGGGTAGTTATCTTGTTTCCGTTTTGGTGCCGCCATTGTGTATCGTCTAGCGTAGTGGATGTAATAGAATTCTACCCAAAAATTCCACTGTAGCACCGCAAACCAACTGGGAAAATTTCAAGCCAAGTCTTAACCCGGCCTTTTAGTTACCCTGTCCACACAGAGCCGCAAAAAGCTTCAACTAAAGTTTTCCTAAGAAAAGAAAAAACCTCCACGACAGACGACGACCCACCAAAAAGTCGCTCACCCCCCAAATATCAAAATGCGTCCTCTCACTGATACAGAAACTGAACGCCTCTTTGAGAAGCTTGCAAATTATATCGGCCGTAATATCACCCACTTGATTGACCGACCAGATGACCCTCACTGCTTCCGCATCCAGAAGGACCGGGTTTATTATGTCCGTGAATCAATTGCAAAGCTAGCCACCTCTGTCGCTCGCGACTCCCTCCTCTCTCTTGGAACCTGTTTAGGAAAATTCACAAAGACCGGAAAATTCAAACTTCATATCACAGCGTTAAACCATATTGCGGAACATGCGAAATACAAGGTCTGGGTGAAGCCCAATGGAGAGATGCCCTTTCTGTACGGGAACAATGTTGTCAAGGCACATGTTGGTAGGATTAGTGAGGATACACCGGAGCACCAGGGAGTTATTGTCTACTCAATGAATGATACACCGTTGGTTTGTTTTTCCTGACTCTCTTTTCGGGGGTGGGTTTGAGGTGCTGATTACGGTTGTAGGGGTTCGGAGTAACTGCAAGATCGACTGCCGAAGTTAGAAGGCTTGATCCTACTGGCATTACGACCTTTAGGCAAGCAGATGTTGGAGAATACCTTAGAGACGTATGCATCCAGTTCAAGTTCCGTATATATATCCTATCCCTAACATTTCGCAGGAAGATACATTGTTTTAAATTCGAAACCTTGGAGGTTAAACTTTTGCAATGGATGTTCATGGCGTTCTATCATTTATGGGTTACCTTGTAAATAATATCATTCGGAGAAAAACTACAATCAAGAGAGCCCAGAAATTTCGTATTTCATGGGGAAAAAACTAGGATCTAAATCCTTGGTATGGGAAAGAGTGCTATGATACACAACAATGAAAAGAATGAATTAATCGTCATCAGATCCTCATATTTGTACTTAGACGCCTAACTAAAAACGCCTACAAGTACAAACCTTCCGGCTCACTCTCATTCTTGGTCTTCAAGACTCTTTCCCTAGCAGTCCTGAAATCCGCCATTTGTACCCTCATTCTCCTCTCCCTCAGCGCGAGTAGACCAGCCTCAGTACAAATTGCTTTGATATCAGCACCAGAAAGGTCATCCTTCTGATTGATAAACTCTTCAAGATCTACATCACTACTGAGGGACATTTTTGAGGTGTGGAGTGTAAAAATCTTTCGTTTTGTGTTTTCTGTAGCTAGACATTAGTGGTTTTCTTGTCATTCACTCCTTGTGAAGGCGAACTTACGATCTGGATTCTCAAATAAAATCTTACGATCAATCCGTCCAGGCCTAATCAATGCAGGATCTAGGGTCTCGATCTTGTTTGTGGCCATGATAACCTTGACATCACCCCTGTCATCGAAACCGTCCAATTGATTTAGAAGTTCCAGCATGGTCCTCTGTACTTCCCTCTCACCCCCACTTGTTGAATCATAACGTTTAGTACCGATAGCATCAATTTCATCGATGAATACGATACTAGGCGCGTGCTCAGCAGCGACCTGGAAAATTTGACGACAGAGACGAGGTCCATCACCGAGGTATTTCTGAATAAGCTCAGAACCAACGATACGTAAGAAAGTGGCAGATGTTTGATTTGCTACGGCTTTGGCGAGAAGGGTTTTTCCGGTTCCGGGGGCTCCGTATAGAATGACACCCTTTGGAGGCTTGATGCCCATTTCTTCATACAGCTCAGGGTGTAGTAGGGGTAGCTCGACAGCTTCACGGACCTCCTGGATCTGGGTTTCTAGACCACCAATATCTGCATACGATTCTGTCGGGGCTTTATCAAGCTTCATAACTGAAATCAAAGGATCCGACTCTTCTGTAAGGACACCGACAATTGAGACGGTCTTGTGGTGAAGAAGAACAGAACAGCCAGGTTCTAGAAGGTCCTTATCGACAAAGGACATGATAGAGACGTAGTATCTATTTACCCGTTAGTGTGTCTTGCACTCTATCAAAACTGTATCACTACGAAGGAAGCATCGTACTCAGGCCCGGTCGCGGAGGAAACAATTGCATGATCGTCATCAATCATTTCCTCCAAGTTCCCTACACCCATAGGGCTTCCCCGCATATCGTCAACACGACTTCGTTCCTCCTCTTGCCTCTGCTCTAAGCCTCCCTTCTCACCCTTATTCCGGCGCAGCTGCTCCTGGTTCTGTACAAACTCCTCCTCGAGAAGCAAGTGATCCTTAATACGTTCCATCCGTAATAATTTTAGTTTACACCGTGCATTTGGAAACACTGTTGGAAGCTTGCTAGCAGCATCGGGACCGGCGGCGGCGCGGCGTTTGCGACGGCCAACACGGGTGGTTGGTGGCGGAGGCTCGTACTTTGGCTTTTCCTTCTGTTAAATTATTAGCTTATTTTATCTGATGGTAAATAGCAACTTGATGGAACTCTAGTGATGAAACCCGGGGGTGGGAGCGGCGGTTGTAGATGAGGAGATGGATAATTACTTTCTTGTCCTGCGACTTATCGTTTTGGTCCCCGGAAGGAGGACCACCCATGCCAGACTGTGCACTACCCTATATCGAAGATACATGTTAATCTCTTGAGCTTCTAGCTATCTTAAAACCTTGATGTAGCTGATAACACCGATTTCAGGTAATATCTGATACCAACTCTTCTAGGTTACCTACCATATTAAATGTCTTCTTTGGTTTGCTTTAGGAATGACAATAGGATGTTTGTATGTAAAAAGGGATAGCTTCTGATGATGGATTGATGGAGGTCGCCGATGGAGATCAGATTCAAGGATGTCACAGAGATGATGATGATGGAGGGAGGAGTGAACGAGGGCGTTAATCACTAATGGCCCGATAGCCCTGTGCCCTAAATATAATGGTTGGTCAGCCAGCCCGGGTAACCACTTTACTCATAGAAGATCACTCGCAGCTCTTGCATGTTAACGCTGTTACCTATAATACATGTATCTATTTACATACAACGTCCGAATAGGCTATGACATCCAAAGTCGCTGTACTTGTTGTTGTTGATTTACTCACATCTAAGTATTAATATTGTACATATCTTAGTGCTCTCCAGTGTGAAAAAAGTTTGTATATGGGCCACTGACCCGCAACTATATACACGTACTCTTTTGGTCCTTCAATTAAGTTCCGACCGAATTTGGCGATTTGTTCCCGTGAAACAAAAACCAACGTATACAACTCCCTGGGTTCACAGGGCTCGACTAATTAAAGCCTATAGCTAGTCTTGATGTTAGGTTCTAACTCTATCTTCATGTAGTTGCAGATTTCATCGAAATAATACTCTTCCGGTTAATATTTTTCCAAGACCGTGTCAGGATCAAATATATCTAGATCTCTCCTAACCAGTGCTAGGCTAGCTAGGCAATTCCTAATTTCAGATCTAAAAAATATTTTTAAGCTTAATAATATATATCCACTCCGCTGAGATATAACTAGGCAGCAAGTCAAAGGATACTCATGTATTAACATAGTAAATCGAGAAACGCGTGGGATAATAAAAGAAGTATTTTCAATAACTCTTTTAGTATAATGTTATCTTTGCTTCGTCAATCTATCACAAGGTCGCCATTTTATATAATTTCTCGATATATAAACAATAATTCTCTCACAGATGAAATTCACATGGTAAACACACCTAGGTTTTTACCTTCCCATCCATCCTCCATCAACAACCAAACACTCCCCACTTACATATCCACTTGCTTTCTCGGATGCCAAAAACACTACTGGTCCTTTAAAATCCTCCGGACTGCCCCACCTTCCGGCCGGAATACGGTCCATAATTTGCTTCGCTCTAGTCTCATCGCTAATCAACGCCTTGTTCATATCCGTCGCAATATATCCTGGCGCAATGCAGTTGACGCCAATTCCTCTGCCAGCCCATTCGTTACTGAGCGCCTTTGTCAGTTGTAGCACACCGCCTTTCGAAGCAGAGTATGCTGGAACTGTTAGTCCTCCCTGGAAGGAGAGAAGAGATGCAACATTTATGATGCGTCCTCTCAAAGGAGGTAAGTCACTAAGCCAGTAATTCCCAATATCACGGCAAAGAACGAAGACCGTAGAAAGATTGGTTTGCAGAACTTCATTCCAATCGTCCTCTGGGAACTTATGAGAAGGATGGCGACGTTGGATGCCGGCGCTATTCAACAGAATGTCTATACGTCTGTTGGGAAGCTTTGAGGGATCGGCTACAAGAGTCGGAATAAGTGCAGCAACAGATTCCGCTGAGGATAGGTCGGCGGTGACGATATTGCAAGATTTACCGAGTGCTCTAATAGCCGATTGAGTCGTCGTATTTGAAGTATCCCTCTACAATAGGATTCGATGTTAATTGGATGAAATAAAAGTATATTTAGACGAGAGACCCACCTGTACAAGAATAATATCAGCGCCAGCTTCAGCTAGCGCAAGGGCCATAGCTTGGCCAATACCACGGGTGCCGCCAGTGCACAGGGCAGTTTTCCCCGTGAGGTCAAAAGGTGAGCTAGAAGACATCGAGTGAGAGTTGATTGGGGTGAATCTTAACGAAGATGTTTAATTTATTATCCATTTAAGAATGCGAGGGGTGTGCGGGGAATACGGTTCCTCGGGATAATATCGCGGTGCCGAAACCCTAACCCTGAGTGTGCATGGCCATATGGGGAGCTTCAGTATCGTTTGGTAGATACATGTAGTAACGAGAACTAAGTGCTCCGGTCGATTCGGTTGAATACATGTATACTAGTGGCCTTGGAATATATATAAAAAAGTAGGTACATCATGTATGTGATCCTAGAAACAATTCAAATGACTTCACACACACATCATGTATGTGATGCCACGAAGCTCTTACAGACATCTAATATTGATCATGATAGATAGACGACTTCCCTAGCCACCCGAACACCCCCTCACCTAAACAGTCAACGTTAAAAAAGAATAGATCTTCGTTGTAACCGGTTTTTATACCAACCATACTCGACTGTTCGGGTGAGGGGGGTGTTCGGGTGGCTAGGGAAGTCGTCTATATTCTAAGGTGTAATATTTTCTTAAATCCGTGGAATAATTATAAGTATTGTAGTTACATACTTGTATGTATATACATGTATGTGTATGTATTTACATGTAGCTATTGACCGTTATGTAAGATGAATATGTATACATGTATACGTATGATCGAGAAGGAATATAGATGAACAAATGACGAGTAATCTCTCATGATAGTACATAAATGCAGCCCGAGTCTTTGACTTTTGCACATTATATTGTGAATTACTACATGTACCCGTAAATTCATGACGTTTCCGAACACGACTGCTATTGCATACCATACAAAAAGCGCCAAATCCATCTTTTTGTATGTCATGCAATATTGGTTGTGTTCGGAAACGCTATGAAATTACGAGTAATTAGATCAAATATCGTAACTATCTGACCGGTTCTCATTCACTGCGTTCGTTAAGTGCTGTCTGTAGATTCTCACATGCAGTTTATAATTTACCTAATCGCGCTGCGGGGTAGTTCATTTCTGAATGCATTTCAGCTGACATGCCAGTTGTCGAGAATTGGAAAAGAGCGCTAACGGGTGCGATAAAATCGTATAAATTCATGATCAGTCAAGGATCTAACGAAGTCATCGATCTTACGATTTCAACTCGAAAGTCAAGAGACGCAATTATACTACAACACTGGTAAGTAAAGATATTGACATACTATAAGTACATTCGAAATTAGAATACCTATCAATCAGCTGATCATGGTGGAATGGGAGCAGACAACGATTCAAAACTACAAATGGAAAACCTAGCAACACTATACCTAGTGGACAATAGGGGCAACACAAAGGGACGAGGGATGATTTGTCCTTTGGAGCATATAGACACTTACGAAGTATGTGAGACTTTCACAATTTGAGCTTTTATATATGTCATATACACTGGCAGGACTAGAGAGTCATTGTTAACCATTGAGTGAACTCTGAATACAGAAGCTTGCCTCAACGCTGACCCTACTTTTCCCAGAGGACGCGGCTAGGGCGGGAGATTTGAAGTTTCAGGTTATGACAAATGACCGTCTGGTAATCCACCAGCAGTTTTGGGACGAGGTTGCTGCTGTTTGCACCCCTAAAGTGTTTTACTGCGATTTTAATGAACCGGAAAAAACAAGTTGTTGAACCAGGGAATTTAAGGGACACAATTTTCATGGGCGATCTATGTAAACAATGGACATATACATTAGCTACATGTACTTTCGAACAATCGTATTTCAATGTCTCGGTCTCTCTTGGTTTGGTCCGCGTGGGCTATATGTACCTTAGCGTCGAACCGCATACAATTATAAGCCTTATTCAGCCGGCTTATCCAGAACGTAGGCTCACAATAGCCTTATCAGTACAAAAAGGTTCAGGTAAGTGCTATTTAAGCATGTTTTAAGGATGAAATAACGTTTTCGACCCAGTACTGTGTCAGACCTAGAAGTGTGTCGCATGGCAACGGCACCAAAACCAGACACAAAGCCCCCAAAAAGAAAGAAGACCCCATAACACCATAATAGAGGATAATCCATCTGGAAACCATCCTAATCCGTGTGCTTTTAAATGGAATTCATTTGTTAAAAATCTGGCAGTAAATATCTCAAGAGATGGTGGAGATAGCTTCGGCAACAGAAATCCCCGTACAAATTTGTATGGGATTGACACTCTTCTATGTCTGACACAGAACCCGGTCTAAAACGTTAAGGCTTAAAAAAGGGTTTTTGTACTGATAAGGCTATTGTGAGCCTACGTTCTGGATAAGCCGACTGAATAAGGCTTATAATTGTATGCGGTTCGACGCTAAGGTATATAGGTATAATTATGTACATGTAATCAGTAGATACGAAGAGTTATCCTTTGCGCATGAGCCTTAGCTCATTATTATAACTCATGTCCATGGATAGTGAAGAATTGATTGGTTACTGTCTACAATCTTGACAAGGGGGATTAATTTATCAAAGGAAGTACTTACATACATGTACTTTAACTAAAGCTTGCGAGCAGCTTGTTGCACGCGAATTACTAAACCAACGTTCGATCGTACAGTGTCGAATACCAACAGGTCAAAACGGAGCTTATAGGGGGCCAAACTCCGCTTCAGCGGGCTTTTTGTTAGGCTTTGGCCCTTAGAGAAAACTCTTTTGTCTTGTTGCCAAACGGGCCCGGCCCTAAATGAGGAAATTTCATAGTGAATAGAGTATAAAGATAAAACTGCGAATTGATTGATGTAGTTACATATAAACGTGGAAGGTGAGGTCGATCTAAGATTAAAACCTTTACATGCCAGGTCATAAACAATGAATACCTGGTAATGGTTTCAATTCATCCCCTGGTTTGAGTATTATTCGGAAACAGATAACTTTTTAGAATTGAAACCCCGATAATATTGTACATGCAAACAATTTAAGAACTATACAACCAGCTCATTATATCGTTAGACCCAATTTTACCTCTTCTTGACACCAGCACCCTTCGGAGCCCATACTTTTCCACCAGTAACAGCCCTCTTCTCATTCTTCTTCATTTGCCTCTCATTTTTCTTGATTCTTTCTATCCTCTCTGCACGGCTCAGAGATCTTGGGTCCACATCCTCCTCCTCGCCGGTCCTCTTTTTCTGCTTCTTCTCATCGACTTCAACGATCCAGTCCCCTTCGCCATCCTTGTTTTTACCCTTGTAGCCCCATTTAGGAACCCATTCGCCCTTCTCCTCGTCGTAGACGAGCTTGCCATCCTTCTCTTTGGCCTTGATGCCCTTCTTCTTGGCGAATAGCTCCCTGTAGCATGGTCAGCAATTGACTTCGAAGATTGGCGGAAATGAGGAAAGTCAGCATACCACTTCGTGGGCTCCTTCGCCTTTGGAATCGGCTTCTCTCTGGGCAGTGGCGTCACTGGTTCCGGTAGCTCAGCGTATACGCCATCAGGAGTGCTCTTTAGCGTAATCGTGGTTAAGACCTGGTTGATGAGCGCTTGTGCACCGTCACGAGCTGCTTCCTGGAGACATTGCTCAAGGGATTCTTTATAGGCTGCAGGATCGAGGGGGTTGGTATCGAAAGCGCAGAGATTGCCCATGTCGAATTCAAGAGGAATCGGCTTCTCTACCAGAACAGGTCTGTGCTGTAGTGTTAGTAGCCATACTCTTAAAAAGAAGAATGATAGAGTTGAGACATACAATCTCTCCATTTTGGTATCTATTTCCATTGCTGTAGGCATTGTAGATGACACCGACCGCTGATTTGTTTACAGGAAGAGAAAGAATATCTGTATCCCAGAGCCTCAAAGAAAAAAAACGCCCACTCCGCGACAGGGTAACTAAGGATGCACAACCACCCACCAGACTCTTCCCACCCCACTACCAGGGCAATCTCAGTACCACTACCGCAATGGTCCTCCTACCGCTCTCGCTCCGCTGTCTGGGGGCTCCCCGACTCCCGCTCGTTCTGCGCCCTCTTCCGCGAGTCTTCCCGACCTCTGGAGCCGCCGCTTCATTCACCACTTCCTCTACCCTACTGGCAAACCCCCCAAAAAAGGCCAACCCTCAGAAAGGTGGTAACGTTAAAAACCTCAAGGCGATCGCCGCTAAGCAGCGCGCATCGTCCAACAAGTTCCAGCATAAGCGAAAAAAAAGGGATATTCCGGAAAGGAAGCGACAATACCTAGACGGCCAACGCAAGATCATCAAGAACACCATCGTCCTTAGCAATACCAATGCACCGGCGATTACCCTTCCAGAGATGGCAAAGGAGCTAGCGGGAAATCCAGAGACCGAGAATACGGTGTTCGAGATCCCTGGATCTGTGGTAGATAAATTGCGACACATTGAAGCCTTTAAGACAGGACAGCACTGGCCGTATTTCCAGAAACCGGGGACATTGGTTAGGAAGGAGAGCACGGAGATCGGCGCGATGATTAATGCGGTCAATGAGGCCCGTCTCAATAAAACTGAACTACACGAGCGTCGTATCTTGGATGGTGTCAAGGGGAGTGGGAGAAGTATCTTACTAGCACAAGCAATGGCATGGGCCTTCCAGAGTGATTGGGTCGTCATTTCCATTCCAAACTGTATCTCCTCTTTCTCCTTCTCCCTACATGCGCATAGAAGTGTGCAGTTATTAATACCCCCGTAGCTTTGGACCTAGTACTCGGGCATACAGAATACGAATATGATACACACTGGAACGTGTGGGTTCAGAAAGAATACACAGCAGCCCTCCTGCAGCGTATCCACAAGGCCAACGCTCCATTGCTGAAAAATCTTAAATCTACCACGCCTCATAGAGTTGGTAAAACCGAGAAGACATTCCAAACGCTTCTTAAACTCGTTGACGCTGGCATTGAAGATTCAACAGTGTCGCATGACATCTTCATGGCACTAATCGCCGAGCTATCAATGACTGACCGGTACTCCCCCGAGCTATATTTATCTCTGAAGATTCAACTAAGTTATTCCTATTTGCAGTCCTCCTGTTCTCTTTGCCCTCGACAATCTTAGCCTCATCTCCCGTCTCAGTGAGAATCGCGACACGGGCTTTGCGAAAATCCACGCACACGACCTTGGTATTCCAAACATCTTCCTTTCATACCTTAATGGGACTAAGGACTTCCCTCGGGGTCTCACTATTGCCGCAACTGCTCCCTCCCCACGCACCCCCGACCTTACACTCGCACTAAAAGGCGAGAAGCCCGGTCCTTGGGACAAAACCGATGAGCGTATTGCGCCAAGTATAAAAGGTGCGAAGGTTGTTAAATGTGATCCTTTAAGAAAGGAAGAGGTCAAGACTTTGATGGATTGGTACACCGCGGGCGGAATATATAAGAGTGCAGTGACACTGGAGACCGTGGCGGAGAGTTACGCGTTGAGCAATGGAAATCCCGCAGAGCTATTTAAGGGATGTTTGAGGCTGAAGTATTAGCGAGTAGGAATCATTGTAGTATAGTTAGGGTCAGGATATCGGATTGTAGATATTTGAGGTTTTACAGAGTAGAGCTTTTCACTCCGGCTAGCCATAAGCGATGACTCGAGTGATGAGTGATGATTAAACCGAGTGACCATTCAAGGTGCACCTGCAGGACGACTCGGCATGGAAATGGCGTCCTCCGGTGGTAGACGGATGGGATATGGAACAATTAATTACACTCTGTTACAATTTACAATTCTCGATCGAGCAGTTAAGATCACTTTCGGACGATCACTGCCAGTGAAAAAGAAAAACGCCATCCCATTTCCACACAAATTGAAACAAAAAAAAACTTTTGCCTTGAACATAGTTTATTTAACACCAAATCCCTAACATCCAACTTAGTTCATCTTACGGATCAGACCGTTGATGAACTGTTCACGGTCACCAAGGTCACCACCCTCAACGAAGTGCTGGAACTTGCGAGCCCTAAATCCACCGGTGGGAGAAGAGAGCTTAAATGGCCACAAGAAGTTGGAGGCCTGCTTGAAGTTGGGGCCGACAGTGAAAATCTCGTGGATGAGGTCCTCAATGGAGATGATACCGTATTGACCGAGGGACTCCTCAATGAGCTTGTTGTCGGTCTAAGGAGTGTTAGTGGGGAGTTTACTAGTGCTATAGAGCTGTGGGTATACGAAGAGGGGTATGGGAGGGCTCAGAAGGAAGGCAACGGAAAATATCCACATGGTTTGCGCTCTTGGACATATATAGTGATTTACATCCGAAATTCTTCATCATCGGGGCAGAATTGGGGCAAGTAAAACAAAGGCTGAGTGCTTTGGGTTATAATAAAAAGGGCACATACCAAAGCAATTCTCTGGCGATCGATCTTCCCGTATCCACGCTTGTAGATAAGCTCACGAACGCTCTTGAGGTTAGGTTCACCATAGGCGATCCAGGGCTCAACAACGCGCAGCATCTCAAGAGTGGCCTTGGTAAGGCGGACGAAGACACCGTTGTTGATCTGGAGAAGACGAAGCAACTGGAGGATCTTGCGGGGCTTGGGAGCAATCTTGTTGATACCCTTGATACGGACAACAAAGACAAGCTTGGCCTGGGCTGGGACGTAGAAGGAGCCATCGATCTTGGCCTGGCGAGAGACACGGATCTTCTCGCGCTCAGCGTCACGGTACTCCTTCACGTACTTCTCAGCGCGCTGGAAGATGGTAGCGCGCTTCTCCTTGTTGGCCTGAGCGTTCCCAAAAGCACATGTTAGCAGAGCTCAGCAACGACATACTAAAAGAAATTCACGGATGGTCAAAAACAACAATGTTTCATATTTATTCTCAGTCCCGAAAGATGGTTAACAATGACAGCATCGCCGGTGAGGCTAGTCTTCATGTTTGGTTGGTATCATCATCAAATGCCCTCCTCTTATCCACCTCTTGCAATGAAAAAAGAAAATGGATGATGGATGAACAAACCTTCTTACGGGCCGCGGCCTCAGAGGCACGCTCCTCAGTGGTCTTCTCATTAGCCTTGCGCTTCTTGAGAAGGGTCTCGGGGACGAGAATCTGGTCTTGAGTGGGAACAGTCCTGTTAATCCCACGCAATAAAAACGAGCAAAACATCAGTATGGCCATTTCCGCGAAAAGAAAAGGATTGTGAAGTCAAGACAGCGCCGAGTATAGGTAACGGGAAGACGGATTCCCATGCTATCTCATGAAGCTAAAATCTAACTCGACTATAATTTATTTGATTGGTAAAGATGACCATCCCAGCCACAGCTCCTCGACATACCGTAAGTATGGGCAAAGAGGTGGAATTCTGGGATCTGCAAGCTTATCCAACAAGACCCCAAAGTATAACCAAGGGAGCGTAACATGTACAGGCAAATCAACCCCCTACCATCGCTTGCAATGTGTAGTAGAAGTATCAAATGCAAGACAGTATGGATTTAAGGGAGAAAGGTCTTTTCAAACAATTTCAACCCCAAGACCCCGATATTCATTTAATTGATTATTTCTTGCTAAAGAAAATAAAAAATTCTTTAGAATACCAGGAGAAGAGAAGATCGAGCTGGCCTGTCTTCACATGGAAAAGACAAGCCCAGCGAGCGGGGGCCATATCGCGCGTCTATGGAAATAATGACAATGGGGGGGTTGCATACGCGTTAGGCATTTTGACCGTGAGGGGTGTTGTCGATGGGTGTTTGGTGATGGGTAGTTATCGTTGACGTTGTGGTATGTTTAACCTTCACTTAAGGGAAATTCGATAATAGGAATTTTTCTTGTGGGCGTTGGAACGGAGGACTGTGGATATCAGGGTTCAGCCCTGTGGCTTGACTTGTTGATTGGATACTTGAAGTGGCTAACCCACACAACAAGAGGCTCCGCAACCCACATGCAAACCCTGGTCCGAGAAAATATTAAAAACCGGGACTCGGGAACCTTCCGAACCTCTACCCACCAAAACCCCTGGATCTATCCACTCTAGAGTACCACTGAGCCTAACAAAAGCACTATTCCCCCTCGGTGTCTCTCAGACCATCCTGCGGGCCCAATAATTCACTCCCCTCCCCCAGCTGTTTCGTTTTTGTAATAGTTAATCGTAGTCTTACACTGGCATTGAGCCTAAAGCTCGCCTCCCCCACATCATTCAACCCCCAAACACACTACGGGTTTTAGCTATATTTACTGTCATCATCCCGCTCTCTCCCCCGCTCTTCCCTCTGCTCTGTAACCCATTGTCAACCTCTCTGCAACTGCTCTTAAAGCCGATAAAAATGCTATCCTCTGTCAAAGCTGCGTCCACCAGGACCCCACTCCGTATAGTGGCTGCTTCCAGGGCTTCCAGTAGTTGGGCAAATGTTCCCCAAGGTCCTCCAGTAAGCCACCTTTCTGATTGGTGTTTTTCCTTATGATGAAGTGCTAACATGCTTTGTGGTATTTCGTAGGATGTAAGTTTTTTTTCCAATTGAAGGTTTGGCGTATCATTAGCTTGCAATGAAAGGTCGAGAATAAGAGAATATTTCACTTTCTACTCAAATTCTTGAGTATCCATTCTTAATCTCTCTTTTTTGCCATTCTCAATGATCCATTGCACTTTTCACGTAACTTACACGACTTCTTTCCGCAAACTCTAGGCAATTCTCGGTATGACCCACAATACTAGTGATCAAACCCTCGCCGACAACACTAACACCCTCTAGGTATCACCGAGGCGTTCAAAGCAGATACTTTCTCGGGGAAAGTAAATCTCGGAGTCGGCGCTTACCGTGACGACGCCGGCAAGCCCTACGTCCTTCCCTCAGTCCGCACCGCTGAGAAGCGTCTCCTCGACAAAGCGCTCGACAAAGAGTACGCTGGAATCACCGGTATTCCATCATTTACCAAGGCAGCTGCCACCCTCGCATACGGCGCAAACTCGCCCATCCTCGAGAACATCGCTATCACACAATCCATCTCAGGAACCGGTGCTCTTCGCATTGGTGGGGCCTTCCTCGAGCGTTTTTGGCCCCACGCAAAGAACATCTACATTCCGACACCCTCATGGGCCAACCACGGCGCCATATTCAAGGATTCTTTGTTGAACGTCAAGCAATATAGGTACTATAACAAGGAGACCATCGGCCTTGACATTGATGGGCTTTTGGCCGACATCAAGGATGCGCCAAAGAACTCAATCTTCCTCTTCCATGCTTGTGCACACAACCCTACCGGTGTCGACCCGACCCCCGAGCAATGGCGTGCTATTTCCGATGCTGTGAAGAATAACGCTCACTTTGCTTTCTTTGACATGGCCTACCAAGGGTTCGCATCAGGAGACACCGACAAGGATGCCTATGCCCTCCGCTACTTTGTCGAGCAAGGTCACCAGGTCGCGCTTTGCCAGTCTTTCGCGAAGAACATGGTAATTTATCTCCCCCTCTCCTCCAATGATCAAATATTGACCCCCATCAGGGACTCTACGGTGAGCGTGTGGGTGCTTTCTCCCTCCTTGCCGCCGACAAAGCCGAGAAGACGCGGATCGATTCACAGATTAAGATTCTTGTCCGCCCTCTATACTCCAACCCCCCCATTGGCGGTGCTCGTATCGCGAGCGAGATCTTGAACGACCCAGAACTCAACAAGCAGTGGCTCGCTGAAGTCAAGGGTATGGCAGATCGCATCATTAGCATGCGTGACGCGCTCAAGGATGGTTTGGCGGCCGCAGGGTCCCAGAAGAAGTGGGATCACATCACTAGCCAAATTGGAATGTTCTGCTACACAGGCTTGACACCAGAGCAGGTTGGAGAATTGGCGACTAAGGTATTTTCTCTCGTTTTCCCCGGTGTGAAGAGATCTTCTAACATAGTGGGCGTAGTACTCGATCTATGGAACCAAGGATGGAAGAATATCAGTAGCAGGTTTGACATCAGGCAATGTCAAATACGTTGCTGAGTCGATTCACAAGGTCACCTCTAAATAGAGGATTTCTATGTCAAAGAAGGCGGGTGACACAAAACTATTTTTTCACTTTTTGGCCGCTTTTCATGTAAAAAAGAATTTTTTTTTTTCGTTCTCCATCCAGTCTTCGAACGTGTATTAGACCTAGATCTAGAGTTCTCGGGTTTGGGGCTAGAATTTATTTCGTTATCTTCATCCCTACCCATTTCAATACTTGCAGGCTGGAAAAAGCAATTTGGCCGAGTGAGTTGTTGTGATTAAGTACGCCACATTTTGTACTAGTGATAAGTTCATCACTTATCACTCGGTGTTCCGCACCCAACAAAAAACAAACGATCGATCTATCGATAACCCGATAAGGGCGGATATAGCTGATACCCATAGACAAAAAAACAGATTCTGCGTGTCTCTTAGTTTACTATGATTAAGAATACACAGTTTCTTTTTTTTGGAACTGCACCTTGTACCGTTAATATATACAAAGGGTAATGTTAATTAATTGTTGGACGTCGCCAGGAGCCGCAGCGTGATACATATACTCCCCCAAGAATCCACACCTGTAGAATCTGTGTTTTACGCTAAGAAATGAGAATAATTCAAATACCTTCTAAATAGAAAGGATAGCATGACCGTTATATCATACACCTACTGCTGCGAGTGATATTCTATGAAGATTATAATAACTTAGTGATCCCCGGAACCAAGGTACATATACTCAATGACCGGTTCAGAGCTACTGTTAACCTAGATAAAACTTTATCTGTACCTCTTATGAGGCTAATACTAGTCTGGTACCCGCCCCCTATGAACAGCTTGCTAGCCGCCGTAGGTAAGAGCCGGTAGGGGGTGGGGTCAGGCCTAGCTACATAGCCCACGTGGCCACAGAGCCGTCTTCTTCAGTTTTAAGAATTGATATCTAATTCTCAGATATACAAATATATACCTACATATCTTTTTTACCAATAACCAGTGTATTCAATCCTTGGTGTATCGTTTTATCCTGCGCTACATGAAGCCTGTTCCGCTGCATGACGAATCCAGGATTCGTGAAGGAATTTAAAGACGACTAAAAGCTTAGAGAGTAGAGCTCGTGCTCAAGGTGTAACAAATGTTCCTGATCTCATCTTAAAGCGTCTTAATGGCCATACCAATACTATCATCACTGGGTTTAGCAGAGAGAAATTTTCGAACCTCTGTTGACTAATTGAGTAATTAGTATCTCTTTACACTTAAAAAGATTTCCCCCAATCAATAGGTAGACAGAATTGAAGATGGTTGGGATGGATAAGAAGGATACTTAGTGAGAGAGGACGGCGGGGGTATTGTAACCACCTGTTTTTATCTGGGGCCGGACAACGACAATCTATCCCAATATCCAGGGGACTATCTAGATCAAGCCTTCATCTTCCCATCCCTGAGCTCTCTCGGCGTAACAGTGGTCAGATCTTAGTCACTGCTATGGAATGTTTTCAGGGCAGGAGAAATAAAATAGGAAAACCTGGCTAATTATTAATTGGACGCTGATATTATCTTTCCAGAGATTGCACACAAAGTACGCGTACGGCTAGAACTCTATCTATATCTAAAATAACAATAATTACAATTTACACGCCAGTATAAATTGATCAAACAAGCATAACCACACTGTTCAACAAATCCTCTCTTCTGGCTTTCTGTAAGGCACTCCCAAGATCTCAAAAATCTCCTCCTCGGAGTCTCCCGCCACCTTTGTCCCATCATTCAACTTCTGTCTTTGTGGGCCCCTCAAAATATCTTTAAACAACCCCCTCTGATTCAGCCCATAGCCTTTTTTGCTCGCTAATAGCCTCATGGAACGATTGAATATATCATTCCCTGTGAAATACAGAAGCGCTGCACCACGTTCATCCCACGGCACAACTAGCAAATCAATTCGTCTCCAAGTTGGAACATCTAGAAGCTTCGATGCCCCATGCCACTTCGACCCATCATCTCTCCCACGTGACATCGCAAGCCCACACATGGCAAAACCAATCTCAAACAGTCGCTCAATAAGCTCGTCGAGAAGCCCGCTGATCTCTTGGGCGCTGACACCGGGCTTTGTGATCATAATGTCAATGTCACCACAATCTTTGGAGCCGCGGCGGTAGCTACCCATGATTTGGAGCTGCAGCTGAGAGTCAAGATTGGCGGCCGTGGACATGACAATGTCTCCGTGTCTTTTGACTTCGTCGCGGGGAATACGGGATGCGAAGTCCTGGTAATGGTCTATACCGACCTTCTGAGAGGCGGTAAGACGCACGTTTTTGACGACGTCATCGAGCGTTTTGTAACCTGATTGGACCCACCGAGCGGCAACACTGGGGCTAAGGAGTGTTAATAGCATAACACGCTTAGGCTAATGAGGCCGTGTGTACATGTAGTTGGGGCTAGAAAATTTACATACCCAACACCGTAAACTCCTAGAAATAACTTTAACGCTACATCCCCGGGCTCTAGCTGTGCGTATTCCAGCTTCCGTAACCGATCCGTTTCCACGATCTCCTCAATCTTCTTTGCTAGGCTTTCACCAATCATTGGCAACCTAGTCCTCCAGATCAGCATACTTCACCTTAATCTTCGTCACATCCGCGCCCACAGAATATAACTCACTTCCTCGCCTCAGCAGCCGTGCATATCTTCTTCGTCTGTTTCCTGAGCACACTAATCCCCTTCCGATAACTGATGGACCTCCACTGATCCTTCGTCATCTCATAGTATTTCTGCATTTCCGACAACTATCCTTAAACTCTTGTATCAGATCCCCTACGTAATAAAACGACTATGTAAGTGTGTGGTATCGGCTATAAACTCACGATCTCAATAGTTCTCGCGTTCGGATTCCCCTCCTGCTGCTTCCCATCATTGGCATGCATACACTGGAACTTATCCTGCCACTTCGAATTACCTGTCCTCGCAACAGGCTTCTTTCGCTTTACTGCACGAATAGGCTCCTCATCAGACGAAGTCCCCCCATCATCGGGCGCAGATATGTCATCATCTAATGGCTACACAAACCGAACATCAGCTGACCGAGTGATATCTCATGACCGGATCAGGTGTGTCATACCAAATCACCCATCCGCACCGCCTCGGCAATCATGATATCTAGTTCGTCTTTAACCTCACATTCTTGCGTAGTACTTGGTCCTGGAGTGGATAGCAGCTCCGCTGCGAGCTGCTGTAATACTAGGTCATCAGTCGTTACACTGGCCTTCAATTCGGCCTCAACAGCAAGCTGGGAATCTGTAGGTCTATCCCCCGCTGCTGAACTTGGTGTATCATTAGCCCTCTTGGATAGTTGTGGCCTGATATGGAGACTCTGTGTTGTAGCACTGGAGCTCTGTTGATCACAGAGCGGGGTTTCCGATGGAGTAGAAGATAGGGGTGGCGAGTGCGGCTGTGGGAGAAGAAATGAGTTCTCGGTAGTGGAAGGCTGCCCGGCAACTTTGTATTGAAACTGGTCATGGTTTAGGATGCGTGCAAAGGCGAGACAGTCGCTGATGTATGTGTCATTGACTATGGCTATGTGGTCCTATACAGGGTATGGAATTTAGTGACCATGGGCGAGTAAAGGCGAAGAATGAGGGGGAATTTACTGGAATGAACTCTCGTCTAAGTGATTTCAATACGTCAGAATACTTTAATTTTGAGTCGACAATGATATGCGTGATGTCTACATATACACTGTCAGCTAACTTTCTCTCCTGGAGGCGTATATATATATCAACGGGAGGTACGCATGTTCATACCCTGCTCCCTCCACTCTTTGAGACAAAAACCGCCGTGTTCGTCGGCTTTCTGGACCCGAAACTTGCGAACAGGGTTTTTGATGTCATTAGGTATAAAATCTTAATTCCACCGACACCATTTAGTACATTGCTGTAATCACGTGGTCAATGATTAGTAGAATATGACTTACAGAAATACATCCCACCGAATATCTGCTTCTTCGCCGGCACTACAGGGGTTCTTTTTCTTTTCGCTACTTTTGTGTGAACTGGCAGTATTCTTGATGACTCTGGTGGCGGCAAATGCCTCGGGGTGCACTCGAGAGATGCCGGGGCCGTTGAAGGGGCGGTAGTGACAGCCGATATATCTGGAGTGGAATCGGCCATATTGATATTATTCTCCGACACAACTGGCTCCGGAGCAGCAGTAGAAATATTTTTGGTGAAAGCTTGTATACTTGTACTCCTAATCGATTCTAGAGCAGTGGATGAGATTTTTGTTGTAGAATTAGATGAGGCCACTTGCAGACGAGAACTGCGTCGAACAATACGTTTGTATCTCTGGTTCCTGCTCGCTGCAAGAGCTAGAGATGCTTCACTTGTTTCCGCTTGCTCTGGCTCGGAATCAAGTGAATAAAGACCGGTAAAGAACTGTTCTTTGTTCAGGAATGGGTCTTCGGAGCGCCCACAAAGCTCCCACATGTCGGAATTGAAAGAAGCGAAAAAAGGAGTGTTTATATATAAGCCTTAAAGGCTTTAGTATCTTATGAGTCAAGAGCTCTGCCGGTTGGAAGACGCGCAGCATGCATGTCACGCATCTATTGCATGAGTCTGAGTGGTTACAAGAACCCAGGAAGGAAGGGATCGCGTCAAGAGGGGGCTCGGAATTATAATTAATTGCCACACGTGATTTTGTGTCGCACTAGTGGTAGAACGGGGAACAAGGATAGAGCTGAGGGAATGGATACATGTAGGCATACATGTAAGCATTACATGGGGTACATGTATGTTTAACCAACTACGGTACTGTATGAGGGTTACATGCTTCATAATGGGAGTTTACGAATGTAGAACATGTATAAGCCTATATATTTCGAGATTAGTTTGAGATAGTACGTACAGGATATATATACCTATTCCGTCTATTTTAAGGTTATATATACATTGAATATTATCATTCAAGAAGACAGAACAATCCGACGATAATGAAGGGTAAAAGGTAAACTACATGTACATAATTATGTACTGGCACTGTACTAGGGAGTTCACAAGTACATTTATTTACAGTTGAATCTTAATTAATATATATTGCAGGTTGATAATTTATAAATTGGATAAAAAGGTTGTGTACATCTTGTCATGCCGGGGTTCAACGCAATTACCCTGCTCTAGAAAAACATCGGAGTGAGATCTGATGACGCTGGTTTTTTATCTGATCGAACACCTTCGGGTTAACTAGATAACAGAAAGCCACAGCGCAAATACAAATGATGACACCACTGCTATGGGTGCCCTCGCGATCGGTCCTCATAATCCTGCGGCTGAAAACATGTCTTGTGCGGGGTGGTCGGTTGACAGCGTTGCCAATGCATGACTTGCATGGTTCCCCCTTCAATTCTAGCCTCAATTGTAGTAGATTGACGGGGAAGGGCAGGGGCTCTGTTATCATACATCATCTACGCCGTGTTGCATTTGAAGGTGCCTAGCATAGGTCGCTCTCCCGGCAGATAAACTGCCATCGGTCACCCGGTCGCTTCCCTCACGGGCAGGCGAGTGAAGTACAAGATGAATGTGCATGCAATCAGCCGTATATCGAATTCAATTTCTTCCACATTCCAGCTACCATGGGAAAAGAGTATCGGACAGAGGGGGAGGAAGGCATTGGGTGAACTTTTTCTAGAGTACGGATTGGAAGGTGGGAGAGGTGTGGTAATTGGGATTCTATGCGGGAGGACGAAAACTATATGGGGTGATGGTCCACATTGTTACCATACCGGTATCGACAGACACGAGTCCCTCGCATAAGAAGGAAACGAATGAGGAGAAAGAGGTGGGGAAGGAAAGGCACTGAGAATGGAGAAAGTTGTGGCAGGCGGATTCGACGCCGTGTCCCCGGGCAGGCCAGTTGAGCCGAAAGATGAGGGATCGGGGGAAGGGGCTCTCTCTCTTACAATTAGGTACAACTCAACCTAGGCTTTTCCCTCAGTGGAACCTTTTGAGGAATCAGCACAGTAATAGGTTTGTTATTGCTTCTTGAAACATCATGCCAAGCACCAGCACCAGCACCAGCACCTGGACAGCGTCCAGCGTCCAGCTTTCTGTGCCGCTGCCTGATGCTTCTGCGGGAGCATCTATGTATGTACATACATACATGTAGTAATTGTATGTAGGGTACTGTCTGTAGTCTACTCCATTAGGTACGTTAGTTAACTTTACGGGCCTTCCTCACTGCTTCTTCCGCTGTTAGCTCCCCCCAGTCATTTCCGTATCGTTACCTCACGTTCGTTCGCTGTTCTTTTTTCTCTCCCACCCCCTTCCACCCTTTCTACACCATCATCATCATCATCACACCGTCAACAGTCACCATCCTTATCCCCTTCCCTCAACCGATTTGTTCCTGCTCCAACCCCATCCGTAATCACCAACTCTCGCTCGTTTTCTGCATCACCCTAGCTCACGATGCAAAATGGCCCTGAACCGCCGACAAAGAGGCAGAAAACCTCTTGTTCTGCCACCGTCGCCTCCACGGTCGCTTCTGTGGAACCCCCCGCGAGAAAACCGCCTCAGATCCTGGACTTTAAGTTCCCTCCCGTAGAGCCTATTGCTCTGAAAGAGCACAAACGTTCGGTAGACTGCCTAGTCAAGCTTCTACAGAAGAAGAAGAAGATAGTGGTTATTGCAGGAGCTGGCATTTCTGTAGGGGCTGGAAGTGAGAATTCCCCTATTCGCCTTACCCACTTGTTTTTGTTGTGGTTCTGCCTGCCAGCCACTTGGTTGGCGTCGTGTAGTACAATGCTTACTAATCGACCAACCACAGTTCCCGACTTTCGATCGTCAAATGGATTGTTTTCTTCTTTAAGAACAGACATGAAACTAAAGTCTTCTGGGAAGCAATTGTTTGATGCGTCTGTTTACAAAGATGATCAACTCACTTCATCATTCCACGATATGGTTCGCAATCTCCATACCATGACATCTAACGCCTCGCCAACCGAGTTTCACCACCTCTTAGCAACATTAGCGAACCAAGGAAGATTGCTTCGTTTATACTCACAAAACGTTGATTGTATCGACACGCAATTGCAGCCTCTAAAGACAGCAGTGCCCCTCGGTAATAAGGGACCTTGGCCTCGAACTATTCAATTGCATGGAGGGTTGGAAAATATGGTCTGCTCAAAGTGTGGGTGGTTGGCCGCGTTTAACGCGAGCCTATTCAAAGGGTCGGAGCCTCCAGACTGTACAGAATGCATGGAAATGGATTCCGTGAGGGGTGTGGCTGGAAAGCGGGCGCTTGGCGTTGGGAAATTAAGACCAAGGATTGTCCTGTACAACGAGTTTAACCCGGATGCTGAGGCGATTGGTGCAGTCACAAAGGCAGACCTAAAGTCGCGTCCAGATTGCTTGATAGTAGTCGGAACAAGTTTGAAAGTACCTGGGGTGCGGAGGATCGTCAGAGAAATGTGTGGAGTGGTTCAAGACTACCGAGGTGGAATGACTGTGTGGATCAATGAAGACGACCCACCAACCGGGAAAGAGTTTGAGGGCGCCTTTGATCTTATTGTTAGGGGGGACTGTGAAAAGGTTGCAAAAACCGCCAGCATGCCAAGATGGGATGGCAGCGAGGCGCCCTTGCGGGCAGAATTCGAGACAGATAGCGACAGCTGCGGTTCATTCATGATGGATATAGATTCCGATGAGCCCACCAGGAACACCAACAATGTTGAAGTCCATATTCCCCCACTTGCTCAGATTACTCAACTTCCTAGTCCTTCTATAAGCCCTCCACCGAAAGCGAAAGGTGCGCGTAAACGACCGCCCCCCGACACCAAAATTGGTCCGTCAGCGAAGAGGGCCAAAACCAAAGCGAAATCAACAGCTACAGGCACAAAGGCTAAGGCGGAGCCTAAAAAGAAGAGCAATATTGCCACCGCGTTCAAAGTTAAGAAGGCAGTATCCGTGACAACCGTCAAAGGAACAAAAGCAAAGCCTGTAGCTAGAGCACCAAGAACGCCAAAAACAACAAGTTCGGCAGCTACAAAGAAGATGGCGCCTTCAGTTGAGATTCCGGCAAAGGCAAATACTATTACTGTTGAGATTCCGGCGATGGCTATAATTTCGACATCTCCTACTACGCCCACATCTGCAAATTTGTTTGGCAGCGAGAGGTCGTCTTCTATCCCAATCTCGAGTTTGCTCAACTGAGTAGACATGTTTATAATGTAAATTTTCCGGAGAACTATGATAAAGGAGTTACGGACCCTACGGAGGAAGAGGGAATTTTTTTACTGGGTTATTGGTGGCGTATAGTGTATGAAAAGTGGACCTTGTCTTGAATTCCATTAACAGGCTACATCAGGAATTAACTTGTATTGCTTGAAGTCACGACGACAGAAAAAGCGTGTACGTGCATTGGGAAGGAGGACATTAGTCTTAGGGCACATTATAAAATACGGCCCGGGAAGAACTGGAAGACTGTGGATTTTCCATTTGGTTACTGCTTTATTTATTTTCGCTCTTTCCCTTTATTTATTCTTCATATTCGATTGGAGTCGTGGGATGTTATGTCGATTCCCTTAACTTTCTTATTTTCTTTCCTTTTTTTATACTATGGTTGCTTTTTGAATCCTAGATCTTTCTTTTATGGTGTCGACAGGAGTTTTGGGTATCGTTTGAATTGAGGGATTTTTCTTTTTATTCTCCAATAGCATTCATTTGGTTTACATGTGCACACATAATTTTTCTTTCTTGCGGACTGGATCCGGAGCTTTGTGTATACAAGTATACGAATCACATACACACAGCGGTAACTTCCACCGCTGCTGGCTGCGCAGTGAAGGTGTTTGTTTGAGTTGGAGACTGGTTGGCACGTACGTACGAGCGTATATAGCTACATAAAAAACATGTGCAGATCTTAGACGCGCGATTAGGTCAGTGATGTGTTCTCAAAGGCAAATACAGTCATCTCTTATTTGCTAGTTTGCAAGTGAGAGGATGAATGCTCTATAGCTAGCTAGCGAGGCTGTGGGCGGGTGCTGGGGTGCATTGGGAATGGATCATAGGATATCACTCGAACTGTATACGTGGCGAATGTAGACGATTAATGTAGTCCTAGGAAGCAAAGAGACAGACAATAGTGTATGTTGAGGCGACTGTTGGGAGCGCGTGTCTGTGTGTTCATGAACGTTGCTTATTCTTTTATTTACTTTTCGTAATCATTTGATTGCGGATCATCCAATATGCAACAGCCATATACTTTATATTATTATTTCCATAAAACACTTTGTGTGTTTGTGGTGTACTGCCTACGTACGTGTAGCTCTCTACATATAGGCTATAGAGTGTATTATTAATGACTAACTAGCACCACCATTAATTAGAGCTTTATGGTACTGAATAATCCAATCGATCTTAATTGAGAAGATAGATTATCATGTATACGTAGTTATACAGGCCTCCCTATATATATAGCTGGCTAGCCTTATAGCTGGGATTATGATCAATTAAAGAGACTACTTCGGAAACTCTCCGGATCCCTGAGAATATATAAGTCCCTGAATTTCTCTATCTACCGTGTACGTACCGGCCTTGATCACTTGAGAGTCGCACTTTCAGAAGTAAATGTAGCTATATACATATATACATTAAGTTATAATAGGCCTAGGGGTACTCACTTCTTCAAATACGTGGCCCTTTTTGCCCGGCTTTCAGCACTGGCACCCTTTATATAAGGGCAATCTCTCTATAATGGGACAAAATACCGGTCACGAGCGTACCCTTATAGAAAGCTTTCGCTGTACCTATAGGTATAGTCTAGGCTTTATTTGATACCATCCCCATCCCCTACGTGTACAAGCTGCTCGTGAGATGGGCACAAGACTACATGAGGTACATGTATCTCCACTCCTGAATGACGTTCAATATACAAATTTAAGAGATCATAATCATAATAGACCAGGAATAGAATATACCATTAATTAAAGGTGTTTATGCACATTGACACATTTATATACACTACATATAGTAAACCCTAGTAATTACTTTATATATTTTGCTCCAATATAATGCATAAGTAGCTAGACCAATGAAGACTACATGCAACTATAACGCTAGATGGCTATGTATATATATATTCGATTCAAACTCGTGTCATGTACATGTTTCTATGAAATATTCGCAATTTATCTCCAAGCTTTAGGTTTGAACACCTTCAGAATAATATCCACGGGATGGCTTCCGTTAAAAAATTTAACTAATAGTCGAATAACAGCCCCTCTCAAGTTATGTCGAGCCCTGGTCTATTGCCAAAAAAAAAAAAAAATGCAACGCTTCATCTAATATATTGATTCCTCACCGAAATACATGGATAGAGAAAGTCGTCTGGCGCTCTCTTCCAAGGGATTCTTCAAGGACAGCGCCTCTGGATCTCTGGGGAGCTACGTTATCCCTACGTCTCCGGCTCCTATGACAATATATTATCCACAACTCCTATAAAGACTATGAAAGTAAGCACCGTAATAGCGATGAGCTTCCGGCAGGTTACTATTAGCTGCAGGGAAGAAATAATTCGTTACCTCAGATGTCCTTTTGGCTAGTCATTATCCTACTAGTAGTTTCTAGGGACATTAGTAGTAGTATGTTATCTGTATTACAGACAGGTTAGGGACGATCAAGTACTGCGAGTCTCCCAATATATACCAGCTTACCTAGCTACATATATATATTTATGATATCTAAGAAAGGTTACTTGCTGTATCCCATAATTAACCGTCGATGTTGATACCTCTTATAAAGGCAAAAAGATAGCTGGTGACAAGAGATCCTATTACTTCGTTAATCTATCTCCCAATAGTACTATAACTTTATATCACGCAATAGGGGCATCGGCATCGTCGATTTATAAAGAGTAAATCTTTGCACATAGCTCATTTGCTTAGCCATGGCCAGTAACGTATCCTTCCAAATAATTTTGTTCTCTGGCTTCAGATGTGGTGAGAGATGAAAAAGGCTATCATTTATATCTCACACGCGGCGAAGTAGTTTCAAAGGTAGATCGTAATTGTAGAAAGATTTGGGGATTAGGCAGACAGCAGTGGTAGTGCCTTCCTGGCAGGGGGAAATTCGGAGACCCAAGACCATCCCGGAGGAAATAAACAACTGGAATTTGAATTTATGTCCTGTACTAAAGTATGTTATTGTTAAATTCTCAAAGACCAAGTCTTAGTTACAAAAGACTCCTGATGACATGTTGTAGGATTCCGCCTACCTATTTCACGCAAGGGGGTGAACCTGAATACTAGTGCCGGAGTATAGAACCCCTTGACGATGTATCGATGGCGCAAGGCGGCAACAGATATAGCCAAACTGACCGCGACACCCTTCATATCTAGCTTTAGCTTTCTTTGTCAAGAAGTATATAGGAACTAGATATCAGGGTGCTCCCAAATCCCTCAGACTTTTCACACCTCACAGTACTCCCCTTAATAATTCTCATTCAGGTCTAGATTCGTAACTTCAATGACAATCATGGCAAGGCTGATAGTACTCATTATTTTCATTTTAACTGCATTTTCCACTGCCCTAGCAGCCCCTACAACTAAAAAGCGTGATATTGTCTATGAGGTCTTCCCCAACTACCTGGTTCCCGCAGTGCAGGTAGTCCCAGGCACTGCGTACAACACACAAAACACAGGCCATATAAGCTACAGTGGCAATGATCTTGATATGAACGAGACAACGATGTTTGGTACGTGATTCGACATATCACCCTGCATCTGAGCTGAGCTAACTATAAACCGTACGTGAAGTTGGCTTCGATATCCCGGCGAATGAGGCAACAAATTGTGTGGTCAAGTTCGCGTTGCCACCGCCATCGATTCCTTGGGGATATGAGTGGAAAGCTCAGGGAAGTGGGAGGTTTGATGTGTATCTAGTTACAAGCCTCATTGTTCCTGGAGAGCTCAGCTGGGGAAATAGGCCACAAAGGTATCAGCTACCGGTGTTCTCAGTGACTGTATGTGATATCTCTATTCTACTTGATTGGTATTGTGTTTGACTAACCTTGAATGTCTGAGAAGCAACCTACAGATGGTGGAGAGGCTACTGTGGACGGACACAGTGTCCGGTGCTTTAATGGCCAGAGGATGGACTTTGAGCTTGTTGCGACCCGTGAGAGGGGTTTCATGGGGCTCGACTGGTTCGGTATGTCCCATGGATATTTCCTATTCGTCCTAATGAAAAATAAAGGTTCTAATACCAAGATTTCTCTAACCTGCAGAGCTCGATAATCCAAGGACTGGAATAACGATGGAGATGTCATTGTAGAGGTATCTATTGGCCCCTAGGTTTGGGTTGGTTAGTAAAGCAGTATTCGTGTATTGTAATTATCTCGCGATCGTAAATACAAAAACAATGAAATGGGTGTGTGCACCTGCATTTATTCTACTGGATGTGGAATTAATTTTGGCTTGTCCCTTAGCTACAATTGCAGGTAGCTTTCATGAATCAACGTCTGCAAGATCAGCTCTATTTCCCGCAGTATTGCCTAAGCGATGGTCTTACAGAATTGGCATCCGCAGATCGTGGAATAAGTTCTTGGAATGTCGACCTAGGACCGCCTCTACGTACATGTAATGTCAGTCTCCTCGTTGTTGTTCCTACTTCTAGTCCTGCAGGGCTTGTCGGATGCTTTTTTCTAAAGGGATACCTGCATGTAAGTAATGTTGATAGTTGGCCTAAAATCGGGTTAAGCACATATAAAATCCGGCTATCGCATATGCCCATCCCCTACTACTCAATTTCTTGCAACGACCAAAGCATATAGATTGTTCATCCTATCCGCCAGCACTACCGCTTTACAGAAGCAATATATGATTGAGTGATCTTAATCTACCATGGTTGTGCAACGTCTGTGAGATAAGAATGCAAGTTCGCTCTTGCAATTTGGAAGAGACAACTCATCAAGCGAGCTGCCCTAGCTAGCGGGTCCTGCAGTGCCATGTCGAGCGGTGAGAGGAAGGAAACTACATGTATTCAATGTTAATGAACGGGCAAAAAAACAAATTTTATTGTGGGTTTGATCGAGTTCACCTGTAATATCCCTTCTGACAACACGTACTTGGGTATACAAGTGTCGAGTGATACTCCATGAGCTTTGCACCCACTCTGTTTTCATGCTTGTGATCGGGTCGAAAGGCTGCAACTGCTTGTTATGTACGTACTCGCACTCGTAATAAGGTTATAATGCTGAATCGCGAAGGCACATTACCACCTCGGAAGATTTTTTCTTCTTTCTAGAGAAAAGGTCTTGATGCTACTGAAGATGCCCGCATCCAGGTTCTCATGCCAAATCCCCGCCTTTGGAACCCAACCACCAACTGCCTTAAATAATAAATATATATGCGCCTGGGCCTCCTTCCGCCGATGTTATCTACTCTATGATAGGCCCAGTTTCAGACATCTCTATAACGTTAATTGACGACTGTACCAGACATTCGGTGACCCAACAGACTGAATGCCGGTACGTGCTTCCGTGGTCCCGACTGTCTATATATGTAGGTGCTCTACTCTAGAGTACAGTCGCCCTCCGCTATAACGAAAGTGCATATTGGGCCATTTTTCGTTCGGTACAGCGGTGGGTAATAAGTCATCGGACGACCTAGCCACAATTTTGCCTGCAAACGCGTATTTTGGTGGCGTTCCGTCTGATGACTTATTACCCATCGCTGTACAGCAGATTATTCGGTATTATTCGGTATAGCAGACTAAATTCTTTGCTGAAACAAAAAAGAAGTTGGCCCAAGTGGTTCGGTACAGCAAATATTCGGTATAGTGGCATTCGTTACATCGGAGGGTGACTGTATACGTTGAGTAGGTATACGTATACACAAGCAAATGTGTGCACGCTATGTTATCGATTGGTCTCAACGACCTTAGAGCTAGAGAGAGGCATGCTCTCAATATCTAGTTCATCATCGACTTCGCTAAAAGTTCCAATGGGTTCAAACGCCAGGGTCCTGGCCGGTGTCTCCAGCCTTCCCCCCTTGATTTACACCCTATATTATAAAATGTACCATGTAACACCACCCACACCCTCCCCGAGCCCATAATATCAAGCATTTAAGAAACAAAGTCTCAAATCGATCCAAATAGTTATGCCCTCATTGGTATCGATCCGTAGTGGTCAATCCATATTCTCAGATATGAACAAAACATTTCCGCAGCGGATTCCCCCGCCTTCTAACCGCGCCCAGGTACTATATTACCAGTAGAGTAGGTAGTAGGTATTCATCAGAGATCACTCGGAGGGCATAGAAGAATATGCATGGTTTTATTTAGAGACATGCACGTTGTAGGGAAAATCCTTGAACGATTTCATGCCACATCTCCACCTTTAAACCTCATCCAGCGGATTAGTGACCGGCATGCCCACATGTTGCCCCGGCTCGCTCAATTCTTGGGTCTTCTAGGCCACCGTTTCAAATCAGGCTCTTTTCATCCACCGGACTCTCGACAAATCAGATCTCCAAGATATGGAATTCCGAGATGGAAGCGAGGCGGCATCATGCCATACCACCCCCATCGAGGATGGTAACGGCATCCAGATGTCACCGAATTTCTCACATACCAATCAGCTTCACCCGGTACTTCAGCTCCGCAACCTCTCCTAGTAGTTTTACTGGCTAGAACTCTGTGCAGAAAATCGAGGCAAAGACTCACGAGGCGGGCTTTATACGCAATTTATAATACAGGGGCCAAGAAGGCCCTTTCGCACGCGCTCGAGTAGTTCTCGCCCAAGTTATAGGAAAGATACACATCCCGCAAGGTTGATTAAAAGGCCCAACGCTGCGACACAAAATCGACCACCTCGAGCCCTTTATTTCGGAAATAAAAATAAAAATAATAATGTCTCGAAGATTGCTACCGAAGCCTTCGTTTGCAGCTACGTCGGCAGACGAAAATCGGGTTACCAAACCCCTGGACCGGCGGGTCAAACGAAACTGTGTAGCTACAGCTTGTATGCCATGTCGGAAGCGGAGATCAAAGGTTCGTTCCTGAATAAAGTCATGACATTGGCGGCAATCCGCTGTTTAAAGGAGTGGGATGCGCTTCAACACGGCCGGGCTAACACAATCCCAAACACAGTGTGACGGACAAACTCCCTGTGCGGCGTGTCTAGCGAACGATAAGTCCGAATGTTTTTATGACAAGGAAAGTGACGGACGGCGATCGGGTACCCTGAAAAAACATGTTACCGAGTTGTCTTCAGACAACAACAATCTTCGTTGCATTTTAGGAACTCTGCAAAATTCATCAGAAGATTACATGCGTAATATAGTCAATCGACTACGCATGAAAGAAGATATCGAAGTTATTGCGAAATACATCAAGGAGCATCCTCCAGGTTCAGAACCACCTCCAAGCAAATTAAGCACAGCAGAATCCGATAGATCGAGTCCGCTTGTGCCAAGAGAACACCGAGAGTCCACTGGATCCACAGACGTTGATTCTTCCAACGGAGGATATGTGCATTCTTATGGATCTCCCGAATTGGAGGAAGGGTGGACGTATAATAATAATGGGCGTGGTACGACTCCAAGTTCTTTCGGAGGCTCTGCCACTTCTGTTGGAAGTCCCCCATCGCTAGGTAGTCCTCCTCCTCCGGATATCAACACAACAGTTCGTTCTTGGACGACTGTGACTGATGATGTCGATTTCATTCGTCATATACTGGATTGCTTTTTCATATGGCAACATGCCTGTACTCCAATTTTTTCGAGGAGGAGGTTCTTGGAAGACTTTATTAGAGGTAGATCTGATTTTTGCAGTTCTATTCTTGTAAACGCTCTGCTTGCCTTGGGATGTGCCTTTTCAGATAGACCTGGCACTCGTACAAACCCGGAAGACCCAACAACTGCAGGCGACCATTTCTACGCTGAAGTAGAACGCCTTTTAGAAATTGAAAACGTGCAAAACAAAATCACAACGATACAGGCACTTGGAATCCTAAGCATGAGAGAAAGTGGGTACCTTAGGGACGTCAAGGGATGGTTTTACGGAAGTCTTGCTCTTCGTGCAGCCTCTGAAACACTACATAAGAGCTCGCAAGACTATACCGAGCCAGACCTTGAGGTTTGGAGGGTGACATACTGGGGGCTATTTAATCTTGACTTGTATGGACTCCTCTTCTATTTCCTTTATCCCTCCTGCCCTCTAATTTCCGTGAGTTGTGGTTAATGCTGCCAACATAGATCATGGTCGATTGCAATAGCAAGGTTACCCCAACTCACTGGGAGGGCCTGGGAGCTACCAACTATCGACTATGAATTAGATAGGGAGGAGTACCTAGAGCCAGCGGAGCTTTTATGGTACTCCACAGGAAAGGCCCCTCATGTTCACGGTGCATTCTTACAGTATATCAAGTTGTCAGGAATTGCTAAGGATATTGTAAATGCCTTCTATTCCCCATCAACCCAAGAAGAAAAGGTCACGCCAAAGATGCTGGATAGATTTCATAGGCGTCTTCTGGCTTGGGATGTGGAGCTACCCGAAGAGCTAAAATTATCATCCACAACCTTACCGCATATTCTTCAACTTCAGTAAGTAAAGACTTGCCTGTACTTATTTTCATCATAGGACAACCTCTAAAACGATATTAGCTTGATCTGTCGAGCGACTACCATCATGCTTTTCCGCCCGTTCCTACAAGTACCAGTGAGCCGCTTGTCCGAGAACTCGCCGAAGAGCATTTGCAAGAAGGTAGCCAAAGAAATAATCAAGATTGCACATAGATATCGGCATGAAATTGGGCACAAATATTTCATCCTTCCATTCTGTCACTATACCTTCCTCGCGTGCCAGACATTTCTACAGGATCAACCAGCAGAGGAAGAGAACCTAAACCATGGCCTGCGTTTGCTTGCAGGAGCCAAACACTTATGGCCTGCAGGGGCCCTTGGGCTCTTCGGATTGCCCAGGATTGCTGAGACTTGCGGCATCCAACTCTCCAAAGAAACTCTTTCAATCCCAAATTTGACAAAAATCGAGATCGGGCGCATGGCCAGCACCAGTTGGGCTTCAGCCAGGGAGGAGGAGGTCAAAGTAGTCACTGATGAATTTCTCGATTACTGGGAAAAAGCTTTTGCAGATGTATAAATAGGTGTATCCGGTGGTCCAATTCTTGTTACATGTATTCAGTCTTTTGGTTTTGGGCTGCGGCCAATTTGTCTTCTTTATTGTGTATTAAATAGGTGTTTTATTTTTTCTTATCGACCCTAAACTGGTGGCGTAATATGAGCTTGGACTCTTCTAATGAATTTATGTTGGTATGTGAGCTGGCGTATGGTTTATTAGGAATAAAACGGATTGAGGAATTGAACCGGGGCCGAGGTTAAGAAGGGATTCGGGTCGGGCAAACTCGTGTTACATTTAGTTTGATATTGGTTGGGATATCAAGGGCTGATATTTATTGAGGCAATTGATTGATGAACAAGTTACTTTGTAGGTTCATCAATTTTGTTTTTGTATCCACATACTTTAGATGTGCCTGCATGTACGTACGTTAATGTATGTACGAAGGGCCTATGCCAGGTTCCTAGTCTGATAGTGGCCGAAAACACGTGGTGTGGCTTTTTCTTTGCGAAACTGATGTTCATCGTTCTAAAAGCACAGGAGATGCTTCTATTCCTGGTAACTACATGTACTCTCGGTACATAAGGTACACAGAGTACTATTTTGTCTAACAAAACAACACAGTAGTACTAATTGCGATGGGGCGATACCCTCGACAGGATTTTATTACTTACTGGTTGCGCATCCCACGCCGAATACGGGGGTTTCGTTTACCAGAGCCTGTTGCGTCATGGTCAGGCAGGTTAACCACCACGAGATTTTACCCCTCCACCCCACCCTCTTGGCCGAGGATTTGATAGATATACTCCTCTCTTGTCCCGTTCCTGTCCGAATAATTCAACAGTGAACATCGAATAGTATTGGTTTAAGCTCGAAATTCAAAGAATTCCTATTAATCGATCTTCACGGAAATCCAAAATGTCTCTTTCAAACAAACTCGGTATGGAATTCATCTCCATTAAATTTTTAATATAGAAATTATGCTTCCCCTCCTTGCAGACTGACACTCACTCCCCCATTTTTACAGCCATTACCGATGTTGATCTTAAGGACAAGCGTGTCTTAATCCGAGTGAGTATCTCAGATCTCCATACATGCTCAGTTATAGAACTGATTCACGGAATTTTCTTTCTAGGTTGATTTCAACGTCCCTCTCGATGGCACCACCATCACCAACAACCAGCGTATTGTCGCTGCCCTGCCTACAATTAAATACGCCTCTGAGCAGGGCGCTAAGGCCATCATTTTGATGTCCCACTTGGGCCGTCCTGATGGCAAGCGTGTCGAGAAGTTCTCTTTGGCCCCTGTAGCACAGGAGTTGAAGAAGCTTTTGAACAAGGATGTTACTTTTTTGAATGACTGTGTTGGAAAGGAAGTCGAAGAATATGTTCAGAAGTCAAGCGGAGGTTAGCATAAATTCAAAACTGTAACTATGGGCTTTAGAAACTAATTAATGGACAGGCGAGATTATTCTTCTTGAGAACTTGCGTTACCACGCCGAGGAGGAAGGTTCCTCAAAAGGGCCTGACGGAAAGAAAGTTAAGGCTGACCCTGCGGCCGTCGAGGCTTTTCGCAAGTCGCTCACTTCTCTTGGGGATATTTACATCAGTAAGTCCCACACATGTCAATAGTGGATAAATAGGCTTAACACCGGTAAAAGACGATGCCTTCGGTACTGCCCACCGTGCACACAGCTCTATGGTTGGTGTCGACCTTCCTCAGAAAGCTTCTGGTTTCCTCGTCAAGAAGGAGCTCGAATACTTCGCCAAGGCTCTTGAGTCCCCTGAGCGCCCTTTCCTCGCCATCCTTGGAGGGGCCAAGGTCTCTGATAAGATCCAGCTCATTGACAACCTGATTCCCAAACTGGATAGCTTGATCATCTGTGGTGGTATGGCTTTTACCTTCAAAAAAACCCTTGAGAACGTTGCAATTGGTAACTCCCTCTACGACGAGGCTGGCTCCAAGACTGTCGGTGACATCATCGAGAAGGCAAAGAAGCACAACGTTAAGGTTGTCTTGCCTGTCGACTATATCACTGCCAACAAGTTTGCCAAGGATGCCGAGACTGGATATGCCACTGATGAACAGGGTATTCCTGACGGCTGGATGGGTCTGGACTGTGGAGAGAAGTCCCGCAAATTGTTCAACGAGACCATTGACGAGGCGAAGACCATCCTTTGGAACGGGTAAGATATTAGCCAAATGGCTTGGCAACACTTACTAACTAGATTAGACCTGCTGGCGTTTTCGAGTTCGATGCTTTTGCAAATGGCACCAAGGCTATGCTAGATGCTGCTGTCGACGCTGCCCAATCTGGCAAGATCGTTATCATTGGTGGTGGTGATACTGCAACTGTTGCTGCCAAGTACGGTGTTGAGGACAAGTTGAGCCACGTCTCAACCGGCGGTGGAGCGTAAGTCTTACCCCCCCAAATTCAAGTCAGCAGCTGACAGCTTTATGATAAAGTTCTTTGGAACTTCTCGAAGGAAAGGATCTTCCTGGTGTCTCCGCCCTCTCCGTAAGTAATTGTCCTCCCTTTCATCCTCACAAAATTCTTTGCTAATAGTCGTATAGAGTAAGTAAATAAGATTCGTTTTATACCAACCAAGGTCAAAATCGCATGAATCTTATTGGATGGCGGTATGGCAGTTTCTCGGAAATCCAATTTATAACGTGCTGTTTCCTTAGATATTAATAAAAAAAAAATAGTGCCCCAAAAAAGAAAAAATCTCCACATGTGTGGCTAAAGATATATTCATAAATCGTACGGTAAGTGTAGGAAGTGTAGAAAGTATAGTTGGGATGAAAAAGGATATATTGTGAACATGTAACTGGAGCTCTTATTTAAGGCTGAATCGCTCTGTAATTCCCGTGGCTATATTACAAATGTCCTCGCTTTTATTCTAACTAGCGTTGACTCCGAAAATGCCGTATCCAGCTATGACTTGTTCGCTCCAGTCTTTTTGAGCTCCTCTCTTGAAGGTAGATATCATATCAGCACATATTCTAAATATTATAAAGTGTCAACAAGTGTAGATGGATAATAACCTGAGCTGCGCAGAGAAGTCTTCGCTAGTATCGTCATCATCCCAGCTCTCCTCCCAAAGGTTTCCCTTTCCACCAGGCACATCGGCCTCTGCATCCTCCCAATCTGCCTCACCCAACTGTTAGCCATTTCTATCTCGTATCACTATCTAAGTTTCTTCGCCCATCTATATCATTGGTTGGTAACACAGAGCCGCTCTGACATCGGTCTATGAGCTCACCTTCGACAGGGAAATCCTCAAATTCGTCATCCTCTTCCAAGGAGACGTTTGGCTTTTGTGTAGGTTTGTCGTCCTTGGGATCTGAGGACTTCGGCGCAGCAACTTTTGATGACATGATGAGTTTTGAAGATGGCGGAATAAATGATCTGACAAGCGTTGTGAGGGGGACCTGGGGCTATGCTTTAGATATATCACTGCTACATGAGCTAAGTTCCCGTGACCGTAGTGGACAGGGTAACTTTAAGGTCAACTACCTAGTTCACAAAACCTTACTAAATGGGGAGTGGTAGAAGGTCTGCCAAGCCTACACTTTCGCTGAAGCGGAGAATTAACGTCAGAGCCCAGCGGAGGCTCCAAAATCCCGGGCACCGGTGTTTATATGTTATCAGCGGGGCAACGTCCGTATTACGATGCATACTTGTACCATGTATTTAGTGATCCTACGCATAAATAAGTCCAAATTGTAAATCTAAACTGTTTTATTTGACTTAGAATTCCACTACCTGAAGAGATGTCAGTCTAGAACTATACACAGAACCCACCAGTGCAGATTATCAATCCCACATATCCCTCTCCGGAACAACGATCTTCAAGATCAGTAACCTAGCTGCCCAAAGCCCAGGACTGAAACATCTTCACGCGTACCTTCCCAACAGTACCCTTCCGTCTGTGCTCTATTCTTCTCAGGATTTCACACCTAATTCTAGTCCCTCTTTATATCCTGCTAATAAAGCTGGCTTGCAAAACTACGAGCCACTCCTCCCCTTCACATCTTTCTCCTCTTCCGCGGCTATTTCTTAACCACACCTTTAACTTCATTATTTGAAAATTCAATATTGGCTCTCATCCCGTCGTATTACTCTCCTTTTATACACTCTCCGTGATATTCTCAACAGCCTTGTTTCATTGCGATCATGTTGAAGGGATGGCTTGGGTTCGGGGGTGGAGAAGTTCCAGCACAGGTCACTCATACCAAATCTACGCAGTCCTTAAGTGCTCTAGATGAGCCGCAAGCATGTTTGTGCCCCTGAGTGTTTAAACACGATCAACCATGGCTTTACTGATATTGTAATGTGATTTAGTGGATCAAGCAATGAAAGGTCCCTTCTATACCTCTTAATTATTTCTCTGCAGTGAACGGCATTATGCTAACTTGACTAAAGCCATGGACTTGCTCTTGAACGATGACGTCCTCGGTGCTGAGAAAGCTGTCGAAGAGGGGAATTCAAGTTACCACAAGGTTCTCTCCCCTCCAATCGTTATTTACTGTATTCACGGAGACAGATAATAATTTGCGCTCGAGTGTAGCTCGCTGGTGGTGTCGTTGCATTTCTTCGTGCAAGTCTAGGTTTTGAAACTGAAATTATGAAAGAAGGTGTTTATCATTTGTGCCTTTTGGACTGTTCTAATATCATCTAACCCTTGTTTTTAAAAAATCAATAGCCTCGGAACGTCTCGCAGACGCCGAAGCATCTGCCGAACGGGATCGGAAGAAGGCTATCAAGGAGAACCATCACCGAAGCTCCTGTCCAATAGGCGCCGAGTTTGCGTTGGCACATGCGGAGGCTCAATTGATGTCTGCTGTAGTTGCAGTTCTATCAGAATCAGTAATAGAATCCATGAAAGCAGTCTACAAATTACGAACCGCGTATAAAACTTTGGAAGGTATCCAAAATGATATGGCTAGGGGTCCAATGCAATTGGACGGAGCTGGGCAGAGTAGGCAAAGTCTTGGGATAGGGAGTAATTCCGAATGTGAACCTTCGGGTTTATTGACTCCTGGGTTGGAAATGAAGGGCTCCGGTGCTAGTATCCGATCGACAGGTTCCCGCCCCAATACCGCCAGAATCCGGTCAGAAAATCTTGTGGATGAATTTGTAATCTCGGGAGTCAATCTTTGCTTTGGGGTTCTACTACTTATTCTCAGTATGATTCCACCAAGTATGAGAGTAGTTATGTCCGCAGTGGGATTTAGAGGCGGTATGTAATCCTGATGATATTTTTTTAGACTAATATTAACATTAAAGGTTTGTTAAGACCGTGAAAAAGGGATAGAAATGCTGTGGAAAGCATCTACCTACAGTAACCTCCATGGTGCAATCGCCGTATTAGCCATCTTACAATACTATGGAAATTCGGTACAGTTCTGTGATGTTTTACCACCTCAAGACCACCCATCTGGTGCAGGATACCCTAAACAGAAATGTCAAGAAGCATTGGAACGACTCAGGGCAAAGTATTCCAAAAGCGCTTTGTGGCGATTGGAAGAAGCTAGGATGTTAGCTGTTGATCGCCAAATGGACGAGGCCATAGCAATATTAGCCCAGCCAGCACAGACACAGATGAGGTATATCTCTTGAAACTTCCTACTGCGATAGGTCACTTATCCCAAATATAGACAGGTAGAGGCATTGTCATTATTCGAAAAATCCTTGTAAGAAAATACCCATTCACGGAATGGATAAAATTCATTTTCTGACATCCGATAGGAACTTGATGTTCATGCACCGTTATGAAGAAACAATTGAAGGTTTTCTGAAGGTATGAGTGATAACCAGTAATAATTGATGATGGGCAACTGATCTTGTCAAAGCTCACAGAACTTAACACCTGGAGCCCAGCACTTTACCACTAGTAAGTCCTTATTACCTCACACCACATGTAGATGTTGACCATTCCCAGCTTTGCTGCTGTGTGTCAAGTGGAGCTTTATAGAAAATACATCGACACAGACAAGAAAAAATCAGTACGTTCATACCTAAAGATGATGAATGAAAGTTGATTGGGAATTTAGGACAAGCACGGTGAACTGGCAGAGGAATTATTCGAGAAGATTCCAACTTTCATGGGTAAGAAAAGATTCATGGCGCAAGGTCTCCCTCTAGAAATGTTTGCGGACCGCAAACTCAAGAAATGGAAGGCACGGGCCCTATCAAAGGGTGTACGGGTTATCGAAGGTGTTGGAGTTAGCCCAGTAGAAGAAATGATTTATTTTTGGAGTAAGTACCGTTGAATATATATATACTCAAAATACAAAGCTAATAAGGTGTATTATATAGATGGGTATAAACGGATGGATCAATCAAATTTTGAAATTTCAAAAAAAGCTTTACAATGGCGAAATGAGGAGATTATCAATGATGCAGTTGATGAACAGGCAATTCAGTGGATTCTACTTAGCGTTGTTTCCAGAAACCTTGATGAGATGGAGAAAACGAAGATGTACATCCAGAACGTTCTTGCGATTGATAGGAATGCGTTTAAAGGGTTGTTGAACGACAACTGGATGGGTGGGCTCCCCTAATTAAGTAGATCCCTATATTATTATTAGTGCTAACGAAAATAAACAGCACCAACGGCGCATTATGAGTGGGCTGTTGCGCTTTGGAAAGAACATGGCCAGAAGGAGTATTTTGAGATCAAATGCTGGCTTGATAAAGCAGCGAATTGGGGGGCCTTCGAGCTTGATGCAAGAGTCGGATTGAGGGTGACTACAGCGCTGGATACAATTAATAGGTTGAAGAAATGGGAAGGGTTTGGATCAGAGGGGGAAGCTTAAGGAAGAAATAAATGGGATACGAGGAAAATAAAGAATGAAGATTAGTTATCTGTGAATCATCAGGCAGTTATCCAACCCGGTTTTCCTCTAGGAACTCATGGTTGATTGCTTGATTGATAGGAAACGCACGGTCAACTGCAGGAGCACATGTAGTTATTGGTGGGTGTTAGTTTTGTTGTCCGTAGGCCTGCTACAAATATTGTAGTAGTTACATGCATGTACATACAATTAGCAGTGAGGTTCGCGCCACTTCCCAGCAGTACTAGTATTATTCCGATGAGAGGTAAAAGCGGTAATGAATGCATATGGACTGAGTGATATCCTATGATTAGAATAAGAATTCGTGGTACAGCGAAAGCTTGCTATAACGGGACCGGAATTTGATACCGTTATAGAGAGATTACCCTTATATAGGAGGTGCTGGTGCTGAAAGCCAGGCAAAAAGGACCGAGAAGTTCTACCGTTATAGAGAGATTACCCTTATAGAAAGTACCGTTATAGCAAGCTTTCGCTGTACATGTAGTGAGGGATCAACAGCCGCAACCCGAGGGATGGCACCAACCCAAGCACAGAGACATGATAATTCAGTCTCAGTTTAATTGGCATTGTTAGCATACAATTTCCTATAAACCTAAGACCCAGGAAAGTTTAAATGCCGGCAGGTAGGCAATATGCCTCTGATAGAATTGGCCTCATTTCCACAAAACAAAACAAGTCCGAGCATGTACACTGCAAGTGGTAGAGATAGACGAGGAAGGGATAAAGTCACCAGCAAGGCCCATCAAGAAGAAAAATCTCAACTGCCAAATCACAAAAGAAGAGAAAAGATATTAACGGAGTAGTTGATAAAAAGAAAACGACCGGCGAATACGCAAGAAAAAAACTTGAAACATGAAGAAACAAAAGAAACTGCCCATCCCAATGCAATACCAGTTGTATAAAAATTACCCAAAGGAAAATAAAGAAAAAAACATCCACTCAGTGATGCCAAGCCCAAAGAAAAGAAATCCCAAAATATTAGACTTTTGAAAATAACCAAGTCATGACCAGTACCTGGTCTGTCCCATTGAAAGACTCGCCACTCAACACCAGATCGTTAACATAGGAAATATTGACAAAACAAAAACGATAACTAGATGTTTTGAAACTTCATAGGAGCCAGTTGTGCATTTCACACAGACTTAATGAAATTGGCCCTCTCGATTTCGATTTCGGCTTGAAGCTTTCTTGTTTTACGAAGAGATTCATCCCTAAATAAAGATTAGTCTGGTAATTTCATATTGAAATAAGTTATAATACCTTTCATTTTGTAGCTCCATAACCTCGATTTGGGCTGTGTTCATTTTCCCGACAACCTCTGCCATCTCGTTATCAGCCTGGCCTAGGGCCTTCTCTAGCTCATCAACGCGCTTCTCCAAGTATTCAATTCTTGAAGAATCTGGGATTGATTGAGATGGTTTCTTGAAACCAGTCCATTCTAGCCGTGGCGATCGCAGCATGGGAGATAATGGTGATCTTGCCGCAAGCCCAGTGGGCGATCCCATCGCTGTTGTTTTCAGTCTTCGAAGTTGAGAAGTGTGTGTATCCTTAAGTTTTCGTACTTCCTCTTCATGGCGAGCAACGGCTTCTTCGGTTTGCTGCTGGGCTTCGAGGACCTTGTCTTCCAAGACTCTAAGCCTCTCCTGAAGCTCATTAATCTTTTGTGCTGACAACTTCTGGTCCTCTTCTCCCCGGCCAATGGCCTCCGCCAGTCTATCCCTCAGGGAGTTGTTCGATTCAAGTTGAGAACGAACTTGTGCTGCCAGTTCTCCAATTCTCTCTGTTGATATTTTCAATTGGATACTGAGGCTTCTTTCCTCAGCAAGGTGTTTCTTCTCCGAATTTTGGAGTGACTCTGCACGCTTCCGGTATGCTTCTGCTTCAACCTGAGCCTCGTCCCGCTCAGCCTCCACTTGAGCAACACCCTGCATTAGTTTGGTGATGGCTCGTTGCGACTCCGAATGCGCCTCTGAGAGTTTGTTTTCCCGGTCTGTAATGTCCTCGGAAAGATCATTTCCTTTCTCCTCCAGCTCATCTAAGCGTGCCAGTGACCTTGCATGTATGTCTTGTAAATCATGGTAGGCTCTCTGAAGAGAAAGAGATGTTTCTTCGCCGGCTTTTTCTTGTCTCAAGTGTGAAATCTGTTTGGACTGTCGGAAATAAGAATCACGTAATTCTGAGTGTCGGCCAACGAGTGAGTCGTGTTCTTGAAGAAGGGCTCTCAGTGTGGCAGTTTCTGTTTCAGCTTGTTCCAGGTCCATCTTTAATGTCCCAAGATTTTTTTCGCATCTAACCTTTGATTCAATTGCCTCATCGGCCCGGCGGCGTAACCGCTCCATCTCTTTCCTTATTGTGCTCATTTCTCGGTCTTTACCATAACGCCTATTGGTTTGCTGTAAAGCCTTATCACGCTCTAGCTCCAAAGCCCTTATTCTCTCCTTGGCTCTCTTATTTTCATATCTGTGTCGCTCTTGTAAACTCTTCAGCGCAGAATGCAAAGCATCTCTTTGTTCCTCGATGCCCTTCACCTTCTCTGCAAGGGTCTCTCTATCTTTAAAATCTAGGGCTAGAGGCATCGTCGAGATAGGTGAGCCCATCAAAGAAACAGGACGAGATGGTCTTCCAATAATCGACTGTCGCGCTTGTTTCTGTACGGCCGATGTTTGAATTGCTGAAGCTTGAACCTGAATCGCTGAAGCCAAAGAAGCATTCTCATTTCGAAGATTGAGAAGTTCCTGTTGCATTTTCGAGTGCTCTTCTTGCATTTGCGTGTGATCCTGCTGTATCTGGGTGTTCTCGTACATACCCTTCTGTAATTCTGATGTTTCTGACTCGAGCCCCTCAACGCGTGCCCGTAATCGAGGTACGATCTCATCACGGAGGTTGTCACGTTCATTTCGGAGCTCCTCTAGTTCACCTCGAAGAGCAGTAAGAAGATCTTCATAATTCTCCTTCATCTGACGTTCTTCTGCAAGTCTTCGCCTAGCATCCTCCAGTCCTACCTCCAACTCCTTAACTCTTCCCGAGGAACCTGCAGTCAAAAACTGAGCACTCTCACGCTATATATTGGTAAGCGATTTGTTCAACGTAAGCAAGAATATGCAGAGAAATTCTTACCCTCGCAGATTGCTCTTCCATTTCTTTTACTCGTGCTTCAACTGCCTTTCTTCGTTCCCTCTCTTCTTGAATGCTACTTAACATTTCTAATCGTACTCTCGAAATATCCTGTTCGGCCTTCCGTTGCATCTTATCTACGTCAACCTCTTGCTTGGTTTCTGAATCTAAATATCGTGTAGAGGTTCCAGCATCCGAGAAGTAATCACTCGTCCTTTTGCTCTCGCCATTCCGCTCCGCGGCCTCTGCTTGCAAACGCTCAATAAGGTCTTCTAACTCCATTTCTCGACGGATAGAGGCAGCCAAGTCTGCGGAAACTAGTCGCACCTCTTGCTCAATAGCGTCAATTGCTGAAGGGGTTTGAGGGGCAAAAGAAACCCCTGAGTCGGAATGAAGGCCATCGGAGACTGCAGCATTTGCGCGAGGAATATCAATTGCTGGGGGTATAGATCTTGATGATGAATATAGTTGTTGCGTGTTGGTAGATTTTGGTGAAGGTGCCGGTCTTTCAGAAATTGAGGTAGATGGTGATAGTGGCACGATTCCTCCTTGATCGGAAGCACTTCCCCACCGGAGAAACGAGGTTATTCTAGCACTTGGTGACCTTGGTGGCTTATTTGCTTCCTCAGTAGTTTCTGATATCGATGGAGAGCGACTGCGAAAGGGAACATCCGGGAGATTTAAATTTGCCGGAATCGTCGGTGAAGAATCTGATGCTGCCGAAGAGCTTGCCATTGTTGAGGCAGGCCGTCGGTGCGGTGGGTCAATATATTGGTTACTTTTGTTTACTGAAGATTCGCTCCAGACTCTCGCATGACTTGTGTGTGAGGTCAATGGAGATGGTGGATAAACTCGTGGTGTAGGAAGCTGGACTCGAATGTCAAATTCACCATGTGAGTCGGCAGCCCAGCGACCTTGTCCAAGATTGGGGGAGTCTCCGTGAGGGAATCTAGAGAAGAGAATATATGTCAGAGGAATAGGTCTTCGGAACATGCCATGGAGCTTGGTTGTCCGTACTTGTCGAGATCCCGTATGACAATGCCGCCTGAGTCTAGCGGAGGAGAATGTTCTAAGAGACCTTGAGCACGGTTACTTGAACTTTTTTTATTTAAAGATTGCTGTAGACTCGGTGACTGGTTGCCGCCAGAGGGAAGGAGAGGTTTGCAGCGTACAAGAGAGTTTGAAGAAAAGGGAGGAGACTCCAACTGCTCACAGGGTCGAGGAGGAGATTGGGGAGGTAGAGACGGGAGCGTAGAGGGGCCGTGTTCATCCATTTTTGAGGTTAGACCTTCGGGGGGGATGTAGGAATCAATGCTTTTTCTCACACTATTTCTAGAAGAATAGAATGTCAGCGCGCCGGCAGAACAATACGGGGCCAAAAGTCGTGCATAAATTTATGTATGAATATGGAAAAGAAAAGGGGCCCTTGATAATGAGAAAGGGAGACAGGAAATTTCGGGTTGTAATGAACAGTGATGCGCTAGAGATGTTGGGGAAATGGAGGGTCCAATCACCCACCTGCACAGGCCAGATCAAATCTAACGGGCAACGCCTGGTGAACGTATGTATGCTATCTTATAAGTCGGGTGGACCGTGGGGCCTCCAGGGCGGTTGCACGGGTCTACAAGGGTTAGCGGATCGAAATAGTGATGTTCTTTGGATTTCCCCGAAGTCAGTCGGTCAAAGCAAGGTGGAGAATTTTGCAAGGCGCGGAGTTCTTTCTAACATCCAAGTAGGTCTTTTTGATATCTCAATACTACAAGAAACGACTTGTACAATCTGGTTGCTGCTGTGAAGCCGTAACACGTCTTTGTTCAAGAGATGATGGACGTTACAGTATTGTACTTAATTAGCGGTCCACCAAAGGTTGCTTAGCCTGAGCAAGTGTTGAGTTCTGTTGTCTGTTGTAGTAGGTATGATGTATGTACACTGGCAAGCACAGGGACTGAGCTTCAGGAATCGAACTCATGAATATGAAGGGCAAAATCGAAAGAGCTTGATGTTTGCCTTCCCGATTGCTCGCCAGAGGCGCCCGGTGATTTACTGGCTGGGGCTCTCCTGAACCCCTCCTACCATCTGACATGGAAGGATAATGGTACCAGATCCTGTTTAGGCTTGACCTCCTCCAACGCCTACTGGTGGCGCTGTCGAGTACCTAAGGCTTGAAGGCACGCCGATGCTGATGGGGAGGTTTTTTCTCCTTCACAATAAGCCCTAACGGTCGTGTAGAGGTGGTGAGCTGTGGAGACAAGCTGCTCGAGCTCATGTCCTATCTTCCCCTCTTCCTTTCTATGCTAGAAAGTATTTCGATAGCTCGCCTCCCCAACATTTCTCGGGCTACATCGTTGACCTGTTGAAAATAAGACATGCGATGTTAGGAATGCTCATGTCGACCGGAATAGGCCTGGGTGTTGCCTGCCCTGCCCAATAAACCCTGGCTGCCCCTGAATCTAGCCATAAATGGAAGTCTGCGTCTCGGTGATCAGCTTCTACGTTCCGAGTTGTTGTTTCCGGATTGGTGGCGGCGTCTCAACCGCTCAAGTAAAAACGAAATTGGCGCTGGACACTTGAAGCCTCATGTCCATCGCCACAGCACGTAACACCTAGGTACATACGTGTAGCTAAACGGCATCATTGGCGCTTCTATAAAGTAAGTTTCTTTCCCCCTTAAGATAGCTACATGTATCTTTGTTCCTTATGAAGATAAGGAGGTCTTCGTAATAATAGAGTACATGTAGTTCAGCCTTCCAGTGGCTCGTAGGTATGTATGTACATGTATGTAGCGGTAAGGAGATTCTAAGCAGAGAATTTGAAGACGGTGAGTGGTTGGTAATCCTTCGGTGAAGATTTAGGTTGGCTCGGTCAATAAAAAGGGGAAAATATTATCTAGTAAGTACATGTATGTACGTACCTACATGTACTCGTAGCTTTATAGCGTTTCCGAACACGACCAATATTGCATGACATACGAAAAAGCGCCAAATCCACCTTTTTGTATGGCATGCAATATTGGTCGTGTTCGGAAACGCTATAAAGCTACGGGTACTTTATTTATTCTATTGGGTAGGTGTATATAGTAGTACTTTAGGGTTAGGGTTTTAATACCCATTTGGCTCCCGACACGGATTCAACGCGACGCACGCGAATGAGTGATTGAACAAAGAGATGCGATAGCTGGACCTACATTCCTCCAACGAAAGTCCATTTCGAATCCTTCATAATCGACATGGCTCACCATATTCCAGAATACGACGGCTCTCTTACTGTCCCAAGCTGCACAACAGTCCCAACATCATCGCGGAAGAGAAAACGTGAAGACGAGAAATCAGTGCTCGGGGATCCTTTCGTCATTAAGGTAACTCCATTTCGCTCACCCCACCACCTCAGCACCTCGGTTTTTGATATAAATTTCATTTCGTACCGCTTCTAACCATCACTTCGTATAGCCCTATTCATCTTCGGTTTTTGATCCCTCGGTAAAGCTTACTCCAGCCGTTGTTATCCCACGCTCCTATATCCCACTGCAATGGCTCGCCGGGTATCCGTCACGTCTATTCTCGATACCAACTCAAATACAGGCCTTGGATGTTCCCGGAAATGTCATCATCGTAAAAATAGATGGTGAACGACAGTTAGCTGCTGTTGAGAAGGTCAAGGATGATGTTTGCACACTGTACAAACTATCGACGCAGTTGAAGATGAAGGATGTCCGTAAAACGGCTTCACTTATTAAGAAATCACGCCAAAACCCAGAGCAAATCTCTGAAGACACAGATCCTATGACAGAAATACTAAGTGCAAACTGGTGGTCAGGTTTGGAAGTGCCTAATTTCGATATAAACAATGTTATATGTGTAGAAGAGCCTACTATCAAATTGATCGTGGGTTGCTCAGACCTAGATGTCTGTCAAGACAGCACGCTCTTACCGTACGTCGATTTGTGACATGTAACTTATCAAATGCTAATATTATGTTCCTAGAATCCAACCAAATGCACCGATATCCCCTCTAGCAGCCGCAGACACTCCTTTGAAAGTGGTAGAGGACTTTCCAGAGCCCACTTTAACTGACATTCTTGAGAGGACTCGAGTGCAATATTACAAAACTTTATATATTGCCAAGACCTCTCTTGCGTATTTCGCCAAATCAACCCTTTCACGAGCTCGTGTGGCTGTGCAGCACGAGCAAGGAAGTGAATTATCAACATCTTTGGATTCCAGTAACAGATTCCGCACTTTTTTACTGGATATGTATCTACCGTTTAATAAGATGAACACCAAATATCGAAAATCGATGGTTCAAGTTGCTACGGAAGACCCGGTAGAGGATATATCAGTCTTTAGGGTCGGAGAGGAGGAATATGTGCAACAGTGGAGAGTTGCTACATGGGAGGAGAGGCTAATGCAGGCTAACGATCCTGTGATGAGGCGGAAAGTGGAGGAGCTCAAAATTAGAGAGTATGTTTCCAAGATCCTCTATTGACATCAAATACTAAGAACAGGAACAGGACCGAGTTGCAAATCATCATTTTGCTTGAGATGCTAGCACTGGAACGAGAACAGGCAACATTGGCAAAAGGATTGCCAATCAAAAATCAATCATCCGGAAAGAAGTTCAAAAAGGAGGCCAAGAAGAAAGGGAAAAGAAAGTCTAAGACTAATGAACCAGATCCTAAACTCCTCCTTGATCTGCTCGTCGATCGACTTTGTATTTGGAGATCTATAGGCTCAAGTCCAGAAGTACTGGATGATGAATCTTCTGATCAGAAGAAGGTTACTGATAAGGAATATGACCATCTCAGACATTTCTGTGTAGAGGTGGTCTTAGCATTGTAAGTTACACGACTCTTTTCAATTTGCCTTTGCTAATAAACCGAAGTTATGCGTCGAGGCTTCCTGAAGAATGCGCTGCCATCAACAAAAAATGCGGAGGGTCGAGCTCAAGAGCTCGTACCCCGGGACAGCCCAAGAAGGAAAGAAAATCACAGACAAAAAGACCTCCTGTGACAAGGGTCTCCACTGCGCCGGCTGCTACCTCTAACGCGAGAGAAGCCAGTGTGGACACACTGGCAGCCCTTGTTGCAGCTGATGCAGCTTCCTTGCCAAGAAAAAATGTTCGTGGAGGAACGCTCAATTGTAAGAGTTTTGCGAAACGAGAGGTACAAATCGCTTCGAGAAGCGGACAGCAGAAGAGGGTGGACGAGGAGTTGAAGGAAGCTATAAACGCTTTGAAGAAACCCAACCGCATTGCTGCGGCTTCTGGACTGGTTGATGAGTCGATGAAGCGGGTCTCTAATAACAAGAGTAAATCTCACTCGAATGATATGTCGCAGTGGAAGATTGCTAAGAAGAACCCAGAGTCGAAGAAATCGGCCAGGAACCCTCTAGCGAAAATACAGGTTATGGCCACTCCGAAGCGGAGGAGGACGATTATGCCTCCACAGCCCTCCCTTCAAACTGTGGCAGAAGATTCATCTAGCTTACATGCACATGACCCGTTCTATGCCCCCCGAGTACCCAATCCAAGAACTTTACGTGATATCCCTGGCACGCCGCTCCGACGGGGCAATAGTAGGATGGATTTTGATGTTGTTCCCGCTACCAGTCCCTTCCAACCACCATCAGAGACCCGAAGAACTGCAACATTCCCAGGTGCGTTTACAACGCCGCAAAAAAAACAGCCTCGCCCTTTAGGCGCCGATTTAGGATCCAACTTTGTCCCTTCGTCGGCAACAAAGAATCCTGTAATTCTACCTCATAACGATACCCACCCGTCCGGAGTTTCCAAATTTATGGAAAAGAAGCCTTTTGACCCGACAGATGAGCCGTCATCTCCCGCGGGAGGCGTGATGCTTTATGATACTGATGCTATTGGGGAAACACCTTGTAAATCTTTTGCACCAATGGCTAGGATGGTTAAAGAAAAGAAAGAGGTATCGATATATAACAGTTTGGGATGGGATGATGATGATTATGACCTATGAATTTGAGTGAATTGGCGTTTTCCTTCCTCATATTATTACCTGTGCCGTTGTCATTGACACCACATCCCTGTCTCAATCAATTGCATGTAAACTGGAGTTGGTTTTGGCTTTAAAAATATAATTTGTTATTGAAGCCCTGTATTTTTAGACGTAGACGTTGAACTCGCTAGCTGTGTGAAACGATGTTGACCCCACTCAACCACAATCTTCTCCGAATGTTTATTCACATGTGTGTATACCTTATGCATTACAAGATTTAGTACTCCCTGTGCTCGCACTTCTTGGTAACCTCCACAATTCTTATTTCGAGCCTAATAGCCCCAGACTTTTAACATCTGTCTCGCCTTCGGGTCGGGCCCCAGAAGCGAAATCGGGATCAGTCTTCGCGCGGCGGATATATGCAGATTGAATGGCCTTTGCTTTCGCAAGCTAGAAATCACTAAGATATCAGTATGAGTTCATTCTAACCCCTCCTCATACGTGAGCTGGAGTGGCTCTGTTCCTATTGGATGCATCCATTATTTACTGACCTCCTTTTTGTGATGGAGACATTCGTAGTAATCGTCATGTTGAGGGGCACACTTCCATTTTCCCTCATCACTCCCTGAGTTTGTATTCATAACGTAGCAGGCCAACATGTCCTGCCAGAATGGAAAACACTGGGATGATACATTATTGTCAGTTCGTATCGTTTACAGTCATACGCGGAAACCTACTCTACCGACCCCTGTGGACAGGCGTGATCAGTTTTAGTTTTCTTTTCTTTCCCTTATCCATTAAGAGCATTTCCCGGAACGGGGGAAAGAGGGGCCCACGTACCGCCATGAAGACCGTAACCAGAAGCCATGGTGTTTTGACTTTTTCAGGTATCAAAAGAAGAGTCGCGGGCGCTGGTAACGATTTAAGATATGGGAGATTTGAATAGAGGTTGAGAAAAACCGGGATGATAGTCAGTACCTAAGCCGAGCTGTCCGTCAATTATCGCACTTCAATTGCCGAGAGCTGCAGTAACGAGGGCTTGGCGAAGGTTGGCCCTTCTCCCATTGGATGGATAGATGGACTCCTAGTAGTGGCGTCACTGGTCACCTCTTCGGCTTCCCCAGCCTCTGTGCCAGGATCAAGATACAGCATAACCTGTGTGGTTACCCGCTGCTTTCCCCATTATTACCTTCTCGATCTCACCCTCGCCTCCTCCTCCTCCTCCTCCTCCGCTCGCTCCTCCTTCTCTCCCAGCGCTCCAAACCATATCTATTTTCCTAAAAACTCTTTATATCTACATTTTACACAATGAAACTCACCGCTGTTGCTCTTTCTGTGTTCGTCGCGTCAGCCACTGCCTCGAACTTCTTCCAGCAGCTCGCTGGAAACTCAAACCCGTCAGCACAAAGTGGTGCAAAGATCCCCGGAGAATCTCCGCTATACCACTGTGGACCTACCAGCGACGATATTCTAACCATCGATAAAGTTGATTTGGTCCCGAACCCACCTGTCCCGTTAGCCGCCTCCAATAATAACCTTTAACCCGCAATGTGCTAACTCCAGTTCTAGTGGACAATCGCTCACAATCGAAGCCTCTGGCACTCTCCACAGAAGTGTTGAGAAAGGTGCTCAGGTTGAAGTCACTGTCAAATATGGTCTTATTACTCTGATTAAAGAGACACTTGACCTCTGCGACCACGTCGGTGAGGTCGATCTTGAGTGCCCCATCAAGGCAGATAAGATGGTTTTGACCAAGGTGGTTGATATCCCGAAACAAGTTCCTCCCGTAAGTGATACATTCCTCTTTTTACCGACATGATTCGCGATCGTATATGGTATATTGCTCTTATACCGCTCCGATCGTTCTTGTGGGGCTTTCGTTAACAACCTTCTGGCACAGGGAAAATATAACGTTGCCGCAAATGCATATCTGGAGGATGGGGACCCTATCACTTGCCTCGTTGGCCAAGTCATATTCACTCGCTGAATAGGCCACCAGGTCGTTATGGAAGTTGTAAACCTATGCCTTAGTGTGGCAGACTTAATGTGTTATGCTTGACGGAGACGAGGAATTATAACTATCTCCTTTATGGAGACTGGGTCGCTTGAAAGGTTGTTATTGGGCTTGTTATTATTATGCGTTTTCTGCTTTTGTTATTAGTTTTACATTCAGCACGCATACCTTGCTTTTTTACTTTCGCCGTGCTCTCGATCATCATTTTATGCTTCAAAAGGCTCTCTTCTGTTTACCATTTCAACAAATGTAGGTACTTGGTGGCTCTTGGGTACTATTTTAAATATTCTTTACCTCTCTGAAGTACATGTATTATTACGAAAACTGTGACTTAATCCCCTGAAGGTGCACACGTAGAATCCAAACCTACATGTACTTTGGTGTGCCTGAATGCAGCGGTAGATCTAAGACCATGTACCTACCTCCGATTCGCAGGGAAACTAAAACTTTATGCCAGGTGGGCAGGTAAATACTGTAGTACGGATAATGGCGTAGGTTTCTAGTCGACTCCACCAATGAGTGCGCGCGCTAGGCGTCAACTACTGCCAAAAAAGGTCAGAGATAAAACCTGCATTGTCTGGTGTCCCGAATAACCACCTCACAACCCCCAGTCAAGATTCTTCTTTGAGAGTACTCGGGGCAGGCGTGAAGAACCTGAACATAAAAACGCGCTAGCAGGGGTCAAGTGGCTGGTACAGCGGTGGGTAATAAGTGATCAGACAGAACGCCACCAAAATACGCGTTTGCAGGCAAAATTGTGGCTAGGTCGTCCGATGACTTAATACCCACCGCTGTACCAGAAAAACGATGTTCAGGTTCTTCATGCCTGCCCCGAGTACATACCTACATGTACCTACATGTAGCTAGGCACATACATGTAGGTGTAGTAGGCCTCAGTAAAAAAAACTACATGTATTATGTGTAAGCGCTTAGATCAGGCCCTCCAAAATATAATATCCGATGATTCCAGGGTGTCATAACGCAGTTGTTGTTTTGATTGATAATTTTGCTATAATAACATTCATTTATTTTAATCGGTCTGAAAATATAGGTCGTGGTTTCCATACAGCGTCTGTACATACATGTACTTGATGCAGCCCCTAATGGTTGGACCGAGTGATACTCTGTGAAGAATATTACAATCAGCCCATTGGTTTCGGCCTCCGCCCCACATCCATATATAGTCACGTGAGATATGATATCCGGAGACAGTGATTACATACAGGTATTTAATACTTGGATTTACCACAGCGAATAACGAGGCGTAAGCGTTATGTACAGCCGCACTCGAAAAGTACTCGCACCCTACTATATTGAGTCGTTCATGGCACTCGCGCATACTCAACTTATTGATAGGTATGACCGCAATAGAGACATTGCAGCTCTCTCTGGCAATTGTCTCGAATATGGGAACTGAGGAGCAGAAAGGATTGCCTCGTGAGTTTGGCTCGGAGGTGCTAATGCTTTTTAAATGCGGCTGTACGTACATGTAATATGGTGAACTGGTACATAATGCGGGCGAGGAATACTACAGTGCCGGAAAGGTTGGTGAAATTGCAACAGGATTCATCAGCATGCTATACTGGACTGCGGTAGTGGTACAGCTTTCCCCCGGTATTTATGGCAGCGCGCGGAGTTGATTACATACATGTACATGTAGGTATTCTCAAACGATGCCGCATCACTCACACGCGAATTACATCTCATTTCCTAGTCTTGTACCCATCAGCAGGAGGGCTGGATATGAGCCTACTCATTCCCCTGTATAATCGTAAGTACATGTACAGCCACTCAGCAAAAGTGTTCGTGATATAGTTTTAATGTCGGTGCGCAGTGTGGCGCACCCGTAATATTAAAGTTGAGATTCAAAACAACGAGAAATATATAATATAGTTCGTGACTATATATAAAAAGAGGATAGGTCATTGATCTTATTCTTCATTAACTTGGGCGCCATTGGTAACTGGGAAGGTCTTCTCTTGGGGGTTCTTGATGGCCCACCGCAGTTATATATGGAGAAATGTCTCACTCCGAAATAGGAATCACGAACACTTTTGCAGAGTGGCTGTACATACATCCTACATGTAGAGTACTCACTTATCAAGTACAAGCGGAGTGCGGCCTTCGGCCGCCCAAATGTACTGAGAAAATAAGGTGCGGGCGGTACTGCGATAGTAATTTCTTAGGTTATTGCTGTCGTTCTGGATTATTGGGTCATCCAAACGTACAGGCATGCACTAAACCTCATCTCCATCTCTCCTTATATGTAATCTGTGATATATTAGCTCTAGTATGCACTCTAAGTCATTCAATGAGTAGCGTTAGTAGTATGTACATGTAGTCCATGATAAAATGGTATCAGCCTGAGGGAAATTCGGCCTTCATATATAAAAATATAGCTGTAGTTCTGTCAGTGTTTGTTCTTTTATATCCATCAATTGCAATAGCTACACGCCTTTTAATGCCAGTTCCCTTCCATCTTGGGAGTAGTTCTTTGTCGAATCATGATATGCAATCAATATTAGAAATACATGTAGTGCGCTGTAACCAATAGGAGACGTTCCTGGTGACATATACTTGTAGTTTAGATATATTTACCCAATCAGCAAAACACACCAAAAATCGAGGTTTTCAACAACTCAAAAAATCCTATAGTTGTACCAAAACTGCAACGATCAGGTATAGTATAATTTCGGTAAAGGGGATTCACGCCTCAAATTCTGAGCCTAATTGGTATACTGGTAAAGGTGGAGAGGAAATCAATAAAAGAACTTTTAAACGCCTTTTGCCTACAGGGCTTTCAAGTTATGGATATGGCTTAAAAACTGGCCTGTAGAGTCTTTCAGGTGTCTAGATAAAGAATACATACTTTCAGGTGAGATGGGAAAGTTCTCGGGATTCTATGTGTTTTGCTGGTTGCGCAAATACATACTTGAAATGCGAGTACATATCATCAAGTTTAGCTTGTACATGTAGTTAGATTCGAATAACACATTCACACGTAAAGTCAAGGTCCATATTAACCTGATGAATAATATTGTTCAGCTGAAGTGTAAAACCACCACGACCACAAATAATACGCGTTTCAAAACAAAGGTGACACGATCTATATTAATATTTCCATTTTGGTATTTTCTTCATAACCTCAGAGTTCTAACTTCTTTGAGTCCTAATCCTAAGTATGGAATATAATGAAGAGCACTACCGGAATAAATAAATAAAAACTAAAAAAAACTAAAACTAAAAAAACCTATAAGGTGGTATTACCTATTAATATTTGTCATCTGCCAAAAGCCAAAGTATGATGTAACCAGATGAACTAGGTCTTCTTTTATTCCAAAATAAACGCCTTTCAAACAGGGTTCAACTTTAAGATAGGTTTAGGCTCAATTATCAGAGGTATCGTTTGTGAGTGAAAGGTACGTGTTCCATGCGATACCGACGGTGGATGCGAATGGCTATGCTAAAAATGTAAGTTGTATGATACTCAGGAGAATCAAAAGAGGACTGACCAATTGTAACGCGAGAGGTACAAGACGGAAGTTAAGTATTTGCACAGCTGGCCAGATAATATAATTTACTTTTCTATTGCAATCCTTCAGGTTAAATCGTGTACAATACGAGAGCTGAAATAAAAAGGGGTTCTTACAAAACAGGAGCATAGGCAACACTGAACTTTCGGGCTATTGCCTTTTTCCCGCCTCCTTCTGCCAGTGTCATGTAAATGAAGAAGATTGCCAAGGCTACAAGGATTATCAGTAAGATACGTAAATACTTTTCGTCAAATCGTATGCATGTACTTACAGATAGGGGAAAAAACCACTTGGTCGAGAAGAACACGCAGCAAAGCAGGGCCATTTCTGTTCTCCGGCGTTATGGGGAAGATCTCAGAGAGAAATTCAAACCACGAGAATGACACTGGTGCCATGATTAAACCTGCTATTTTGTTACTTCACTGATCCTATCTAGTTCTAGTTGCAGAAGGTAAGACATACCCCATGCCATGAATCTTATCCATCTCTCAAAATCAAAGCCTAGTTGGGTACCGACGAGGTCCCCTCGATGACTTGGAAGAGGGCCTTTTTCGTTTAAATCATGAATCTCTATCGAGATGCCATCCTTTTTGGAAGAATCCAGCGGCTTCCGAAGAGACTTTGCTTGTACAGAAGACACGATTTGAGCAACAGTATCTGCTACTCCGCCGAGTATCTACTGTCAGACATTGGATTACGGCGTAAGCTTTCAGTCACAACTTTGTTTTGCCCCTTGGAGAGAATAAATCGCACCGCGTTCGTAACCATCATGGTTAAAATTGGTTTTGCAGCAAAATGCAGATCAAACTGAAAGGCCAGCTGTGCCAGACCAACTATTTCAGCAAGCATGATAATCGCGTGCACAAGGGGCTACATCCAGGCAATGCATTCCATCAGCAGCTGCCGTGATTTGAAGAAGGAATTGGTAGTAGCTATGGGAGAAACAAGCGCACCACGCGACCACACAGATAGTGATTATTAGCTGATCGAAGAAGATGGGAGCGAGTAGTGGTAGACATTTCTACGAATAATAGCTATATGGGGGAAAATATGTACGGTGGACAGGTGATAGTAGAGAGATAAGGGTTGTATGAAAATCTGTGATCGATAGATTTACGGAGCGTGTACTGCGCCCGTTGTTGAAGGGATATCGCCAGATTCACGGTCTTGTATGGTTGAGTGAATAGGACAGCTAATGTAAGCTTGGATAAAATGTACTCACTAGAGTACATGGTGGTGGGTGATCCCTGTGTACATACATGTGGAGAGGAGAGACAGTGTGATCTAATCTGATAAGATGCGGCTGATATGAGCATAGAATTCTGCTGACTCAGATATCAGGTCCTGGCATTGGTTAGTGCCCGTCTCTCTCCTGCTGCTCCTGGTACAGTTGCTCTGTTGCTCCTCCCCTTCCCCCCGTCGTCGCTCTTCACCCAGCTGCTGGGTACAGTACATACCTACGTCGGTCGCCCACCCTAACCCCCACAACTCCTTCCCGCAACCACCACAACCTCCCACCGTCCTTCATCACCCAACCACCTGCAACCTCGCACGAAATATCCTCTCCCCATAAAGTGCGCCATAGCGATACCGTATTTATATTCGGATCGTCTAGTCGAGCTGCAAATCATGTCTGGTGGGTCTCCTTTTTTTCCTATCGTGTTTCGCGCGTTGTTGTTGCAAAAATTCTTGTCATCCTCGTGCATCCCGCTCGCTCGTCCCTCCATCTTGAATCTATCCCCAAAGGTACCCGATGGCCATTCCCTTGCATGCCACCCCTCAAAACGTGCCTGCTGAAGCAGGTGACATTACTATCCCGCTTTCATCTTTCGTTTTTACCTGTAGCCTTTCCAAGACTTCTTTTACCCCCCGCTACCTTCCATCTTGAGCTATCATCAACATCGAGTCCTGCATCCCCGAAACCTCTTCCTGCCTCGTCTAGTGCCTCCATCTTCTGTCTGATGCAATCGTTTTTGTCGCCTTACTCGTGATGACCTCTGGCAGCTTTCCGCTGCTTTCTAGGTGTCTTGTGGGCCTGATAATGGTGCTGACGTCCAATTACAGAAGGTAGCGTGGTTATCCCGTCTCCCCCGGACGACCCAAGTTTCGTCACGTCCCCTCCGGACACCTCGTACCCTATTGTAAACCATGCATCTAGTCCGGAAAACTCTTCGGAAAGCGAGGCTGGCTTGTCAGATGCAGAAGAGGAGCATACACCACAACAGGAGTCGGCCTCGACTCCCGAATCGAATCATGACGATGACGAAGAAGTGAGCTCGGACAATTCGTCAGATGATGATGTAGAAGGTCAATCGGAAGATGGAGATTACGAAATAGAAACGCCGCTTGAGGAGCCAGTTGAGGACAATGGGTACGAAAGTACAGTGAAGTCTGCGAAAGAGTCACGGAAGACTACCAAGATTAGAGTTGCGGATGATTACAACGAGAATCCAGACCTATATGGCCTACGCAGAAGTGTAATTCTTGTCTAAACCATCATATAGTACATCATATTGACCAATTACTTCTAGGAACGAGCTCGCCCGACTGCACGACTGACTGTAACCATCCTCTTCCCTGCTGATCCTATGGCATGCCTTGAGTGGGCCTGAAAAACGCATCTAATATATTTGACAGATTGATACCTCTAGTTCAGAGTCAGATGACTCGGAACCAAAAAGCAGCCGTTCACGTAAAAGGCGGAAGCCTGCCCCCACAAAACCATCTAAATGTTAGCGCTCCCAAGATTACCACCGGAAAAGAGACTGTACTGACCCTATTATTCAGCATCTAAGCTTCCTTCGCCTGTGCATGAGTACAACTCAACCGATGAAGATGAAAGCGAGGATGAGTACGGAGTCCGCCCTTCCCACAAGTCACGCAAAAAGAGACGACGCGTCGCAGCTACTACCAATGATACCCCTCCAGCCGAAGTTCGTTTCTCCACTCGTCGAGCTGGGAGGGTGACGAACTATAATGAGGATGATGAAGATGACTTTGAGGAGGATGCTACCCCGGGATATGAGTATCTGGAGCCAGAGCCAGATGCTGGTCCTGGGATAGATCTTATTCTAGATCACAGACCCCGAGAGGGCATAGGTATATTCTTACCCCGAAACCTCTATTTTCATCTCTAACAAGATCTAGATACCTCAAAACCTCTTTACAAGCGTGCTGATCTTGAGTTCCATGTAAGCCCTTTCTACGATTCTGAGCCATGTTATTTAATATTCAATGCTAAACTCAAGTAGATAAAATGGCAAGGGCTTTCACATTATCACGCAACATGGGAGTTATATGAAAACTTAGTCGATTATAAAGGAATAAGGAAATTAGATAACTACATGAGAAAGGTAGTTGAACAAGATTACTATATGCGGATCAGCTCGAACACAACAAGAGAAGAAATCGAGGCGATGGATCTTGATCGTGAACGTGAACGTGACGCAATTGCAGAGTATGTTATCGTGGAGAGGGTCATTGGCCACCAAAATCATGGCGAGGGGTTACAGTATATGATAAAGTGTTTGAAGTCCCTTTTCTCTACGCGAGCCGTCTCATCGTGTTAATTCAATGGCTATAGGGAAACGTCTTTCATACGATTGTTGTACATGGGAGGACGAGGACCTCGTTTCTAAAATTGCCCAAGAACAAATCGATAAATACTGGGATCGAACAAATTCTATACCCTTATCAAAAAAGTCCGAAACTGATACGGGCACTCGCCGGAGTTACCAAAAACTTGATGCTCAGCCAAACTATATCAAGGGCGGCGAACTACGGGACTTTCAAATGAAGGGCCTCAACTGGTTAGCATATAATTGGACAAAGGGCAATAACGGTATACTTGCAGACGAGATGGGACTGGGGAAAACAGTTCAGACAGTGGCTTTTATGAGTTGGGTAGGCAGCCGAGGAGTCCTATCTACGTTTCATAACATAGACTGATTGGTGCAAACTTCAGCTTCGACACGATCGGGCTCAGCATGGTCCATTCTTAGTTGTAGTACCGTTATCTACTGTCCCTTCTTGGGCCGAAACACTTGAGAACTGGGCGCCGGATATGAACTTTATCGTTTATACTGGTTCTGGTAAGGCACGAGAAGTATTGCGCGAATATGAGATGTTTGTCGATGGGAATCCCAAGAAGACTAAGTTTAATTGTATGGTCACCACTTATGAGTACATCCTAAACGACGCCAATATTCTGCAGCAGATCAAATGGCAATTTCTTGCAGTTGATGAAGCTCATCGACTCAAGAACAAGGACTCTGCCCTCTATGATAAGTTGAACGACTTCAAGGCACCAAGTCGTTTACTTATCACTGGTACTCCCTTGCAGAATAACCTGAAAGAACTGGGGGCGCTAGTAGACTTTCTCATGCCTGGGAGGATTCAAATCGATAACGATGTTGATCTGCAATCTGCAGATGCTGCCCGACAGATCGAAGCGTTACAAGAAACCTTAAAGCCCTATATGCTTCGGCGGGTCAAAAAATCTGTTGAGAAATCACTCCCGGGAAAGACAGAAAAGATCATTCGTGTCGAACTCTCAGATATCCAGACGGAATATTATAAGAATATCATTACCCGGAATTACGCAGCTTTGAATGCTGGAGCCACAGGACCGAAACAGTCGTTATTAAATATCGTCATGGAACTGAAGAAGGCTAGTAATCACCCGTTTATGTTCCCATCCGCAGAGGATCGAATACTACAAGGCAGTACCAAACGCGAAGATGTCCTAAAAGCTTTGATCATGAGCAGTGGCAAAATGGTTCTCCTTGATCAATTGCTTACAAAACTCAAAGCGGATAACCATCGTGTTTTGATCTTCAGTCAAATGGTTCAAATGCTAGATATCTTAGCAGACTATTTAAATCTCAAGGGATATGCTTATCAACGTCTTGATGGTACAATAGCTGCTGGACCTCGTCGGATCGCGATTGATCATTTTAATGCCAGGGATAGCCCGGATTTTTGCTTTTTACTCAGTACTCGAGCTGGAGGGCTTGGTATAAACTTGATGACAGCAGATACGGTTGTTCTTTTCGATTCAGATTGGAATCCCCAAGCAGATTTGCAAGCTATGGCTCGTGCCCATCGTATTGGGCAGAAATCACATGTTATGGTTTACAGGCTAGTATCTAAAAGTAATTACCTCTATCACCCTTAACCTGAAAATGATAAATAACCGTCTATCTTTTAGATACCATTGAAGAAGAAGTTCTAGAGCGTGCTCGGAATAAGATGATCCTGGAGCACTTGGTCATCTCTCTTGGCGTCACCGATAAAGGTATTACGGATAAGGTCAAAAAGAAGGATAAATTAGAATCTGCAGAACTTTCTGCTATCCTTAAAGTATGAATAACCCTTAGAATTGATCGGGTATAGACTAATTTTCATCAAGGCACGTGCTTCCAAAATGTTTGAAGCCACGGATAACCAGAAAAAGCTCGAGGAACTGAAAATCGATGACATCTTGCTTAATGCAGAAGACCATATTACCCAAGTGGAGCCTGGTTTAGGCGGAGAAGGAGGCGATGATTTCTTGAAGCAGTTTGAAGTTACAGATTTCAAGGCGGAAGTGTCTTGGGACGATATCATCCCGAAAGAGGAATTGGACGCGATCAAGGGTGCGGAAAAGGTTCAAGAGGTAATATCTTTTTCTTCTATTTTTGTATGCTCTGGCTAATATTTAAAATTTAGGAGGAGGAGTTTCTCAACGAACAGATTGAGATGAGCACAAAACGCAAGCGCAGGGGTATTGCAAATGGCGAGCCGGAAGGTCGGTCGGCCAAGCGGCGGGCAAAGGAGCTTTCAGCTGCAAGAATTGATTACAGTGATGATGAGCCTGACGAAGATCCTATGAGGCCTCTAAACGAGCGTGAAATCAGGAATCTCTACAGGGCTTATGGTCGTTACGGCTGCCTTGATGAGTGCTGGAACGATATCATCAATGACTCTGGATTAACTAATCGCGACCCGGATGTGATCAAATCAACGATTGCTGACTTAGTCGCGCTAAGTGAGGTCGAAATCCAAAGGCATCGGTCAACATTCGATGACGGTATCGGAAAGAAGGAAAAGAAAGCGATATTATTCGATTACAAAGGCACTAAGAAACTGAACGCCGAGACAATTGTTCAACGGCCTAAAGAGTTGAAGGATCTTCGAAAAGCCGTCTCCCTCTGCCCGGACCGGTCGAAATTCCGCATTAATGATGTCAAGTCGGTGCACAACTGGTCTTGTGAATGGGGCGCTCGTGAAGATGCCATGCTATGCGTCGGTATCGCCAAACATGGTTATGGTGCCTGGGTTGCGATTCGTGACGATCCCGAGCTTGATATGCAGGGCAAATTTTTCCTTGAAGAACATCGCGTCGATAAAAAGGAAGAGAGGGGGAGAGCCGAATCTACTGCTAAATCGCCTGGCGCAGTCCATCTTGTTCGGAGGGCTGATTATCTGCTCAGTGTTCTAAGGGAGCGTTTTGGAGGTGATGCGCCTACGAATCAGTCACATAGGAGATCACCGGATACGAATTCAAGACACCCAAAACGAAATGGTGTATCGGCTGTCGATCGAATTAGCAAGAAAGACAGAATATCTGCTTCTGCTTCTCCTGCACCGAATCCTAAACGCTACAAGTACAAATCAACTGTCATAGTGACAGAGAAGCATCGGTCACCAGAGAAACACCGATCATCGGAAAAAAAGGAATCGTCTACCAAGCGACACAGGCTCGAAGAGGCAGGCGACAGAGAAAGGAGGAAATCGAAAAGCTCACTGCAAGCCTCTCCTAAGAAAGAGGAACAGCAAAATGGAGAGATTTCTGAAGAGAAGAGACCGCTCACTGCGGCTGAATTTGCGGCTAGGGTAAGGATTCCTAGTAACAATACTGTCTACAAATTTGGAGCTAAGACATTGCAGAAAAAAACTACGGCCTGTTCGTAGCAAACTAAGGGAGCTGGAGAACGTAAAGAAGCTCGACAAGAACATGAGACTTAAAGTTTTGAAAGAAGGACTTCTTGCCGTAGGAAAATTTATCAATACCATCGAGAAAAAAGGGACAACAGAGTACAGAGACCTCTGGTAAGTTCATTATCAAATAGTCTGGTAATGTAACTAACAAATTTTAGGTACATTGCCTGGCGTTTTTGGCCTCATCATGAGAAGCCTTGGGAATCGCTGGCCGAGTTCTTCGGGAAATTGGCGCAAAGCACAGAGGGTGCGGCCAGACAGAATGGCGATTAATACGACTAATGCAGGTGTGATTGTTGAACGTGAAACGGCCTTTTTGTGTTTAAATAGGACAGGGGGGAGTCATTTTGCTGCTCTTTGCGTTCCCCTCTGTCTCCTTCTCGCTCCATCCAAGCTACCTATCATATTCGTCCAGTATGGGCCGAGTGATATTCTCCCCTTTATTCATTTCTTTATTTTTTTTACTAGTGGGTTTATATGTTATCTGTTCTACATTATCCTTTTACCTCTGTGGACGGTATGGCAGTAAGTGGGCACATCACGGCGTACATTTGACAAATTTTGTTCTTTTAGTTTCTTCTTATCTCATCATTGTGGGTGTACAGTTGGTGTCAGGCCGGAGCGGAAATCTTCTTTCTTCTAATTTGGGGGTATTTTATTATGCTGTTTTGTTCTGCTTCTGGGTTTTTTGTCAGGCTTCCTTTTCTAAATTAATTTCCTGTCCCTCCGTTTTGTTCCGCTGGGTGCATGTATTTACCCCTTGAGGCAGAAAAGTAAGATTTTATGTAGGCAGAAAAGCTGTCCTCCATTCCTCCAACCTCTCTCACATTTTAAGAGAACAGAATAGAAAAAGCTCAATAAAAAAAACCCCCCGTAACAGACCGATTCTCTCACGTGGCTTCGGGTATTTATTCGAACGCTGGGTCATGCACCTGAAACAGTGCCTGCATCCCCCCACAAAAAGCTACCGGTAGTCAACCGGCTAGAAGCGGCTTCTATAACAAACCCCGCCGATACCATTGAGGTCCACTCCTACAAGTATCAGGGAAGGCACTCGTGTATCGTCCCTTCATACAACTATATCAATTTTTAATTTACTTCATCTCTTCTTCGCTGAGATGAAATTAAGTTACGCCCTCAAATCAATCCGGACACCCCCCTTAAGCATCAATGTCATCACTGGCTTTAATATTATGGCTAGGCCTCGGCTGTCCGTGCAGCTACTGCAGCGTCGAAGGCTATTACCGCAGTCATTGAATATCAGAAAGTTCAGTTCATCTATGGGATTGCAAGAGGTAAAACCATTTCTATTGGCGGATATCGGTGAAGGTTTGTCCATCCGTTCTCGTATTTGTTTCTACAAAATTGTTTGTTGTTTTTGAATTTCTTTGGTGACAATGAGTGTGTCTATATAGGAATACGAGAATGTGAGGTTATACAATGGTTCGTTGAGGCGGGAGCAAGGGTAGAGCAATTCGATAAGCTATGCGAGGTCCAGAGTGATAAGGCTTCGGTAGAAGTAAGAAATCTCTTTGGTTATATCCTGCAGGGGATATCGGATGCATTTCTAATATTACTATCCTAATAGATCACTTCGCGATTCGATGGTGTGATTAAAAAGCTCCACTACGAAGCAGGGGATATGGCGATAGTTGGAAAGGTGTTTGGTTCTCCTCCTATATTTTCCTAATTAGCTAGCTAATAAGTTTCCCTCAAACCTAGCCACTTGTTGATATCGATATTCCAGGAGAAATAAACGACACATCACAGCTTGGGTCAGCTGAACTTGAAGCTATCTCTGAAACAAAGACAGCAGAACCACAGCAGTCGTCGCATGAAGCAATCCTAACACAGCCTTCGGGAAGACATGCGTCACTCGCAACACCGGCAGTAAGGCATTCGGCGAAAGAGCACGGTGTTGACATAACTCAGGTTTCGGGCACCGGAAAGGATGGACGGGTGCTGAAAGAAGATGTCGTGGCATTCAAGAAGCGTCGGGATTCTGGAGAACTGCCGCCCCGGCCAATGGCTGATATCCCTGGGACGATTCCAGTGGCTGAAGAACAGAAGGTGGCTCTTACACCTATTCAAACCATGATGTTTAAGACAATGACCAAAAGCTTGTCGATTCCACATTTTCTTTACTCCGACGAGATTCATCTAGATCCTCTTGTGCGAGCTCGAACTGCCATCAACACATCTCTGGGTAAAGATTCGGTGGTGCATAAAATATCTTACATGCCATTTATCATCAAGGCCGTTTCTCAAGCCCTCGAGTCCTACCCTATCATCAACAGCCGCCTTGATACTGACGACGAGAAACCGCAACTGGTATTACGTCCCCAACACAACATTGGAGTTGCTATGGATACGCCTATTGGCCTTATCGTACCAAACATAAAGAACGTCAGAAGTCTAAGCATTTTGGAGATCGCAGCTGAGTTAAGAAGACTCCAAGCAGCTGGAGCTGAAGGAAAACTCTCTCCAGCTGATTTGCAAGGCGGAACGATCACCCTGAGCAATATTGGAAACATTGGGGGTACCGTTGTGGCCCCAGTGATTGTTCCCAGCGAGGTGGCAATTCTGGGTATGGGCCGCGCACAGACGGTTCCTGCCTTTGATCATAAAGGCACTGTAGTCCCCAAAACAATCATTAACTTTTCATGGTCGGCGGACCACCGGGTAGTTGATGGTGCAACTATGGCAAGAATGGCAGCCCTGGTCAAGTCCTTCCTGGAGGAGCCTGAGTTAATGATGGCCAGGTTGAAATAATCAGCCCATCCGTTAAGTGGACCTATTCAAGGTGGTGGAATTTAATGAGACACGGTAAATCGATGGGTTTTCTATTTAGATGCGGGGATATCATTGCGAAGAATAATGTTTTAAGCATGTTTGTTGATGGTAATATAGCTTAATTCTCCCTATATAATAGCTTCGGAGCACACCTGTAGTCGTGAAAATAGATTAAGTGTTTTTGTAGCTGGCTTTTATCATCGCGGGCATTATTTTTTGCTTTGTGGGGCAAGGTTTTTTCGTGGATCCTCGAGCTCGAAATAGACAGTGCATGTGTGTTTAATGTTAACCTCTTCAAAATCATAGATAATCACTCGGCTGAGTTAAAAAAGAATACACCGCAGTCACAAGTAAATGAAAACCAAAGAGGATGACGTTGGGATAAATCAGCGCCTCCAGATTCTAGGCCGTTTTTCTGCTGGGACATTTTTCTTTACCAAGATTATAGACACCATTGGCTACAAATCGAGGTGGGGGCTCGAGCTTTAAGATGACCTTGGCAATCATTTCGGTTTTGTTGGACTCTTCCGGCTTCGCATACCGCGAACAGTCTTAACACTGGTCTCGTGGTAAACTTCGTCAGTCAGCCTCGTTTGATATCTCGTGCCTGGATTACAAACAGGACTTGTATCGTGGCGAACCTCAATTGTAGAAGCCCAATGCAATTCAAATGGCTCCAATATCTACGTTTTGGAATTTCCTTCTTGTGGCCAGCTGACCAGCACTATGCAAGCGGTTCGCCTCACACTTCTGAGAGGCAGTTCAGGTATGCAGAGCACGTTAGACTATGTACCATGTATGTACCTTGTAGTTACTCAACATACTTTTTTTTTCGCTCTTCCTTTTTTTATGCAATGCACGAAAATCCCATCATCCCTACTTTAGAGGATCACTCGCAAGAAATTTCCATCTTCTAACATGCCAATCACCCATACCCCACACGGACAACTATTGGCCCCAAAAGTGGATCCCCTGTCCATATATTCGTGGGGGGTACTGCGTTGTAATTTTGATCCGCAGCGAGCGCTTGTTACTTCGACGACGTTGGCGTGCATCTTGCGTCTCTACTTCATTTTTCCGGACGCGACGCATGCTGATTGGAGTGTTTGGCTGAGCAACTATTTTGAGGAGAAGGGGGGTCTCTTTTGCAACGCCAACCGATAGGTGTCTAAGTATCTATCGTATCTTACGGTTTTATTTGATATCAACGTCACAGGGGAATTAATAGACATACATAGGTAGTCGCTTAAATGTCGTTCAACAGTTAGTACCAGGGCTCAGCACCGTCCTATTCAGAATTGGACGTGATGACGATCTACCTATCAATATTTCAACTCAAACGGAGTGATAAACCGCTTCCCCGAGAGAACCCTAGATTTTCATCCACGCATGTGTCGATAACGATACATGTGTACCCCACAGTTTAATCTCTAAATTTTCTTTTGGTCGGATCAATTGATCATCTCATTTTGGGTGAATTACAGAATGTAGGTAGTACAATAACATGCATGCATTATTTAGAGAGAGAAATATCATCGATTTATGATAAAGAAAACCAAAGACCAAAAGAAAATAAGAAAAACAGCTTATTTTACTCCCTAATTCAACCATGAAGTCTGACCCCTAGAACGCGAACTGTGAATACAAATCCATTAATAAATATGAAGAACACCAGGATCACTCCCCAAAAGTAGACAAAATGCAAACGCTGCTTTATAGGACATAGGAACCCCCCAAGGTAGGAAATAATAGAAGATAAAACACGATAAATACAATCCTTAAACCCCATCCACGAAAGAAAAAAGGAAGAGGAAAAAAAAGGAAAAAAAAGGAAAAAAAGCCAGATGCTAATCCGATTCCATGCATTCTTGGACCTTTTGCAGCGCCAGACTTTGTACTTGGGAAGGAGTACCGCTGACATCAACATGAACAACGTCCACCTCGGTTTCGTCTGGTTCTTCGAGGGCGGTAAACTGGCTGTGAACCATGTCGTCCTTCATGAAGTGGTCCTTGCGAGCGCGGACTCGGGAGAGCAATAGCTCTTCGCTAGCTGCCAAGTAGACAAAGCGAACGGCAACATCGTCCGCTTCCCGACCGGCAATTCGAATCACATCGCGATATCGGCGCTTGAGGCAGGAGCAGGTGACAACACAGCCCTCAGCTCCTCGTTCAAGTTCCTCGACAGCCTTGTTCCGTAGAGTCTCAAGCCAATCCCAACGGTCGTCATCGGTCAAGGGAATACCGTTCGCCATCTTGTCAACATTTGATTTAGGGTGGAACTGTAGAAGACTTATTAGCTAGATATTACACCAGGATTATTGAGAATAAGGTCTACTGACATCATCCCCTTCAATGAAGCGAAGATTGAGCTGTTTTGCTATAAATTGGGCAACTGTTGATTTTCCGCAGCCGGCAGGGCCAGTGATAATCCAAATATGACGAACTTGTTGCTCAGTTGTCATGGAATGGATGTTCCCTAGGAGGTGTGCAGCGGATGGCTTTGGCGAAACAACTGAATCAGATCTGTCTCCGTAGGTGAGCATGTTGAGGATTTTGATGTGAGTAGTGGTGAACTGGTTTTTGATAAAAGGTCAAGTTTAAGAAGGAAGAGAGGCTGAGGAATGGGTGAAAGCAATGCTTATATAGGAAGAGCAGATATGATGCAATGGCTGGGTAGATTTTGAATTGTTGATTTGATTTGCTTAGCGTATAACTAAGAGTCCCCCAAAACCGGCGGGCTGTCTGAAGCTTTAAATACTTGTAGATGGTGCCTGGTAGGATGAATATGTTCATTTGCGGTTAGCTGGCCACTCAGTTCCACTGCCACTCAACCTCCTTCACCAACCTGTCTTGATCCATGTCTATCCTGGGTGATTCCAAGTACGTAGTAGGTTGTCTCGCAAGTCACGCGGGAAAAAAGCAAGTTGCTCCAGCCAGCTTGGTGAGTGGAAGAGAGAGAAAAAAAAAAAATCAAGAGCCCGGGCTTAGGACTCCGACTCGCAGTGTTCCCAGGTCCCGCCGGTCCAAGCGGAAATGCCGTATGTACGAACCCACAGCTTTTTCCATTCCCTACATCAACTCCCTCAACCCCCTCCTCTCCCAACCCCGCACGCCACCGGGGGTTCCTCTTTGCGGCTTTTGCAGTAGGTAGGTGAGCGGGCGCGGTAGGCACTAGGTAGTCAGAGGCATCTCGCTGGGCGCAGTAATTAACGGAGATACGTTTTCATCTCCTCTACTTTAGTACTTGCTGTGAGAGGGGGAGAAAAACGACAGGTCCAAATTTCAATAATAACTCACTCTAGGAGGTAGCCTGCAAATGGGTAGTGCGGAATCACGAAGCAAATCAAAAGAGAGCGGGACTCGGGAGTGAAAGAAAGTTTCCTCAATGAACTTTGTACATACTGGAAAGGACAGGGAGGACGTTTGGAGTGAGTGGATGGTGGAACAAAAAAGCGTGGGGGAACAGCAGCGCGGGAGGGAGCAGGGATTATACTGGGGGGGCTTATTTTTATTGGGTTGCAGCAGTCTCAGCAGACAAGAATTGCTAGGTGATGCACTCCTTGACTGGCCGATAGCGCCTACTATCTAAGAGTAACGCTCTACTTAGCAGGGCAACATGTACCTATTACACAAAGCTCAGCTTTCACCCATAGAGCACCTATTGAGAGTACTCTGCTGTGCCATCCATCCCGATGTAACGTATTACATGCCTCTACATATGCAGTGCACGCAGAATAGCAGTTAACTCGTGGGGCTTTCTGTGTGATCCACGCTGTTGAGCCTCGTGCGTGACATGAAGTCTGATGTCTGAGTTACTGCAAATGTATGATGACGGATCAAACGTTAGTGCCGATAGAATTCTGGTTCTTTTCAATCTGACCTTCTCCTGTCCGGTGGTATTATCAAAGCTATTTTCTCCCCTGGTTCAGTTGGGTGTTTCTGGAAGAGTGGAATCCGCCCAAGGAGAACAACGCGACATTGGATTGGAGGTGCTCGGTCAGAACCGTGGGATTACCTATCCCTGCTGCAGAAAAACTGTGGGGGGACCAGTATCCGTAGGCCCACAGAGAAATCCCCTTTAGTAATTGAGGGCAGGGAGTGAGCCGATCGGAAATCAGTTTGATGGCCCATTAAAGAAGAAATTGTATACAAGGGAGTTGGCTACCAGGTTTGGCAACTCGATCATTACCTGTGAAGTCAACCGGAGGCGTAAACCGACCTACTGGATTCTCCGGTTGCTTGAGCATCACTCGGTGGCCCTGGTCCCCACAGACAGACCCGTGTGAAGGGTTTTCGCAAGCCCTGTCGAGGGCCCTTCAGAAGTGGTTCACATTCTGGCCTCAACGCCCCCATCTTGCTTCAGCTCATCTGGCTTCTTAAGTTGGCCGCAGCTACCTTGCATGCAAATCCTGGGGTGCATACACTAAAACACAGGCCTTCCTCCATAAATCATGTTAAATGCTCCTCATTGTGTTGCACATACATACATAAGTACACGCTCTAAGCTGGTTCCGTCCATACGGCTTGAAGTCACTGGTGCACACTCGCCGCAATACGTACGTCTGAAGAACATACATGATGTGGGACCGGACTACTCAACGAGTTTCAAATATGCGAACCAGAGATATCATTGTACTCTATGTACGTATGTATGTCGGCAATATAGGGCCCCGAACCACCGCAGCTGAAGTTGATCCCATTGATGTCAACCTGGAACATCTGCAGATCACTGAGCAGCCAGATAATCTCAACCAGAAATTTCTACCCAGGGTCCTAGACATCTACATAGTAGAATTTTCAAAACAGCTGGACTGGACCCTGACTAAATGACGTCACCTAAAAAGTAGCTAGGTATGCCTATTGAGATATATATATCTAGCTGGTTATAAGTAGAGTGTACTTCAGAGAAGAGATTTCTCTCATTACATCTATGTACGTAGTACTCACATTTACTTGATACTAATGATAGGTCCATCGGTACATACATGTAGAGTCGTAGAATAGTGCACATGCTCTACATATCGAGTACCCGCCGGTCTGCAAGACGATCCCAAGCAGTACTAGGGTGTAGCGAAAAGTGATCAGAATCTGATAAGACAAATACATGTATTCACCGCAACATTCACTTATCAGATTCTGATCACTTACCCTCAATACCCGGTACATGTATGTATGTACTTTCTAGTCGCCCCAAGCGCGAAGTTGATGGTGGTAAGTGAACAAGAGGGAGGGTAACTAAATAACACCAAGGGTCGACTCCCAGATACTGTCGTTCAAGGGGTATTGGCGGGTACTGGGTGTTGGCGGATAAGCCTAAAAAGAGACACCCAAGCCAATTTTTAGCTTCAATCCGCCAACACCCAGTATCCGCCGATACCCCGTGAACGACGGTACTTTGGTATCAAGGGTAAGTGAGTAGAACGTGGCAGCGTGGCTAAAGCTGTAGTTTTCCTGCTTTGCTCGCGAATATGAACCGCCGCGTTCTACTCACTTACCCCTGATACCGAAGTACATGTGTGTGTGGTGGTGTACCGGGTCTCAAATCTGGTAAGGGTTGGATGGGTGGACTAGTTTATCCCCACAATGGGTGTCACTTGGAAGAGCAATGCAGGTATGACACGTACGTCTAGAGTAAGTTATACAAGAAGGTTACCCGGACCAAAATCACCCTTTCCGGACACAAACACAGCTACGACTGCCAACTCAGGAAGTTTGCCGGCTATTCACACAGCAAGGTGTGCACACGGAGACACACGACATCACCGCCATCGTATCATCAACTCTGCATCGAATCGAAATCTCATACCCCTACGGCTTGCGGAAAGAAAAAAAATCCCTCGGAAGACTAGGAACGGCTGTTGGAAGGTATCAACCAGAGCAGTGACAGAAGCATCACTGCAACAGCAACAGCTTCAAACATCCATCTATCTCTGCTCTGACCACAATTTATTCTTCAATTACCATGTCTTACTTCTTCTCAACTCCTCTGGACATCGACATTCGGCTTGATGATGGGGACGATAGCCGGCAGATGGTAGATGTCAAGTTGGACAAGAATAGACGAGAGAAATGCCCTCTATACCAGGATGGCGAATCTGTAAAGGGGGCAGTGACAATTAGGCCAAAAGATGGAAAGCGTTTGGAACATACGGGCATCAAAGTGCAATTCATCGGAACAATAGGTTGGGTATCCTTCCTCCACCTACGATGCGGAGCTTGCGTATTCTATTTCGAATCTCATTAGCAGAAGAACCATGTGCTGAATCTATGGGTGTTTAATTCAGAGATGTTCTTTGATCGAGGAAACCACTATGAGTTTCTATCATTAGGACAAGAGCTTGCCGCCCCCGGTGATCTCCAGCATCCACAAACATTCGATTTTGAATTCAAGAATGTCGAGAAGCAGTACGAGTCCTATAATGGCATCAATGTCAAGCTTCGCTACTTTATCCGGGTCACTGTCTCGCGGAGGATGGCAGATGTGATCCGTGAGAAGGATATTTGGGTATACTCGTACCGCATGCCCCCAGAAAGTAATAGTTCGATCAAGATGGATGTTGGAATCGAAGACTGCCTTCACATCGAGTTCGAATATTCAAAGTCGAAATATCATTTAAAAGATGTCATTGTCGGGCGTATATATTTTCTTTTGGTTCGACTTAAGATTAAACATATGGAGTTATCCATTATTCGCAGGGAAACTACAGGGACAGCACCAAATCAGTACAATGAAAGCGAAACACTTGTCAGGTTTGAGGTGAGTCCACATTCCATGTGGTCTATTTTACTCGACAACACACCGAACCTAATATATTATCTAGATTATGGATGGATCGCCTTCCCGAGGTAATTGCCATCACTTACACATTATGCAGCTTATTACCGATTCTGAACACGATCGCTGACGCTGCATTTATCGTAGGCGAAACTATTCCAATTCGTCTTTTTCTTGGCGGGTTTGACTTGACCCCCACATTTCGCGAGGTTAACAAGAAGTACTCAACCCGGTACTATCTAAGCTTAGTACTGATCGATGAAGGTTTGTTTTCTCACTGACCAGATTCCTTGCACCATTTTGTTTTCTTTTGGTGCTTCCCCGTTTTACAACCTAAGCGAGAGACTTCTTGGCGTGGGGGTACACAAGCCTTTGAATTCCAGGCCGGGCTCCAGTGAATTGGTAATGGGGAAATTGTGGCTGGATAAAACAACTAACAAATGGTACACAGATGCAAGACGTTACTTCAAGCAATCGGAAATCGTACTCTTCCGTCAAGCTCCATAAAGCGCCTCGTAATCTCTGTACCGACTCTCACGGAAAACCGAGATGAAAGTATATCATTTTGTGGGATACTAATTATAGTAGTTGAGGACAGAGGAGTCTTTGATGTTGCTACTAATAATTCGTTTTGATTACGCAAAATTCCTATTCATTTTTTCTTTTGCCCTTTCTATTTTTTTCTTCTTTCGCCAGTTGTATCAAATGCGAATGATGTGGACAGGGATTCTGATGTCTGTTCTCTCGGTTTGATTCATGATGCTTGAAAGCAAGCAACGCAAATCCAATCCGTTACTCTAGCGCTAACTGGGGAAAGTACCCTGCGGAAATCTACCGGAAATCCCACCGGAAATCCCACTGGAAATACCATCTCCTCGGAAATAGGGGGAAGGTCGTATAACCAGAAGCCAAGAACGGGAAATATGTTTTCTTTGATCTCCGGGCTGCTATCGTAGCTACATTCTGTAAATATAGCGGGTTTGTTGGTGTATTATGTACACGTATAGACATAAAATGGCTGGTGTCATGCCTACATAGGTGTTTATGCCGTTGAGTGATCTGCCTACATGCCCGGCATTCAAAACTCAATGGGGTGGAGACATTTTATTATTCTCACACGGCTATCCCTTGGACGTACGAGACATTTGGAGAATCTCTCTCATGCATTAGCGTGGCCCATCTGGGAAACGATTTACTGTAATAAAGCAGCAACTTGCGAAGTTTTTGGCACCTCTGAGTATTTCAAAGACCGATAAATACAGCAAACTGCTTACCCGGACGCTTTCTCAGCCAAATTCTAGGTCACATGACTGCCAATTCGCGCTAATGCATGAGAGAGATTCTCCAAATATCTCGTACGTCCAAGGGATACCAACACCAGCAGAGCGGTCATTCAGCCCTACTACATACTGCTCTAAATAAATATTAACAGGAACTACCCGTTCTCTCTCTCTCTCCTCCACACCCCAGATCCAAGTCAATGCAAGACATTTTCTCGATCCAAACATATAAGGAAAAAAGGAGGGAAAATTACAAGCAGCCAGTGAGCGGTTGCTGGTGCCATCAGTACATACTTACGACCTAATTGTACCTATTTAGGTATCGTCCTCTAATAGAGGCGCATATAGCCTTACCACTTTACGTACTACTTTACGTCCCTACATATATACCCACAGAGAGAAAGAGTGGTAGAGCGTCCTATGCATCTGAACTGTCCAATACGATATTGATCGGATGAACTCTCTTGCATTTAGGCAGATAAAGCTTGAGCGCCGCGTGAAGAAATCATGCTCCTTTGGCAGGACATGGACTGCTCCGTCGTACCCCCACAGAGGACCATAGGTTATGCGCACATCTGGGCTCTTCAAAGATTTTCCTATCGAGATATTTTGTTTCGTAGTCCCAGTGGTGCACGTTTTACCCAGAAAGGTGTCAGAAAATCAAATCAGACGAAACCCAGCTCTCCAGCTTGCCAAGGAATGTCAATCTCTGCAGCGCATGAGTCTGAAAAGTCTTCTTTTCAAACTTTGAACGCGGGGGCGGGAATCTGGGCCCAGGCGAAAGGAGTGCCCGCTTCCCCGAGACAGTGATGGATACCAAGGAATAATATCCGCGATCACCCATCACTCAACGCCCTCCCCGCTGCTGCACGAAAGTAGATGGGTGGCCCTTGCACGATCTCGTTTCCTCCGGCCGAAGGACAATTTATTTTTTTCTAGCTTTTTCTTATTTCTTATTTTTTGGGGGCGTTCCCTTCTTTTCTTTTCAGGCGAGGGAATGGTTAAAAGTAATCGGAGGTTTAATTTGGCAGGGACGGCATATCATGGCTACTTGGATCCATGGAAGGAAACATAGAAGCGACTCGACTACATTGAAAGTTGTTACTCTATAGTACGGTGCTACCTAATATAGACTTACTAATTGATGGACTGGGATGATAGTACGCGCCTGTCATTTACATGCTCTCCCTATTTATTGCTACAATGGAAAGTATATGTAGATACATGTATTGGTTACATGTAATGTAGGTACAGTACGAGTAGAGTACTCGGGGCAGGCAATAAGAACCTGAAAATGCAAGCTGCAAGCAGGTGCTCAATTTGGTGTAGCCTTTCGCCAGCCGCGAATCAGAGGTTGTTACCATCAAAAGTCATTTTCAGGTTCTTCTTACCTGCCCCGGGTAGAGTACATGTATGCAATTCAGATGTGCGTTTTGAATATCCCTCAAAAGAAAAGAAGTAAAACAACTCGCGATAGGAACTACATGTACATAGAGTAGATACATACATACATACATGCACAATATCTACCTATTCCTATGATACATACACGTATCAGCGCTTAAAGCCCAGCGCATGTGGACCATTATGGCGGAAAGACATTCAGTGATAATTATATATGAACAACATGTACTCACTCTGAGTACACCCTGCTATACACATTTCATGCACATTACTCTATCTATCCAAAGAGCTATGCTGTCTACATGTATGCAATAAGCACACCTCTACCATCAATCGTGCCATCGTGTTTGAGTCCATCCCATCACTTGTCAGCGTGGCCAGCAGAGTTCCTGCCTTGGAAATCACAAAAAGAAAGGAAAAACAACCAAGTTGCAAGAGAAATGTTCTTGTTGGCTTTCACACACGCGCACACACAGCAGAAAGCAGCACAGCATGTAAGATCTGCCCCCCCCCCCAAAGCCTACAACCGAAGAAACGAAAAAAAGAAATCAGAAAGGGGGAATGTGGGGGAATAAATGCAAGTACGAGACTATGACAAGAGAAAGCTAGCTGAAACTCGGCTATCCAAGCCTAACCCTCTATGAGACCGGTTGCAATATCAAAACCATCACTTGTAATCATTTTTCCTTTTTTCAATATCAGACAAATTTTATGATGTGACAGGTAAACCGGAACGGCGGAAATAAATAAATAAATCCTCCCGAGAAATAGCAAGGCTGACGGAGAAATTACCCAGGATATCAAGCAAGTTAATAGTCATGTGCAATAAGGCTCAGACACCACCTACCTATATGTATACCAGTTCACATCAGTACTGCATACGAGGTACTCACGATAGCTGACGACGCCATGCCTTCGGGCTTACGAAGTTTATCAAGCAAGAATAACAAAAGAAGATAGATAACTAGCTCAGGGGAAAGCCCCTTATCGGGAGCAGATCGGGGTTGTCCTTCTCCGAGAAAAACAAAATATACAAAATCCTATTTCTTTTTCCCTCCCGACGAATTTACTCAAAGAACCCTTTGTCTATTGAAAAAAAAATATAATGGAGTCTGTTTATAATTGATCTGTTCATTAGCACGCTGTTATTCACACATACTCCGTGTACTAAATGTGTATGTCCAGTCGCGCAAAGTGCCCATTACGTGCTCCCTGTTTAAATGAATAAAGAAAGTCATAAACGTTTAAACCTCCAAAAACCTTTGAAACAATTTTAATGCGCCAACGAACGCCAAAACCCATATAGCCCAGTTGCCAAGAAAAGAAGAAGGTTGTTATGAGAAGAAATATCGGATCGATTTATGAGATCATGTCCTGTTGGTTTTATGTAGGATGAGGCTGTAGTAAAAAGTTGTTGAGTGAGTCTGATTCATCCAGGAGTGGATTATTGTCGTTGTGATCGTTGGAAGTGAGAGAAACGAAGTTGCCATGGACTTTCTGATGACGCTTCATCTGGTCTATGAATCAAGTCAGCAAAAATACGGTAATTCCCAAATTGATACCAAATATGGCTCCGCGGAAAGCCAGAGTCGGAATGGTTTGCTTTTTCTCTGGGCGGCACATCGCAACCCCGATATAAGGATAACGGATCTCGATGCAGAAAACAAGGCATTCTCATCCCATCCCAACTTCGCCGCCACCTGGGAAGATGCAATAGTACATCCCCAAATAGGCTTATATCGAGATTGCGATGTCCAATCGTGATGGAGAGTATGATGAATATCCTATGTAAAGGTAGGCCCATATTGGATACCAATCAACATGACCCCCCCACGCTCATCTCATATTTGGATGGTATGCCTTCAAGTCCTTTGGGGGGTTGGATAATCGCTGTGGAAAATACCAATATTAACCCCTCTTTTAGGCACATAACTTGGGTAGAATCATGGCGGGCGTCTTGGCATAGGATGTTCGCCAGACTCTTCATCACGATTGTGACGTAACATAGTTGGTAATGAACGAAAAGATACGGGCATAGCCAATGAAGGGTTTGATATCCAGCGAGGGGAGGGTACAACCCAGTGGTAGATGCGCAGCCGTAGTTGCAAATCCCCAAACCCTTCATTGGGATTTGCGCCGCTCAATTATTCATCAAGTACATTGTTTGATCACCTTCCAAAGAATCAAGTAGAGAAAAGAGGAAGAGGCATGCCAGATTGGGTCAACGACAACGTACCAAGCCTGTGAAAAGTCCTCTCACAACCAGCAAAGCCGCATCGATGCTGTCCAACCGATAGATGTGCTGTGGGAGGTATAGGTTAGCAAATATTATTAAACCTTAAAGTCTAAAAACCCTCTGATTGTGGTCAAAATAATGAGAGAGAAGGAAAGAATGGGTAGAGCCAAATAACACACTCTTGCGATGTTTGCTTAAGTTGCTACTTTCGGAAAACCTTTTTCCGCAGCCCGGAAATTCACACTTCAAAGGTCTATCCCCGGTATGCACTCTCTTATGCATCGTCAAGGCCGAGCCCTGAGCGAATTCTTTGAAACAGACCTGCAAAAAACGAAAATTTTCCGTAAGCCAGTGTTAAAGAAGACATGAAAGATATGTACAAATCCAGATTCCAAACGAGAAGCCAAGGTATGACTTGGATCGGCCCGTGTATGTGTTTCGTGGATGCGGGGTGTGCGGGGCGTGGGAAGTGATGTGATAATATTGCGGGCATATATGTAAAGAGATTTGAGGAGGGGTATCGGAGAGGAGAAAGCTTACATCACACTTGTATGGCTTCTCTCCAGTATGTGTTCTGATATGTTGTT